ATTAGAATTAGTCGACCTATATATATGATTTTTTAGCTCTTTATCTAGCTCCTTACTAATCCTTCTTAGTGATCCTATATTAGGACTATTTTCTGCTTATATTTATATACTATAGGAGTATATAAGAGATTAGGAAGATATCTGGTGGGAGCTTCGAGGAAAGCAATTTTCCTATAAGGCAATATTTCGATATTTTAAAGGACTTATAAGAGCTTAGAGTTTACTTTTAAAAGAGCGGATAGATATCTATATATTTACGGAATTACTTCGGTATCTCTCTAACCTAAATACTATTAAGCTCTCCTTCTATAGAGCAAAGGAAGATTAGCTTCTTTAGTTCTCTAATCGAGTGTTTCTTAGGGACTCACTTTTCGTTTACCTTAAGGCGGTACTTAGGGGTATAGCTATTACTTAGTCTATAGGATTAACCTTGAAATATATAGAGATTAATAGGATATATTCTAAACTAGCTACTAAAGATAATAATATCCTAGAAATTATAAAGGCTGCTTTAGTAAGTGTTAAGAGCTTAACGCTGATAGAAAGCCTAGGGTTTCTAGGGTTTATATCTACTATCCCTTTACCTTCCTTACAATAGCTTAAATTAGCAAAGTGTTAGCTTATAGGCTTTAACTTAAGAAAGTTCCTAAAAGCCTAAGAGGGAGAGTGCTATATATATATTTCAAAGATAGAAATTAATTATATTATGAAATATAGAATATAGATAGCGAGTCTAAGCTCAAAACTTTATCTAAGTCCTTTATCTACTCTAGGAATATTAGCCTATAAGAATATCTTATACTTATAGGAGATTATATATAATCGTATAATTTCAATAAGTCTTTTATACGCTCTCTAGAAGAATGTTCATAAATAATCCCTAAGAAGTTAGAATAGTTATATTATATCCCAAAACTAGTGTCACTACCTATACTCTTCGATTGGTTCTCGGACTCTAACGCTAAGATATACTATTAGTATATAGTAAAGGTATATAGGTTTAAATACCCTAATACTACCCGCCTTAACCTCACCTAATCAAATATTTAAAAGGTTGATCGGTATGATTATTTAAGGGCTATTTAGTTAGGTGGTATATTTCTCTTAGAAGGCGGTAACTAAAGAGGTGCTTAAATTATATATTATCACTATAGTTCCGGAATATCACTTTATATATTATTACTATATAGTGTAAATATTATCGAATATTTTATAGAAGTAAATAAGTTAAATATAAGCTAGGGCCTTAAGGATTTAGTAATATATCACTTTATCTATATACTTAGGTTAAAACTAAATATATACCTCCTAAGACTATAGTACCTAAAATAGGTCGTAGAGAAAGTAGTAATATATAAAGTAGCTAAGCTATTCTTTTATTGATACCTGATTTCGACCGAGATAGATAAACAAATCTAACTTCTAGGTAATAAAAAGTGGGCTATTTAGCGATTAACTTATAGGACGTGACTCGCTTAGTATATATATAAGCTCTATAGATTTTTTAAAATTAAACCTACTAATATCTCTGACTAGTTAAGAGGCTTAAACTTAAAGTAGACCCTTCCGAGGTCCGATTAAAGATAGAGGATAAATATCTCTATATATAGTAGATAGATAATCTATCGCTTAAGCCTCTTTTTAGAAGTATATAAGTAAACACTCGGTAGGGGCCTATATATAGCTTTACCGCGAGGTAGGTTAAATATTTTGTGTAGTCCTTACAAAGGTAAACCCAATAACCCTTTAGGATAATTTATTTAACTTAAAAGGGTTCTTATAGCGCGAAAAGTAAATAGACCTTAAAAATATTACTTGTATACAATTCGAAAACCTTAGTCTTATAGAGAAACTTAGTGCGGCCGAAGACAAAGTATCTCGCTTCAAGGAGGTAGTAAAATAAGCGGAAGCCGAGATATAAAATCAGAATTTAATTATTTAGGAAGCGTAAATAACTATTTATCTTCACTAGTAGGATATTTTGAACTAGATAGCCGTTACCGAGTGGTATTAGACCAAATATTTATAGTGCTTAAGTATATTAGGGCAAATAATAGCTTTCTTATAGGATACTATATCTAAACTTAAGTGAGAATTAGTATAGTAATATTCGAAATTATTTTTATTTCTAGTCTTTCTTTCTCTCTTTACTCCCTAGGTCCCACCTAAATCACACTAGTTAGAATAGGGATATATTTCCGCTAGACTTATATTTGTCTATATATAGAGCTCGTCTATCTTACCTTGTCACTATATGCCGCTAATATTACTATAATTGATTTTTCACTAGTAACTTAACTAGGCTCAACTAGAAATTAAATTAATTGTGGGCTTACTCCTACGTTATTGTCCTTAACCTACGGTATGGTTTCTGGCCTACGGTATGGTTTCTGGCCTATAGTATTGTTTCTGACCTATAGTATGGTTTTTGGCCTATAGTATCGATTTTACAATCTATATAACCACTACCGCGAGCTTGAAATATAAATTATACCTTCTTTCTCTAAATATAGGGAAGTTAACTAGGCTTTAAGAATCAATATAGCTAAAAAGTCGAGAAAGAAGGCCTAAAAGGCGCGAAATACCTATGATATCTAAACACCTATACCTACAGAAGTGAGCTTAGACTCCGAATCCTATCAACCTAAATCCTTAAGAGTATAAGAATTAAGGTAAGAGTATAGTCAAAATAAGAAGGGTAAAGCTCCCGAACAGAAGGCGAGATTTATTAGAAGCCTAACACTCCTAGATAACTTTACCCTAAATATAGGTGACCACGAATTAAATAACGAAATAGATAGCGAACTTAGGAATACTTCTAATCAAGATACTCCAATTAAGTATAAGCTAGACCCACTAAGGCGCTAGGTCAAAAATATTATTCTTAACGAGACACTTAGATATTTAGAAAGAATAGTTAAGGATTTCTTTATATCCTAGACCCCTAATTACGAAGGATATCTTTAATTCTTTAAAAGACTTACCAATATATTCGAGGGGCTAACGAAGAACACGAAGCCCGCGATATTGATATAGGTACTATACCTAAGACTAGCTATAATTCTTTATATAAGACCTAGTAGTAAGTAGTAAACAAGGTAATAGAGATATACTCCCCGGATAAATTCTAGGTAGCTTATAATACAATATATAGTCTTCTAAAGATTTTTAACAAGCGGTATTATCTTCCTAGGTCCTAGAATATTAGTGAAAAGTAGGCCGAATAATTAATCGGGACACAAAATCCTAGTATTAAAGAAGATACTGACTCTAACTCTACTTCTAATAGTGGCGAGAGTTAGCCCGACCAGACTCCCTAGCCCTTAGCTAGTAAAGAGTCTAGTGCCGAATCGGATATTGATATCGACGGTAATTAGCCTATAGGACTTAATACCCTAGAAGCGAGAACTATAAAATAGTAACGCTAATTATACTTGGCTAAAGTATTATATTAGTGGCCTAAAGGTACCGGCTCTTAGATCTTTATACGCTACGGAAGCTAGTCTACGCCGATCTATCGTATTCGGGCTAGATTATATAAGAGCTACAACCTAAGTCGGGTTAAACGTATTTTGACCACGAAAACTCGCGGCACCGCTAAAGTAACTAGGACTAGGAACGGGCTTCCTAAGGAGTTTTGGAAATACTAACGAAAGGACGTGGAGGACTTTATTAGTATCGGTTAGAAGGTCGAAGACGATAATAAGTAGGCACTTAATCCTCTCAATCTACTACTACCCACTAAAGGTATAGTATATCCACAAACTCGGATACTTATTAAATAGAAAGATAGTCTATTTACTTTGGAAGGGCGAACTTTTATCTATCGTATTATAGCCGGCTCTGCCTTAGATAGTGATAGAGTGATTTATCAGAAAGCCGAGGAGCTTAAGAATACTTATCGTAGAAAGTATAGGTTAGACGATATTGATAAAGATTATAATAGTGAAGTTAGCGAGCCTATACGCAATACGAACCAACGTAGATCAAAGATAAGGAATCACTTTAAGGCTAGTGAAAATAATGACGATAGGAGCGACGCCTCTATTTAGTCAAGCCACAACTATAATAGAAGATACCGTAGTGAGCTAGCTCGTGGCCCTACCTTGTCTATATAGAGTCGAAAATCAACTTATAAGATAAGAAAAGACTCGGCGATAGAGATAAAAGAGCTTGAGCGTTAGATTCGGCTACTGAAGATACGCAGCCCGATAACCCCTCAAGAATCGCAGCGGAGACAACGCCGAGGTGACCGTGAGCGTATAGCATGATAAGGACTTGTGATTTTATACGTTCCTTTAGTCTTGCTATGAGCCGGTGTCAAACCAAATTTTTGTTTGCCTACTGTTTCTGATGAGCTAGCCTCTTATATTGCTTTCAGTCTTATTTATAGTTTAGTTTAGCTTAGAAATTGTCAGATTTGCCTTATTTTCCGAACGATTGTATCTTCCTATAGCTATCTATTATGTTTATGCTTTAACCACTTTGGACTTCCTTATGATCTTTGACCAGCGATTTCTGCATTTTATTTACGACTGATGAGAAAGACCAGAAAGGTATTCTGATAGGTGTTACGGACCTATCAGGCACTCACCAGAATAAATACCCTACCACACTATTGGGCCATCCAGAGCCAACAAACCCAACGTCACGTGCGAGTAGCGTCAAGGCACCAACAAGACCCCGCCATGGGATCACGTGACCATGCAGGTAGTAGAACGGTCGACGGTAGACAAGTAGATTCCGCCAAGACGGATCTACCAATCTACCAACTACCCAGCTACCAGAGGAAGACTGGAGGATATATAAGGACACTCATTCATCTACCTAGTTTAGTTCTTCGTCTTCAATCCTACATTGTTACTTGTGCATACCTTTGAGAACTTACGACTCTTGACTAAGATATAACATGACAACCACTACGAGCTAGACCAATACCCCGGTATAGATCTACTCGGCGCTCTACCTGGCATCGATTCCTCGACACGACTTCTAGGGACTTAGGCTGCAGTAAGGCCTACGGTAGGCAACAGCTCAGTGACGACAGACGTATCGTTGACGTTGGAGAACCCGAGGCGTATTAAGGTAACTATACCCTGAACCGTCCAATCTAACCGTGACCAGTTAGTTAGTGCGTAACAATAGGTTATTATCTCAAGAAGTGGGAATGATTCACACTTGAGCTTTGAAATGAGCACGTGGGAATCAAACAAGATGTTCAGATAAGTTGTAAGTAACGACCACAAAGTCAACAGTTTTAGTCCTTGTTTAGCGGCTGATTTGAGTGTGAGACACAAAAATTCCGTAGAGATGCGGATGCTCGGATATATATTCGTATACGGGAGTTCGGCATGGGAAAAAAAGGCGCCGAGAAAACACCTGCTCGCAATGAAGATGGAAAACGCAACTAGGGAGAAGGAGAATTCAATATGGATGGAGAGACATCTATCCTAGACCGGAGGGTTTAATTGCTCGACGTAAGTGGGCTTGACATCCAATCATACAATGCTACTCCTATTAAGTGCCGGGGCTATATCAGACACGGTTATTCTCAGGTATAAAGTCCTTCCCCTAGCCCGTTGCTTACTATAGTATTTTCTCAAGGTGAACTTCGCCAGGAGAAGGAGAGGTACCAAAAGGCGCAAGTGGATCTTTCCAGCGAAAGAGCAAGGCGTGTTTTAGCGTACAAGATCTGTTACATGCAACCAGATCATTGGGTGACAATTCTATGTGGGCACTTGATTTGCGAGTCGTGCGCGGAAAAACTCGAAGAGCTGTCCTATCTGCCGAGCACCATCCACAGGACATATCAAATGCGTACCCTTTGCGGGATAAACCATGTATATCATGCCTAGATTACCTGGGCTAACAAGCGTCTATTCTCCCACAAAGACAGGCATTCACGGGAATTGGACAATCCCCAGATATACATTTCTTGGTCCCTGACTTTGCCGAGTACAATGATCAACTCGTCTTAATTTTGAAAACCTCTAGAGCTTCTCTCACCAAGTGTAGGCCGGCTTGGCGCGCTTGAACCTTGGTATCAGCCAGTCGGGCTGCCTTATTAAATTCATGGTTTGTTTAGAACTTCTAGATAGCAATGGAATATAACACTTGGTGGGACCGAGTAGCTCGAATATCTAGTGTTCCCCAGGAATGAGCAGCGAGCGTACAGCAACATACTCTTCCTTCCCAAGTTTATTCAACATCACCCCAACACCATGGGCTTTTCGTCTGTGGAAGAGATCGATACCCCTTTCGTTCTTCAGGACAAACAACCTGACGACATAGCCCGGTTTTCTGCAAGTGCTCTTATTTTTGTTATGTGCCTCAACGGCGTACCTTCTACATTCTTCTTGGTCTACGAGCACCGGTATGTGAAGATGATGAAGTAAAGGCAAAAAGGACTCCTGGGCGTCACCTGGGGGGGAGGGCTTTGAGGCATCCGGCCAAACTATTTTGGGCACTGCGAAACGAGAGACAGAAGAAGAAGTTGACATGAGTGGCTGGTGTTTCATGCCATGTCTAGAAGAAATAGCTTAAAGAGCCCTATACGGGTTCTTTCGGTAAGCCTACCGTCTCGACATTGGGATCTCCGCCGGAAGAGCCCTATAAGAGTCCGTTCAGGTAGTAGTTAGACAAAGCACTCGTGAGGGCAAGTTAATACACCCTGTGTTTAAAAACCGGTTCAATTACTTAGAATGAGCAGTTTAAACATAATTCCATTGATGGTTGGGCATTCACCATTTTATACTACTGTCCCAAATGTGAATTTTATTGTATAGGATAGAACGCCTTGCCTCCATACGTCGCGAGAGATATCTAGTGAACCACCTCAGAAAGTGGATATGTATAGATTTGCATGGGATAGAAAGGCTCATATATCTGCCTTAGAACTAAAGGTACAATGATACAATCTCTTCGCCCACGTCAAAAACTTCTTCATCCGTTCATACCCTGTCTTTAACTTCATCCACTGTGTTACCAGATTCCTACCCTACGTTATAAAGGGCTGGCTATAGTTTCCGGCGTGCTAAAACCGAGTCACCGCTACAATTAGAATGGTCCTAAGAAGTCTTATATTTCAGCATCCATCTTAGATCTCCCTAGGCGTGGCTTTCCCCCACTAGTTTGTAGAAGGAGTAATAGACGAGGATAGTACCGAAGAAGGTACCGATTCTGAGTCCCAAGAACCTCCACTCTAGATCGATTTTCAGCGAATTAGCTATAGAGATAAGCGGAAGATTGTGCGATTTGCGCAAATTTGTCTACTAATCGGGTAGGTGTGAAATGCCGCGTCTGATCATATATTATCTAGCGGGTGAACTAATATAAGATATAAGGTTAGTTTGAAATCTACTAGTAGGAATAGGACAAATAGATAGTTACGATCCGTACTCTAAGCCAAAGATATCGATATCTTCTAGTAACCTCTATCGAATACCCTTCTATTAATAGTCTATTGTCTTCTGTTAGAGCCCCCTCGAAGAATTTTTCGGGGTAGTAAACCTAGCTCTATACCTATCCTCTAATTAAAAAGTCCTCCGGTAACTATTGTATAGTTAAATCATTAAGGAGTGGAAATAATTCGTCTTCAATCTTCGAAATAATTGTGTCGGGGTCAAACAAGCTATTTAGGTAAGTTATAAGTAACGACTATAGAACTAGCGGTTCTAGTCTTTATATAGCCGCTGGGTTAAGCGTGAGACACTATATAAATACTATAGAGATATACACACTCGGATATATATTTGTGTCCCTAACTTAGCCTAGTATGATAATTAATATATAAAAAGCGAGAGAGCTTACCTAGAATAGAAGCTAAGATAAGAGGTCGCTATATATAGAATGGCTAGCTATAGTAGATACACTAGATACCTATTTTATTGCCGCTAGGCTATCTTCCGCTGTAGGATTACGTAACTTTAATATAAAATCTATTTCTATAACTCTATCTTTACTCCTATATTAAAATATAGCGGAGATATTGTAAGATATAAAGAGAATACCTTATTACCTATTCCTATATACTTAGCTAATCTCGTTTTATAGAGTAGTAAGAAATATATTCGCCTAAGATATAAACTTATTAACTGGAGCTTATATAAGAAGCGTAGTATAAGTAGTCACAAACGAAGTAGTTAAATCCCCCTTCTAGCTCTATATATTTATTAGAGGAATAATTAGCTCGGTTATACTATCGAAAGTAATTAGGAATAGGTGTACGCTGATCAATACTTTTGTATAGTGAAAAAGCTACTAAAGGATATCTAGGTAAGCTAAAATAGTAAGATAATGCTAGATATAGCTATTTTCTTGGTTTCTGTCCTAGTTATACTAATACCTCGATATCCCTACCTAGAGTTCGCGGTCCTTATTAAATTCCTCTATAGCCATCTAGTACTATACTAGGTCGCCTAGATACTTAATCTAAGTATCTCTAAAATCCGGTATATATTCTAGTAGTAGTGCTATTATCGAGTATAAGAGATAGATAAAAATAAGTATATACTCTATCGAGCTAGGAAGCTTCTAGCGTAATAGCTCTAAGAATAAGTGTACACTATACCGCTATATACGCGCTAGTATAGCGTACTTATCGGCTAAGACTTTAAGAATAGGACTAGCTAATAGGTACTAGGAGGCGAGGAAAAAGGTATAGTGTTAGTAAAGTAGTGTTCGGTATAGCGAGATAAGCGTTTGCCACTAAGGCTGTGATAATTCGGCCTTTGATTATACTTGTTACCTATCGATCTTAATACACTTCTTTTCTACTAGAACGAGACTAGTATAAATTTCCTTCACTTTATTGATCAGTTACTCCTCGGTAATAGGGTAGGTCCGTAGTTACTTGATTATTCCCTAAGGTTCTCCCCTAGCGCCCGAGTAGGAGTAGTTTTGGTCTTCTATACTACTATTCCCTATCTATTAATTGTGTTAGAGCTTATTAACGTGACTAGAGAATAGCTAATTACTAGAGGCACTATTAGAATTAGATAGGCTATATTAGAATAATACTATTATACCCTCTATTTAAATAGCGATTTCTCTAAGGAAAGAAAGAGTTAGTAAATAGCTATATAAGCTTTAAGTGTAAAATACCTGATAATTATAGTTAACTTAAATAAGGGGCTAAATTATGATTTAGCCTTATAAGTAGGCAAAAATTAAAAGTCTGGAAGAGGGATAAGTAGAAACTCTATTTATACTAGGGTTGAGTCTAAGGCACCTAAGAAACCCTATCTTTAGACTAGAACTTTACTGCTAACCTATTATGTCGAGCTTGTTGCCTCCTTCCTATTGGCTGTTGAAGTAATACGCCCTATCTCTAAGCTAGATAATCGGAGGGCGATTCCACGTAAAGTTCTACACAAATGTTTATAATGATGATCTATCTATGATTATACCGAAGAAATTATAGACTTATAGAATCACCTTACTATCTTCTAACATCCTTTAACCAAGAAATATAATTCTAGGGGAGGAATAGCTATAGGTAACTTTTATTGTAGGATTCACTAGGAGTATGATGCTATAGGGGCTAATCCAGTGCAGAAGAGCAATATATCAGTATACTCCTTCCTAGTCAGTACGTTAATAGTAAACAAAATATATTCTTACTAATTCTCCATCAGGGTGGGTATATGATAGCGAAGGGGAATAACTAGCACTTTCGGACTTATAGGTATATCTTTAGGTAGATTATATAGTGTATTAATTTAGGTACTAGTTATATACAGTGTTACTAGATATTCCTCTGCTCTTAAAATTCTAGCCCTTACTACACTTTTTCTCTTGTCCACACAAAATTATATAGAGAAGTTTGATAACAAAGTTTGTGTATAAAAATAGGTTTAGAGTTTATTAAAGCGCTCTATTTAGGCCTTAAACCAGTCGATACCGCGTTAGTTATCTAAAGTATAGACTAATACTGCTGCTATATTGTATTTAGATATTATATCACTTAAAGTATGAAACGCGGTCTCTTTATATAAACGACCGAACTCGGCGGCAAAAAGTGGATCGGAGCTTAATAACCGTAAATAACTTAGGTCGGTGTATTAGAATTTGACTCTTCTAATAATAGCTTGGTCCACTACTAGGTCAAACTAGCCTTTACTAAGTAGAATAGCAATAAAAACCTTACTATCCTCCCCTAGCGGAATACCTATAGTAAAATAAGCGAGGGTACTATATATATCGGATTGTTAGTTACAAAGATCGTATTTAAAATCAGAGTGGATACGTATAGTCTATATAATTGGCTTTAGTAATATTCTGGTAGGTAAGGAGGATATATACTAACTTAGAGTGGTTCTATTTAAAAGAACTTCTAAGCTAGTCTCTGCTAGTGTGGTTAGAATCCTTGGTGTTCGGTAGAAACCTAGCTTTTCTGAGGTGGTAAGTAGCTTCTTATAGGGGAGAAACTTGTTATTAAGCAATAAACAGACACCGCCAATAACGCACAAAAGTGTCCAAGTGTCACATTGTCCTAGAATAGTATAGCTTAGAATGTATACCCTACAAAGATATTACTCTGTCCCTAGACCTTAACTAGCGTTGTTATTCGTTAAACCTGTCAAGGCCATTCGGTATGTCGGTTGATTTAGCTAGTGACCACAAGCGGTATTAAGGCGTGCGAAATGGAATGTGGTAATTCAGCTGCAAATTTGGGTACTAAAAACGCGCCCTATATCCAGAAGTAGTATAGCTCAGAATATATGCCCTCTCTCTATTATATCCCTATTTAATCTGTGTTGTTCACCGAGTATTCTATGTATTATGACGCTGTGTTCCTTATCGCCATGTAGGTCTAAATTCTTCTAGCGCCTTCCTTATACCATTACTCTTTCCGAGATTTTCATATTTGTAACACCCGTTTGTTTGCTTCCCTTATGACTCAATTACAATATGTAGCTTTACTTCGCTTAAAGCCAAAGCTCCCGGATACTCGATAGACAAAACTTTGGTAATATTTCCCTTTGGTGGCACAGGATCACTTACTTTTCCATGCGGCAAAGCGCTAAGATCTCTCCGCTAAGGCATATTAGATCTTCTCCTTGAATAGATACTCCACCACAATAAAGTCTTATATCTGGCGGGCTACTTAGCTGTCCTGGTATATTCGGAGGGTAGATGGTACCTAGTTGAGTCTTAATATTCCGGTAGTTCTATTAGGTAATTTTTAGTGTCGGCCTAAGTAGTTAGTTAATTTATTTTAATCTGCTAAATAGAGCTTACCTATACCTTCGAGACCCTAAAACACACCATTAGCAGCGTAAAGATATTAAGCCTTAACACGGATCGGTTCGTAAAGATATTTACTATAGTTGATAGGTAGTATATAGATACGCGGTTCTCTAGCAAGAAGTATTACTTATATATTGCAGCCATTATCACAAAGATACCTATTTTAGGGGTATATATCTACTATCACAGAGTCCGGGTGGGTCTATATTCTAAGTAACCAACTAACCCTACAGGGATATATTCTATACTATACCTATTTAGTTACCTTCTAGTTTTCTGAGTTAGCGGTAGGGGGACTTAACCTACCTAAGCGACTCCCACTTTTATATATTAATAATACTAGCTCGCCGTAATCCACTAGTCACTACGGAGGGTCTGCTTCACGACCTATCCGTTTAGATAGAATATTTTTCAAGGTTTTTGGAAGCCGACCTCTCTCTAGCTATTGCGGAAACCAGTATAGCCGTGGATTTTATTTTATATAGTGCGAGTTTACGCTTATAGATTGTGCGCCTATAAACTATCCTTCGATAGTCTTCTCTAGCCTTAGAAGAGGAAGAATAGCTATAGATATAAGGATTAGACTATACGTATCCTAAGAGATAGGTCCGCGGTGTCTAGTCGATACCTTCTTTCCTTCGTTACCTAGGGCGGTTAAGCGATCACAATACTTATAGTACTCTTTAATAGGGGCGAAAGCTTAGAAGGTTTGAGATTGAGTTTAGTGAGGGAATTGTACTTCTATTCGCCCCGGTCTTACCTACTTTCCGCCGATTATCTCTTATCGAAGAAGCTAAAGCTATATAGCTTCTAAGAGCTAGCTATACCAATATTATTATTAATACACAATAACTTCTATATTTTAAGTCTTAGTATCAGGTATTGGTAGTAACTTATATCCTTTATTATATCCTATAACTAACACAATTCTTTATCTAGGTTCCGCGTCTAATACTACCGATTCCCTAGGACGTAAGCTACCTAAACCGTTATAAATTCAAAAACCTCTAGCCCGTATATATTAGGCCCCATTAGTGCGCCAGTGTTACCTTACTAGACAAAGGAGCCTCTAGTAGGAACCTCTATCTCTATTCTGACCGATCCTTTCACGAAAAGGATTTCGTTCGGCCGTAGCTTCCGCTTAACTAGTTGGTTTTCCCGCGTTTCCTCTTTCGTTAAATCCTACGGGTATAGCATAAAAGTCACTCTGGCTTCGTCGATGTTCGAAAGATCCCGAAAGACAGATACCGTAGGACGAGATAGATACACAAGCCTAGTGCCCTATAAGTGGTTCTCGGAGGAGACAACGATAATAGGCCCTTAACGATAGGGAAAGCGAACTTCGCCTATAGCCTCCTTGATTTTCCGAGTGAACTACTATTTGTCAGTCCTGGTTTAATATACTCTTTAGTAACCCTACCGCATCGCTTTCCTCGGTCCCACGCCGCAAAAACCGCGTATATATATTAGTATCTCCCCTGCTATAGACCAAAGGGGCTTTTTCTATCTTTGGCTATGAGTGTAGAGACCGCTTCACTTCGGAATTTATATCGGCTCTGTCAGTGGAAGCTAAAAACACCACAAAGCCCGTGATCTCCATATCGAATAGCTCATTGAAACGAGGCGATCTGTTCTGCGCTGTTGTCATGTTTGCGTTCCTGTACTAGGCCCAAACAGTCTAGCTTTAGAGAATAGCCAAATTGAAACTGGGAGGAAGAGGAATAGAAAGGCAAGACAGCGAAGCATGGACCTTTATATATTTGGCATGTTCGAATCGAGATGATTCTAGTTGCATTTCTCGATATGAATCTGGATAAATCTAGCAGACATAAGTATTGACCCTGAGGGTTGTCCGGAGACTTATTTCCCCACTGGGTTTTTCCACTCCACTAGGTTAAATACGGAGGTTCGTAGTTTATCTATAGTAGCATGGCTTGTAAGAAGACTGTAGTACTCGACATAGAAACGGCATTTTACAAATGCATGATCGTCCCCATTAAGGCGCCTAGTCTACGCCATAACCGAATCTGCGGGATCGGCCGCCACATAAGAAAGCCCTAGCTTTGAAAAGGATATAGCTGCTTAGTTAAGCGTGAGATAGTATGACCTCTGGGACTAATTAACATCTAAAATCCAAACAGGAAGAACAAACTGCTGCATTGAAAACTAGTGAAGGAAAGCTCAAACAAGCGCCTGGTCGGCCGGCAACATATCTTGGCACCAACTTGATTGAGTACAACGACCAATGTTACCCTATCCTTTGAAAGTCTCTAGAGCTTCTGTCACCAATTTTAGACCGGCTTTCCTCGCTTGAACTTTAATACCAGCCACTCCGGCAGTCTCATTCAACCCTTGAATTGTTTGGATCTTCTGAACAGCAACCTTTTCCAACCATGCTTTATCGCTTTGCAAACGTTGTATATCACCATTAGAGCATTCGCCTGAGAGGAGCAAATCATATATACAACTCTTGGAGCACGCTCTACCGACGATCGTGATCAAAAGATCCTCAGAGAGTGTGCGGCCCGTGCGGCCCCTACCGTCCCTTTTATGTCCCGGAGGCGGGTGGTGCATAAGGAATCCAAAGATTTCAGCGCTCTCCCGCTCCACTTTGTCGGCAGCTGCAGATACAGCTTGGCGCCAGTCGTCGTGGCTTTCGGTGTGGTTCGAGATCCACACGACTCCGGCCACGCAGTTGCGTCTCGCCGCATAAGTCAAGAGGTCTTCTGGGATCTCTTCGTCATGGCTCCAGAACCAACCTAACATCGGTTCAGGGTTTTGTTGGTATAAAAGCTGATACCAATTCGGAAGTCCGTTATTTGGATTAGGGATTCTAAGATCCACACCTCGGTGTAGCAGCTGATTTGCTAGATCTATATCGGCAAATTTGCATAGATTCATTATCTCCATTGGCCCAAGAGTTAATTCAATTTCAGGTGTTAATCGAAGACGTTTCCAGCAGCTCTGGAACAACTGGGCATCCCGGGTAGTAAATTGTAATACCGTCATATGTCCCTCTACCGAGATAGGCTTGAGGAGGTCGAGGGGCTCTATCGCAGACATTAATCGCTTAATCAGATCACGGTTGTCTGATTTAACCGCAATTAGATAGAAACTTTGCCCATTCCGACAAAAAGAGGAGGGACGAATTGTTTGATGATTAAGTAGAAATGTAAAGCACTGAGGACAATTAACAATCGTTCTTGAAGCTAAATCATGCGGAGCGGTTTTATCGAAAGTACGTCGACAAGTCTTCGTATGGTCAAAATCTGGGCAGAGTTCCCAATTGGTCTCGATTCTCTTTCGAATCGAAGGGCTTCTAAGAACAGTATGAATCCTGGATTTGACGATATAGTCCTGCTGCTGGCAAAATGCTCGTAGATTATGTAAGGCATCATGTGATCCAAGCGGTTCGGAGAAAACACTAGCCTCGATGATAGAGTCTATAAGCTCTGTTGGTAATTTTTCGATCCTCCGAAGGATACCGTCTGGTCCTAGAGAAGACTCGGCATCCTCTTTGCCTTCGTGGATAGCAGTATTTGTTAGAGGCTCTGGCATTTGCCAAAAGTTGATGATTCTTGGAAGCTCGAGTATACTGCCTGACCTAAGAGATGATTCGGCGTCCTCTATATCTTATAGTGAGCGAAAAATTTATCCTTGCGTATGTCCATGCAACTTACGCTTTTCTTGATATCCCCAGACTGATGAGGGATTATCTTGAAAGAATAAAGGACTAACCCACTTCGGCAGTAGGCTTCGTAGTGAGATAATAGGGAAACAATCCATGGGCCTTTTTTGTTGGAGTTATCTGATGAATACAATCAAACTAGAAAAGCAACTCCATTATATTTATATATTCACAAAATAGAGTAGTATCCCTTTAGCCATTTCAATATAGGGAAATAAATCCGCCACTTGCCCAATTGTCGGTTACAATCCACAACCAGCCAGATCTCCTTGTCGAGCTCACATGTCAGATTCCATGGATCCTGTAACTAAACAGATAGTTGACTTGACCCCGAAGCTATCAAGACCTATGTCTTCAAAAAGCAACTACTAAACAGGAACGTACTAGGAGATTTACTATGGAAAAAATCGAAAGAAATAATATAGTATCAGAATACGAGAGAATATCAATTATCAGCAATACAATACAGAGTGTAGGCACCAAAGGCAGAAGCAAAAAAGGGTGTATTAGGAGAAGAGAGAGCACTCAATCTAACTATCTAACTAACTACCACGAGGTATCCACTGTAACTGATGTTGCTTGTCTACGGCGTATTGTGAGGATGATACACCGTGCTTGTTGCGGCAGGGATACATGGCTAGAGATTGGCGATGACGAATGCTGCGAAGCTGCGATTCTGATGGAGAATGCCCTGGGACGTTAGGTGATTTTGGATGTATGAGTGGGGAACTTTGTGCTTGCCTAATGGAGATTTAGCGTATATATGCGCTGAATCTCTATTAGGCAAGCACTGATAACGTAAGCATGGCTCGTAACCTTAGAACCTTGGAAGCAAATTCCGGATAATACGCAGAAAATGCCTCGTGAATACTGCCTCGATATATATTAGGTGTAGGTAGAGAAAATGTACTACCAAGCATGCTAGGGATCAGGACGGATGGGTGAGATCTAATAGCATCTTCACTGGTCGGGCTGCGATTTAATAGATTGTTATGGACACGCGACGAACCGAACGACGGGTACCAAAAGTCACGGGACCTATTATTGTAGTGCCCCTCCTACCCCACGGTCATCTTTGTGTCTTCTGTGATAGTAATCCCTCTTTTATCCGCACCTCGATCGCTCCAAATTTCATCCGCTTAAAAGTAGAGGTATATGTTTCCTTCTGTATACTCTATTGCGTTATTTGATTCCACGGCACATTGGACAGTTGAGATATATCATCGGAATTCACCACACTCGCTTATATCGCATACTAACGCAGCTCAGTATGACAGATTTATCTCTCGACGAAGAAGCAAAGAAATTGCTAGATACTCTCGCGCAAGCACTTTCTGGCATAACGTCCTAAAATGATGGGAAGGGGAATCTAAAGTATGAGCTCAAAGAGGTTTCGCCTTTCGTTAGGCCTCTCCTCAAAACAGTTGGCCTTCCAGTATGGTTAGAATTTTCTGTGGTCTGCGACCTACTAATGTTATTCTCAGGATTGGAATTTCACAGTATGGATGTGGAACACATCTTTCAAATAGGAGAAGTTACCCGGCCCCGTCAACATTATACCTATCTCCAATATATCGGATTCGGCGAGAAGCAAGCCGGGAGGTGCTTTTAAGCATGGTATTATGAGACGAATCGATAGGGAAGTTACTGTTGAGCCTAGGCTCGCGGCTATCTTTGCGGTTCCCCCTATCACGAGGTATGTAGGAAAGTCGCCCTACGCTTACCCGTCGCTAATGTGTTCCTAAGCTGATCGCATACGGACAAATAATGAATTGATTCCTCAACTGTCAGCTCTTGCCTTACTGTTCCTCTTTGTATTTTCCGTTCCTACATATAGCTCCCGTCCCACCTCGGATCACAAATTGTCTGCGCCACTGGATAATGCGTGATAGAAAGGGTCGAAATACACCCGTAGGTCGTCGTTATTTGCATATGTGAATAGATCGAGACCCACGACAGGCTCACTATATATATGCATGTAAGGATTGAACTCCTGGGGGCCATCATTGAAGTAATTTTCATATATCGGGGAGATAAGCAGGATGTTATAGCCCAAAACATTGCAAATATCAACTAGGCTGTATCAATAAGCACGCATTCGCCAATATTTAAGGGGTCAATATACTTTAAATTATCCCCGGCGATCACTTTGATGAAACAAGGGAGGCAGTATAGAATGAGGCCATCCTCAGTGGTAGGAACTGCTAGCTGGGGAGTTCCCATATCTGCCAGGAAGGTTTCTAGGCTGTTTTTCGTGTGGGCAAACCTTCCGTATTGTTGAATAGAGCGGGGAACTTGAGGTGATCAGCATCAAAGAAGCTACCCTAGAGTAGGAATACCAACATATGAGGAAAGCTTCCCAGGCTAAAAACCCCCAGTTGAGGTCCAGCAACTTAGACATATAACCATTTACCCATTAACATCCATATCGAAGTCGCCGGAGATTCGCTGAGCTAGTATCACTGATATATCGACGCATGATCCATTCCACAGTCTCAATCGAAATTCCAGTTTCGAGCATAACGACGCATAAGGACACAAATATGAGCTGTTGATATTTGACGATATGAAGCAGAAGATTTCCTTGCAGCTTTCTATCCTTTGTCAACGCACCATATTCGCATCCTCGCATAATCAAGGTGTTGTGTTCTGAGGGGTTCTCATTTGGGTACAAGTTTGACTCATCGCGCAGGTTCGTGGTCAACCGTCGACCACATAGCATTTGAATAGTTTCTCGATTGATTTCTGGGTAGCATAATCCAAGCTCTTTCTTCTTCTTAATCCAACGAGCGCTCTTTGTAACGTCCTCAACGAAATATCTGAGCTCCTTCATGCCTTGTGTCTTACCAACCGACGTTTCCTTAAAGAATGGCAACGTGGAGAGAGCAGTATCGGGAAGATCGATATCGCGGTTTCGAATCGGATCATAGTATAGAATTCTGAGATCATCTCTAGTGGGCGGACGAGATCCGGTCGAATGAGGACTGCTTGGACAAGAAACCCGGAACACTAAACATCCATTTCGATAATCACTCGGGTGAGGGTCCGTTGGATGTATAGGAGTACTGGGCAGAGAGTCCGCTGATACTATTGATGCTGTAGCAGAGGCTCTATGCTGAGAGGCCGCTAATACAGTCGTAGAAGTCGTGGGCTGAGATTCTGATGATATGGTCGCTGGGGCACCGTACGGCGAAAGCGCCGCCCCAGTGAAAGTCTGGCTGATTTCTTGTTTTAATGCTGCTGAAAGCCGAATCTCAAGGAAGGCTATGTAATCGTCATCGCTACCTTCAAAATGGAATGCACGCTTGCTTTAAGACATAGTCGTTGGAGAGTGCAAATAGATTGGTGGGGATTCTGATAGTTCCCAATATAGCACGACTATATATATGTGTGGTATAATTTCATGATATAAAGCGGGGTAGAACAGAGTAATACAACCTGCCGCGCAATCACACGAGTTATCCCAAAGCGCCTACTCCAGCCAGCGATTGTCTGCGCCAATATGGATTGTGTCTCGATTTAGGTCTAAGAGGTCGCTTAATTAGGGCCCTTTGGTCTGTTCAATTTATCTGTCTTGCCTTGCCTAATGGGGTTTCTGCGCATTTATGCGCAGAAACCCCATTAGGCAACTTGCACTGCCCATATAAGGACATCGCATACGTAACGGCACTAACGAATAGGAAATAAGGTCCGTGTGTTTGCGTCTTTTTCTGTAGGTTATAGCCAACAGCGGAACAGGCGCTTCAAATTTCATTGTAGGGACCTCACCGTCGCTATATCGAGCAGTGTTAGCGGACCAATACGGAGTACCGTTCCAGGGCCTAGAGAGCGCCCGGTAGAATCTGTCTGTTGTAACGAAAAACTGTGTATATGGCATCTGAAAGTAATATAAATATGTGTATCTACCCTTCGTTGAAGTTGGGCTATGTTTTCTGTTCGAACTGTCTGAGGCCTTGCTTATTCCAATCACGACTCCATTCATCCCCACATCTGCTTTCTTGGAAATGGCTACAAAGAGGCTTTGGTTTCTAATAGCCAAACAAGTCGAGGTACTCCATACGGTACTTGTTATTCCGCGTTCCGCTCCGGTCCAGCCAAGTATGCTAGAGTCTGTAATCCATTCGCCGATGAACATGAAACACTACGCAAAGACTGAAGATGTTTTCCAGCTTGCTGCAAACTTTGCTGAGAGATTGATGAAAAACCATCCCTTTCAGGACAGGAACAAACGGACCGCTTTAGTGGCGGCTGATATGTTCTTGAAAATCAATGGTTACACCCTACTAAACGGACCATTCGCGAACGATCCAAATAACAAGGCGCTAGCAAATGCTCACGTCGCCGTCGTGACCAACCAGTGGACCGCCCAACAGTTGGGAGATTACTATAAGTCTTTGGCAGTGCCTATTGGTCCGTTGACTGCACAAATCTTGGAGTATAAAGGCTCGGCCATTGAGTACTAGCATCATACTCTCCGTTAACATCGTCGACGTTATGCACGGCCTCTGGATAGTGTTTTTGAGGAAAGGAACAGAGGCTCTTATGATGCAAACCTTTGTTGATTTAGCTTGTTGATGTCAGACTGCCTACCCATTTGAGACCGTATTGTGTCTGCCACGCTTGTCTTTGACAGTCATATTGATACCTAATGAATAAACATGTGCATCGATTGACTCACGCATACTTTAAGTCTGAAAACTTATCACCTTGAGTTGTGAATTTCGAGCAGCTATCTATTATATCGAGCGGTATAGTATGGCGATCATGTGTTACTAAACCCCAACATCCTATCTATACTAAGGCCAGTGAAACTGTACAAAAGCTTGAAAGCGAGTTCGATCGAAGCCGACTAATCGTCGCCCTATGATGAGCCAGCCTGTCGTAGGTTGGTTGTTGCGCTGTGAAAATTGAGGAGGTTTATTTTGAGAAAATTAGTACCCTGTCAATGCATTACGTCGACCGAGATTTGCGTATTTAAATTAAAAATAAGCACCGGAAGGGCGGGGTCGACCCGCTCGGGCGGATATTGAACCGAACTGGAGCGGCAAAGGATCGTGGAGAATCGATCCACTTGCCAATCAAATGGTCGTCGACGACAAGACGAGTAGAGGAACCATAACCGTATTCTATTCTAGGAAGGTATACGCGCCGCTGAAACTTTCTGCACAAAAATTCCCCAAGCCGGTAGCCACCAACCAAATAGAAGCAGGTGGGGGTAAAAGCAGCAGGCAGGCAGGCAGTGAACAGTTGTCGGCTCCAGATGCCCCTAGTTATCAAACCCCCTATGCGCCAGACTGGGATTGTCCGAGCGCAACTGATCCGCTGATATATTATTCCGCTCCGAGAGAAAAAGGGTATGTAAGAGGACTGCTCCCGGTCAATCCATGACAGGCCTTTACAACTTGTCTAGCGTATTGTACGTCTCAAATACGAAAGAATTACCTGTCCCTTTACTGACTTGAGTCTTCAATTAGTCCGATCTACTATGTTTCGCTATGCTTTTCGCCCCCTGGCTCCCTTTCCCTGCCCTAGAAGTGCTCGTAGCGCGCGACTTCTTTATCACGTCACAACAGATTTTATCACCCATAATACGGGAGGAAATCTGGTTACCAGAAAGGTGCCTGTTGTTGTTGGCGACCCGGGAGAAACTTTCGTTTTGATTGAGCAAGAGGTTGGTAGTGCACTCCGTGCTGCTAGTCCCTTTATATCAGTATCTGCAGCTAGTGCTGAATATCGTTGTAAACTTACGTTTTTCCACGATTCCCAACACTTTGGATTTGGTACGTTGTCAGTGTGCGAGATTCTTATTCAACCAAGCCTTAATAATTTGTTTCCATTGCTAGGACCAACGAGTTATCCCCGCCTCTATGCCCCAAGCCAAATTCCTCGCCAGACAGAGTTGAATACAAGCCCTGCAACTTTGTTCATGGGTGGAAAGATGCACCATCTAGTTCTAGATGGAACACCTGATGGTAACCAGTCACAAATCTTTCCCGTCTTACGTGTACTGATCTATAATACCTCCTAGCAATTTTTGCGGAGAACGCAAACGCTACTGGACGGAACCTGGCAGGCGTACTCGACCAGCTGAAGGATATGTGATGTCAAGATTGTTTCTGCTCCCGCTACGTCGGGAATCGTTTGATACTAGACCGTCTAGACAGGTTACCAATCTACGACCAAACCCTGGGAGAGGGATTATCGGTAAATGAGAATTCTCAATGTCATCGAATATGGCTATGATCCTCGAGTGTTTTCGCGATAGAACGAGTGGTGTTTGATAATCCCCAGGGCAACACTTAGGTTTAATTGAGGGAGATAAGAGAATAAGTGCCACTCTCTGCCACAAACGGTCACTAAGGAAGCCTTCGCTGCGGTGGACCTCCCTATGGGAAGAGGGTGGCAAGGGAGTGCACCTCAGCTAGCTGATAATTGAATAACATTGACCCAATTGTGACTTGATTTGCAACCAGTGGGTGCTCTAGTGAAGTTCCATACAATAAGTACCCGTCAACGAGATGATTTACTGCATCTTGAGTGCGCGCGTACACGTCGTGCGTACACTTCTCTTCTCAAGTTGACGAATGGCAGTCAGTAGGATTGAGGAATAGCGCCTCATTCCCACCTCGATTTATTAGGCGACGATCTAAGCACATGATTCCCGTTATCTATAAATAGTAATTATCGGTTCTATACCGTGATATTCTGAGTGATTTTAGTCTCTTCAGTACTTAGGCTGAGAGCTTTACTAGTACCTCTTTGACTTCGAGATCAATAATGATGATAATGATAATGATGATGAATTTATTGACCCGATGTAGCTCGCTAATTATATACATGCTGTTATATAGGGATAGCGTCCTAGAGCCTGCTCCCGACGATAAATAGTGGTGTATCAGTGATACTAGCTGCCTATGACATTCTGTTGGATCGTGGAAGTTCTGCGCTGGCTTTCTTAGGGCCAGTGCCATCGACACACTCCGCGAGAACAATAAGGCACTGGAGGAGACTAGGAAGATTAGTGAGTCCTAGGGGTTCAGGGGAACTACTAAGCTTATATTTGTTCTCTTGTCACGTCCTTACTGGCAATGGGCCATAACAAACAAGGAACGCAGTCTTGGAGGCCCACCTCCTAAGCACACTCCGCAATCCGATTGGTAGATCAGCCCATCAGTAGATAGAAATATCGCCTCTTATTTAAATTCGATAGTCATTAAGAATTGAGAGACTAATCCTGCGATGACCTGATCTAATAGCGGCTTACCCACCGAAGAATATAAAGCTATATACTTCCCTGAAGTATTCTTCTTCTCATCTTATAAACACTTCATAATAAATGACTCTTCAAATGCCGAGTTTGAATCTATACCGATGAGCTCGACTGATAAGTTCAGAGAGTACTATCAAACAGCACTCAGAAAGCTTAGCCTCGATCAACTTCGCTATTTTTCTAAAAGGCTGCCTAGATTACCCAGCCCACGAAATAAAAAAAGTATAGAGCCTTCACAATAAAGTTAACACCTACTAAGCTCTAAAGCAGTGGTAATTATGTCTATTCTTACTATTCTTCCCGCGTAGCTTATGATCCTTGTTAATTTGGAAAAATCCTCGAAAACCTCGGAGGGTATAAGAAAAATACTAAGTGTAATCACACCGCTTATAAAACTCGAAAAAAAATATACGAATCAGGAAATAGGTAAGTCTTCGTTTTTATATCTCTATCAATAGAGCTGACCTACGTAGATAATAATATGGCAGTTAGGATTATAAAAGCTAGTGATAGCTATAAAATCGAACTCTGTGAGATACACAAGTATCGACCTTTGCCGTGGCCAGATATGAGTATTTAATATCGGGTTCCTAGTATGACTTCGGTGATCCTAGCCTCGTAAGCCGTAGAAGTGTCAAACCTTACGATAGGAATCGAAAACCTTCGGACTAGATAAATTTATTCTTCTTATATGCTTAATGATAGCCAAGAAAGAGTAAAATAACGGTTTAATCCTTGTATCCGTAGCCATTCCTCCTCTTCCAAAGCCAGAGAAGACCACCAAAGAATGCTTTTCAGGCAGGATCCATAAGCGTGAACTCACACCACGCGAAATAAACTCTACTATAGTTATACTGGTTTCCGCAATAGCTAGAGAGAGGTCGGCTTCCAAAAACCTTAAAAAGATCTATGGATAGGTCGTGAAGTAGATCCTCTGTAGTAACTGGTGGATTGCAGCGAGCTGGTATTATCGATAGAAAAACAATAGAGATCAATTTTTGGTCAGAGTCCTACTGTGATGCGCTGACTCAGAAACCTCGGAGGTGACCGAATAGGTATAGGATAGAATGTATCCCCTATAGGTATAATTTCTCAGAATATAGGCCCGCTTAGACCCTAAGGTCCCGACCTATCTCGGTCTATCAATAGGAGACTATACCCCTAAACTTTGGTTAGTGAGCGCGGCATTACAAAGAAGGAATTATGATATATAGGTCTTGTGGTCCATTGTTCTTTAGGGTATCAAAACAAGTATTTTCTCTTTCTCGACCGGATATGAATAGTTATACTGCCTATAACCCTAGGCCTTCCTTAGGTTTCTTGAGTCTATTCTATGCTTGCCTAGGTCGGCGGAAGGTAAGGAATATAAGTCCTTGGTTATTCAAAGCTAACCACTATAAAAGGTACAGAGTGGACTAAACAAAGCGCTAGATCTATATAAGGTAAAGACCCAAGACCTACCAAAAGTAAGACCTGATATACCTAGTATATATCTCGACCAGTGTGTCACTAACTATGACGTTGATAAGCGATATATTAGATTAGGAAATACGGAGAGGATCGCTATATCGCCTGATATCGCTATACGCGATATATTAGGTAGTGCCCAAACAGAAGGTATACGAGTGATCGAAATCCAGGATATCCAATTTCCGGAGCCCTACTTAGACGATACAAAGTTGCGCGTCGAGCTAGAGGAAGATAGGCGCAGAACAATACACTGGTTGGGCTTTAGACAATTCGACGATATCAGCAATGCAGATAATACTCTCACAAAGTTTAAACCTTCGTTCTTAGTTAAAAGGAGGGTGATTCAAGTACTAGAGGTTCAATTCGCGGAAGGTTCATCGGATATAACAAAATTATACGTCGAACTGAAAGAAAATAGAAAGATGGAAGCTTGCTGGCTGGACTACCGGTATTTCAAAGAGGTTGTTAGAGCGAGGAAAGCCCTTATGGTATTCTATGGGAAAATCCTAATTTTGTTGAATTAAAATTGTACGTCATGTAATATTATCCATAACCCAGCTATTTCATTGGATATAATTTAAGGTAGCAGCATGCCAATCATTATAGTTCGAGGGTGTAAGGAGGATAAGGATAAGCATAGTAATAGGTCACTGGCACAACCAACCGACGTATAGGTAGGCCTTGATGGATTAAACATATCTTCAAAACTCAACTCTCAGGTCACAGAACACCTATCACATCTATTTAGAAGGACTTTTCCCACTTTACACTGGCCTTGAGTGATTTTATCGACCCATTTCCATAGCGGGCGCGTGTCCACGCATCCACATGCATATCTATAGGTGATGGTTTCAATCTATATCAGGATCGATCTATACACTTTGAATTGATGGTTTCGCGAACCTTGAATAATAAACACCTATACAAGGGTGCGTTGATTTCTTTCAATGGAGATATGAGACTCGAACTATATCGGCGATAAATCTAAACTCCAGTTGTAGAGAAATGAGAAAGAGACAATAGTGCGACGGTAAAGTATTCAAAGAAAACGGATTGTCCTTCAGTCCGGATGTTGGGCCCGGGATATATACAATACAACTTTCTCATTCCAGAAGCAGACCCTATGGTCACTGATCGGACCTCAATCAAGCTTGAATTCTCAAAATTACTTTGGCGGTGGAGGCGGGACGCCCGGCTTCTTGACGCCTGTTGTATCGTATGCGCCACGTCTATGAAGCTTAGCTTAGCTTGTGCTCAGTGACAGTATAGGATCTACCTACCTAGCAATGGTTTCTTTAGGGCGTATCATCTGCATTATAGGTGGATGTTAAATGGATAGTGCAGAGTGATTTGACAAGATATAAGGATTCAAATCTCTCTATACACGAAGATATTCCCGCAAAAGCCTTCCTAGTTTCCCTGAAATAATTTTTTGTTAAGCCTAGAATAAATACCAGCGTGTGGTATATGATCCGTGTTTATGAATTGAACTCTGAAAAGCGGGTCTTATAATTGATCTAAGCTTCGGAGGATGATACGAGTCCCGAATGCCGATAATGTGTAGTTCTTTTGAAAGCCGACTAGCTACTTCGGGCAAAGTCTCGCTAGAATAAAACTACCATGATATTCCTAGTGTAGGGTTCGAAAAGCTTAAGTAGCGCTTTTGAATACCGCCCCTTTCCACGGCCTCGACACTCCCTTCTTCTTTTGGTGGTGCTTTAGGTTTAAGGAGAAGGACACTTAGGCAGCTTTATTCTAATGGGCAAAAGGTATCAAACTACGAGAGCTCTCTATCTAGCTATCTAAGTAAATACTACCACGAGGTTCAGCAATTTCATAGAGAGCTTGTGTATCGATACTGCTAGTCTAATCGATGATTTAATTCACACCATCAATTTCCTTCTAGCTTCACTATGCTCATCAATAGAAGCGAGAAAAGAGCCTGGCTTCATATCTCAAGGCTTAGCCACACGACACCAATACTTAAACTTCCTAAGCGTATAGCACCTCAAAATTTAATTGTGTTTTTAGTAGCATTTCTCCTATTGTGCAGAGACCTTTGGTCAACTTATCGCCACATAGAAATAGCAGAGCCCTTTCCACGCAGTCATATCCATAAGTATAGGTATATTAAAAGTATATAATACTTCACTATAATCTAGGTCGGCCTCTGTCTTTACGCCTTAGACTCATGGTATCACGTACCTCAATTATAATAGCCTATATAACTATATATTGATTGTTCTTAATAGAGGCTCGGATTATCTATAGTTCAGTACAGATCTCAATATATGGCTCGCGGGCTCTTATACTAAACTAATTGTAGAGAGATAAAAGGTAGAAGTGCTTTATTGGTAAAAAGGATAAAAACAATCTAGAGACAAGTATCGCTATATATTGCCACGAGCCATACAAGACAAGTTTAGTTTCGAGTTACTGACTATCTGGCCCTTTTAATCAATCGTCTAGATCGTCTTAGTTCAAGGGGGACGCTATTAGTATCTGAAAGTTTTCGTTTGCCATAAGAGCTAGAAGGTAGTTTACTCGTAGTACGTTTTGTGGTGCTGTATAGTGTTTTCTGCCCCTAAAATTGATCTGTTATCGAGAAATTGTCCGGTGTACCGGAAATAGTGTCTTTGTACTTATTTCGATCTACTTGTAGTAAAGTTTAACGAAAAGCATCTTAGGAGCTAAGGGCTATAATATACCTACTTGGCTAGTTTGACTATAGAGAGTAATAGGGTGATCTTCTATCACCTTAGTCGCTCTATTATTAAGTGCCTTATTAACTAAGCGAAGATAATTCTACTTAACGATTCGAGGCTCTTCTAGATCCTTATAGGCTAGCTACCTAGTAGGGGATAGAATAGATACAGAGTTAATGCCACTACGCTTATCTACTAGGGCTAGAAAGCTTTTATAGATCAATATCTCCTAGTATTCTAATATAGTTATAACTTTAGTATCGGCAATAGAATAAAGCTACTCGGCATTATTATAGCCTAAATCCTCGTTAGTATAAATCACAATAGGATTAGAGGCCGAGCCTAAAGGAGTAGGATTATCTCCAATCATTATAGGATTGGCCTTAGTGCCTAGCTCGGAAGAATTGATAAGTTTGTATATAGGACGGTCTAAATGCTTATCGGGGATTAAAACTTTGTAACGCTAAGTTAGTAAAATCTATAATACTTCTAGAATATCCCTCACCAAAGGCATTCTTTCTGAAAGAGCTTATACTAACTTGGGCGGGAAGTGGAGGAGGAAACAAATGCTTAATATAGGGTAAGACTAAGGGCTGTGATTATAGGAGAAACAGCGTGCGAGGAATATGGCTTTATACCTCTAATCTGGCCGATTACACCTTGTTCAACCTTTAGGGTGAAGCGGGCACCCTTGTCTAGGCCTGAACTTCGGACAGACCAATCGTCTCCATGTCTAACGCATATTGTGGAATACCGTACGTCAGAGTCATCGCCTGCAGGTAAATCACATAACTGGCTAGTATTGCTGTAGACCTTCTTTCGCCGATCGCCGCCTCGGCTGATCCTGGTATTGTCTATGTCTTCCGGAATAGAGGATTAAATATGCCTTAAGATTGTTGATTATGACTGCGTTATTATCCCAACTTGGGTCTCTATCATGAATACCAACTTTTGGAGGAATGTATCGCAATGAAAATAGATATAGAAGCTCGGGGTTATAAAGTCTGGATTATCTTGCTATAGTTATATTGTACTTATATTCTGTATCTAGGTACTTAATTGCATAGTATTCCACCTCGCACTAGCTGTTAGGCTTAAGGACCCCACGAAACAGCTGTGGCTGGTACCTATATAAGGAAAATTGACTTTACCAAACCTTCCGTACTTATTTATACTAGACATTACAGAACCCTCACCCTTGATAGTAGTGGAAGATAAGATAGATGAATGATGGGTTTTATAAAAGTATATTGCAATGTGTACAACGGCGATATATATTATGATTATATCTGGGGGGCAGTCGCTGAGACTGCCGGGTAGAGAAAGGGTTGGCTCCAAATATAGATAAGTGTAAAAGATTACCATATGATCTTGGAACGAACGAACTACGTAGCCTAGTTACTGTACACATTTTGATGACTATCTAGCTAGCTACCATGACTCAAATAGTCTGCTGTCGTCCTCGACTCTTGTCGGAGAATTGGCGACGATGGTTGTATAAAAGATCGGGAGACCCTTCCTAATCTGGAGGAGCTTCCTCGCGGAGTCGTTGACATTAGGCGCGATCCTTCACGGCGTATCTGGCAAGTTGGACAAAGCTTGACAAAACGGGCGATCAATTCCTTGGGAACCCTGAAAGTATAGTTAGTAACCATAAAGCAAGCACATTATACTTACTATATCTTGTATTTACCCACCATGAATAGACCTTCCGGACTTGAGTGAATGTCTTATCTCGGCTACCATGCTTGCATTTCTGATGAGCGTCAGTGAGGATTTTGAACAATTTCTGTCGAATTGCAACCGGCTTTCCATTATGACAAATCATTATCTTATGCTTTATATCGCAAATAACTCTATTAGTATTGATTGATCTTACCCGTTAGAATGAGCAAGACTTACATCCGGTCCCATAGTCTCGAGCTTGAACATATTTTTGGCCCAAAACCTGATTTTCTTTAGTAATATGGGCAAAACCTTATATATGCCAAGAGATCCATACCGAAACTTAGCCGACTCCACCGTCGTCTCTTTAGGGCCAATCAATATAGTTCTAATGTCCCGGGCTCTCTTAGCATAGATCAAAACTTTATCTCGTTTTTGACTAGGTCATTCTTCGATATAGCTAAAATGATAAGATATCAGTAATAAGTCTAGTAAGGTTTATTATATATCACTCACTTCTATACTAGTTGATCAACGTCCTTTACATCAGGGAAGCCGCTAAGTGCGGGCACTATTTCCTCTGATAGTAATATAACCTCGTTGTGAGTCTCCTGGCTTTCAATCGCCGTTTCACCTAGCGGGTCGAGGGGCAGATCCCTTGGCCTATGAAGGTATCGTGGCTGGGCGATGATCTATGGCGAAAGGTGTAGCCTAGAATCATCAAGCGAATGTTTCGACGTGTACTGTAACCCTGGTGGATGACTTAAATATGTAGTAGAAAGCTGCTCAAAAGGAGACCCGTATATGTTGAAGAAATACTAAGGAAAATAAGGTCCATGTGTGCTGATATGATGCCCCTCTTACTTAAATTCATGACTCTCTAGCTGACCATACAAGTCAGATATTGCCATTTGGGAATTCATGAAACATACGTCATTCCATTCACTGTGTCTTACAAAGCTGCTCATGCTTGATGCCTGGCTTGATTATTGACCAACTAACGCTGATTTGCCAGAAAGAATGAATAAGAAGAATGCCAGCCTATAGCGGGGCTCCGATGGTGGTGATATTGATGGCGGCAGGAAGAGGCTCCTACACAGCAAGCAAGTATCACAAAGGATTGAAAACTAAGTCTTGAAACGAAATTTTGTAAAAACACGCATCAAGAAACTGGGCAACTAATCAATTTAAAAGACCACAATGATCAAATGATCGACTAGAAATTTGCAGTAATATTGAGCACTAAAGTTTTACTCAAGGTTAAGGCGCAGAGGGGTAGGGGAAATCGAACAGGAACACATTGTCCGCGAAAATTGACCGAATTTGTCAAGTCATACAAAAGCATACGATACTTGTGGTGATACAACCATGGAACAACTTTGCTTGAAGAAGAATAGAAAATGAGAGAAGGCTCAAGCTATTCTTAGAAGGCGATTGAGGATAGCGGCGTTACGTATCTATGATTCGGGTGTTACTTTTTTTTCCGGTGACTCTTGTGTCATAAGATCTATATAAATAAATTGGCACAGCTTGCTTGTCTCGCTGAGTCTTAGGTTAGCGATTAGAGGCGTTTATAGCCCATTCTAGCAGTATAGTCGGGACTCCCATCGACACATATTGTGCTTAATGCCCTATGTCTATTGAGCTTAGCTTATCTTGGTTAGAAACCTCCAAAAAAAAACAAGACAAGACATATAAGACCTACAGAGTTTTAGATATATTCCTGCGCTTAGACGAGATGATCTTTCTACATAAATATGTCAATAATTATCACAATAAGGCGTGCGGATTTATATACCTGAGTGTTGCGGCGCCATAGGCGATAGTAGAATACACATAGAGCAAGCACAAACCAACTAAAAAGGAAGGACGCACTAGCTAATTGTATAGGTCCCATGTCAAAGAGAAAATGGATTGATATCTTTCATGGTCAGGATTCATAGGAAATTAACTCTTTAATATATCCATGATAGGATACATGAACTAAAGTCTTTCTAGTTAAGTCTCTAGCCATGCACTTTTCTCAGTGTCCAAATTGCTCATAAGATGACATTAAAGGTCCTCCCTATTATTCTAATAAAGCATGCGGTTGACTAATATACGTATCTCGCTAGGGGGCAATATATCCATCATCAAAAGACTATATAGCACGACCATACCTTCTAACCCTATGTCAGTAACACTTGACTCTATGAGACCTTTGATGAATTTTGGAGGCGTATATCCTATACTCTTCAATAGAATATCAGATAGTAGACGAGTAGTGATAGGTCTATTATGTATATATAGCGCTATAGAGACGATGTAAGTAGTGATATCGCTATGTTCAATGAAGAACTGAGGGTTTCTTATTCCACTATCTAAATATTTAGTTTATTGAATTTATATCAAGCTAGAAACGATATACAGAATTGGCTTATAAGATATAATAATTTTTTAGCGATAGGTTCTATGATAAGGTATTATCTGTGCAACTTTGGGAAAAAGAAATGTATATAGGCAATTAGTTTTGGTGACTATATACTTTATAGATTTCTGGGGTTCCTTCCTATTGATAAGAATAAGATTTCTGTAAAGGCGAAACACCGAAGCATTTCTGTGCACCGACTCTAGCTAAATATGTAATATACTCACAAGTCATCTATCAATGGCTGCTATAGGTTAATCAAATTTCTACCTCGCTAAGCACTCCCTTGAGGTGAGCTCTATCAAGCGATTAATATAGAGTGCTTTATATACGATCGATGAGACGATAGCAGCCGTTGTCTTCGATCAGAATAAAAGAATTGTAGCAGGCTCTCATACCAAGCACACAAGTGCTTTTCTCTTGAATAGACAAAAACTCGTGGGCTTGGGGTCTGTGGCAGCATGGCTACTATTCTAGAGTTCATGCACAAAATATTTTAGGGAGTAAGAACTTCATTCTGATCACTTCGTTACTATACCAATCTCCCTTATACGTCCCATCCAATCACGAGCATTCAAAACAGCTAGCTCAGGGTTTTCTTTATAATCCATCAGATAATTATTGATTTGCACTGCAGTCAGGTCACTGGCGACCACAATATTTACAAATTCGTCACAAAGTTCTGATTTGCTTTTCTCCCATGTCTCGTCATTTACCGAACCCTTTTCGATAGGACTTTTGTCAAAAAACAAATGAAAGAGCTCCTTGATGCTTTCAGTATTCACGAAACCAAAGTGATATCTCTTATCTACCCGACCAGGCCGGATCAAGGCCGCATCAAGCTTTTCGAGATGATTGGTGGTCATGATCAGAATACGGCCCTCCTGTGCGGCGACACCATCAAGACAGTTCAAAAGAGCTAAGAGGGATATACCAGTACGGTGAAGTGTTTTTGAGTCTCCCACTTGGCTAGAATTTTCAGAATTCCCCCGTCGCTTATCGCCCTCTTGGTCAATCCCAGCTCTGTCCATGTCCTCAAGCAGCATAATACAACGTTTTGGAAGTTTTTGGAATAAGCCAACCAAGCTATCCTCATCAAGATTTTGGGAGTTCAAGCTGACTATATAGATATCAAGCCAAAGGTACCCCGCAAGTGCAAAGCACATACTTGACTTGCCAGTTCCAGGAGGACCATAGAGAAGATAACCTCGGCGGTATAGAATACCACGAGTCTCATACCAGAGTTTTGCTCGTGGGCTTAAGAAATATTCTATATCATTCAACATATCGACCTTGATCTCTAGAGGTAAGGCCAGAGTTGATAATGGACGAGGAGGCTTTGACACGGTCGGAGTCCAACTGATTGTGTTTTTCTGGTTAAATCCGCGAAAGATTGTGATTTTATGCTGGTAACGCTGAATTGAGGTATATTGTACTTCTTTCAAAAGTTCAAGGAGAACTTTTCTGCTCCAAAAAAACGAGTAGATCGTAAAGGCTTCTAGATTTGCGAACCAATTGTTTTGCTTCTCGTGTGGATCACGATAGAGGCCCAAAAGGCATCTTCGGTATAGGAACCAATGAAGCTTTCTTTGAGAAGGAGTACAACGAATCTTCATAGAAGCCGGGTAAATATAGAAAGACCTGGAAAAAATGACTCAAAGGCAACAGGTAGCACCTCAAGGATATTGTTATACATATTGCGGGGATTTCGTGTGTAAGTTCAGGCAGACGATAGGAAAGGGAGTTGGCCTTTTATAATGGTCCATTATTATATACCCAAGCCTGATTCTGCTCATGTATATGTAGCAATTTTACCCATTTTTCGGATCATAAGAAAAGTTCATCGTGGAACGGAACTTATATCACATTATTTGTTTTTTATAATATGATTCCGTATTTTTTAACTTTTATTGTATCGGTTTCTATAGGCCTCTCAGCGGGCGCATCTCTTAAGTTGGAATCAAATGCAAAAGGGCTATTGTCGCGTATTGCTAGGTGTAAAAAAAAATAGACTGACTGGCTTAGGGCAAGCCAAAGAAAACCTTCTGAAAAAACAACATTCAACATCATATCAGTGGCAGGAAGCGCGCTGCGAATATATTCTACGATCACTTTCTCTCCTTCTCAGTAGATTGAGTTCTAGAATACCCTGATTCAAGTTCAAATCGCGATTAAAGATCAGATATTTATCCTTTTCGATGCCGTATTTCCGTTTTAACGCAGTCCCGCCCTTCTTTTCCCACAAAAAACTCTTTGCAGACCCAATCTTATAACGAAGTATTAACAGATAGAGCTGGGACGACGCTTTCTCAAAAACAATAGAATCACCATAAATGTAGCCTTTTCGATTTAACACGGAACCTCATATGGACGGATCGCGGGGTACAGGCTAATTCAGCAATTTCGCTGAGAAGCCAGATATTCAAGGTTGTTCCCTGCAGCTGAGCCATAAATTGGGTCTTCATTGTCAGTGTTTCCATAACCCCACTATAGGCTATGATCTTATTGCTTACAAGCTTTCCTCCAATTGTGATAGCAAACTTCTAAGGCAACGCGCGAAGTTAGTCTCAGATATACCTTCTTAAAGGCCTGCTAGCGAGAGGGGGTGGGTTTCCCTGACGGATACGGGATGGTCTTTCGTGAAGAAAAAAGAACTTATAATGGCCGGGTCATATTTTGTGGCGCTGCTTTGATTGCTGTCTAGGTGGCGTCGTCTTGGCGCAGATATATGGGACTCTGGGTCGCCAGATCTGGTTAGATCATGAGGAGAGAGGGGATTATAGGATCAGCAGTCAACCACAACAATTTTAGGGCAAGAAGCCGGTGCGCAGAGCTGAATAGGTATTTGGACAGAGGGGCTAGAGAGAATTGCTGATGAGAAGATATGGGATAGATACCTACACAAAAAGACTAACCACTTTGTCGATGTGAACTGGGATACCAGAGTGTACGATATATATAGCTCGAATGTCCGATTCTGGAGAAACAGCAACGGAAATAGTGGAAGAATCAATTGAGAACAATGAGTTAACAGAGCTTAGGGAGGAAGGGATAGTGATAGAATCGACGGAGGCACAGATTGTGGTGAAATTCAATATCACATCGGGACTTCTAGGACAGTTCTAATCAGTGTGACTAGGTAAGGAGAAGGGGACGGGCATGGCAAAGATTCTAAATAAATCAAGACACAGGGAACACAACACAGTGGCTAGGCACTAGGCCTGCCGGGGTCACCTCGCGCTAAAATAATATATTGAGAATGACGCTTATTACCGACGAGGACGAATGTACATGGATGGCATCACGACCATCTCAAAATGAGATAGTAGACCTGGTAGTCCTAGTGATGTAGGAACCTGGTGACTCGGGGAGCCAGGGTGAAAAAAGGGGACTCTCTGCGCCCGTAGGGACTACGGGAAACCATCTACATAGCGTAGATGGGCCACATTGAATTTCTTTTATCGTATTTGTATTACTAGCCGGTTTATGGCCTGAATAGTAATTTCCTTGCATACTGTTGGGGGGCTTCAAGCCAGTCTACCAACCAAAACTAACCACAGAGACCTACCATGAGATTGAAAGCTGAAATGAGAAATACGGAAGGAAACACTGTATAGGCTTCAAGGAGACATGGCGTATAACCAAAAATACATGTACTGGTAGATTAGTGATAGTTGCCCTTTCGGCTCAGCCGCCGGACGTTAATGAATTGTGTGTGTGTGTGTGTGTTTTGGGGGGGGAGTAGATACAGCACAGCTAAGGGCATACTCCACTTCAAGTTCTCTCTTAAAAACCTTTTGAACCAAATGACAGGGGTTCTTGAATTCTATACTTCGGTCATCGTTCATCTTAGAACTGGCGAATGCATCCGATACCAAATATCCGAGGAAAGCTGGTTTGGTATAGGGTTTTCTATAATTTTGTACGCAAATATTGAAGGGGACTTTGATACGCATACTGTGGTATTCTGTTTTGATATATTGAAAGTGAGATAAGGACCAGGAGTTGATAAAAAAAGGTAAGCCCTCACTTTACACAACACACAATTTGTTCTAGCCTCATAAGAGCATCACTTAAAGAAATGCGGGATTCGATGGCTACCTTTGTCAGATCGCCAGCAACCGATTGTAGGTTTCCATCTCCACCATTGCCGCTTTTTTCAGCAAATATTGAAAGTATTCTTCCATACGCCCATGAATCTATAGCAACCCGTGCCTCAAAAGGAGCATCGGCAGGAGTTATCTCATCATTCTGTTGAATAAGGATTTGCATCTCCGGGGAGAGCCATTCCCACACATAACCCCCTGTCCCACTGATATCGATGAGAATAGCATTTTTGCTGTCATCGAACATAATGTTTAAAGGCTTGATATCAAGATGAGTTCGGCCTCTACTATGCAGTAAGTTTAATGCTCTTCCGATCTGTAGAGCCCACTGCACTAGTAACGCGTTTTGAACCGTAGCCTCCTTGATGATTTGCTCCAGCGACCCCCCGGAATAGTATTCCAGAAGAAATCCTGTAATCACCGCGGGTATATCGGTTGACGGGTCTGTCTTGTATAGGTTCTCCGATACAACTAGGCCAACTAGTTGTGCGATATTTGGTTGTCCGCGGAGTTCTGCAAGGGCGTCGATCTCGTCCAATATGGAATTCGTATCTCCTGGCTCATAAATAGGGCGGTCGATTGTTTTATACGCAAATTTTTGTTGATTGGAGAAGACCGTAAAGATTGCCGGAGCGATTGACTGAAAATTCTGCAGACAACTAGCCTAGAATATTGGATAGTGTTGATCTCGGTCGAAAGTCGGATACATAACTCTGTTTGGATCTTCCGTGATTTTGCAGCAGATTTGATGGGTGATATCAATAAAATAGTTTGGTACGGCTTGATGCACATCGCGAAGTATGATTGAATTTTCTCTTGGCCCGGTCAAGCTCAAAGTAAGCATTGTCACGGTATCCTCCAAAAGCTGTAGCTGACCGAAATCAACCGCTTCAATAAAACTTCGGAATATACACCTGCGTTTGAAATAACCAAGGTGTTGTATTGACTCCGGTAAAGACCAGTCCACGACAATTTTGATCCACCATGAAGAGCAGTTATTGCGGAGTATCAGAGTCTATGAGGGACGGTCGCCATTCCAGTCTTGATATGATTTGAATTCCAATAAGGATAGGGACTTTTCGATCATTTCGCTTGGTTCTCAAGATTCGAGAATCTGCTTTTGCCAAAAGGAAGAAAAACTTACGTGAAAAAATCGTTGGGGAAGGGGGGAGGAAGGGGTACTTGTATCGGTGCCCGTGTCACGTGTTGTCCACAAAGATATTTATTGATCTTCTTTAATGAGGGTAATAGTATTTTAATGAAATTTGAATTATGCAATACCGGCAGGGACACTATAGAAGGTTCCTGGCAGAGAGGATAGCTTCCTGTAGACAGAGTAATCCAAAGATATCTACAAGAGATAGGCTCAGTGGATGCGCAGAGGGTGGAGGCAGACTGAATGATATTTTTTGTTCTATTCTAACAATCCAACAAACTATATGAAATTTAATTGAAGCTCCAAGCATGTATCCTTACGTTAAGGTCAAGTGACGGTCTGACTACTCACAAGATCAAATAAGCCCAGGGTCTAGTTGACCTAATGTTACGGATAACCTAGTTAGTTAGTTAACAACTAGTAGATTATATATGCGGATAGCGCTTCCCGGTACTAATCAAGAGGTACACTACAACTAACATTCCGCTGGTCTATAGGAGCGTTTCAATATAATCATATTCCTATATCGTCATGCAACACCCTCCTTTCAGAATCTCGATTGTAGTCCGAAGTCCGCCATTTGCTTATAACTATAGACTGTTAGAATATAAGGATAAAACATTTCAAGACAACTCGCCTGATCCTTCTGGTTTGTTCGCAATGTCTGTGGCAGAAAGATCCTGTTGAGGGTCGGATGTTTCCATTAGGGGTTATTTAGAAACCTATTGAGTCCGCCATTCACCGTCGAACCTGTAGGCTATGAGGAAATGAGACCTTATGTAATATCTGGATAACGGCTCACCTGGTCCTTCTCTTTTACCTCCTTTTTTCTTATTATAGCCGTTCTGGGAGCAGAGTGTTCCTGTCGTAGATTGTGTGGTCCTAGTGGGATATTCACATATTTCGCCGGCTTTCGCTACTTCTTTGCACGGTTCTCCACTCAGTGTAGTCGTGTAATGACCACATCTGTAGACGCGAACAACAACATAGCACATATTGGTGGTGAAGAGAAATCGAGAGTTATTATTTGAAGGAATTGTATGGTTGATCGAAATTTGATATCAAGGTCAAGGCGGAACTGCTTTTATATGTCTAAGTAGTCTGATATAGACCGCTTTTAAACTGCTTGAGTTTGGAACTCTGGATCGCTAATTACAGACCTTTGAAGAGCCTCTAGACCCCACCACATACGCCGTAAGTCTGCGAGGCCTCAAATCGTATTAGTCGCACCTAATGGCCGAAAGCATACACAGTCTATCATATTACTACTGTCAATTAGGAGGGTCTACGTCCATCTCGTTGGAAACAGGCACCGGGAAAGCCTAGTTTGGTTATAGAGCTGGAGGAGATGGGAGTGTAATGACTGTAATTGACGCACACGTGGACTTAAAATGTTCAGTGATACTAACAAAGGAGACGAAATTATTTCGGATAATATGAGGCTGTGAGAACCACTGGTCGCCACCGCCCACCGGTATCTACTCTTTTGACAAGCCCAATTACCAGATAATACAAGGGTTTTTGTTCGATTAAAGGCTCTAGGCGTAAAAGAGTGAATCTCTTTACCGTAGCCTCTTCAGTATAGAGAGTAAAAAATATTCGAACGCTTCTAACTAACTTTGTTTGTACCGCGACCTAAGCCCAAGCCTACCTGCCTATCTCTAGTGGCTTTTCTTTTTTAAATGGCGTCTTCTTGGCAGTACGTCGTGGTGAAGATCAAAATAGATTTAGTTAGATTCGATTCAAGGAAACCAGGGGATCACAGAGTGAAAACCTGGAGCGACTAGAGATTTTGTCTAGCTGACCATATTAGTGTGACGGCTCCCACTTTTATTGATTCCTGATTTTAGATAGCATTGACTTGTGTATGTTTTGTTGCACAGAGTAGGTCAGGATATCACAAGTGTGGGCGGGAGAAAAGGACTTTGGGCAAGACAGTGTTGAAAAGAGGAGCGAGAGCCTTGTAGATAGGAAGATAGGGATCAGCATTGAGATATGATGAAAGTGCAGCCCAGGACTACTGGTATGGGAAATACAGTCTATTTGATATTATAATACCATTTCCCACGTGTAGGATCTTCATCTTCTAAACACCTAGGGCCCAAATTTCCATTTCCTTAAACCAATTGAGATATCCAGACCCTAGCCTCTCGAATTAAGTACTTGATGAGTGCGTCAGATCAGCTTCACTGTCGAAGGTTCTCAGAGATTATAGCGAGTGAGGAAGTTCCAGACTGTATGGTCACAAAGTCGTCGAAGATTATCTGAACTTGGTATCCGCAGATCTCTTCCTCTTGATCGAACATGGGTAAAATACGTTGTAATATACCCCTTCCTTGCAAGCCTACGAGATCCCCCCCCGACCTAAACATAATCCTGGACCATGAGAGTGATACGGGTCAAGAGCCCTTTATCTGTGAGTTGTTTCGATGTTCAGTATTAAGAGGTCATGCTATCGCGAAGCTTTCGTCCAAGTACACCTTCAAGAGTGAGCTTCGCTGATATATCCATCATTACATCGTAGACCGTAGTAGGCGTAGGGGTCATTGACCGGTACTTTTTTGCGTGCCGGAAGAGGATCACTTGGTTTTCTAATAGCTACTCAATTGTCTCGCTCATGGTTTTTGTTGCTGAAATGACATTAGTATAAGGACTTACACAGCGATCGCATGCTTGTTTTACTACACCTCTGTATGGTATTTGGGTCTGTGGGAAATTCTCTCTCATTTATAGTGGTATACCACTACGAGATACTTCCACTTTATAGTGTCGGTAATCAAATATTTTAGCTTAAGATCTGGAGTTATACTTGATCTTTTCTACTTAGGCTCTACCACGGCCTAACCTAAAGCCTTCCTAGTCCTTGACTTGCTTTCTCGGTTATAGCTTCTTGGCGCAGAACGCCATAATACAGATGAAATTTAATCTAACTAGATCTGGCGACCCGGAGTCCGGGGCGCTAGATCTAGCCAGGAAAATGCCCAGTAGCAAGTCCCACCAAGGACAGAGCGAGAAGCTAAATTATGTCTAGGTAGCGAAACAAGTTAGGATATCATAACCAAGAGTGGGAAAAGAATTCGTGGTTAAGGAAGTGAAGTGAAAGAGAGTGATATGGGATCAGCGTCGAAATGTGATGATTGTGCAGCTCAGAGCATGCCCAGCGCCACAGGCGCGTCGCACGGGCCCTTCCTGTTCTAACCACTCCCCCGCGTCCCAGGTGTTGAATGCTGCCGTCAGAGGGGCTTTCTCCTCGTAGTACTCAGTTCTTTCACTTTCATGTTCACTTTCACCAGCTTACCTAACTGCTAACTCATGGATCTCAATCGCGTGTTTCAATGCCGGGAAGACGGGCACGTTTATATTAAGCACTTAGAACTACGCATTCTCGAGCTTGAGAGTGCCTACTCGTCCGGTGATCCCAAGTCCTTAGGACGTTATCAGCAGACCAGTGGACACTATAGACCTTGCAAAGTCTGTGAGAACCCCAATATTTACCAACGTCTCGCTGCCCGAGATATCTCTGTTAATGGTATACAACTGGCCTCAGAAAGTTGTCACGACAATCTATCAAGTGAACATGATGTACCTCGGAGGACACACTCCTTTATCCCATACGATCCATTAGCTACAACGGTATCCTCAGTCGAAAAAGATGCTTCCACGATAACGAAACCTACACAAAAGAAAAAGGATCGTCTATCTTTGTTTACGTCCTCTGTTGGTAATTTACCAAAATCTTCTGCTTGGAAACACTGGACCTCAATCAATGAAACTTAACGCAAGAATATCCTCTCTAGCTTGGTGTCTGGATTACGGTTTATAAAAGACGATAGCTCCATCTTGTCCGAGCAACCTACCACTATGTCCATTCTGCTAAAATACGGCACATCCATGGAACCGGCGGAGATAAAGCGCTCCTCGGTAGAATCAGTGGCAAAACGTCCATTTATCCGCTTCCAGGAGCTTATCTTCTGCTCACTATATGCGGTCGCCTTGGAAATCACTTCGAAAGAGAATGTGTTTCGAGTCATGCGGTCGGTCTTCCACTGTGACGCTCAACCAAAGGCTCTCAGAGGGCGGATTCGTGGTGCTAAATGGGCAAACCGCGTCATATATCTTTTATCGCGCACTAGCTGGGGCTCTTGTAGCTGGGACGTCATCTACGTTGGTATGAAACATATTTCAGCTTTTCCTGGACAAGCTAACTTCTGATTTTGGCAGCTAGTAAGCAGGTCAACTTTTATAGCGAATTCAACGACTATTCGATCACGCCCGATGAGTTGATAAGTGGACTTAAGCCAGAGTCCATTCTAGAGGATATTCAACCGATATCAGTCCCACTTGCAATTCCTTCCATTATACGCAGAATCTTCAGAGATCTAGTACCGTATGCCACCCGCACAGAAAGTCATATCTTGTTTAACATTCCTGATTATAGACTCGAAAAGATTTACCAATGCCTAGGATATGAGCTTAGTGATTATAAAGAACTGGACCTTTCTGGTCTTGAAAAGCTTCTCGTCGTGCCAGCCAACATTGGTCCAAACGAGACCGAGCCAACCAGTGCCGGGCCAAAAGACACCACGCTAAGTATGAAACGGAAAGGCGTGCAAATAACCACTTTTCCAAAAAGGTAATATCGGGATATATCGTCTGGGTCGCCAGAAGGTAAAATGTCATCGAAAAATTTACGTTCCTCCGGGACTGATCTTTATAGGCGATTGTTTTGGAATATTAAATGGGTCACATTGGTCATTTCAGACCACACCTACTCTATCGGCATCAGTTTCATCTTCAGATTCCGTGATAGATGAACCATTCGACAAGCACTCAACAAGTACATCCAGTTCGGCGGAAACTTTACCAGGTATAGAAGAGATGACGGGTTCCAGGGTAGGCTATACAAAATCTAGCCCCCTGACTGGGAGTCACTCTTCACAACAGAGTACACTTCCTCGGTCACATGTTGATCTTTTGTTTCATCGAGGGGAGAGCATACCTAATACCGCGCTTCTAAGGGAAGCACGTAGCCGAACATCAACTGCGGTAACAATTTCCGATTTGGAATCAGAGACTCGGGCCGATCAACTTTCTACAACGAACCGTTGTTTCGCAATGACAGAGACTCTAAATTCCGAATATGATTCATCACCCAAGATGGCAACATCACCTACCAGCACATCTTTCATTCAGACATTTTCTTTCAATGATATCGCTCAGCAGCAAGGGGGCAGATCCGGGTTGTGCAGCTTACAAGTTAGTGTAGTGCAAGCCGATATTGAAGAAAGCGATTATCAGACAGAGCAAATCTACCCGAGCAACGTGTCTTGCAATATTAGGTGTGAGGGACACGAGGAGCATGTATCTCACACCTGCCCGTCACCACCGTCGACTGACTGGGCGCAACAATGCGGCGGGGATATCAATAATACACTACAGAAAGGGCCTCCGGCGAATGATTCTCAACTACCACTGTCGTCGACTGACTGGGCGCAACAATAATACTGGCAGGTTGATAATACACTGCAGCAAGGACTTCCGGCGAATGATTCTCAACTACCACTGTCGTCGACTGACTGGGCGCAACAATACAGCGGGGATACCAATAATACACTGCCTCCGGCGAATGATTCTCAACTACCACCGTCGTCGACTGACTGGGCGCAACAATACTACTGGCAGGTTGATAATACACTACAGCAAGGACTTCCGGCGAATGATTCTCAACTACCACTATCGTCGACTGACTGGGCGCAACAATACAGCGGGGATGCCAATAATACACTGCCTCCGGCGAATGATTCTCAACTACCACCGTCGTCGACTGACTGGGCGCAACAATACTACTGGCAGGTTGATAATACACTACAGCAAGGGCTTTCGGCGAACAATCCTCCAACACCGACGGATAGCCGGTGGCAACAATACACCTCCGACCTTCTGCAGCGAAATCTTTCGCTAACCAGTCACTCGCTACCACCGTCTTTAGGCTCAGGCCAGGAGGCCACTAAAACTATCTCGGGTAGTCCCTCGGAGATACGGTACCATTCATTGCTTCGTTCCTCACTTGTGCCTAGAGCCTATGATTCTCCTTGGGACTTAGAAAGTAGTCACCACGCCATTGAATTCTTTGATCCTATTCACCAGAATGCTTTTTATCCCCCGATCAGAACCCTTTCAGTAATGTGAGCCTTTGAGTGATATAAACTACAATACAGAATAATGATAAAGTTTGAACTTCCTCAAATCCATCCATTGCTTGGGCCACGTATATATATATCAGCGAGGCGCAAAAACCAGCGTAGTCGTACCCGCACCCACTACTGGGTCAACATTAACTTGTACGAACCATCCTTCCTTCAATAACCACCCGTTCACTTCGATTTCTTTTGGTATTGGAATCAGGTATGCCGAGTTTGGAAGATTTAGTTTTGTACGATCCTCCCAATATCTTAAGCGTCCTTCCCAATTCTAATCAGGTTAGTAAAATAGTCTGTCTTGAGAAGAAAATGATATTTGTACCTACCTCATCAATACCAAGGGCGTGTTTCATACGGGAAATCAACATCAAAAGTGTATCCCCGCCGTACTTCTTATTTCCTTTTTCATCCTCTTCAACTTTTGTGACTTGTGATAGTAATGATTTGATCTCTTTTCGAATCCCTTCGGCTGCATCGGCTACATCGTCCAACCGTCGAGGTTCCATCGAGTGGAAAGAATGGCTCTGAATCGAGCTCCTGATATTAAGATCAGTTTAAATCAATATGGCCGGGAATTAAAACTACCTTGCAAGGGGGAGGTAAGACTTTGTTGTCTTTACGCTGTTATTAAGAGGGGTAAATAAGTGATTATCACCACGGCTAAGGTTGGGCACTAAATCACATGACGCCGCAAAATCAACGTCCATCGGGCCGGTCCTCAGACCAAAAACGACGTCATAGCTCATTGTCTGAACCCTTACCAAAATTAAAATGATATAATCCAGTGGTGTTCGGACTGAGTCCAGTGAAGCGATAGTGTACCGTCAATGCAGCTATCAGGCGACTCGTATGTGATTCTCATGCTAACGCTCACCCTGTCATCAGTGGTATTAGGGGCGATGTGCCGATAAAGACAACATGAATCAATCCGTCTAGGGCATGTGGTGGTCAGTGTATCCCCTGACCAGTCACGAATCACACGAAGAGAAGGATAATGTGTCATCGAAATACAGTGCTATTTAATCTATATTTTGGCTTACATACCATACCAATTCATGAAAATTAGTACCATTGTGTCCTATAGCCAAAGAATGACGATATCGATAAATCTACTTCGACAATAGTTACACGTATGAAGTAACAAGTTATATTGCGCGTCCCCAAACAACACACACCCGGCTATTTAAAGTAAGCGATAATTTGTTCCATAAAAGAGTCAACGTATCTCTCACCTAGCGGATGAGTATTCTAAACACTGATAGGAGTGTGAATGCGGTGGTTGCCTTGGATATCGACTACGAAGGTTATAATAGAGCGACAATTACTGTATGGTGACCGGAATATGCAATAGTAGATAGCGTGGAGGAGTTTCGGGCGACCATAGTTACAGGTATAGGCTTATTCGGGGTGTGATATTCAATAATTGGGTACTAATTGTAAATAGCCCTTTCGGACAGACTCCGGACTTCCAAACGAAGGAATAGTGCTACAACTATCGCTTAGGGACTTCGCAATAGAGGAACTCGTATAAGGGCACTCAGATCTCGATCGTGAGATTCTTATTACATCGAAGCAGCTTTGTGACTTTCTCTTAAGCGCTAAAGTATAGTAGTAGGCGCAGACACAATAGCGGGGCTTGATCAATCGAATACAACTAGGCGCTTTAAAGAGACGTCGATCTTAAGCCCCTCCTAAACAACTAAGCTCGGAAGACGAAGGATCTATCGTGAGGAAAAGAGAATGTAAACGTGAGCGTTGAAGTAGCGACTATCGGCTAAACTCTTCGTCCACGGACTCAAAGGGTGGATTATCATAGATACATATTGCGCAAAATAAGAGGCTTAGCCGCCTTCCATTAAATAGGGGTAATTCCTAGTATATAGAAGTAATATACGAGTCTTTGCTTGCCTCTCCTTCTAACTAGATATAGATAAAATCCATAAGGTATTTAAAGATATATTTCTTAATTTATCAACTTCTTACTACAATACATAAGGCCTAAGATTTTGGTAACTATATTCTCACAAGAATTTAATACCAATTCCTAACGGGGAGCAATCAGAATAGCGGCTGCTTGTGGGCTTACATTTGGCTCATTGGTGATATAATACTATCCATTTACAGGGGTACTTGGTCTAATATTCTTCGCCCATTAGAATAAAGCTGCCAAAGCGTTCTTTGTCTAAAAATTAGAGCACCATCAAAAGGAGGAGAAGGGTCGAGACCATGATAGACGTGGATATTAAGGTCATTTCCAATCTTCTTATCAATATCAAAGTCGTTAATATCTCGACGGCGTGACAGACTTTGTAGCTTGGTGGAATGGCACCTAACGTGCAACCTAGCTCCTTTGTGAGACACTTTGTCCCTAACACCTTAAAATTTTATAAGTATTGCAATATTATTTTACATTGTGTGCCTCGTTGATGTTATCCCTAAATGTCTCGTTGATTACCCGTGACTACTACCATCTCGTATATTCGTTTATAGACACATCAAGGAACCCGTGAATCGTGAATGGATTAACAAAGTTACGTTTAGCAAGCACACCTTTATAGGTAGGTGAAGTAAACAATGGTATTTAAGATAACGGCAGAATATTGTTGTTTTGGAGGGCACGTGGAATAGCTTGAAGACACATAGTTAATAAGGTCCTTTAAATGTTGTGTTCTCAATCTATAATGTTTTTTTGCCTCTAGATCTTACCAGCAATATTACCCTTGATGGCGGCACAGAGGCCGCAGACATCGCAGGATATATCTTGCCAGACTGGGTTATGACCTAAGGTATGCTTGGCGTCAATCTGAGCGCCTCGTTCGGCGAGCATTCGCTTAGTCACGGATGATCTTCCTCTCATATTAACTAGTGTCCTTTCGTTTACTAAGTGGTTTATTAGGTAATCTCGGGAAAGTAGAGGATAGTTACAAGTAGTAGGAAGAGATAGATTAAACACACCTCTACACCTTTCTGAATTAACTTCTTGGGCTGCATGCCTGGATTCCTTTGTATGCAAAGTCGAGTATGAGACTGAACTGCTAGTGCTGAATCGACCTGTATACCTCAGAGCATATAGCCTTAAGCGTTCCCCTCTTCAATAGTCAATAGCTATTTGAAGCTGGATCGTCTTGCCACAATGAAAAAGATGGTAAGGTAGATTAGAAAGGCTATAGCGAGTAACAGGCGACAAAGCCAAAACAACGAATTGAACTAAAGACATAGGACCTCTTTTGGGGCTGTGTGCAGATGCCAAGGATCGAAACGTTTCAGCTTCAACATGTGATCCAATCATATCACGCTCCATGTCACTGTTGGACCTCGGGAGGTCAGTGCGGGTGTCACCCTACCGAGGGTGATCCTCATCCGCTTGTCACCCCGGTTCTCACCCTATCTATAGCGCACTCACCCTATCTCACCCTGGTCGCGCGACCGTAAAGCAGCACTCACCAATTTCTCACCCCGGCGACACCCACCCGACTATTGACCGCACATAAGCCACACGCCGGTGAGTTAGTAGTTGGGTGGGTGACCACCAGCGAATCCTCACTGTTGTATGTTTTTGTTTTAAAAAAATTATTTTGGTTCATTTGGAAAGTTCCTTTTTGCCGCCCCCCTCTCAGTCCCTTCAGCCCATTCACCTAAATGCCCTGAATACCACTATTCTAGACCTGGATATCCTGCACACCCCTGATCCGCTGACGTGTCCTTCCCTTCCCCTCTCCCTCTAAGCTGATTTCGGAAAGAGAATCCCCTTCCGGGTGTTCCCGGCCATCCCGCGGCGCAAAACTGTAGCTTTACTTCTTGGATCAAAAGTAGGACAGAACTAGTATTACGCTGGCTAAGTCAAAACACGTCGAGCGGAAGTACATGTTTTTCGGTGATGAGAGCTCATAAAGAGGTATTTGAAAACAAATTACCCCCTGGACACACTCGTTTTCTTTCTCAAAGACTTAGTAATGGGCTAGGTTGAAATCGCCAAGGGTTTAAAATACAACACGGCCAATCATATATCTATATCGCCTCCAAAAGGAAACAATGTCTACTGGTTTATAGCTTAGCGTTGCTATAGTGGGGCTATGAATGCGCATTTGAGGTAACCTGAAAACTCCCATTTCCACATTAACTTGGGATCAGCAGCCGCTTGCTCCCTGATTGGTGGGCCAACAGCTAAGATACCTTCCTTCTATTTGAAGTTGCATGGGATCCATTGGTTACTAGCAATGCACGTAAGAGTTCGCGGCCTTTTGTTACAGGGATGAACTGCACGCGCGCGAGCCAACTCGTGGGGGCTAAAAGTGGCCCAAGGGACCTACAAATATATGGAACGGATTATAGCATCGGTTCGCTACGCGAAATTACCAAATTAAATATGGCTGTCCGTTTTGATTATCTTAAGAAGGACCCAAGTTCAAGTGAAGCCCTAGGCCTAAGGTAGCCGAATATTGTGATCCGCGACTAAAATAGCGCCAACCGAGGACGCAGCATCGTGGATGAAGGGGGAGGGGCGGGGCACCAGTGTTACAAGTACTGGAAATAGGCGCCAGGGGATGCTAGCCTTATCACAAAGATTTCCCCTTATAGACCACAGGATCCCAAGAACGTAGTTGACAAGAGACTCAACCGATTTCAATTAAAATGAGTATCCCTTCATCGGGAGGCACCTTCTATACTGCCTCTGGGTCAGAAAGAATACTCACACCCACCTCGTCTCACGACGGCAGTGGCAGTGAGAGAAGTTTTCCAATTCGGCAAGCCTCGAGCGAACTCAGAAACTTGCCCATAGCTCAACCACCGATAAGTCTCTTTCAAAACCTGCAACCAGATCAAACATCGTCGATCACTACCCCTCGACGAAGCTCACCAAATTCACGATTGAGTCCCGGTCGGTCGCCATCCACGTATGCCGATCAACACAATGCCTCCCCAAGTCCAAGGCCGAGACGCATACACCCTTGCCGTCCGAGCCGAAGTACCGGAGAAAACGCCTCTCGGTCATTAAGTACCAGCCAACTCGGTAGTGGATTGAGTAGCTCAAGCCTACAATCTGTAGCTGCTTCTGTGCATACCGGAGACGTACAAGTTCCCAGAACCTTTCCAGCAAGTAGTGGCAGTACTTCAGCGGTTACTCAACCTCATGAGAATGATGACGAGGACGAGATGATATCCAATGATATCCGGGACGAATCTCTTCCCCCAGCCCCAATCTACAATGCTAGGCTTCAGGATGGATTGAAAGCGGTTAAGGGCCACCTGGCCAGTCTTGCCAGCGCAATGCGTCTTTCAGAATTGACACAACATCAATCGACGAGCTTGTACACTCTGTATAAGCGTACTGAAGAGATGAGCAGATTCCAGTATCCGGTCACACGTACTGTGGGCTTTATTGGAGACTCTGGAGTTGGTATGGAAATTTTCAGGCATTCTCATATTTGGGTTCCTTCTCTGATGTTGTTACAGGCAAGAGTTCGCTGATCAACTCACTACTTGACCTGAAGATAGCACGATCCGTATGTGAATGCTCTCATTTCGGTTGTTCGTTTATCCTGAAATTCCTTTCACTGACACCTAATTTCAGAGCAGAGAGGGATCTGCCTGCACCTGTGTGGTGACGGAATTCCGACACACCAATCAAGACCATACCGGTCCATTTAGCATCGAAGCAGAGTTCATGAACAAAGAGGAAAGAGGAAACTTACTTGCGCATCTCCTGCTAGACTTCCGAAAATACTATGTTAGTTCCATCTACAGGGAACTTCAGACAATCGAGGAACAACGAAAATGCCAAGATGCAGCTGTTAAATCATGGGAAACACTTCACTCGCTTTTCAAGACTCAGCCAAGACTTACAATTGAGTTCTTATCAGATGAGTCTGAGGATGCACACTCTGAGATCCTTGCGCTCCTGGAAGGCTGGGCATACGCCGGCTTAATAAACCGACAAGGTGGGTCTGATGCGCTCGAATACTCAGTCATTGCCGGTGACGTTGAAGAATGTAAATCTATTCTCGACCATCTCGCTGCTGATAACCCGGAGGGCGGTGGCCCTGCATTATGGCCTTTTATAAAGTTGATTAGGTTCGTTGAGCATTGTCTTCTACAACGAGCTTTGATCTGATGCTTTTGCAGGGTATATCTCAGTTCACCTATTTTAAGGACTGGATTGGTTTTGACTGATCTGCCTGGTATGTGTTGAATCTATATAGAGGTTCACACATTGGCCTTGACTAATGCGTTACAGGACTCCGAGATCTCAATTTTGCAAGAGTGCGAGCAACTGAGAGATACCTTGCTCATCAATGTGATGAGGTTTTTATTGTGGCAAATATCTCTCGAGCTAGGACTGACGAATCTGTTGGCGACATCATGAGAAGATGTAGACAGAGTCAGCCTCGAAGAATTATTTGCACAAACTCAGAGGTGTGTATAGTTGTTCTAAGCTCACCCATTTATTCCTGCACAAGTCCTTCTGACTGTATCTATAGGATGTTTCACCAGAAGAGGTCTCCCGTGAGCAAGGGCCAGACGGCCGACGCGTCCGGGGAATGAACAAAGAGCTCGAGACGGTCAATGCCCAAAAGACGAAGGCTAAGTCGCAAAGAATAAAATCAAAGGGAGATGATCGGCTCCAATGGTCACTGAAGGAGTCGGAACTCAGGTGACTATCGCTTTCCCTCATTTCCATGACCTATGTTGACTCCAGGACAGTGACCAGGTAGACGAATTGGACTTTGAGTAAGTCAATGCCTTGATCATGAATCATACCAACTTTGACACTAACTTGCAACGCAGAATTAGGCGCTTCCTCATCAACCGGCGAAACCTCAACGTTTCACGCGAGCTTCGCAGGAAATATGACGACATCCAGGTATTCTGTATCAGCAACACACTCTACTCTGAGCATCAGAACAGCGACCCAATCCAGGCAGATAGGTATCTCGAGCTGACTGGTATACGAGAACTGCGCCGCTATTGCCAGCTAGTCCCGGCTGAAGCTCAAATGCGCGCAACAACAGCATTCCTAGAAGATGAAGTCCCGGCAATGGTGGGCTCAATTCGTCAATGGGCGCTTTCTGGTACAGACTCGGTCACTGCAGAAAAGGCTGCCCAACTTCGCCGTGTTCTGAGGGATTCTGAAGATGCTCTTCGTCGGGTATGCCTAGAAACAAGAATGCTTTGAGTGACTCGGGCTTGTTTTTCTGATATTCAACAGGATTTTCAATCGTCTGAAGACCATGTAGCTTGCATGTTTCGAGACTTGAGAGAGCGTTTTGACAATTCTATTATCTTCTGTATCGGTGAGCAGAATCACCTCGCCTTACCTTCGCTAGCTCTGACATCTTCATAAAACAGATACGTCTCGAGCTCAGTGGAAACAAGAAAGCCTCAACGTCAGTCAGCGCTGGGTAAACGTAATTCTCACCTTTTGACAGATATTTTGAAAAATATGTCGCACATTACTGAATGATCTTTTAGTGGCACTTCAGCTCGTACGCTGCATTCTGTCGACACTATGGTACGTGGAGCACGGGAGCACAAGGAAAAGAGCGGCCCTGGAATGAGCAATTCATGCAGCGAACTCGTGAAGCATTGGATCCCGCATGGGAAGACATAATGGATTGGCTGGAGCCAGGAATTAAAATTTTGACTGATGGGGTTGACATGTCATTTCAACTACTACGTTTCGAGATCCAAGGCAAGTCGTTATTCTCTTTTGAAAACACTCATTTTTCAAGGTTTCGTTCTAATATTCCATATATTTACAGAGCATCAGCATCTTGCACCCCACGCGCTGCAAAACATCATTGTCAACATGGGACATAGACGAGAGAATATTAATACACACATCAAGAATGAGATGAGAAACCTCATCCTAAAGACACAGTATGGCAAACCTCACCTGAAGATAGAGTGAAGCAACGGCTCTAACAATCTCTCAGAATTACCAAGCGGGACATGCTAGAGCATCACACTGATTCATTTATCTCGATGCTCATGGAGCCATGTTATAATAATTGTAACAGTGAGGGAGGTACGCGAAAATTCATCTTGGTAACATCATCTTTAGTTATTAACCCTATATCAGGACCAGGTTCTGACAAACGACGAAAGAGTCACATGGAAGACCACTTGAGAAACTCCAGGTTATTTTCCAAATACTCTACACATGCCAAGAATGTCTACGGTGGAATCATGGCCGAAAGCCTCAAATCACTACAAGAAAAAATTGATAACCAGATAGAAGGCATGATTTTAGACTTCCACGCCGTGGTAGTCAATGAAGGAGAAATACCCGAGGCGGAGCGCGCACCTTCACTGGCGAATGAACTGAGATCCCTCATACAGAGTGGACAGGCTACCATTGATGATACCAAGGGGCTCGCCCAACAGCTCAATGGGCGCAGTGACTGAATAGCGGTCCTTTTTTTTTTAACGGAAACTAGAGTTGCTTGGGGGAAATGCAGGTCAGACAAGCTTTCATATTATAACTCGGCGAAATAGATTCTGATTGAATCCAGTTTTAGGCTTCATGTGCGTGTAACTTAAAGACAGCCCATGATAGAGGAAGTTGTGCAGCTAGAGCCACTAGTCGCCTTCGAACAGCCAGCAGGACAAGGATACTCCGAGTCATACTGCCACAAGAAATAAGGATCGGTCTCGTTAACAAGAAACTACCCATAAGCCGCGACTGAGTCGGCAGATAATTCAAAGCCTGAATGATACCATGGACGAGATACGGACATGCCCACAGCCCTTTTGGATGAGTGTGTCCATTGAGGATCCGTAGATGGATATCTGAATCCGGCCCATCGGATTGTGAGGCGCACTTGTCATTGTTAACCATGAGCCAGCGAGGTATGTCTCACAATGTGACGATTTTTGTGTCCCATTTACCATCGTCAAATCAGTAAAAGCAGCCGGTGCCTCCGATGCCGTCATGCGGTATTTTACATTTGGGTCTGTTCATAAGGCGGTGAGCAGCGATTTCCCATATACAATTCCCTCTCCCACATTATCTCCTGTTCTTTGCAATTGCAGTGAATTTGTTGGATCAGCCTTGTAACGACGGATTTCTCGTCTTTCCACTCTCGTTAACCGAGCTTTGTGCGCGGAGTCGGATCCTTATCGAGCGGCCACAAGCCTGCGGAAAGAAATCGACAATATTGTCATGGCTGACTGCACGTATCTGACTGGAAATTATTCTACTGTCACATTTAAAGGGGATAGCTCTGTGAAAGAGGCTTGTCTTTACGCAATGCGCGACACAATCAATGGTGGCGTGCCTGGCATTGCTCGCTGAAGGACCATCGCTGGAAACATCTATGTTAATGTTTCCATCATTCCGGAAGATGTTACTATTCCGCCACAAGACTTGTTGAACGGAGAATTTCGTCTCTTGGAGAATTCTTTGGCTGATGTGTTAAACGGCTTACACAAGGTGTTGTCAGCCCAGACAAAATTGCCTTCATGGAGAAAATTGCCTTCATGGAGATGTGCTTGCTGCGACAATACTTGGCCTAATATATTTTCAGACTGAAACCTGAATTTGAACATGAGTGTCACACAAAATAACCGACTTCGCCTTCCATGCTTAGTAGGAGAGAGATGCTGCTTCAAGCCCTAATCACATGACTATCTCATACAGCTAACCTTGGGGTAAATTTTCAAACCTGTGATTATTGTAATATAATGTATCATTACTGATCCAAGAAATACCTCGCCATGTCGTCGTCCCAATACAAGCATCCAGATGCAAGCAAAAGGTTTTCGCCCTCTCTCCTCCCTCTTCTCTTTCAACCCTTGCAAAAATGGCGCGAAATTCTAGTCCCTGCAGCGTAAGATGGTTGTACACATGATAAGCGGCAGTAACAAGCTCCCTACCTCACAAATGGCCAAGCTGGTAAACTGTAGTGAGCGTTACATTGCTAACGTACGCAAGAATATGCGGTTATTATTAGGTAATAACAAGTGGTAACTAATATGCGGTGATCTTAACGAAACATATTGGTCTGCAGCTTTGCAGTCATGGCGCTTGTGGTGGTGATGTACCGGGTCCTCAACACGATTGAATGCACTGAAATTCTCATGGAGGCGCGCCACCGACAGTTGGTCTATTTCTCGCTGCTAATGCCTTTCGCAGCATCTGCTCCATTGTTTTTAGACCCCCAACTTCTGCTATATCAAGCGGCGTGCATGCGTCGAAGGAATGAACACCAGCATCAACACCAGCATCTAAGAGAGTCCGGACGGTGTTTTCATGTTCGTTGTCAACCGCCCAATGCAGAGCCGTCCAGCCATTACAATCCTGAAGATTCCTTATTCCACTATCTCCCAAAAGAATCTTGGCAATTTCGTCCTCGCCCACATGAGCAGCAAGATGCAATGCCGTCTTTCCCTTATTGAGCTGCACACGCATTCGGTCCGCAGGCTAACCGCGATGTTCTTAGAAGTCCCTACACCAGAGTTGGGTCATAAGTACCGTCAGGTCATTTAGCGATAGTCCGTCGTTGTCCATCTCGGCGAACGGCAGTTTCAGCATGGGCTTCAGCTCTTATAGAATCCACTAGAGATTAGAACTCCTTCCGCGAAGAACTATAGCTATCATACCTCTCTGATCGTTATAGATGTCTCTTTAGGGAATTTGTGCCCACGATAAAAAGCCATACCTGCCTCGAAATTTCCCCGAAATCCGTCCACGGTTGAGACAGTCGGCTTTGACCTGATTCGACCTTTCATTCCACGCGCCGCAAACTCCATAAACGCCTTAAAGGTTTGAATATCGGGCGGATTCACCGCCTTCGGGTGTAGTGGGAGGAATCTGACAGAAGCAATTAGAGACCTAGAAAAGTGGCTGCTTAAAGACGAAGCGTTCTTAAGAGGCACCCTCTTATCATAGATATAAAGTGCACGCCTTTTCTTCTTTAGTTCTCGGAAGAACGGCACATGAGATTTCGGAGTTGTCATGGTTATCCAAATCCACGACGAAAGTGAAGTTGGCGGTTTGGTCCTTGCTCTTAGTCATTATGAGGGTGAATATTGATCGTTGGGTCAGAGGGACGAGATGTGAGGGGAGGCTAGTGGGAGACCGCTGCTAGACGCTCCCAGCGCGTGCTTATAATTCCTCCACCGTCGCCCCTCATGTCAGCCGTTCGCGAAATCTTTCCCTATGCCAAAATGTGCAAAAGCGCCTTTTGCCAGCCCGCCCTTCACTCTGGTCGGTTTTCGGGTGAAAAATATTCAGGTGGGTGAACTGCCGCCTGAAGCGGCCTAAAGGCCACCTGGATAAAGCGGCGAGTCGCCCAGCGCCGAACGATGGGCGCTAGGTGAACACGGCCATACTTTTGGCTGTTGTATGTTTTTTTGTTTTTTTGTTTCATTGCGGAATCCCTCACGCCGCTCTACTCTTTAGTCTATTCAGCCCGTTCACATGCACGCCCTGAAAACCACTCATTATCTCGCACTTGAACATCTTGCAACCTCCTGAGGTGCTGATGTGCCCTTCCCCTCCCGTACTGATATCTTTTTCTCACAGCGTGTTGTTGTTGCAGTCGCAACTCTTTGGTCTGGTCTTGGCTACAATATTTCTCGGGAAGTGGTACTGTTATTAACATTGGAAAATGGAACGATTGATTTATAAATTCCAGACCTGATCATTTTTCTGTAAATTTGGTCTACCAAAGAAAGAGCCGACCGCGAAGTCATTATTCCCATGCAGTATCCTTACCACGAGATATGCCATTGAAGCCCAATGTTAGATCGTAGCTTTGAGATAGCTTACACGGAGTTCTAGATGTACATAGTCATATTTATATATACCTTAGCTAGTAGTATTTATACACTCGATAACCGTTATCTATTCTTAATTTCTAGGCTATAAAAGTGCTCGCCGACCGTTGTATTCGCTTCTCGAAATTACTCTTATAGTAGTAGTTAAGCCTATAGCGAAACCGGTCTTATTAAAGTTATAAATATCGTCCGGGACGATCCTAAATTATAGGATAGTTTTTTAAACGAGATTAAACCACTCCCTAATAATTTTCGGGTCTTTACATTTCGCGTGCTTATTATTATAACATTTCGAGAATTGAGAGGTAAGAAGAGGGCGTCTTTTAATAAACTTCGTAACCCAATTTTCGCCGACCGAAAGAACCGGGGTAGTTCCACGTTATTCGAGGAGATTCGCTATTTCTCGAACTATAGAAGGCCGGGGGGCTACTCCAGGAGAATCTATAGAGAGAATCCATTTTTAAATAGATTCCTCTTTAATTTATGTTAGTTTATATAAATTAGCGCGAGAAATCGCGCGGTTTTGAATACCGCGTAGGCGGCGGCTCAGCGTAGTGCCGGGCACATTAAAACGACGTGCTACCTCACGAAGTGAAGAGGTCTCCTGATTCTTAAAAGCCTAGATAGCTAACACGATCCTACCCTCTTGCTCTATTGAATTTCTAGAGGATTGGGAGCGAATTGGTGGTATGGTGGGTGGTTGAAGAAGAAAGGGTTAAATTAATCAGCGAATTTTGGTGGGGTGCACCACTCGGTAGTGAGATACATAAACCCGAATATTCATAATGGATTCTCCTACTAACGTTGATTACATTAATGCTAGATAGAGAGTTGACATTTCCTAACCGCGGGAAGAAAAGGTGCATTTCCCCTCCCACGCTACCTGTGGGGGCTGGAAATTACCCCTGCTGGGGCTCATTTTCACACGAGCGACCAGAGACTCACATCGAGTTCGAGATATCATAGGACACGGGCATTCCGATGATATGCCTGTGCTCCGCTTCACCCCACTTTGAGTTGGTGAGAATGTATGAACTAGCATGGATGTCAAGTAGCTGCATCATTGGCGGCTATGCACTGGACCATTTTTAGCACAACGACGGCTCAAAAAGCGCAATGTTCCCCATGGCTTCGAATTTTCCAAAATTGCGGTTTCGTATATCCCGAAGTTGTAGCGCTTTTGACCAAAGTTTGTTTTCCCCCGAATATCCTTATCGCGATGGAGCAATCATCTAGAAAGAAGAAGCTCTCCAAGCAGGAGGAACGGGAATTGATTGATAAATACAAAATCAAGTTTGAGGGGCCCGTTTCTCCGGCTAGTTGGCCGGAACAAAATTCAGCCATATTCACCAGCATCCGCAAAATGGAAGACATTAAATACGACACCTACCTGGGGCAAATCCAAGCCAATACTCCGGAGGGCACACAAAGGGCGAAAATGGTGAACAAGGCTAACTGTCTTGTTTCTGCTGCATATGATTGCCGTGTTATTGAAGCCAACGAGGTTACTTGGAGGTCCAAGACAGAGTTCCCTCTACTAGCCCGTTTCGAGGAAGACATAGAGTGGTAGGTGAAACATCGAAAACGCAACCTTGGATCGATTCTGATTTTGATTCAGCCGGAGATGTCAACAGCCACGACGGGTTCCCGATTCCTGTGCGTTGCCGATGATGCCAAATGGGGAACAGAAAGTTCGAACAGCGCAGGGAGGGGTGGGTATTTGTCGGTGCATCGAAAGCGATATCGATGGACATGAGGTAAATGGATAAAATTCAAACTCCCAGAAGATCAGATAGTTAACATTGTTTGCTTGCTAGTCCGTCCTCAATAATGCAATATTTGCCGGACAGGCGCACGCAGGTATCAACGATCTTTCCGTTCCTGAGATCGGAACCAAGTTCCCCGATATGGTCATCGGGCTTCAGAGATCACCAACACTCAGCGCTGCCCTCCAAGGCCATTCAAGGCTAGTTTCCAGTCCAGTAAAGGATGCAAAGCATATTTTGTTTCCTTTTCTGATTCTCGAAGCCAAGTCTGAGATTCAAACGCCTGGGTTTACGGCTATCGAGAAGCAGACTGCGTTCCCCATAAAAAGACTTGTCGATATTCAAAAGTCTCTGAGAAAAAGAAGGCAAGAGCCAGAGGAAAACAGCTTAGTTTGGTTCTTGGCTTTCAGTGGGGATGAATGGAGAGTCTATGCGTGTGTTCCAATAGGAGATGAAACAGTAAGATTCTTCGAAGAGGCCAAAATCCCTGACTGACACAAAGGCAGCGTATAATCGACCTTTGGCACGGATGCATCCAGAGACATGATTCTGCGCTGCAACTGTGTTTGATTGTCGACTTTATTTGTGACTGGGCTTTGAATACCCATCGAAATGAGATAATTAGATTGCTTTCTGGTAAAATGAACACAACAATCAGCAATTCTCTGCCTACTTTGCATGAACGTGATACCCCAAAACTGCAGCCTGAGTATTCCAGCCCGCCGAAGCGACAATCCGTCATTCGAGACACAAATGAGGTTTTCTTTTCATTCCGCCATTTGACACTCCCTGATGAGACCGAAAAGCTGATTGCGATTCTCAATCCACCTGGCTCGGAGGGTAATGAAGTCAATCAGAAAGCTATCAGACTTTTGACTATCTTCAATCTAGAGCATCCGCTCTTGGTTACGGCGAAATTTATTTGTCGTCTACAGAAGCTTTGGACCGGTACAACGAGCAATCATCCAATTCTTGACAGCGATCAGTCTGTTTGTGCTCACATTTCCTTCCAATCATACTTTCGACCAAGCGACTTCCATATAGTACGAAAAATCTCGTGCTTCACGGCATCATTCAGTGCAATAAATACTCTGCAGCGTCTGGCTGGAACTAAGCTTCCTTTGTCGTCTGTCTATGCAGATCTAAACCAGGATAAATTCCTTCCTTTGGCTGAACTATCTGGCGTGCATTCATTGAGAGCTGCTGCTAGAAACTTACAACTCACACTATGGGTAACTCAAGGGGATTTCATTGTGCAGCCATCCTGTAAATGGGTGCAGCAAGTCTCTCATGGAGAATTTGTGTCAAGCATCTGGGACAAACTAGAAACCTGTTCTCCTGGGGTTCTTCGGTTTCCTATATCCACGCACTCGAGTGAACTACGCAGAATGCCGGCTACCAATAAATCCCTGTCTTCTGACCTGCAAGACTGTCTCAAAGAGGGAAAGTATCAGCTCCTTCACGGAGCCGCTCTTTTCAAGACACCTGAGAGCTCACTCCAGCCGCGCAACCCCCAGTATTGCTTGGCCGTATTTGATGGCTCCGATTTGGACGATCGGCCGTGTCTTGGCTTTAAGTTATTGCACTTGATTACAACCGGCGGTTTGTTTGAGGGGAAACGCCTGTCAACTGCGACTACGAAAGACCGCCAATTCATCCACGACTGGGCTACTCGCCTAAGGCGCGGTGATTCTTGAGTGCCAATTGTGGTTCGCAGGCTAGAAAGCACTGTTATGTTGTATAACATTGGTTCAAAGCTCCTTTCTCAATTTTATTTAAAATGCTTCCACACGAGGACGTTACTTTGTACTACATTAAGCGTTCCACATTGGGCATCACTTTTGATTAATTCCTTTCTGCTATCATCCTCTACATCTTCCAGTAGACCTTCTACTATTGTCGATGAAGATAGAAACGACGACGAAGGGGCCTTCGAAGCAGTATATGAGATGCTAACCTTTGCTCCGTTCTCCAATGTACATCCTATCTTGCGTCCATTCTGATTTAAATTTTCGAATGCCGCATGATCACTTACCTATATCCATGAAAGACCTAGGTAGGCTATTCCTTGCTTTACACTCAGTTCGGAGTAGTGCTTATGGTTAACATCTATAGCCTTGCTGAGATCTAGGGCTTTATTCACACCAATAATATATCTGTGGAGACATCACCTACCGGGACAATCATCTCTATCGAGAGACCAAAAGATGCTGAGTAGGTGGATTCTCTAGTCGAATACGCACGCACAAGTCGCTCCAACCGCTGACATGTATCTGTGGCTGAATTAATTTACCAAATGCCTTTGAGTCCCTGCCGCAGTGACTGACGCCGGGTCAATAGAACACTTTATTGGCCTACATACTCAGCTGCGATTATCTCCGTAATTTGTACCCAGTAAGATGGTAGACAAGCAGGATCGTCCTTGATAACACGGCGGTGTCCTCGGCTTTTGCCTCGGTTGAATTAGTGAAATATAGAAATTTGATTGGATGTCGGAGCCAATGTAATATAGAATGAAAGCTTGAAACCAAAGAGTTTGTATATATGTCCCAATCCGTATCATCACATATGTTGCATGACAGTTACCGCAACTGACTGATCTGCCAGAAAAACCTGTCCCGAGGTTATAGGGAAATCACCGCGCGCGTAAGAAATGGGTGACCAAGGTCAACGAGGGTAAGGATAGCCCGCGCGAATCACGCGACACACTTAGCATTGCTTTCGATTTATCATCATTGAACTCTAAAAACAAGATCAAACAACCCACAGAGGCTTCCGACGAAGGCAAATATACTATTAAAGCCTCAGTTCCATCTCCCGCTTTAAACGTCCTCTGTGCCGGAATTTCCAAACAAGAACTCGAGCCAATAGTCTACGCCTCATGGCCAGGAGGCTCGAAGTTCAATTCCACAAGCTGGGGCAGATTCCCACCAGACAACATTCTTCGTTCCCCCTCATAGTTCAACAGAACGGTGGTAGACGATATCCTCCAATTCGGCCCAAAGTAAGGCCAACTTCCACCCATTTTCGGAAAGTACCCTAAGCCATACAACACAATCATCAACTCGACAACGATATGGCCTTTAGATGCCATTTATCTTTTAGGAGCTTTTCAAGCTAGCGAATTCTAATTTTATCAGAGGTCTATCTGTTAGGACTAACCTCAAATCGCTAATCCTCCTTAAACTAGGATTTAATAAAGACTTTGCCTTTAAAAATCATATATAGCGGGAGGGCTGTCATTTAGTGCATTGATCTACAGTCCTTCAGCTTCGCATTTGCGAAGAATCCTCGGTGACCAGGTCACTCGGAGCTATCAATGATGATAGCATCGGACTCAGGCTGTCCGACAAGCTCAATAGGCGGATGTACTGGCCCAGCTGGTCCAGCCGGTTCAGCCGGTAGATTTGCTTCTAGAAAGGCCCGGATCGCAACCAACGGGACTCCATGCCTCATGGCCGTAGAATCGTCCCACGAGGAATGCAGTCCGACGAGAGTCCCATCCGATGACCTTAGCAGCGGTGCCCCGGAGTGGCCCCAGTACGTCCAGGCATCATGTTTGAGAACGCCAATTTCGGAGTTGTCGTGTGGATCCACGTTGGGGATTAGTCCACATAGTCGACCCTCGGATACCTCGATCAAGTCGTATGCCGTCTTGCGGGGCATACTGGACTCCAGATCGTCAGCGCCGGGTTGTCCGATACAAAATATCGACTCTGTGGGGTCCTGTATTGTTGCGGGAAAGATATAACTGAAGACCGGGCATTGCATGTCGGTATCACCCGGCTGGGGCTGCTCCATCTCAACGTGGATGATCTTGGCCAGCGCGAGATCGCGTCGTGGGTCCCAGACGCGACATTCCACTTGCACCGCCAGCCCTGTGTAGTATAACAGCCATTTCCGTCGGTATGTTTGCCATTCTTGTCGCGTTTCACCGAAACAGTGTGCGCAAGTGAGGATCCAGCCTCTTGCGTCGATACACACTGCTGTACCTGCCTCGGCTTGACTGAATATCAACGTGGATTTCAGAGCACGTACTGCCTGCGGACTTGTTTCACGGGCCAAGGCAACTGTGGATGGGATTGAACTCCGCAGTCGTTGCTGCTTTTGTCGTAGAGTCTGAAGCTCGGCACTATTGAGACCAGGTAGTGATTCGTTGAAGATGATCCTTGGTTCGCTCAGAGTGAAATTTGGGACGAAGTGGATAGGTGAGTGGCTGTTTGTTGTTAGTTCCGATGATGTAGCGTGCGAACGCAGCCGACGAGGCATAATTGAAATCCCGAGTTCATCGAGGTGTTTCTCCAAGATTGTTGGAAGTAAGCTTGACAGGAATAGTTTCAATATTATGTAAGCTCGTCAACAGGGGACTGATCCACTGGCATGTCGAAGCATTTTGCCATGTTGGCTGGGTTGGGTATATTATATTGTGTACGTTGCTGGACAGCAAATCGTACTCTTTTTGTTTGGCGATGAATCGTAGAGCTCTTATCTAGGGTATCGCCTCTGTTGTGTATGTAGTCACTATCACTAGGATCGTTATTATTATCGCTGCTGATCTCGTACGAGACCTCGCTCTGACGATGCCGTTTGGGTGACTTGCGCGCTGCTGAATCCAGCCTGTAGATTCTGGAGCTTGAGAGCGCGAGTTGATGATGACGATTGATGGAGGCTCTAATGGAGAGAATCTGACATCTCTTGCTGGAAAACTGTGTTGTGAGCGCCTATTGTATGAGATGAAAGAGGCGGCTCGAGTTAAGTTACTATCTCCGACCGCTTAAGAGTATACTAGTAGTTTATCTCGCTATTTTTTGAACTAACTTGTGCTGGTCCGAATTGACCTTGCCAACTCCCACCATTTGGTCCCATAGGACCACTCACATGGGACTAAATGGGAGCCTGAAAAGTTCGACCCCTATCCGAAGCCAAGTGGGCTTTCGTCCCAGACCTATAGCCCATCGGTGGGCCCAAGGACGGGTCCCGAAACCCATCCCATCAACGGGTCAGGCTTTGGGCTTTGCGGAGATCTAGGCCGCATGTTCTTTTGATCACGACTCCCTTCTGATCACTTCTACCAGTTGATACATGCCCCCTAGATCAAATTATAATAGGAAAAAAAAGGAGGACCACCTAGGAGAATCACATTTGATTATGAATGTAAATTCGGTAGAGGTCATCCCCCCACTACTAACTCACTAGCGATATGTTTCTATGCGGTCAATTACTCATTGGTGTCGCTCAACCGAGAACTGGGTAAGCGCCGTGCTGAGGTCAAACGGCTGGGAGTGAGAAGGGTAAGTATGCCTCCATATGTCTTCAATTCAGTCCCTTCTATGTACTCAGTCTATTTTCCTCAACATGATTCCATCTTAACTGTCACATAATTTTGATCATGATATCGAGCCATTGCTCACTTTCCAATACAAACCCAGTATCCCAGCCACAATGACTTGCAATCGCTTCCAACACTCGGATTCCACGAAACGAACTGACTGAGTGAGATACCAGCTGCAGATGCAATAGTACCACACTGATCCCCAGAAACAACCTTGTGGAACTTCTTACAAGAGGCTGTCATTGACGGCTGGATCGGAGTGGGCGTAGTGATTCCATTGCCGGCAGTGGTAGTAGTTGCTTTCGTGGTAGTGGTGGTGGTAATGGGGTTAACACCCACGATCTTCACACACACGTAATAGCCGTTCCAAAGTGTCTCGCAACCCTTGCCCACAGCGGGGTTCCAAGTGTAGAACTGCGAGAGGCTGATACCGCTATTGCGTGCGATTGCGTTGCACTGGTCGTTCTCAACGACTAGGTGGAATTTGTCGCAGGTGCCCACCATACCATCTTGGATAGGGGTTGGAGTGGTAATGCCGTTCGCTGGCTTTGTTGTAGTGGTGGTAGTCTTGGTTGTGGTGGTTGCAGTCCCGATGCGTGATACACAGACATAGTAGCCAAGCCATAAGGTGGAGCAACTGTTTCCTACTCCTGGGTTCAATGTGTAGAATTGGGCGGGTGTGATGCCGTTTGCTTTGGCAATTGAGTCACAGCCGTCGCCATCGGATACCATGTAGAATTTGTTGCAGTCGGCAATCATGCCAGGCTGGATGGGCTGTGGCGTGGTGACGCCATTGGTCGGCGCTGTTGCAGTGGTTGTGGTAGTCTTGGTAGTGGTCGGGCTAGGGCTCCAGCCGGTCACACCGGTGCAAATCTGCTCGAATGGTTAGCATTACTTCGTGCAAATTGCATTTATCGATCTTACATATGTGTCTACCCAGAGAGACTGGCACTGGGATCCAATGGCGGGGTTCCATGCAACAAGGTTGGCCAAGGTCAGGCCTGGATACTTGGCTACATAGACGTTGCATGTGTCTCCGGATTGAACCAGATCCCATTTGTTGCAGTTGGCCACTTGTCCTGACTGGGTAGGTCCCGGAGCACCACCAGTTGTCGTGGTGCTGGAAGTGGTGGTGCTCGAAGTGGTACTCGAAGTGGTGGCTTTCGAGGTAGTGGCACTTAAAGTCGTCGTGACTTTAGTAGTAGTTGTGCCAGTACCAGGAGCTGGTTCTCCGAATGCTTCGACACAGTAAGACTTGCCGGAAACATATCCTGCGCAGTCGCTGCCGACGGATGGGTTCTGGAGAGGTCAGTTATTAGAAAAAGGTAGTTTATGGGAAGCAACATACCCATCGGACAAAGTCAGCCATTGAGATAGCCCAATAGGCCGGAATGTCAGAGCACTTGGTTGAACCATCATCGTCTACCCACCATGTGCAGTATGGAGTAGTGTTTGCATCATAGGGAAGTTGGGGAGTTTCGTCGCGGCGGACGAGATTTGGCCTGGCAAAGGCTGTTGACAAAGTCAAGCCCGTGGCCAGAAGATACAAGGTAGAGGAAAGCATAATGTTTGATGCTCTGAGTGAGTATCCTGTAGAGAAATTTTCTGTCCTGGCCGCCTGCTGTGATTTATATTTACATAGACAACGCTTATGGATATCGCCGTCGTCCAAGTCTTACGGCTGAACAATCGATTAGTTTCCTTTAATGAGGTTAGTACTGCTAATTACAGAGCTTAGATGTCTTTGGTGTATGGAGTATGGACTAAGGAATTGAGATAACGAGGAAGAAAGTGAGACTCGACATCTCCCCCGGCGCTAATAGGGACGATGTAACCGTCCTTCGAGCAAAGGATCCCGCCTTTTGCCAAGAAAAATACGGAGGTTAGATGAGCCGAGAGATTATACGAGAAACAAGACAGCGCCACTATGCCAAGCCCTGCGATGCCAGAAAATGGCTTAGCGACCCCTGGCCACCGGGTCTGTGGGTGAAGTCTTATTCACTACCTCGGGATTCCGGAAACTTACGCTGTGACCCTGACAAAGCTTTTATCAAATGACAATTGTTCGGCCCGTTCCGCATGTACGCTCCGCATCTCCCTTACAGAAGTGGAAGAAATGCCGATCGTATAATTTTTCACTAGCCTAGGGGTTTAAATTACATTGTCCTTTTGCAGGATTTTAGATGCAGCCAGCATGTTTTGCCGAATCTCCGATGGCACATCCGCCTGATTCACTAGGAGAGCCTCACCGGCTGTTTGGCCACCAATGCGGATGGAAGAATCAGCCCCTTGACTTGCTAAGTACTCAAGATACTTGGCCTGAGTATCGAGTTTCTCCCTCCAGCGAGAAGAGTGCAATTTTCCTTCCAATTCCAACACTGCTTTGTTAAATGCTTCGCATACCGCGTGCATCGCCGTTGGTCCGTCCCTGGCCCCCATGCGGGTATTGATGTTGGCCCCCGACGCCAAAAGCCTCTCAATCGTGGCGCGGCCGATTTTTTCCAAGGGTTTATCCCATATGCACAAGCCTTTTTGTAGGATGTACTGGCTCAATAGTATGGTAGGGTCCACTTTCAAATCCTCTAAGACATAGGTCAAGAGACCTTGCCATGCTACTGAAACTTGGACTGGTGGATCCCCAAGAGCCGAAACTTCCGACTCGAAGGAGGCGAGGGACTCAGCAAGTGTGCCAACACTGACCGCGTGCCGGAGCAGATATTGCACAGCCAGGAGAAGACCTGGACTCGTGGTCGATTTGATGAGTCCCCACTTGTCCAAGATTAATTCCAAGCACATCGGAGAAGGGCTCCAATAGCACCGCATCCAAGGCGCACTGTGTACTCGCTCAAGGCTCCCACAATCTGGAATGGGGATGGGCTGTTGAAGGAGTGCCCCTCGGCTAGCCAGGAATACGAGTCCATCGACTGGGCGCAAGGCATGCGTCGGGTCGTCCCAGTTGTGAATCGAATCAATAAAGACAAACGCAGGACTCATGTATCGATACTCTTTACAACCCTGGTAGGTCTTTTTGCATAATTGCGGCGTTAGATGATTGATATCTGAGCCATGGTGTAAGCATCGCTCGATCACAGTTGTCCCCTGGCTTGGCATGCATGCTGCAGCGGCCATGATGGGAATATGCCAAGGCTGAAGCACAGGACGAGTAACATGGGGTCCATGAATGATTCCTCCGTTCTCAATTAGAAGATCCAGAACCTCAGTGTGGGACTTCAAAATTGCCACAGTCAAGGGAGTCACGAGCCGATGACCATAGAAGGAAAATATCTCATTGGGGTTGCCACCGCGGTCCAGTAAAAGTCGCACCGGACCTAGCGGAGAGGCGGATGCTGACTGCGAGATTACCCCTAGCAAAGGAATGGTAGAAGGGGGATAGTGTCGATAGTGCCCCACACGAAGCTGGCGGTCGAGGCCGGCATCCAGGTAGAGGCGCAGCAGAGCCCAATCATCTGCGGGGCTGCAGATGGGGCTGACAAAATGCCGGATGGCCCCCCCTGTCCAGATCAGGATGATCAAGCCGTGCGCCAATATCAATCAGGCACCGAAAAGCTTCAACTTGCTTCTTAGTGGCTGCCAGATGTAACGTGGATGTTTTGATGCGACACCCCGAAGAATTAGTGCTCACGTAAACCACGCTAGGGGATGCACCTAAGGAGACTAGGCGACCAATGGCTTGGGAATTCCCATGCGAGCACGCCCATCCCATTGCGAGGTCCATGACATGTTCTCTGCGATAGAAGATTGGGTCAAGCTGGTGGTATAGCCGTCTGTTTGTGGCCAATAAAGATGCCAAATCACGATCTTCCAAATGCGATATGATCGCATCTAGAATCTCGGCGGGAAGCGTCGGTAGCCGTCCATGCTTATCCATGATATCTGGAATGAATAACGGAAATAGATAGGCAGTGAAAGAAAAATGGCCAGATAACATTAGAAGGATCGCTTGATCATGTGGTAATATAGTCGGACATGACCTAACCTCATCGGACTAACTCCCCTACTCCTATAACCGAACCCCGTATATTTCCTTGAAAAAATAAAACTCAGAATGATCAGCTTGATAATTAAAATGATTACCAAAAATTAGTTTCAATCTAGATACATCCGCTGCGCGCCACATTCATTGCCTTTTTGGCCCCCGTCAAGGCCCTTACGTGATCCTTGACTAAATCTGTTTCCTGAAGTTCATTGTAAACATCCGTGAGCAGAGTGAGAGCCTGTTCTTTTGTCAATCCCAGGTCTCCAATGGATGCTAATTTGGTGGCTGTAGCATCCTTGTCATAAACCTTGTAAGGCTCTCCCCACACCACCTCGCTTTTGTCAAGCATCCTGGTTTCAACGACGATGAGCTTTTTCTTCGCCTTGTCGGTATATTTGCCTTTGAGAGCTGACTTGATGGCTCCTGGCTCTTGCATTCGGAGTTCCTTTTCCCGATATGCGTAGGACATCTTAGAGGATTCCACCGCATGTTCATTCCAAGTCTTGAACAATGCCTTCAGCTCATCACTCAGCTTATCGTCACCCGTGAGCTTAGCAACTCGATCAAACTCTTCCTTGGCCTTCCAGTAGCGTGTCCCAAACTCCTCGCCCACTTTGTCGAAATAATTTGCTGCTGTACCCCCCTCAACGAGATTCGCAACGTTCAGATCCCCGGAGTATCCCCATTTTGGAACATTTGTGGTTTTGCCATTGTCTAGATTCATTCGCAGGTTCATGATGCCGTCACGCATCTTTTCTGGGCTGTAGTTGAGGAGAGTGTTCTTGTTCTTGTCGATGACTGTCCCCATATATGTCTTTGTGATATCGGGCCTCTTGTCCATTTCATGGGTTGTCGCTGAGATTTCAGTTTCATGCCAAAGATGATCACAGAACTCCATGAAAGTACAGCGATTTGGCTGGTCACGTAGCCCTTTCCGGCTCCCCTCGCAGCCTGTTGCGACAGTCCGCTTGCTTGCGTCCTCAAAAATCTCTTCTGCCACATAGGTCGAGAAGTAAAAGGCACTGTTAACATGTAGTTAGTAGCTAATAGACCATTTACACGGGTTTGGACTTGCCGTTCCGAAGCACCTCTGATGCCTCTTGCAGAGGCCCCTGCAATGAGAGCAGACGCAGTCACAATATGAGACAGTTTCATCGTGGGTACTCACGCAAGTCTTCCGGAAAGGCAGATTGAATACGAATCCCAATTGGAGTAGGAGACCACGGCCATATAGACCTCATCCACGCCAGCCGCTATCAATTGCCAAGCTTGTCGGATTTGAGATTCTCGCCCCTGAAGCCACAATGCTACATTACTTACTCCTTAATTTCATCTTGTGCATTAGATCCATCCACAGAAACTACGTTGAGTTTAGGCTTTGCTCGGCCTGTCTTACTCTCAGCCGCTCCGCCCCCAGGCTAACCCTAATTGCAATTTTCTTGGCTGCAGTCTTGTCCGAGAGAAGACGATGTAACCTCGATACGAGATCGGGATTATTCATGATTCCGGTAATCTGAAAAAACTGCCGACAATGGAAAAAGACATAGCGTCTCGCCGCTTCCTACTCATGCCGACTCAATGAGCCATAAAGGTCTTGTTCGGCCACTGTCATACGATCACGCCCGAAAACCCCTTCACACTCGTTACGAAGCAATCACTACTTTCGTTCTTGTCCCTCTTTTGCCTCTTTTTATGGTTCCCAATATCTATCAAGTCTTTTATTGAATCTTCTTTCTTTTCAGCGAACCACATTCATTTATTACATTTAGTTTCTTATCATGAGAGCCCTATTGCTTCGACAGCCTGTGTTGGCTCTAGCAGTATGGATCAACCTCTTGATCTTTGTTCATGCCGCTCAGGATATCAATGGAAAGGCTGTTCTCAGACTTGGAGATGTCGTCCCAGTCGATACTCCAGGCAGCTACTACTCGGAGCTTCATCCCTGTCCAGCCGCTTGTCTGGATAACAAGCCAAATAACTGGACTGTTTACTCTTCGATTGATCGTCTGAATCTCTGCAATCAACCTATGCTGTTTGAGATGGGAATTCACAAGCCTGTCGGCAAAGGGAATGGCGTCAGATTACATGCATGCACAGTTGGTGACAGCCGCAATGCCAACACCACTGTGAACGCACTCTTTGAAGCTTCTAGTGAAGCCAAGAACTTGACCAAGCGCGCAGAGTCCAACTGCGTAGCTGCTACTGCTGCCACCAAGATTGCCCTCGATTATGGAGAGCAGGGCACGAGCGATGCTTTTGTTGATGATGCGGTGGTGGCTTTGGAGAGCCTGCAGGCTTACTTGGAAGACGACTCAAATTGTGACTCCTCCATTTCGTTTGCATACTCCAATGGCACAGTAGCTGGCATCTACATGGGCTCTTCATTCGACAAACGCACAGTCAAGCCCGTGGTCTCCCAGCTCATTGATCACATCAAGACGTTCAATCAAGCAGGCTCCATGACTGTTCAATTGTGCGGCGAAGATCGCAACTCTAATCATGTTCTGGGTCTTGCTCTCGATACAACAGGAGACATTGCCACAGTGCAGAGCGCCATTCGCTCTTGGTCCAACGGAGAATGTGCCAGCGAACTGAAAAAATCTTCTGTCTGGGAAGACGTGCATATTTGGGAATCTACCGCAGATTTGAAGCCAATCAGCCAAGCAGCTGAGCGCGGTCTGGAAGCACGAGCAGAATGCACGACAATCCGAGTGGCCGCAAATGAATACTGCCCTGCCCTGGCTAAACGATGTGGAGTCAGCCTAGCCGACTTCCAAAAGTATAACCCCGGCAAAACCTTCTGTAATACTCTTCAAGAAGGCCAGCCCGTCTGTTGTACGTCTGGCACGTTGCCTGATATCACCCCAAAGCCAGAGGCAGACGGAACTTGCAACACTTACACTGTCCAGCTTGGTGATAATTGTTCGAAACTTGCGGCAACATATGGGTTGACCGAAAAGAAGATTGACGAGTTCAACAATGGCACTACATGGGGTTGGAACGGATGTGGAGACCTCGACGCTTATATCAACATTTGTCTCAGTAAAGGAAAGCCCCCCCATGCCGGCTCCAATCGCCAACGCGCTGTGTGGGCCGACCAAGCCCGGGTCTAAGAAGCCTACCGATGATACCGAACTTGCAGATTTGAACCCATGCCCGCTGAATGTGTGCTGCAACATATGGGGCCAGTGTGGTATCAATCAGGAATTCTGTCTCAAGGAGCCTGGGCCTTCCAAGAACCCAGGAACTTCGCTACACCAGAACGGTTGTGTGTCCTCCTGTGGAACAAAAATCACCAACAAAGGAACTGCTCCAGCACAGTATGGTCGAGTTGGCTATTATGAAACTTGGAACTTTGATCGAGAGTGTCTGAATCTTCGTGCCCAAAATGCCAATACCGATGGTAGCTACACGCATATGCACTGGGCGTTTGCTGGAGTCAACAAGGCTGACTGGACAGTCAAGATCAATGACTCGTTTGGTCAATGGGATGACTTCAAGGATCTTGGTCTCAAGCGAATTATTTCATTCGGTGGCTGGGGATACTCAACAGAGCCGGAGACATATAATATCCTGCGAGAGGCGATGGCGACCCCCGACGCTCGCAATACCTTCGCCACCAATGTTGCCAAATTTGTGAAGGATGAGGGTCTCGATGGTGTGGACTTTGATTGGGAATACCCAGGGGTATGCAGACATTTTATCCACGACAATCTACATCGAAGCAACTAATATATTTTACAGGCTATAGATATTGACGGCACTCCTCCGGGTCTTGCGACAGACGGTCCCAATTATCTCAAATTTTTGACCACTATGCGCTCCAAATTAGGAACAGGAAGTAGTTTGTCTATTGCTGCTCCAGCTTCCTACTGGTATCTTAAATCATTCCCCATCAACAACATGGCCAAGCAGCTTGACTACATTGTTTACATGACTTACGACTTGCACGGTATGTCAGAACTTCTCTTCGGTCAAGAAGCAGGGCTAACCTATGCAGGACAATGGGATGCTGGTAATCAGTGGGCCACAGAGGGTTGCGCGGAAGGAAATTGTCTTCGTAGTCATGGTATGCCTCCGATGGATTTTGACACAACTGACGTAGCAAATTTCTGACCTTACTCTGCAGTGAATCTCACCGAGACTGAGTACGCACTTTCCATGAGTGAGTTAACCTGTAGCGAGTGTGAATTCTTCCCATTCTAATCACTCGAATAGTCACCAAGGCGGGTGTCTCGACAAACAAAATTTTTGTGGGCGAGTCAAGCTACGGCCGTTCATTCAAAATGTCAGAGAAGGGCTGCACGGGACCCGACTGCAAGTTCGAGGGCACACGATACGACTCCAAAGCAAAGAAAGGTGTCTGTACAGACACCGCTGGTTATATTTCTAATGCTGAGATTGGTCGGATCAAGAACTTAAACCCTAACGTTAAAACTTGGCATGACGGTGACTCAAACAGTGACATAATGGTCTACGATGGTACGTTTTTCGTCGTGGTTAATTTTGCCCTTACTAAACAGGTTAGATACTGAATGGGTCGCCTACATGGCCCCGGCCACCAAGAACAGCCGTCGATCTTACTGGCAAGGAATGAACTTTGCCGGTACCATTGACTGGGCAGTCGATCTGCAGGAGTACACAGACGATGATTTCGCAGGCCCCGATGGCGATAGTATGGACGATGGCTTCCCAATGCCGGACTTACCTGAATGCAAAGGCTCATACGACTCTCTGGATGCCATTGAAGACGATATGGGCAAAATACCCAAAGGCTGCTTGTCCCAATACATACTGAAGGTCCTGAAAGACACTCTCGATGATGCCTTGAAACGTTACGACGACATGATAGCAGACGACTATGACAAAGACTTCGACTACTACGCCCAAGCCGTGGTCGACAGTGGACGGGACCAGGTCGAAAGCTTCATGTACCAGAATGGATCAAACTACTTCACCTGCATTGTGACCGAGATGGTTCCCGATTGTGGCTTCTGCAAGAACCAGTGGGGGAAAGACAGCGACGTCTACTGTCGTTACTGTGAGGATTACGACAATGGCTGGGACCCAATTTGCGACCAGCCCGAGGTTAACTGTGAGGGTGTCGAGAACAGGTACAAGAACGTGACGGAGCCATGTCCGCCAGACTATTCATTGCGCGCGCAGACACCTCCACAAGATTCGCGCTGGTCTCAGTCGGTGTACTGGCATCTGGTGGCCTCCAAGGCCAAGAGTTTCTGGGCAGACTTATACACCACGAAAGGCATAGCCCAGGAGAATATCAGATGGGACAATGTCCATCATTGGGAGTGTGCACCTTCCGATAAAACATGTGGAAACCGAGACTGGGATTATAACTTCCCTGTACCCGACGGTTATGACAAGGACGACGTTCTCAACCCGAAAGACGTTGTATCTGACGCTCACAAGAATGTCACACTTCTCAGCACTGAGATGTCCAGGGCTCTTGATCTTATGACCAAGGGGTCTTTCTCACTTGATGCGGATGATTTAGTAGACGCATTGTCGCTTCCAATCTCAATGATCGCGGATGCTGTTGATAGCATGGAGAAGGTCAAGGAGATTGGAGAGAAAATTGAAGAGACCAAGCGGCAAGCAATTCTCATGGCTTTCCTGACTGCCATCTTCTTCTTTATCCCAGTGGTTGGTGAAGTTGCTGGTGCTGTCAGTTCCATGGCAGCCATTGGCCGAATTGTCGCACTGTTGGGAGAAGTTGGTAATGTCGCTCTAGACATTTATACCATCGTTGACGACCCCAAGAACGCACCACTGGCTATCTTTGGACTTATCCTCTCCCCATTGGCTCTTACCGATGCAGTGGCCATCGGCCGCGCCGCCAGTGCTCGTCGTTCCATGTCTGCGGACGATGTAGCTAAGCTGGGCGAAGGTCTGAACGCCAGGCTGAGCAAAATCAGCAACATTAAGAATGTGTGTCGTATCTGATTGGCATCTCTTCTCTTGTATCATTAGGGCCCACAAATGAAAATCAAGACGAACCTATTCAAGGGCTCAGAAGAATTCTATTCATATGACAACACTTGGCTTTCTGGTAGTCGTATAGATTCACCGCACACAGTTTAGGGAAAGGGAGATCAAAATCCTCAAAAATGTATATAGAATGATTGAAACTACAATAAATGGTTTACTTTCGCGCTTTTCTTTTTTTGGCTAATCTTTTTGAGATGCCATTGGATGTTGTTAGGACCTCCTGTGATGTATGGTTTAATTAAAGTAAGTTGAACCTATCAACCCACCAAGATATATATCCCAGAAACCAAACATTTGATTAAGATCTCGTCAGCCCTGCATCGAAACTCTCAGCAATATCGCAGCAGAAACCCAAATCCATGATGGTCTAAAATTTCGATCCCATTGTGGTCTGATCTGCGTCCTCCAAGACAATCTCATTGTTACCTATACATATTGGTACCTGGGCCCTGTAAGGGCTCTATCATACTGAAAAGGTGAGATTATCGTCAAGTGAAGGGTGGTCTAATTCCTTTTATGGCAAAGCACGCCCAGAAAGATCTGGTTTGTGAGATCCGATCTTCGAAGATCAATTGAACAGCGATGATGATGCTAGCAACAGCGGGGTATGTGCTCCCATAGTCGTCATTCGGCGAGTTGATCTAGAATACCAGTGTCAATCAAGGCGATTGGTGGAGAGAAGAGATCTGTACCTAGATTCAATCTCGCTGTGGGTCGCCACCTTGACCAGCCGTCCTATTCGGAGGAATTTTAGATCTAGATGATTACCTCTTATTTCTGTCAAGATGCTAATAACAGCGAGAAAAGCAAGATTGTCCTCAACTGTTAGTCTACAAAGTCAGGAGGGACAGTTATATTGAAGGAGCAGACTTCCGAACTATTGAAGAGGGGAATATTGAAGAGGGGAAAGCCCTCGGCAGTATGCTCTCAGGTATATGGGTTGATTCCGCACATTTCGCATCAAAGCCATCGAAGCATGTAAAGGGAACTGGGACCATCGTCTAGGCAGCGAGATCGGAGAGGTGCAGGAGTCGGTGTTTCTGTTGCAACTTGGAACATCCGTGATTATATAATAAGGACGATTAGTAAGGAACAGGATCAATACGCATGAGGGGGACCCCCCACTATTTCGGAGAGGTCGGTGCCCAGGGCGCCAACTACGGAGGCCAAACATATTGGGCTCATATTCAGGGCAGATGTCGGGTGATCGAATCAGCCTGAAGATACAGCCGGCTCATATTCATTTCATCACGTCGATTTTGACCATTGAAACACATCGTGGAGAACCTGTGCGTTAAAAAGAGAGGCTAAGAAGAGATTCGAAACAGTCGTGGTTATCATTAGCTGCAACGTCAAACCCCTCAACCAGGTCCCTGAGGTCTACTATGTTGTTGTTTCTGTTGGACAATATACAGCGGGGTTTACCACTAGACCATAAGGAAAAGCCAAGGTTTCTGTTAAGGGTCTCGGGGGCCGAGTTTCTTAGGTTGACAGTTTCCGCAAAGATCTGCAGCTACTACTCCGTAGGCACTATGTACTTCCGCAGTTTGCCACGACTGTCATGTTCTCAAAGCCCCGAATGACTGAATATCCTACATAAAACACGTGCCTTTCTGCAGAGGCGCCCCTGTCGAGATTCTAAAGCATCAATCGGACCCCCGACGGACAAAGTGTCGCAATTAATCTAAAAGAAAGTTGCCAAGATTCATACTCACACCTCCTGCATCAGAATTCCCTTGGCGCACATTAAGTGTATGAGCGGGTAGATAAACCCTAAACACCGAAATCCTCCGGCGTTACCCCATATGCTCATCACCTGAGACTCGGCTCGCTATTGGAAATCGCGATACATGCAGATCTTGCGCTGGTGATAAGAGTGTTGCAATGGCGGATTGCTTGGTATCTTGGCATTCTGTCGGGTAATCAATCGAAGAAAGATCATTGCCTAAAGCGATGGTTTACTCCGTTTATTCTACTCATTCTCCGTCAAGGTCCGGCATGTCGCATCACCAGGTCTGAATTGTCTGGAGATGGAGATGCAGTTGAGCCCGGAAGACCGGCGGCGATGGCCTTCTCCTCAATTCCTCAGTATGTTATAAAAGGGACTCTTTGCTCCCGAGTTGAGGATCCTCATCAGCATCTTCCTGAGCTTCATCATCATCTTCTTCATCCTTACATCTTTGTAACCACGATCATGGGTTTCCTCAAGGTCCTCACCACGTCTCTTGCGACTCTGGCAGTCGCAAATGCTGGCAAGCTCATTACTGCCAGTAACACCGATGCGGTTGTTCCTAGCTCCTACATTGTTGTTATGAACGATGGCGTCAGCACCGCGGATTTCGACAAGCACCGTGACTGGGCTGCAGGTGTTCATGCCCGTCTCTCCAAGGGCAAGAGAGGCGTCTCTGGACCCGGCAAGCATTTCGACATCAATGGCCTGAAGGGATACAGCGCTACCTTCGATGATGTTACCGTGAAAGACATTGCCAATGACCCGTCGGTATGGTTTTCTATTGCCCACGTTGATTTCTCATGATTTCTTTTTGCAATCTAACTCGCATTGGAAATATAGGTCAAGTACATTGAGCCTGACATGGTTGTGAGCCTGAGCGCGAACGAGGTTCAGTCTAATGTTCCTTCGTGGGGTCTCTCTCGCATCTCAAGCAAGAAGACAGGCACTAAGGACTATACCTATGACTCCACTGCCGGCAAGGGCATCGTGGTCTACAGCGTCGACACCGGTATTGATATATCCCATACCGACTTCGGCGGCCGTGCTGAGTGGGGCTACAATGCCGTTGATGATGATGATTCTGATGGCAATGGCCATGGCACTCACACTTCGTCTACTGCGGTGGGCACTAAGTATGGTGTTGCAAAGAAGGCAAAGATCGTTGCTGTCAAGGTCCTTGATAGCGCTGGTTCTGGAACCAACTCGCAAGTCATCGATGGCATGGAATGGGCTGTTAAGGATGCCAAGTCCCGTGGCGTCACTGGAAAGTCTGTCATGAACATGTCTCTGGGTGGCGGCACTTCTCAGGCGATGAACGATGCCGCTGCCAATGTTGTCAAGTCCGGTGTCTTCCTCGCTGTCGCTGCCGGAAATGAATCCGAGGATGCGAAGAACAGCTCACCTGCTTCTGCTCCTGAGGTATGCACTGTCGCCGCTTCTACCAGCTCAGATGGCAGTGCTTCCTTCTCCAACTTCGGTTCCCTCGGTAAGAGCTCTCCCACTCGCTTAGTGCGAGGTATACTTGTTGGTCGATGAAGCTTACTGACGATACTACTACAGTCGACGTCTATGCTCCTGGTGAGTCCATCACTGCCGCATACACCGGTGGTGGCAGCAAGACTCTGTCTGGAACCTCCATGGCTGCCCCACACGTTGCCGGTGTTGCCGCTTACCTCATGGCCTCCGAGGGTGTGACTGCTGATAAGGCTTGCGCTCGTATTGTTGAGCTTGCTATCTCTTCTATCTCCAGCGCTCCCTCTGGCACTACCAAGAAGCTCCTGTTCAACGGTATCAGCGCCTAAGGGATGACCTCGGAATGCGGCGGATGATTACTGTATAGCGCCGTTGAGCGGGCTATGTATTTATTCCTGAGCGAGCTCTGGCAAAGCCGACCCGAGCCATAGTTATAAGAATTGAATTCTTGTTTGACAATCCGTCATCACATAAACTCGTTCAGCTTAAAAGAGACATTTTATCGGTAGCTGCAAGTTTACGGTTATCACAGAACTCCTCTAAATATTCTCCATTTTGCAACGATACCATCTTTACATAGACTAAGCAAGTAACAGGGCCATTAAAATTGCCTCAAAATGCGATGAAACCATACGTGCGCATGCTTAAGGCAAGTCAGCCACAGTCGAAGCACCGGCAACTCCAGCTTAGATAGTGTTGGTAGATCTATGTGGCTGACCAACTGGAATCTGAACTGGTTGAATCCCTTTTCACATGCGAGATGTTGTGCTTCGCCAAGACGGACATAGACTACTGTAATTATTTATAGCGCCTCTTCCGCGATTGGCTGAAACTTAGCCTCGAAGGCGCAAGCACACGGACCTCATTTACGCCACTTCCTGTAATAGACTGAGCCAATTCGAGATAGAATCCAGGTACTTTCACTGGCAATTTGTAATCGGTATGCATGTCTGATTATGTCTTCCACTAAGAATCGGTTTATGAGCGCACATACGAGATCTGACATGCGTAGCAAAATGCGGGGGAATAAAAGGGAGATCATTAGCGGTTTGGGTAAGTTGCCTAGTAAACACTACGACTGTTGGGTCCAGCGATACATGCACCTGGTTAAGATTGCCAGGCAGTATTCAGATCCACTCTCACTATACTCCGTACAGGAACTAATAATGTATGTCATTGTTAAGTTGAAGCGTATCAAATTGAACCATAAAATCAAGTTCATAAAATTGAAGTGTGTTCAATTATAGTACCACTAAGGCTAAGCATTGATCTTAAATTCTATAGAGATAAGACTCGATTATTTTTTCCAAGCCAGTATATCTCTCAATTATAGGAATGCTTACATATATTATATTCCAATTTTGTATGCTATATCTATAGAAATTAAAGAGAAGGAATAATGCAATACATATATGCCCCAAGAAGGCGGCAAGGAAATATGCGGTAAGACAGCATCCAATGAGAGGAATATGTATCGCTGGTCCCAATACTCCGTAGTCGCTCGTACTCTATGTACAGTACTCCCTACGAAGCGTCTCATTGCCGTGAATTTGTGCAGCAACACAACCACGAATCCACAATGTCCCCGGGCAACCTAGAATGATTTGATAACAATTGTCCCTCGATGCAGAAGTGGGGCAGCTCTCTAGCCTGGTAGACAACTGGGAAAGACAACTTGGACCCTGCTGCATTAGTGTCAAAGAGTTGCATATCTTGCCTCAACAGGTAAGGTCAGACTGAAAGCAGTCATACGACTTGTTGAATCCGCCAGGGTCGCCGAGAAGCTAGCTCTTCATTCAAACCACTTATCATGGATTTTACAAAGCCTCGAGTAAGTGAATATGCCGGCAGTCCTAGGCAGCTGTGAACGTAGATAAATCAATCAAGTGCTATATGCAACCCTTTGACTTCTTCGGAATCTTCTCCGCGAGCTCGGTGACAATACATGACTCTGATCAGACCAATCACGCTCAACCACAGTCGATATTATCTTATAGTCCCGGGGTCAAGTTGCTGCTATCGGCAAAATGCTTATATCGCATCTCACGCAACAGAGAAGAGGCGATTGTGATTCTTCTGGTCGTCCCTTATGGTATCAAAGTTTTCAGTCTTACCAATAACGCTAGATTTACGGAAAGACAAACTGACAAAGTTGCTGCCGCTGTAAAAATTTGGGCGCTCATGGAAGATTACATTGGTGTGCTTTTTATGCTTTGTAATCTGAGCAAGTAACCCAGCGTTGCTTTAGAAAGGGTGAGATATAGGGGTTTTAATTTATCCAAAATTACCCATGCCAAAACACTTAGAGTCAGGTAGGAAAAGTGAAGCTTTTCATATAATATAAATCTATAAATTGCCGTTTTTCGAGATGACATACAGTCCGAAGGCTATTCCGACTATACAAATCCTATACTGAAATATGTGCTAGGCGCTAAAAGGCCTACGCGACCGTCTGAATCTTGATGCTGATTCTTGAGGCTATTGCCAATTCTGTGTGGGTTTTTTCAGCGAACAAATGTTAAGATCAATTCACGGAGAAATTTTATACGGTCAGAGGATTTGATAAATCTAAGAATTTACATAGTCGAGGGGGCTTCAACGCCTAGGATTTTATAAAATTCATGCTTTGTATGGCGGGAATAGCTTCAATTATAATACTGTTCACAGCACGAGGTGTAGGGTGTGGAAAATGGTCTGAAATCAGGCATTATTCAGGCACCAACCGTAGAAATTCAGGCATCCGGCCCCTGGCCGCTTGCCCCTTCGCATCCATTCCGGCATTCAGACCGCCTGGGTGTTTCGCAAGTTCTGAACTCTTTTAGACTGCGCATCCCTCATTCTTTGGACCAGCGGTTCGCGTTTCATCTTTCATCTCCAACAATGGCAGCGGTGATGGAGAAGCCAAAGTTACTCCCTTTGGATAGAGCCGAGGCTGAAATATGGAATCGCGACCTGATGGAAGCCTTCCGCCACGCACTGGAGGAGGACCCAGCAGCAGACCTTCTGTCTGTTGTCGGGAAGAGATATGTCGCTGCACATCGTGTTGGTCAATATTCAGGACTATCTGAGGCCGCTCGGCTAAACTTCGAAACCATTGATCATCTTCAAGATGGGGCACTTTCCCGGCCCGAAATCAATTTGCGCGATATTTTCCCCACCGATTATGATCGCCTATACAGATGGGCCAAACCGGAGGAAGAAGAAAAGGAATCCCTAGAAAGTCCCCTACCAGCACAGCAGCGAAGACAGCCCCTCGACTGGCTTCGCAAAAGAATTGAACCTGTCAGCACCGCTAACACCATATACCCACTTTCTGCCCAAGCGTCGGCGCTCCTCTATCAACACCTTCCAGCTGATGGTTCTTCTGAGGAACTATCCCTCACGGCAGCTGTGAAAAATTTAATGTTGAATTCCGACATAATCTTTGAACTTAGCATTAGATGTGGTGCTGTCGTCAGGTGCAGTGACGACCTTGTCATCAAGACCTTTCCCAGCAGTCGAGATCTTACTGAATACCACAATCTCCAGTATCTCGCTGAAAAGTTTCCCGACCTACCAATTCCTAAACCTCATGGTCTCATCATGCTTGGTAGTATTGGTGCCATGTTCATGTCATATGTTCCGGGTACCACCTTAGACAAAGTATGGTCGCGCTTATCCCATGAAGGAAAATTATCCATTCAGAAGCAGCTAGACGATATATTCTCTCGTCTCAGAGGTCTACGTCAGGAGGATGGGCCTGAACTTGGGGGCGTACGCGGAGAAGGAGTCAAAGACTACCGCATTATGGAAACCTATGCGTACAAAGGCATAACCACAGCCAGGGGCTTTAACGAACTGCAGTTCTCAGCAAAGCATCGCGCAAGTCCTTCCTACGCCAGATTACTTCGGTCTTTCTTGGATGAGGAAAATGAAACTCTGCAGGGATCTGTATTTACCCATGGCGATTTGAAGAAATCCAACATCATGGTGCAAGAAGATCCAGAAATTGCCGACTTTTACGTGGTCACCGGGATCATTGACTGGGAGGATGGCGGCTTCTATCCTGAGTACCACGAGTCCACGACGCTGTCGAATGGACAGAGCATCGATTCTGACGACGACTGGTACCTGTATGCGCCACACTGCATCTCTGCCTTACGGTTCCCTGTACGCTGGCTAGTTGACCGACTTTGGGGCAACCTTTTATGGAGTTGGAGGACTGACATAGTACGATGAAAGTGTGAATGCCTGTCTACGCGCGACTAAGCATGCCACGCAGGTCCTTTGAGAAGATATGCGATAATAATCTAAACGACCTTGCGAACCTTCTTCGCTTTCCCTATCTCTTCAACTTCCAGTAACAATAGCTGTTCTCGCCCAAACTTTACGCCCACGACTCGCGTTTTGCAGCGACCACCTCTTTGTTCCTAATGTAGTTGCCGTCTGTTGCATTAAGAATCAATGCACGCTCAAGCCGTCTCAAGATATCGAGGACATAATCCTGGCAGCTCCAATCCGCCAACTCATTACGGATGGGGGTAGCGTATGCGATGCTTTTGATGGTCTCGACCTTGGTCACATCAATTTGACAAAGGTACAGAAGCTCGATAAGGGAAGTCGAATTGCGGGCGTCCGACGGGGTCCTTACGTTGGGGAAATACTTCTGACGCGCACCAAGGACGTGAATGATCGTCTTGTCGTCATTTTTGTCGGCTTCAAGGTAGAGGCTCCAGTGCATGATGCCAGGGTTTTCGTAAATGGCTACCGAAAGAGGAATAGTGGAAGCCATATCTCAATTTCGGAGACTGATCCAGGTATGCGGAAAGCGAAGTTAGGAAACCGCGGAAAGGTAGTCGGGATGGGAGTGGTTTCTTCTTTCTGATCAATGAAGAGAAAGAATTCCAACAGAAGGCCTTGATTGGACCAGGTTAGAATATCTCGCTGCTTGTAGTGAAAGAAGTCAAGGCAGAGTCGAGGTCAAAGTTAAATTGTGCTGCTCGCCAGCTGGGAATGACTCCATGTTACCCGCTTAGGACTGTGAAGCACCTTTGGAACTTGGTAGTCAATCAATGTACCATATTGAGCGAAACGCTTCCCAGGCTGACGCCCAGCTCTATGATCCTTGTTCACAAAGCCCAATTGAGAGACAATCCAGGATATTGGTAGCCAGTCCCCTGGTATGCTATAAATAGACACCGGCCTGACTCTGTTGGTCAACTTGAAATACAACTGTTTCGCCAGTCGCTGTTGGTGGTCGGTCTGAGCTTGTCGTGATGCAGTTTCAAGATAGCCGCCGGCATGGAAGGGGGTTATAGCGCACTGGTGTCTGAGATCCCTCCCTATCCCTTTTTTTCTCTCACACTCTCTCCTTCCTCTATGTCCGTCCTTTTTGATATTGATTATACAGTACTTTTCCCCGTACCGAGTTCTTTATTTGAGGTCTAATTTTCATAAGTCTCATCCAATGAATAATCCGGTGTGCCGCTCACATGTATGTAAGACAGTCATTGAGGGTAAGACCAATATTATTTGCGAGTATTTAATGTACATATATATATTTATCTTCGGGAATATTCACCACTAAGAACCCCACGATGAATTTTTTTCCCACTATCTCACTACTAAGCCTGCTTCTGAAGTAGATAGATGCTTTCATGTCCTTCGGAGAAAACATCTTATTGGCCTAGAGAGCTCAAGGAGACCGTAAAATCTTAATTTACTGAGAAGAGAAGCTCCCCACTCACCGGTTTCTGCTACAAAAACACAAAGTATGCTGTATTCAGGTACCACCCGGGAGCTGGTCGGGAGTGACAACATCTGTTCTTGGCAGTATCACCTGTCAATAGGATCGCTGGAATACACGGCTTTACGGGAAATTCTAGTGCTGTAAAAGGAGTGCGTAGATTGTTGATTTAGGCTATCTGGCAGCAGATGTACACCCCTAATAGGCAACATATGACCCCCTTCCTGCCAGCATTGGCAGGTCCATGCCACATGTAACACAAAAAGCTCATAATATCCGACTTTACGGCTTGCCCCGGTGCTGCCATACGTTCAAGTTGTAGACTCTGTATCAGCGCCTACAGACGGCCATAGCTATCTACGATTCAATAGCTACCATCGGTGCTGATTACGACTGAGAATGTATTGCTGTAGTTCTGATCCCCACGTTGGCAACGCTAATGACAACGGTACGGGTTGTTTCCCTGGTCCTTGCCAAACGCCTGGATCGAGAATGCGGATTTTAGCGCAACGTGGCAGTGGGAGTTTGTCGTCCTCTGGAATTCCTTCCCCTTCTAGTCTCTCAATAGCGCGTAACTGCTCAGGATTTGCTGCTTGACGAAGCAGAGTCCAAAATTCTGTGTCGGACATTTGCCACAACACCTTATCATCAACAGACCCTGCCTCTACCAGTTCGCTTATCACTCGGCCCGTCCGCTGATACATGTCGACGTTGGCCGGGCTTGACCAGACATCTTCGTCGGCAGTGATATATGCGCGAGAAAGAATCAGCGCTACATTGACATCGTCCAGAACCAGCAGACGACAGGTCGCTGTAGCAGTGGGAAACGCTTTCAGTGAGCCGACAACCCTTCTGGCGTCTTCTATGGCAAGCTTGCCGAAGCTGACGGTGTCGCGCAAAGCATAGTCTAGGCGATCGGCACATAGTTGAGGCGATGACATCTCCACTAAAGGGAACAGTTCTTCTTCGAAAACATTATGGCTGATTCCATGCCTAGCGATTATTCCTGGCAGCTGCGTCGTCTCAAGATACCTTGCCTTGTGTACCTCGTGATAGCTTTCTTCCCCAGGCTTGGAGAGGGCGTGGTCGATGACGTGACTGAGTGTGGTATGAGAGATGTCATGGAGAAGAGCAGCAATTTGTTCTTCGATCGTGGCACCAACTCTTCGCACGAGTATAAATGCACCGACCGAGTGTTCGAGCCGAGTGACTGGCGGGGTTAGGCCCAAAAATCCAGTGATTCCATGCTGACAAATGCCTTGCAGTCGTTGCATCTCTGGGCTTCGAAGAAGCTCTACGAGAACTGGCTCATGGACCAGTTCCTCTCCGTAAATTTCATCTCGGATCAATATGCTATGATTCTCGATAAGTTGGTGTGTCTGGAGGAAGCCGGCACTGGTAGGAGATGACATCTTTGTTGAACCAATGTGTACTGACAAAGGCAACCAAAGCACGATGATTGGGAAAATTATGGGCGTGGTCGAGGATCGAGCGTGAGACGAGCGCCAGTTAGTCATGCAGCACTAGCGGGTGAAGCGCAAAGCCCGTTTAGGGGGTTCAACTGGAATCTTGTAATCGCTGTATTATCACCTTCCACTTATTGTATAATCTCCAAATTTTTAAAAACAGTTAAATAACTAAATAGTTAACTAGTTAATAATGAAAATAGTTACATAAGTATACACTCTAATTTCAAATAAAGTCTTACCCATAGAGGTAGAGATATCACAGAAATGTCAATACGAGGACAGATATATATTTTAGAGATCTGCGGGTGTCCGATCATTTTCTTGGTGAACCTCTATGATTGAGAAATTCTCTAAATAAGGTGTTTTCTTGCGTTTTTGAACTTGATTTGTATAACTCAGTCTTAGTTTACTATATATCAACTCCAATAATAGAATATCATCAGTAGATCATGGCAAAAAACGAGGTTTTACATATGGTAATCAAAAAAGTCATGTTCTGAAAAGAAATATGTACTGTTTGGTGCTTTCTGTGCTGTATTGGGCCTCTAAGAAAAGCCCTGTGGGATTTCCATTAGGCCTTTGGCCGCCCACCGGTGGGCCGGGTTGGGTTTTGGTCTTTGTGGGCTTTGCGGAGCGCTGATAAGGAACCAATATATTCTCCCTTGGATACCAAGACTTCGTTATACGGAGGTTTTTGCCAAAATATCTCTTTATGTACTATCCAAAACTTCGCGAATTCACCACACGTCTTACCTATACAAGATCCACTCATCTATCGCGGTCTCCAACCAATTAAGCCTCCTTGGAAAGTACGGCTGATCTCCACATTCTAGAAGCTCGGACCACCTCTTAACAGCGCTCCGAAAGTGGCGGCGCCGCGAGCCCTCTCTGTCGGGATGAAGAATAGAAACTTTTATTCAAATTACATAGATATGTCTCTTGTGTCTACATGATAGGGGGGGATTATTTTCACAAACTATTTACGGAACGCTACTTTGTGCTGTTTCTTTCACTCCTCAACCCAACCCTTGGGGTATCACATAATGGAAGATGGGGCTGTCGGGGGCCAAAGCATACGTAAGTCCTCATCTTACTAGACTATACGGAGTATAACTGGCCAGATTCCTTGCTATGTGGGGGCCTCCTGGTTTTATGTAACCGCACGATCATAATGAATGCAAGAAACTCTTGCAAATCTCTGCTCTCAAGTCGTCTAACTTTCAAAGATTCTCCCCCTCTCCAAACCGTCCCTCAAAACGCATCCTACTGACTCTATCGCTAGCCTGAGGCTTTAACCGGAGAAAATTCTCACCATTCTATCGTCAGATCACACCAAACAGACCTCCCCTAAAGCGCATATCTTGGTCAATACTGTCTTCTTAGACATTTGAACCCGTACCCAGACCAATTCCGATATGGAATCATCACCAAATTCCCTTGTGCTGGAGCTCGCGACGCTGGAAGACGTTCCCGCCATCACCGAGGTATGGTTCGCTGCCTTCACACAACCGGTGATTGGGCAACTTTTCCCTAACACCCCCGGTATGCATCAATGGCAGCGAGATCGACACTATGGAGACATTCAGAAACCACACTACAAATACCTACGAGTAGTTGACACCGAGTCAAAAGATGAGCAAGGCCGACCGCGACTAGTTGCCTTCGGCAAATGGGACCTGGCAATGCCAGATGAGCGAGGTCGTCGCTTTCCTTCTTGGCATGCTGACTCGCCCTATCAGGAGTGCGAGGACTGTATTGCAAGCTTGGAGCAGGCCAGGAAGCGTGTCATGGGCGATGAGAAACATTACTGTATGAATGAAACGAGAGCCTTTCAAATCTACAAAGGAAGAAATTGCGACTGACATTCGGACCTAAACAAAGACCTAGATTCCCTTGGCACTCATCCTGACTATCAACGGCGTGGAGCTGGATCTATGTTGGTCCAGTGGGGCTGTGATCTGGCGGATAAGGATGGCGTTGCAGCCTACGTGGATGCTAGTAAAGAGGGTGCGTCGCTATACCTGAAACACGGTTTTGTGGACTTCAATCCACCCGGCTCTAGTGTAGCTGCGATGGCTCGTCGTAAGGTGGCTCCGAGTGATTATATTTAATTTGTGGGCTATGTTTTCATACTTCTAGCTTGCTAGCGGCCTCGGGGAAATTGACTTGCATTTTTTAGGAAAAGAGACCATAGAAATGTCCAAAGCAATATGATGATGTTGATGAAAGTTGTGATTTATAAACGGAGAGGAAAGTAGAACACTGGCTCTGGATTATGGACAGGCAAGTCATGCGACTATCAAGAGGAATTAACACACAATTCTAATTTTCAACCTTGAACGTTGGAACTTCATAGCGCTTATTGAATCATCCTAGATAAGTTGGAATTGTAGAACTTTTGCTTAAACAAAATGGCAGCAAAACTACGTCTAAGGCTTAAAGACTGCAATTCAAGACTTGGAAGGGGGGCCCACCCTCCAATATCCTCAATATCGAACCGAATATTCAGGTGTCAAAGGTGTTCATTATCGTGAAACGTAACGATCCTTGCAATCCTCCTTCTACCTTGACCCATACACACAGAACAAAACCCGCAACAATTTTACCCATTGTAGTACCCAGCAGAGCATCACCCCGCGTCTAGTGCGTCCTTCCCAGCCAGCCGGTTAGCCTTTTTGTCGCTCAATTTGTATATGATTGATGTTAGATCAAGAGGGTAGATAAAACCGTCTACACTTGGTATTGAATCGAAAATGACTCCCGAGACACTAAGGCTCCACAAGGATATGTGTGCTCGGACCCGGTGGGCTCCACATGTCATGTGACCATTTCATCCCTTCCAACATCAACATTTCGGCAATGAATCCATCTTTCAAGGGTGCGACTCTATCGCATGATTAGCTTCAAGCAATCCATTCCTTTCTATTCAAATGGTCGACGTAGACCAGTTGCTGCGTCAGCTCGCAGAGAGAGACCAGCAGCTTGCAGAGAGAGATCAGCAGCTCAAAGCGGCACAGGATCAACTAGCGGACACCAACCTTCCTACGTATCTCGATGGTTTACACAAGCATGTTTACCTTGGTCTTCAGGTCCAGCTGGATAAAACCAAGTCAACACGTGGTGACCCCGCAAACACAACCAATAAACTCCGTCCAAGAAAAATCATGAGATGGCAGTCCTTCGCGCGGGAACAAGAGAAGGTGTGGGAACTTGTGATGGAATCTTCGCTGGTGGAAGACAAGCTATTTGATTCGCTTTCATTTCTGGAAACTTTGGGAAAGCAAGTTCGCCAGTCACGAGTTGGGTCAGAGCTTGATCTGCATCACTTCATTCGCGAGGCTGTTGAAATCCGCGTCTCGAATATCATTAAAGAGATGTATAAAGATCCAGCTCTTCGTGAAGTATTCGCCCTGAAAGGATCTATAGAGTTCGAGAACCATGCCAACACGCTCAGTCCGGAGCACGAACTCGAGGAAGGAATACTTAACCTAGACCTGGAAACTCGGCCAACGGCGCGGCGACGCTCGCCACGGCTAGCCGCCAGGGAGGAAAGCTCGTCACGAGCCGCAGCAATGCAACCGCCAAAAACCCCACTTCCAAGCACAGTCAGCCGGCCTCGTGCCGATCAATTTTGCGTTTACAATATGTCGACTCAGTCATCCGAAACAACCCAGCGTGTTGCAGCCTATATCAAGGAGTTCAAGTCTCCTCATAAAGTGACACTGGGTCATATCTACGGAGGACTGGAGGATATGGATGTGGATCAGGTGGTTGAACTAAAAAGAAAGAGACCAAGGAGGACCGCCTCCGTCGCGCCATGGCAGCACTTCTCACGCAGCCGTTCGATTATATGATCCGTGCCGGTACACGACGAGCGGTGTTTAGTACTGGTGAGGCAGATATCTATCTAGGGATTGGCGATGATCCTTCGATATTGCTTTATCATTTATCTATTCCAAAAGGGGACGTTGGAGAAACAACGGGGTGGCAGCCCTCTCTAAACAGCCCAAATCGCCTACATTTGACCGCTGTAGGGCAAGCTCTTGCTTTCACCCTCCAGGCGCTTAGTTTGCGACCTGAGGCCCAATCATGGAGGCATCGGGCAGCTAATTCGTTACCAAAGTGGCAAGTTGTGGTCGCCGATATTCTGGGTAGTATCTCAAAAGAAGATACCCCGTCGTCGGACTATCGCCCCTCGCAATTTAATTTTAATCGAATATCTCCGATTCGTCTCCGCCAAAAAAGGCCTCAGCAGAGCCTCTCTTTGTGCCAAGAATCGCAGGTCATAGATAATTCAGACGATGACCATTCTGACTCGCCCGATACTCCAAGTCGAAATCCGCAGGTTACTCGAAACATTCGGCCGAATGAGACCTCAACGGCTCATACATCCACATCCACTGCATCGACTGGATCGGGCTCCTCTTCACAAGAAAACCAACGCCGCTACTGCACGCTGGGATGTCTTCGTGGCTTAATTTCCCAAGATAAGTTAGATAAGGCTTGTCCGAACGCTGCAGAACATGGCGTCACACGTCACCGCATCAATTCTTTGACATTTCTCAACCTCCTACGGCGCCAGTTACACAAGACCATCAACGCGGACTGCGAAAGTCTTGGAATTCACGGTTCTCGAGGAGCGCTTCTCAAAGTCTCGTTATCATCCCACGGATATACAGTTCCTGCAAAGTGCACTATCCCGGAGTTCACCAAGTACTTGAAACATGAAGCGCTTGTTTACGACAGACTTCGTCCAATCCAGGGCGTCAGCGTCCCACTCTATCTAGGAAGCATCGATCTGACTCATCCGTACAGCTACGAGGGAATTTGTTATCTCACGCATATGATGCTATTGAGCCCCGGTGGCCAGTATCTCGGCGAAGTTCTCACAGATTCAAACCGGGAGTCGATGGCAGCTAAGACGAAGGAATCGCTCTCGGCGATGCATCGTCTAGGGGTGTTGCATCGGGATGCAGCTGTCCGCAACCTATTCTACAACTTTGAGAGTCAGAATGTGGTCGTCTTGGATTTTGAAAGGGCTGAATTTATCGAGCCACGCCCTGCTCTTGGGGTCTTATCGCCCAATCGAAAACGCAGGCACGTTTCCAATCCGCGTATGGATAAAAAGGTCGAAACTGTATTCACGCAGGAACTCAACGCAGCGCTATGTGATGTGCAGTGTATCGATCCTCGATTCAGGATTCTTTGATAAGTCGCTTGCAAGCTGACACTCCGCAATAGCGGGTCTAGGGTTGGAGAACCAATGCTCGATGTTGTATTTGCGTTTTCCGTTCCCTTTTCAATATATGATTTCCTACGTATATCCGCGAATAGCGCCAGACTAATGAAATAATGAATTGACCTCATGAAAATGGTTAAAGGTGCTGATCAGAACTTGACTCTGGCCGAAAGAGTAAAGTTCTTCAGCAATATTCACAGTCAAACATGGCTGCTTATAATATTGGCGGAATTGGATAACGCGAGCAGGGACGAGCTCGTTCAGCGATTGCGCCCCGATGAACGAGTCGTTACTCACTCTTCGATGTGAGGAAAACTACCACCACAACCAAATCCTTCAATGGGGGCAAACAATGTTTAAATATTCACACCATCATTGTCACTGCTTGCAACAATGGCACGGCAAGGTTTATATCGGGATAACCAAGCCAACTTGTATGCTCTCGCCGTCCTGGCATACCAGTCAGGTCACTCCAAATTCCTGCTAGCAGATGAGCTTACCAAAAGACCACTTATCGGGAAGCCCCACGCAGGCGAAGGATCAGCGCTGTCGGTGATCTTGATCTCGGTGAACGAAAAGCCGGCCATCCCAGAGGGTATTTCCGTTTGGGCGCGGCGAGAGACTGCACTGGTCATTATACCGCACAAATATTTACAAAAGTCGACTACGTGCAATCCAGTCACAAATGAAGCAAGGCCCGAACATGATGGCGGTATCCTCGAGAGACAAATATGGGAAAAGCGAGGACTTGAGATTCATGACCCTGATCGCCCAGTTTTTCGACTGATACAAAAGATAGTCTCGGGTGGGAGTCTTATTTGGAGGCTATGGTTGCGGCACTTTCTAGGCTCCCAGTTGAGTTGGCGATCGACATTTTTTCCCACACAGGAGATGCCCGAATTATTCAAAATACCCTGTGCAGAGCATTTGGTCATATTCATCCTCTTTCCCGCAACTTCTAGCCAAATGCACAAGACTGCAACTTTCATTCATGATGCGGTGAGAAAGCAAGTCGCGAAGCTGAAGTCAAGAGCAACGGATCTATGCGAGTTTGACGAACCAAGTGAATATGAAGGGCCAAGTATGACCTTTGAGTCAACACCATGGGATAAACATGGCATCAGATCTCGCCGAGACTTGATGAAATTTTGGTCGTCGTGTTATCACCCCCATGCCTCACAATCCTGGAGGCCTCCTTATATTTGCTTCTTGAGCCGATTGCAAATGTTTCAGCTCCGTGATTTGTGGCGCTTTGCTCTAACAACAAGTCAGTAGGGATTGCATCACGAACAACGCTAGACAGCATCATCAAAGAAGGGACGGAGAACACACCAATTGTGTACAGGCGTCGAGAGTCTGATCTGATCTTTTAGGAGGAGAACGTATGTGATCCAGATCAGCCATTCTGCTACAGTTATCCTCAGTGGGGAACGGCATCATATTATCGGAATGATTGACTACCCGCATTCTATCTCACAAATAACTTGAATGACGATCAAGACTCCGAGGCTGGGGCAATATCCAATATGGGATTAGTAGCATATGGGATTGGACCCGGTTACAAATGGATAATCAAAGTATGAACGCATGGAAGCTATCATCAATAGGCTCCGAATATGCCAGTTCCTATCCCAAAAACAACTGGAGACTTGCTTTTATGTCTTCATTGTCCATGTAAACGGCGGACCTATGAAATACCATATGCGGTTAGTTTTGCCTTTTTGGATTTAGCTCCCAAATACGCCATCACGTAATCAATGCCAAGTTGAAACATAAGCCGAGCCGCCCACGCTGTGCCATATCTGCAACTTTCATGAGAACTATGGGGCCTCAGCCTCTCACACACGTTGTATGTATATATGTACCTTTAAAGACTATTTTTGATAGAAGACTCGCAAGGTGTGTATACATGCTGTCGATATTTATGGCAACCGCTAAGCCTTTACAGGTTGCCGTAAGCGTGCAGAAAAGTGAAAATCGAACACGCAAACATGAGAAGGCATTCCTAAAGGAACGCGATAATCGACGGACTTCTCCGAACTGTGATAAATGTTGCTGTCCACCATGGGAGGTCTCGATATGTCATAAAAAGGGGGAGTGGGACGTGGATTCGGGATTTAAGCCTCTTGTCGGCTATGGTGACTCTATACGAGCAAGTCGAGAGCTAACTAGCGAATGGTGGCGGGCTGACTTTCTTCAGCTCAAGATGGACCAAATCCACTGTGTATGCTATCACACGACACCTAGATAAGGTTGCGGCCAAAAACCTGAATTCCGTCGGCAAAAAAGCGCTGAAAGATGAACTACCCCAGCGGCCTTTCAAAATAAGGTCACTGTGCCGATGAGGCACACCGTAACAGATATACAGATATAAGATCGTACCTTGAGCGCCACTTCTACTTTGCCTTGCCTCCGTATCGCTTTTTCCGCATATCATCTATTGCATCTTCATTCCAAAACTTCTGGACACAATGCGGAAGGTTCATACTCGGCTCGTGCAGCCACTGGAAAGCGACCCACTGTTCTCAGGCGAAAACATAGAGTTTAACGATCGCGAGCAAGCCAAGGCAATCCGCCCCATGAGAAGATTGATACTCTGTCTCGATGGCTCCTGGCAATCCTCCAACCACGGAGAGAAAAATATCGCGTCCAACATTGCAAAGTTGAGCCGCTCCATCGCCAGCTGCGAAAAGACCGACGAAGAAGTAATTCACCAAATCGTCTACTATGATGCGGGCGTTGGAACTGGGAATAGTGCCCCAAGGGAGGATGCGTCGACAACTGAGAAGATTCTAGCAAAGAGTCAGAAAGTCTTCGAAGGCTCTTTCGGAAGAGGAGTGGAGGAGAATGTATGCGAGGCCTATAACTTCTTGGTATGTTAGATCCATGCTTTTCTCTTCGGTCATTCCCAAGCTCACCCTCATACAGGTCAGCAACTGGCTTCCCGGTGATGAAATATTCATTTTCGGTTTCTCACGCGGTGCATACACAGCTCGCGCAGTAGCAGGAATGGTCTGTAACATGGGAATTTGTTTCCCAGACATGATGGATGATTGGTGGGCGATTTACGAAGAGTTCAAGAAGAGGGTTTCCAAAGAAGAGAAGCCAAAGCCTCACCAAAACGGCATGCCTGTTCCGGATGGCATTCAGCAAAGTACCTGGGGCCTGTACAATGTAAAGAAGGACTGGAAGGACCGCTTCTACAAGAACGTGGAGATCCAGGTTGTTGGCGTGTTTGATACCGTCGGTGCCCTGGGATGGCCTTCCAACAAGTATGTGTCGGTGGATAAGAAAAACGAGGCCAAGTACGGCTTCCACGACACCAACCTGCACAAGAATATCAAGAACGCCTTCCATGCCCTGGCTCTTGATGAGCACCGACAGGCGTTCCCTCCCACTCTGTGGTCCCTTCCTAAGGATGTTTATACCAATCTGGTGCAATGCTGGTTCCCTGGCTACCATATCAACATCGGTGGTGGCAGTGAGTCTACCATGGAGCATTACGGTGATATGGAATCCATGGCCAATCTCTCGTTGGTCTGGATGATCGATCAAGTCCGCAAACACACCAATGTCGCCTTTGAGACCTACGCGCTGGCACAGTTTTACCACCACTACACCTGTACTATCGTGGACCTTTCACAGCGTGCCTTTAAGGAGGGTGATTCCAAATGCCATATTGCGAAGAAGTTCGACCCGAGCAAATGGCGCCAGGACGTGCCTGATCCCAAGAACCCCACCGCGTACGGCGGCTGGGGCATGGGGTACCGACCTGACAGCATCGACTCTATGACGGGTTACAGCGGGTCTGTGATTCGCACTCCGGGTCAATACAAGAAGGACGGAGATACAAGGGAGTTCATCCACCCTGTCGTTGCATATGCAATGGGCAAGTCGTACCGCGAGGCGCACGGTGAGGGCAAGGTCCTGAACTACCAGCCCGCCGCCCTGAAAGGCTTCAAGCGAGTGAAAGATCCCAAAGTCCCATGTTCCTGGTCGGATGACGGACTGCAGACTTTGAAGGGCTGGTACTGGAGAAAGCAAACCAAGGGCGTTAAGTATGCGGACACGTCATACATGACCTGCATGAGCAACTGGTACAACTCCTCCTGGCCCCCAGAGGAAGATCAAGACATCCTCATTCCTGAGATGGACTTGTGCGAGGATAATGATTCGAACATCTTCAACGAACGGGATTATATGCGCGCGGATTGGCTCGCGTTGAGAGCTTCTCTGGTCGGATTCCCTGATGATGTCCACCTCGCGATCCAGAACTGCATCCTACCAAAGGACAACTCCGCCTCGGAGGATACCGTGCGACGAGAGAACATGTTGCTTAATGCGTTAAAATATGTCACCGAAAGACAACGTGGCAGCTCTCATCTGGAAAAGTCGTTAATCTATGCTCTTCGTCGATCGGACTCCACTGGGCTAAAGGTAGAGGAGAAGCTGAAGTTGCTGGAACAGACAGGAGACCGCACCAGAAAGTTCTTAGAGAGCTGGGATTGTTGATACACATGCACGTTGACATATTCGCTTAGTACTTTTCCGATCCTTGATGGCGAGAATCAATCTTGTAAATTATTTTCTTTTTTCCGGCTTATAACATGCCATGCTTGTTCACTGGAAGGTGTACTCGTTTCAAGTTCAATCATTCGCTTAGGGTATCTTCCTGCCTGAATAAATAGTGAGACAGCATCCCATATGCGCCCCTCTCACCTGTATCGTAGATCCCTACCTGTACTTTTTCCTACTTTTGGTTGGAATCCTGGCTTTGTTGACACTCATCACAGGGCATTGTTGATCACGTGTTATTGCAAGGATACACGTCGCATCAGTTCGGTTGACAATCCCCTAAATCATATTTTCCTCGATGCACAGGAACAGACCAAAGCTCGGTCACAGGCCGTCCAAACATTCCTTGAGTCATCCTCGGCGTGAGGCTCTGCTCAGGTCCTCCACTCGGATCAAGGGGAACGCGTTCCTGTTACTGTGACCGAATCGAGTCCCCGATACCACCAAAGCAGAATTACAAATCCATCTGACTCATTACAGATATGATCCAATTTGCTTCAAGAACATTTTTCAGAAACTTCACATCGTTTTGCAGTGCGGGTTCAAAACGTCTTTCAAACTTACCCCAACACAACCAATCTTTCTACCCGTACAGCCGACCCGCCTCCGCTATGGCCCACATCCCACCAGCAGTGATCAAGGTCCAGGGTCCCTGGCAAGCAACCAGACTTGACCATGAAACCTGCCTGAAAGATCAACTGCAATCCATCTCTCCCACAGTGACAACCTTGGTGATAGACGAGGAAACTCCATCAGACGCAGAATGGGCATTACTCGGCGCTCATTTCAAGAATGTGGAGGACCTGGAGCTAGAAAGCGGATTCAACGAAAATCTCAATGACAAGAAACTCCCTCTCCACTGGCCTTTGAAGAAATTGACTCTGGGCTCTGCTTGTGGTGAACTCATCCAAAGCCCATTCATCCACCAGGGATTGGTTCCGCACTTGTCCCTGTTTTTCACATGCAACCTTCGATTTGAGGGCCCTACAACCGACGAGCTTACTCGACTACATAACGAATCAACAACCCAAGAAACGAATGAGAACGAAGACACTCATAAAGGGATCAAGATTACTTATGTACCTGAGCTTGTGGTCAATCACATGCAGAAGATCTACGCAGATCCTGATCGCAAGCCCGAGAAGGAACCACCTGCCGGTCCTATTAACCTGAAGACACTAGAAATTTGGGAAAACGACGCGCTTGACACATTCTGCCGCATGTCCGCCGCGCTCCCGCATATCGTTGAAAACCTTCATACCTTGCGACTTCGGTCCACCACGGGCCTCGATTTCGGGTTGATGTCAGAAGAGACATTTCGTCAACTTTTGCCGCTCATGGAAAACCTTCAAGTGCTTAACTTCACTGTGGGTGAGATCTTTGAAGATCCTCAGTTCTTGCCCACTCTTCACAAGCTTCTCCCACCAAACCTGACTACCCTCTACTTTCGTGGACCCGTCTCGCTGGCCACTTCAGAACATTGGGACGACTGGCTACAGGCTTTCAGATCGCCCACTTTTCTTCCAAAGCTTGAGCGTCTTGCCTTTGTTCTGGATCTCCATTATGGAGATAAAGACCCTGCCACATGGGGTAAGAAGGAGACTCCGGCACCAGAGAACATACTGCAACAAGCACGCCGGGAGTGTGAGACCCTCTATGGGATTGCCCGGGATCGTGGTATAGTCGTAGAAAATATGCCGACGGAGCCTTCTTCTAAATTACTCAGATGTGTGGACTCTCGTTGGTAATGGAATGTGTTTTTATGAAGAAATGTCTCCTCTCATTTGTACCGATAGGCCTAAGCGTTAACATGCTGAGCCTTCATCAATGAATTTCACTCCACCGAATGAAACCTAGCGTATGAAAAACAACAAACCCACCCCGAAGAGAGCCCCGTCTGCTTTTCCGAGTTGTTTTAATCTACTTATGTCAATAGTCGAGACAATGCTAACTGGGAGAGTGGAAAATGGAACGAGAAAGTCGCAGACAACCTGCCTGACTTGGGCGTTTTCGCGAGCTGCAAACGAGTCTTAAGCTACTGACCAGACCAGGTAGCCCACCCGCCACAAAAGCCTTCCCCCCCTTGAGTAATCTGCGTTTACAGGGCTAATATTAAGGCACACATGAGAAGTCAGAAATGCCCATAGAGGTGTTGTGCTGGCCCAGCGGGCGGTATTTTTGCAGTTAGTATTTTAGTACTCCGTAGTAGTGGGTCCAATTGGACGAACGCTGGAGCCTTGGAGTAATAAGTACGCTCTCCAAAGCCCATATAGGCAATACCAAGTTCTTGAGGCTGAATAGCTAATAGAACGTAGACCTTGACGCGATAAACGAGTACGAAGCTTGGGGGAAAGAACCACGCAATTACGGCGCGTCCGCTCCTGACATGTCTTGGCGATTCTGCTGTGAGTTTTTGGAGTGTGGATCCCGCCAAGAATTTGCCGGCGGTAGATTTATAGGCGCTCAAACGGACCGGGCGAAAAGGAAGGGGACTGAAGTTCGAAGTTCAGCCAATATCAGGACAGGAGGATGACCAGAAGCGCCAGACGGGTGCAGAATAGAGGTGTTACGGGACAGTGGGCGGTCAAGGGGAGGCTGAATGCCCCAAGTCACAGGTGAAAAGGGAGCCCTTTCTGGACTCAACGGCGGTCATTTTCGACCTCAATCCCATAGGTCCCCCCATATCCTGCTTGTAAAAGTTCATATCGAGGTTCTACGTCATTTTCAATGGTGTTGTTATCTGGTACCTAGGCGGCCTTGTTTATCTTCTACCTTCGGGCTGAACCCTTCAAAATGGAAGCAGCAACAGACCATACAGACTTTGACATAATTCTTCTGTCTGATTGAATCACCACTGAAATCCACGAGACGATGTCTATACTCCCACACCGCCATGGCAGAATCAAGCTCGCGCCAAACCCCTTTAGGTCAAGCGCCCTAATGATTGCCAAACATCCAAACAATCCACGTAGATTGCAAGGACAGTCCTACAAGCATCCCACAATCATAATTCTATCTGTTACCCAGATTCAATCAAGGTATGTGAACATATCTTTCCTGTTTCAAAGAGGCTACCGGCGCCCAAAATTCGCCACCAATTGTGCAATTGTGCCCCTTCTCCCCGCATTGCTCCGGGGTCGCGCATACCCCGTGGTATTTGGGACATGATGTCAGCCCAATGGAGTTGACAAACGTTGAAGCTTGAGTCAATCCACTCGTGTACTGACAATATTTGCTTTGCAGTAATCTCAACCCCTCTCAAAACCACCGCGTCCAATTTATTCATAATGTCTGCCGAAGGCGCCTCTGCATCGGTATGTTGATTCGCAAGTGACACCGCGGCCGCGCCATATCGATGCGCAATTATGCCGTGCTAATACCCTGCACTACTATCGCATTACCTCAAACAATACTAATAATCCTCCAGCCCATCCCTATTGAGGATCTACAGAAGATCACTGTCGAGGTACGCCACTCCCCAAAATACCCCGTGGGATTGACCCCGCGCTAACGTTACACCTTAGGCCTGCGAGAATGCCCTCGAGAAGAGCCAGGGCTATGAACACGACAATGTCGGCACTTGGAACTCCCAGATTATTGTAAGCCTCAACACCCAACAACTCCTGCCCCTACTGTTGCATGATAACACCGATACTAACAATCTCCCACACAGAACTCTGTCCTCAAGGCTCTGATCACCGCCACTGCACCCACCGAAGCCTCCAAGCCTCCTCCCTACCGCTTCACCGTGAACAGCACAATCGTGCAGCAGGGCGTGATTGACCCCTCTGTTGCTGCAGATGGCGCCCTCAGCAATGCCGGTAAGCGCGGCATGCACTCCGCCTCTGGTGCCTTCTGGGATGTCAACCGCGACGGCATGTGGACTTTCAAATACCCCGGTGCTGAGGAGCGGGGGATGGATGTTGTTGTTTGTGTGACGTGGTTTGCCGTCGTATAAAGCCGGGGCTATCTGTTGGTCGTCTTGTTCTGTCATGAGCATATTCATGGATGCCATAAAAGTCCGTAAGCGGAGGTGGTGACTTTGTCTATGATATGTTCCTTGGACTTTTTATTGGATTTGCGTCACGGGCTTTATCTTCTTTTTTTCATGTACTTGAACATTTGTTTTTAGTGCTGGGTATTTTCAGATCTGTCCTTTTTCCTTTTCGTGTGATTTGATTTCAGTTCGGTCTGAGCGTGGTGTTGTGTTTTCTTTTAGTTTATGGAGACTTGCCTGCGTTGTTTGAGAAATTGGATAGCCTTGTAAACTTGTATTGGACATGTTGTTCAGCCAGGGATATCCTGAACTATATATATCGAGAAATCGTCCGCAGATTCCAAGGCATTTCCCATTTTTTTTTTCTTTGTCTAAAAACCCGAGAAAGGGAAGAAAATATCTATGAACTGACATGCAAAAAGACTACCATACCGACATCAAGGAAACTTGGAATAGATATTTGATATTGTAATGGTATATGGACTATGCAGTATCCTCTGTAGGATGATAAATGGGAGCAAGAAATCAAATAAGCCAACGACAGAGGTCTCCATTGACCAACTCGAAACACGCCAAATCACCAGGGAAAACATAGAAAGCAACCCCGAATTGCGCCATGCCATATGTAGATTATCCAGAATATAATTAACGCCAATAAAGACCATTACCTCATGAAGTTAGAACGCCATTTACCCGAGGGAACATAACTTTGCATTTCGCCCCTAGCGAGGCTCAGAGTAGTCATTCAAAGCAACACAGACGGCACCTCTGTGGTGGCCACTGTATTGGCGGATAATGTTGCCAGTGCCGAGCTCCCAAAGACGAGCGTAGTGATCACTAGAGACAGTCACGAGGTATGCGGAGTCTGCAGAGAAGGCACAGTCCCAAACCCATCGCTGATGATTGGCGAGGGTAGTCTCCAGGAACAGTGTGTGATTGACTGGATCCATAGGAGGCCCGTCGGGTGACGAGGTGAAAGTCTGCTGGGGTGTCTCTTGGCGAGGAGGGTTGTCGGTAATACGGAGGAGATCACGGTCTTGGACAGGTGTGTCGAAGATGCGGAGTAAATCCCGAGACTGGGCCGGAGCCTCGACAGGGGCTACCGGAGCTTCAACTGGTGTTTCAACCGGAGGGTTCAATGCTTCCTTCTCCTTCCATTGCTTCAATGCCAGTTTGGCAGGTGGGAAATCGGCGTCGAGATTCCAAACTTTGGCAGTATGATCCGCAGAACAGGTTGCAAGGTGCTTGACATCGGGGGAGAGCAGAACACGAGTGAGGTAGTCCTTGTGCGCTTGGAAGGTACAGACGGGGATAATGCGTGTGGTTTCGTCAGTTTGGACCATGCGCCACAGATAGACATTACCCTGTCGAGATATTAGTAAAGGAGCATACAGTTATTCCGAGATCGCGCACCTTCTTATTTCCAGCGCAAAGCAAAGATCCATCACTGGCAACGCTGACACTAAGAACTGCAGTGTCCTCCTCCGGAATCAATTGATGAGTACAGACACTCTCGCCCAAGTCCCAGACACGGACCATGCCAGCATGGTCACCACTGATGAGCTCGCCCTGGTTGGGATGAATGACCACGTCATTGACCGCAGCCCGGTGGACATAATTCCGCTGCAAGCTACCGGTACGTGTGTCCCAGACCTTCACGGTCCCATCTTCGGAACTGGTGACCATCCATTTCCCCTCACAGTGGAATGCCACGCCGGTGATGTTGTTTGTGTGACCTTCAAACGTAATCACGGGATTAGGATTGGTTGACTTAATATCAAAAAGCTTGACATTGTTGTGGCCTGCGGCAGCCAAGAACCTCTTATCCGGGGTAATGCAGAGACGATTGACTTGGGAGTCTGGATGTTGGATTGTACGCGAACAGATACCCGAGAGCGCTTCCCAAAAGCTAACAGGAGAATGGTCAGCAAAGAATCTGGTACAATTGCCGCTGGATCAATACCGCCGGCGGCTATTTGAGCGTCAACTTACCGAATGGTATGGTCATACCCCGCTAAAATATGCAACCAAGGTAATTAGCTCAATGCCTGGAAGAATGCGGGGAGCTCATTGTGTTGCTCCACGTACCGGTACATAGGATGACACTCATATTCGCCAGGGCTGAGGCCAAAGGAGTGTAGTGGGAAAGGTAACCGGTTTTTGTGATATCCTCGTTTTGGGAACCACTGGAGTCCCTTTGGGCGTTAGGGGAGCTGGCAAGGCGAGACGGTCCAGGCCGAACGTCGGATGGAGTCCCGTTTTCTGCCATGTAGCCACGTGATTGGAGATCCACGTGAGTAGAGCGGTGTCTGTGTGACTGCAAGACGATAAGGTGAGGGCGGTGGGAAGATAAGATATCCAACCCTGGAACCTTGTCACATAAAGGGAAGGCGGTGAATTATGTGAGCTCAACCACCTGGATGCATTTGCAGGTAATATCTCGTCTAATAAGATCTATTTATGTCTTCGCTGGTCCAACAATAGTTTAATTCTAGCATTCACTTCTCTATTGAATGATTATCTTCACCCAATCTGGGTAAAATCTTTGTTTCTGTCAAACTTCGCTAATTTCCTAGATCAGGCGGTATATCCAGCGGTGGGGTGCTGGCTGGGTAATGATGTATGATTGGCCCCCATAAATTTGAATTACCGGCAAAATAATTGATTGGCCGGCAGAAAAAAAAACATCCCAAATTAGGTAGTCAAGTACATCTTGCGTTTGTCTTCTCTATTGTTCCTTATTGATCCCTATTGACCTCTATTGGTGCCCACAGTACAATAGAAATGTCATTTTCTTTGTTCTTGTTTGCTCTCTTTGTTCCCATCTATGAGCCCTAATCCTTTCCTGGACGGTTATTACCATCCCAAGTCGGCTATCTTCCTTCGATCTCTTCTCTCTTTTCACTTCCTCTCTACTGTTCTGCATCCTTTTCATCTATTATCAGCCTATTTGTTCCTTACAATTTTACTCCCACTTGTCGATCAATATGGATTTCATTGACCACAACAACCCTGCCTTGGGGTTTGATCAACCTTCTTTCGATTCCCAGGCTTTCAATGACTTTGCCGACCTGAATGCTAGCGGGCCTTTCAATTCCATGAATGGTTTCAGCTATGAAGATCTTGATATGCTCAGCTTTGACGAGTTGTATGCCAGTATTCCACTTGATGGCCTCGATCAGTCTGGCTCTGACAACGCCCCCATGTTGGCGGCCTTCAACTCTGGCCAGCCTAATTTTAATACGCTGCCCACACAGTCGCCCTTGAACGTGTCAAATCAACATCTGACAAACCCACCTACCAATGGCGCTGTCCAGGTCAATGAGACTCCATCCTCCAATGGCTCTGGGCAAGCTGCGTTGTCGGCTTCCGCCAGTTTCGTGAAGCCAAGTTCAACCACAAGTGTCAACGATGCTAGCCAGCTCAACGGCGCTCCCTCTTCCAACAACTCTGTCCAGGCTATGCGTTCAGTCTCAACTAGTATTGACAAGCCTGCTTCAACCGTATCTGTCAACCGTTCTGCTCAGCCAGCGTCTAACAATCTCCCCCTCCATGCGCCACACAGAAAGGTGCCCTACAACCCCTCAATCGGAATTCCATACACCCCCGAGGACACTGAAGCCGACAAGATCAAAAAGTGGGAGAACCTCATCGCTCGTGCCGATCTGGCCAATGCTGGCGTGCCTGCCTCTGCTTCTCAAATCATTGAAGAAGAGAGCGCTGAAGAAAGCCTCCAGACTGTGGACTCGCCCAACTCTCTATTTGACTCCCCTCGCTCCTCCTCCGTTGAGGTTGTTGAGACACCCAGTCCCACTCCGCCGACTCCATCCTCTTCCCAGGCCCCTGCACCCACGATGGCACCTTCGAAGGCCTCCAAGAATGTGATTGTAAGTCCCAGCAGATGGTTCGCTCGTTCATGTTAGAATGATTTGCTAACAGCTTTCAACAGGCACGCGCCACTCGTCACGCTGTGCAGTTACCACGTGCCTTGACAAGTCAGAAGAATTATGCGCAGCATGTGTCTCCTTTTGCTCCTGTCGCAACAGTTGCTCCCCCCGTCCCCTCTGCGCCGACTTCTCGGGAGCTCGAGAAAGCTCGATCCCGGATCCAGAGTCTTGCAAAAGAACGAAATTTTTACCAACGCAATTTGCGAAAGGCAACTAGTGTGGACCCCAAGACGGGCAAGAATACTTTGCAAACCCTGCAGGCACAGAATGTGGCTCTTCAGCGGGCGAACACCAAGCAGGAGAGGGATATGAAAGAGATGCAGGAGATGTTGAAGGAGGGTCACCGCCAATATGCCCTCCTGAGTGACCGATTCAACGAGCTGGCGAAAGAAATGCACAAGGCACGGCTCGAGCTAGATGAGCTAAGAAGATAGGTTTTAGCTGCGAACTCTGGGGGAGTTGATTCTTTGGCAGTTATCAGGTCCTTGTAACAACACAGTCAAATCGCTCTTAATTTCACTTCTCAACGGATTATTTATGCTCTTATTAGAAGTTTATAGTTGTTCACATTTACATTATTGTAATTACAGTACCTGGAATCTGGTACAGTCTAACGGATCTTGAAGATTGCGTACACTCTTACCGTGCATGAGACAAAATTGGCAGGGCTCTTAGCCGTATGCTTTGTCGAGAAACCAGCTGCGACATTTTGGATGCTGTATACCCGACGTAGCCAGCATATGATGTTGTATATAATTGACTCGCTCACTACCCAGGATATGTTTGAGAAACTTGATCATTTGGTGATTTGGAACAACATTCCATCGCGCTTTATTCTGCTAACTCGTCACACATAGGACTTGTAATAACTTTGCAAAAGATCAAGAGATTTATCCTGAATATCTACACGCTGAGGTTCAGCCCCAGTCTTATGGCACGGTTTGAGCATAGTCTTAGACTTATCATGGATAAGAATCATCTTGGTGAGACTCTTCAGGGGATTGCTATTCTTTTAATCTTTTGCATGAATCATATTGATTTTTGAAAGGGTTCCTTACCAGCTAAGCGATGACTTAGATAGCTCTGAAAAGAGACTTGGTAGTAGCTTTAATTTTAAGAAGAGAGATACAGAGAGATATTGGAATTCTTGCTCGTATGTAGCCAAGGAAAACCAGCAGTCTTTGCAACTGTTAAGCAGTAAAATCCTTTGTTTTTATATCAGATGAGACCTTACTTTCTGACATGGATGTCAGCATCCCAAGCATGATGCCTCATGGATACAATGCATACAACCTACTTCACATAAATGCTTTTCATCTTATGCATGCAAGCTCTAGGGACATGATTACATGTTTTATTGAATGTTGGTCGAATTCAACGTTCACAATAGCCAGATCAGCGTGTTGAACAAAAAAAGCCTTCCATGTTCGTACACGCGCAAACATCCCAATGCGGACATAAGTGGAGCCCTTTCCGAAAATTTTGTTCTCGCTTATAGTGCACATTTGGGCCACATCTATCATACAACAGCATGGCCGGCTGGCCCAATGGCAAGGCGCTTGACTACGAATCAAGAGATTGCAGGTTCGATCCCTGCGTCGGTCAATATTTTTGCCCTCCTGGCTTTTTACATGCTCGTAAATCTACGTCATACCTATATATAACTCGGGCTTCGTTGTGAACGCCTCTAGCATATATAACGTTGTTCGAAAAGTGGTCCTTTAGATTTTTTCTGCATTTCAAACTTAACTTTAACTTGGACCTCGTGAAGTTCTAAAACATTTGTAACATTGGCATAACCTCCAAAAGATATCAAACCCACTTGATGTGTCCCAGGATAGAATTATTGTGCTAAACAAGACCCCCATAGAACTGTGCAATGTACAACATATTCCCTTGCTTGAATCGGCACAGGAAGCATCCGGTTTGGTCCGAGAAAATCACCCAACTTCAAACATGACGACATCAGCCTGCAGAATCCGAAGACACCGGTGAAGGAACTTAGGGCATACAAAAACAAGGCACAGCATGGTAAGATTTGGTTCGTCCAAATAGAGACATAAAAACTGGGACGAGCCAAGAGCCGTATATGTCAGCGGCGTTATTAAAGAAAATAAACGCTTCTTGAAATCGCATCAAGTGGGTCTGAGCTCGGAGTGGATGCAAGGAACGCCAATCAACGTTCATCGTCCCGACCGGGTTCCCGATGTGGATGTTGGATCTTCGATTTCGGCATGCCGGTCTACTGAGTTCGGTTCGGGTTTAGGTGTTTACCATCTGGGAAGCCCTGGATGTTCCAGGGTACTACAGTAATTATGTAAGGATCGAAATCAGCCCGGACCATCCGTCCCGACTGTGGTTCCTGTTTATATTCGGGCCTTGTTCGTTCTTTTCAGTCCTGGCAGGTCTGACATTCCAACCCGCCGAGGAAAGGGAGAATACAGCAGTTTGCTCGTCATGGCGGACCAAGACGAGATCCGTGGAAACTCGGTCTATCAGGTTGAACAACCTGTTGCCGAGACACCCTCACCAGTTGAGAAGCCTGTTGCTGCAAAGAAGCAGAAGAAGACGGGTTTCATGGCCAAGTCAGTATTCCCATACTTCATGCCCCATAACTCATCGTCCATGTTTCCTATACGCATCCACGTATATTGAATAGCACTAACACAGTCACAGAATTGCGAGGATGCTGAACCAAGACATCCGCGAGGAGATGCCTGCATACAAAGATATCGAAATCCACACCTGGGATGGGCCCGACGACCCCGATAACCCATTCAATTGGAGCCTCAAATACAAATGGCTGTTAACTCTCACTGTATGCTTCATGTAAGAGATCCCACGCTATTTTAACATATAAGCCCAAAGCAGCAGCTAACAACTCCATCAGCTCTATCTTGACCGGTCTCCCTGCAGGTACCTACGGCTCCGGGAACGATTGGATGGAGAAGGAATTTCACGTCCAGAATGATCCTTTCCCAAACCTCTACTGGGCCACCACCTCCTGGAACATGGGCGCCGCCTTCTGGCCATTGATTTTCGTTCCTTTGACTGAAGCCTCCGGCCGCATGCCAGGATACTTTGTTGCATATATTATCCTCGTGATCTCCCTCTTCCCGTCCGCATTCGCAAAGAACTTCGCAACTCTTGTCGTGACAAGGTTCTTTGGTGGCGGTGCATCTTCCGTCTCGATCAATATCGTCGGTGGCAGTATCTCCGATGTGTGGCTCGGCGACCACGCTCGCAGTCTTCCAATGTCCATCTTTGGATTTACGAGTGTTGTGGGTATTGCACTTGGTCCGTTCATTGGGTCTGCTATTGTGCAGATTCACAGATCCCAGCCGTGGCGTTGGTAAGCACAACCCTCTCTCCGCTAATCGTTATATCTCCGGAACCCAACAAACAAGAACCCATCATACTAACTACCTTACCCCCATAGGATCTTCTATGTCCAAATCATCTACAACGCAGCCTTGATCCCGGTGTTTTGGTTAATCCTCCGTGAAACTCGCCCGGACGTGATTCTCAAGAGGCGCGCACGCAAGATCCGTAAAGAGACCAACCGCCCAGTCTACGCCGCCTCCGAAATCGACGCACCAAGCAAAATGCGCCTGCTCAAGATCTCTTTCCAACGCCCGACCAACATGCTCCTCACCGAGCCGGTCGTGATCTTCTTCACTTTATGGATTAGCTTTGCGTGGGGAATTCTATACCTCTTCTTCTCCAGCGTCGTGCAAACCTACTCAACGAACTACGGCTGGGGCACCTTATCGACAGGCCTAGTCCAGCTCGCCATCTCCGTCGGCGCAATCATCGGAACAGCCATCAACCCGCTGCAGGACTGGTTCTATCTCCGCTCTGAGCGACGCAACACGGAGAGACCCGGTAAACCCATTCCCGAGGCCAGACTGTACACATCTATTCCGGGCAGTCTACTCTTTGCCGGCGGATTGTTCTGGTATGGCTGGGCTAGTCAGCCAGATGTTCACTGGATCGTGCCGACTATTGGTATCACAGCGGCGGGCATTGGCATTTATTCAATTTACATGGCCGTTGTCAATTATCTGACTGACGCTTATGAGCGGTATGCAGCATCGGCTTTGTCGGCTGCTTCACTTGGAAGAAATGCTTTTGGCGCGTTTTTGCCGCTTGCTTCGCCGCAGTTGTTTAGTAATCTTGGGTTTGGATGGGCTGGAAGTTTGCTGGGGTTCATCGGAGTTGCATTGTCTGTTGTTCCTGTTGTTTTGGTTTGGAAGGGAAAGCAGATTCGGGAGAGGAGTACGTTTATGAGGGAGGCTATGTGGGAGCCGGAGGAGAAGGTTGAGATTGATCGCACCGGGAAGGGCGATATGGGGCATGCTGAGGGCATTGCGTGAGATTGTATACGCTGAGGTGGTCTGTTGCGCTGCATTGCATGGTTGTTTATTTTGCTCTACTTGGTCTCTACCTTTACTCCACATACAATTTATATCGATTAGTATACTTCGAGCAATATCATTTTATATAAGTCGATATAAAATTCGTTTGTGATCTTCAAATCTCTATGTGGGCATGTCGTTCCGAGATATTCATCTACCAGTGCCGCACTATGAAGAGCGCATTGCGAATGGCGTTGATAGATTTGTGCGCCGCATAAGGTGGACAGCCAACTGGTGCAGCGTTTCAATGTGAGTACCGCCTCCCCCCTTTCCCCTTTCCCGACATCTCTAACACGCGTGTGTGTAGTGGATTCTTCAGTGCGACGGCAAGGACCTCTGGCGTCTGGACGGCAACAACTTCTACCCCGAGAAAGGTCATACCCTCCCCGACGAGGCTAAGAGGATCGATATCGGCCAGTCCTGGTTGCGCTACGAAAGACAAACGATCAAGGTTCTCCCAGAGACTGGGGCTATTGTGTTTTGTGTCCGACTCTACATGACCAGCCTGCCTGATATTGTGCGCGAGGGCAACGGTGTCGAGCTGGCGGACGCGATTGATTCGATGCCGGAGAAGTTGGGGCTGTAAAAGATGCGCCCATTGTGGGAGGAAGACGTGATGGCTTTCCTGCGCGGCACCAGTTGATGCTTTGATCTGGTAGGATTCGAGGTTGATGCGCAGTCAACTGGTAGTTGAAGGTGAGGGGCCGAGGGAAAATATACAAAATTGCTGTCCAATATTGTAGTCATGTGTAGGCTTTCAAATGTTCTTTATGATTGATGTTAGGTTACTAGAATAGAAAATTCTGACCAGTGTGATGATGACAAGTTTTGAAATTACGGTGAGCCCTGTAGCTTGACAGCCCAAGGTGTTTACATTCCAAGGTTGTAATCTGGACTGTAGTTCAAACGTGAAATTTCCGGCTACTCTCTCCAGGGCTGTGTACTCAGCACTAATCTTTCAAATGTTGTTTTTTCTATTTTCTATTTTCTATTTTCTATTTTCTTTTTTCTTTTTTCTTTTTCTCCAGTTACAAGAATTGGAAGCATCTTCGTCCATTTCGTGCACTTTACGCGATGACCTCGCGTCATCAGCTTTTTCAATTTGCAGTCTGGACTCGATTGTCGATTATGAGGAATTTTACCTTAGAATTAGTGTGGTCTGGGATGACAGCCTGACGCGTGTTCGATGCATCATTCCTCGGCATTCCTCTGTCAGCGCGCCTCGGAAATCGGCTCACTCTTAGCCTCACTTTCTTTCTTCTCCTCGTCGCCCTCCTTTTGCTTATCCTTGACCGAATTCCAGTTCATTCCCAATGCTGCAACAAACCCCAAACAGCAGGCCGCGACAGGAAGCCAGAAGCAGCTTGTTACAGCGTGGTTATATATCTTCAACACGGATGCCCTCTCACTGACCGCAATATGTTGCAAGAAGCCCGTTGCACCTTCTTGGATAATATCCTCGGCGTTCACGCCTGGGAGAGCAGCAGCCTGCAAGCCACTTCGCAGCAAATTCGTAAACACATTCTCGCATATAGAAATCGACACCGCAGCGGCAAAACTGATCCCGAATCCTACGCCTGCCAGTCCGAGGGGTACATCTTTTTCTGGGAGGGCTGTTTGAATCGCTGACCACGGCTGTGGGAATGCCAGTCCAGTGCCCATTCCCAACATCACCTGCCAACCGATCCAGGCCGCATGTGTGGTCGAGGGCTTGAATGTGGTTAGGAATGCGAAGCCGATTGCCATCAAGGTGGAACCCGCTAGCATCAGTGGCGTGTAGTATCCAATAAATGAGAGGACGAAGCCTGAGCTTATGGCTACCACGGAGAGCCCGATGATTGAGGGGAGGAGCATCTCTCCAGACTTAGCAGCCGTCGCGCCCTTGACCGCTTGGAACCAGATCGGAAGCTACAAGTATGATACAGTGGTAAGCGAGTGTTCGATGAAAAGTTTTGTGTCAAGGGGACTCACATAATAGTCAATGATATTAAACGCAGCGGAAGAGCAAAACGCATACATCATACACAAGCCTGCCGTTCGATTGAAAATAACCGATCGCGGAATCATAGCCTCGCCTTCGCGGAAATGCTCATACGCCAGAAATGCGGCAAATGCAACGCCTGCAACTATTAGAGGCGCAATCACCTTCCCACTGCTCCAGGGGTACGTTGTGCCGCCCCATTGTAGGGCAAGTAGCAAGCAAACGATACTTCCGGTGAAGACCAGCAGACTTGGGAGGTTAAGTTTCTTCAGTTTTGTCATCGGCGATTCATCTTTACCCTTTTGATCCGGCGGCTGCTTGAAGACGAAAACTAATATGAATAGAGTGAACCCTCCGATCGGGAGGTTCAGCCAGAAACTAGCAGACAGGATGCATCAGCAAAGTTGTGCTCATCCTGGAGAATGCGATCAAGATTAACATCCACTTACCACCACCTCCATGTAACGTCAGTTGTCAGAGCGCCACCAATCACAGGGGCTATGACCATGGCAATACACTCCAGACCCCCGACAGTGCTGTTGAAGATTGGTCTCCATCGCAACGGCAAAGTAGTCGAGCCAGCACTAGGTCACGTCAGTAGGTGACACTTGCTGTAGACGCTCTGGTACTTACATCAAGACACCATTAAGAACCCCCGATGCCCCACAGCCAGCGATCGCACGACTAACAATAAAGGCAGGGGAGTTGGGGGCAGCGGCAGAGAGGATTGATCCGATTTCGAGAATTACAACCGAGATGACCAGCAGCCATTTCACGCGAAACATGGTATACAATTTACCGAACATGAAGTGTTGAACAGGTAGTTAATTGGTATGCCGAGCCATACCAGCCGATGTCAGTAATAGAGTTGAATTCATCGCTTATTGTTGGCGTCGCAGTGCCAACGATAGTGTTGTCCTGAACACTCACAATAATTGTTAGCAAAATTTTGAGGCGAAAAAGATGAAACATACAAGTCCCAGAATAAAAATGCCCAAGCTCATTGCAATGAAAACAGGAACTTGCTGCCAAAGATTGAAATCGGGTTCAGGATCCTGCTGCTCAGGTGCTGTCTCTGCTTTTTCCAAGCGCAGCCTTTTCTCATCGTTTTCTGTAGTGATGGCCATCGTTGAATCCGGGTCGACATTTTGAACAGATCGATCGACTGTTTCCATAGCTGTAGAGGTAGAAAATTTGTGGAAGAATCGAACTGTTGACAACCTTTTGATTGTTCACAATGTTGTGACAGACGGCACAACACCTTCAATTGCGACCCTGCACCTCGCAAATGCTTTCCTCCCCCCCAGGTGCCTAAGGACTTTTTTGTCCACCAACTCCACTTCTGTACCAGTAATACCACCTAGCGATAATTTATAACCAGGTAAAACTGACCAATGACTAGCAGAAAACCAATCAATGGCTTGGGGGTCACTGTATTACCTTACAGCTAGACCGAGGGGAGTCAAGCGTCTAGAGTGGATCGCGCAAATGTTTGTGTTTAGGGGGACTAGCTGAAGCCTAGACTCGCTATTGGCCGGGGCTTGCCCAGGCGAAGGCTTAGCTCAGACAAGCTCCGACGGCCCCCGGGCCCGGCGTGGAACTCCTGAGCACCGACGCCTGCATTAGTGGGTGCAACGGGACTTCTTTCAATACTGGATCCACCTGTAAGAATGTCCAGGCCTAAACCGTCTTGTGGGGTACCGCCGTGACCTGCTGATAGTTTACCATCGTATAGAAGTTACTTCCGTCTAGACCGTCCATCGATGTAGTGCTGTCACCAAAGCATGGTACAGATGCAGGCTAGATAGATGTAAATAATGGCTTACACGTTTGACGCCTATCATCAATTCGTATAAGCACTGGAGCGTTCAAATGTTATCGCAAGTATGACCTTACTTGTGCTTGTCCTCGCATTTCTCTGTTATAGCTATTTCAGCATTCGTCTGCTCTATTCCTTACGCAAGATACCCGCGGCGCACTGGTCTTCGCGCTTCAGCTACGTAGGAGCAGGACCTCTAAGATAATACCTCCCTCTGCAGCAGCATAGTGTGATGTGCAAGCAAATTTGCCACGCTTCACCCAAGCCATTAAAGCTTAGCTTGCTACGAAGCTGTCTAGAATTACTCCTGCGTGTGCACCTCACCCGGCTCTGATACCAGCGGCCTCCTTAACAAATGCAGAGTACTAGTAATTCATAGGTCCCGGATTGACATCCACAATTTATTTTTTCTCCAGTATTTAACAGCAATTTCACAATGCCGACATGCCCATTCCGAATTGCCAACCGTAGCAGTGTCAGCCCTTCTGCATTAGTAGCCTCTATCTGTTTAACGCCCTAGTGGCGGAGTAACAGGGATAAAATCCTTTCATTTCCCATTCCCGAAGCTAAGTGTAATAGCGTAGACCCCGAATTATCCTGGATATCGACCTCGGCTCCGTTCTCGAGTAAACTCAAGATATCTCGGTCCCCCTTCTTAACTGATGTAGGGGACTGTATGGCTCATTGGCAAAGGCAAAACAATTGAATTAGGTACTCATCAGTTCTCGAAGGTTAGCCCCAAAGCCTGCTAGTTCACACAGCTACGACCGGATTTTAAAAACCCCCCGGTCTAGATTGAAACTTCACGCATAAGCCAGGTAGTATTCCGTCGGACACTGGCACTATTCCTCGAAATTTCAGGATCATACTAACGCTAGCTACCAATAAGACTTATCTACCCGCATGAGGCTTCCCGATCGATCTCCACAACGTGAAGCTTAGCGATTTAAACCCTCAGTGCCACTAAGGGAGCATTTGTTCCCTAGTGGGGTCAATAATGCTAGCCTCCACCTCGCCTCCCTATCAGCCTATAGCGGATGGTTACGGGTAGCCCGAAACGGGTTACCCGCGGGCGGGGCCGAGGCCTACCCGAACCAGTTTAATTCTACGTAGAGTCGTGATTTCTGTTCGTACTGGGGGGGGATTCTCGACACCTCCGAGATCGAGTCGTAGATCAGTAGCCTAGACTTGGCGACCTGATCGATGATCCCTGTCCCATTATTTGTGGATCGCGGGTAAATGTATACCGTTCTTTTCGTGTTCTTGATCTTCGGATCTCAGCACCAAGGTGCCCCGGCACTAGCACTCCACCAAGTAAATGAATACAAATTTCCCCATTGTCGCGAGCCTATCAAAGTGCGGTTTGTGCATGGGCCAACATACTGGATCCTGGGAGATGACTCGCCGATCACATGTCGTTGTTTTCTTTTTTTCATCCCCGTCAAGAGCTTGTTGCTGTTGTCGATCTCGGTATATTGACAGCTACCTACTCCAGGGCGATCCTGTTAACGTGCCGGCTGAGGCTGTCTGCCCTCGGAAAGCCACGGCTCGCCCCTTCACTGTACTTACATCGTTCAAATGGACAGTAGAGAGGAACAAAGCCATCCACTATTTTGGGGTGCTTTGCCTTAGGGTGTCGACCCAGGTCCTTCTTTTTCTTTTAGTGCAAACGCCATTCCACAGTCATTAACAATACATTTGAACGGTCTCGTATGTCGCTTGGTATATCGACTCGGGCTTGGTAAGCTAATTTCTTCTGAGATAATGCAAGGTGTAATGGGAAGCGTTTTTATAACCTACTTGAGCGTGTTGTTTAGAAAGGCCATCCATCGATCAGCAAGCTCCTGCACATGGTAATGTGTTCTATTTTGTACTTCTGCTATCAGACCAATGGCTGTTCCAAATCCGAACTAACAAGGCAATATTTCAGTCATCAGCGACTACATGCTATTTTCGGCTTTCTTCAACCTCCTTTGTGGTGGCCTTTCCCATCGAAAGCAGTATTGCCCCTTCTCTAGTGCAATGCGTCTCGAACGCACACCCGTTCGCCAGACAGGTTCTCCTTCCTCTGTCATACCCAGCTCAAAGGGCACATTATAGTCTGGAGGGGTGGGAAGATCCGGCCATGTAAGTCGCTTGGGTGGATTGGGATCTTGTTCTGTCGCTCTATCGGCTCTTGATGCTACCCATTCATTTAGAAACTCGCGAAATCTTGACACATCAGAGTCTAGTTCACAATGACATGTCCATTCAGTAGTCTGCACCATGTCTTTGTTTCGTTCCCAGTGAGGAATACTCGTAAAGTACGTATCGTTAGTGATGATCTCGTACAAGGTGAAGATAACACCAGACACATCGTCTCGACCATCTATTAGGCCGTCTTGGCCATTGGCGGCCCAATCAAAGTCGAACAGAATAATCTTATCTGTTTCGGGGTCGACAAGCAAATTCCGCGGTGCAATGTCTTGATGTACGATCCCCATATCTAGGTTTAGGAAATCCACTAGCTGAGTAAGCTGCTGTAGCCATTTAAATCGGAAAGGCCTTTTCGGTTTTGCCTCTGCTAGTGTCCCACCCAGGATATACTTTGTTGTGAATCCGATGACTCGAGACTCTACGTCCTCGAGAACAATGCGGTCAAACGGTATTATATTAGGATGTGGTGGTAGTTTGCTAAGCAGGTTCATCTCCTTCCAAGACATTTGTAGTCTTCGGGGCATACCTAAAGGGTTGAACTTAAATGCGACCCTATGACCATTGTACGATGAGAGATCGACACCTGGTCCGAGCCGGTCGAGCTCTTGTAGTTGGGAGAAATAGATAGTTGGGCAATCTTTGAGTGATTGGCAAAGAGATAAGGGGATATAAGCAATAAAGAGTGTATCATCTTCTTCCGGGTCTGTTGAGACTGTAGTGAGAAGCCCGTCATCGTTGACTGTTATAGAACGAACCTCTGGCGAGAGGTAATCGGCAAATTGTGCAAGGACTAAGGTTTCAATATCTTCTCCAGGTGGAAAAAGCTTCGCAGTCCCTTTGACTTTGATCCATCGCAGCTGATCCCAATCCCAGACGTTGCAGTGGGTTTCGGTCGCAGGGCTCTCACTTGGGCCAAAATAGCCTTGGCCCTCTGAGAAGAATCTTTCATGAGGCTCGATCATGGCAAAATATCAATGAAAATATTGCTTGATACACGTATGTTGTTGGTGTGGATGAGTCAACCGTGGTTGTCCTGCGAAGGGACTTTTATATTCAAACGGAACTTGGAAATGCGGTGTAAATAGGCAGAACATGTTCAGTTCCATGATGCTTATTAGTGACGTTGGTAGCCTATTCAAAGCGCGTACTTGTCAATCAAAATTAGACCTGTAGGCTTATCAACGACCCACCAAGAACCTATGGCCCCATATATTACTATTACACATACAATACAGGAAAGAAAGCTCTGTAATATGGTGTACAGTGACGGTCCATAAATTTGAGCACTCCTATTCTGTCGGCATTATATCCACCAATAAAGTCGTTACAATGATTGCCAGTATGACAATATAAAACTATTAAAGTAGGCGGTATGGTATTTTATGAAGGCGGTAGTCGAAGGGATGCCCAAACTTATGGACCGTAGTATATTGTGTTAGTTGAGGCTCAATATTTCCGACAGACCTGGCCAAGCATCAACGCGAAGATCAGCAAGGCCCTTCTCCGTAATCTGGTTCCCAGGACTCTTAGTATGCCCTATAATTACAAAGGATTTCAATACACCGTAATTGAGTGAATTAAATTTTCCGCTTATAGCTGGTTAATTCGGGAGAAGAGCCTGGGGAGGGTCTCTGATGTCGCCTGGGACGCCTGGGACGCTAAATAAGAAACATGGACCCTACCCACCATCCTTTCCTTTCCCGCGCTCTTTCCTGGAGATTTCGTTATGTTCATCATTCGTAAGATGGGGTCATGCAGGCGCACGTATCCATTCGGCCTTGTGTACAGTCCCCGCATGTTTTGGCAACATAATGCGCTATCCAATGCGGCTCACAAATTGATCATAAACATGACCTCAAATATATTTTTGCGGCATTTTCCGAGCCTACTATTGTTCATCAAATCAGGCAACCTCTAGTGACCCTTCCAAGAATTCATAACCAGCCGTTCGCTTGTGTGTAGTGGGAGATTTGTTATTGATTCATGTCCGCATGAGCGTGGCTTTTCATTCTTCGAACTATGGACACTGGACGCAGGCACATCGTCTTCCAACGAATTAATACACTGCTCAGATATATCCCGGTAGGAATCCTCACTCCCGACTTCCCCTAGAGCTCGTTTAATCTAGAGCTATCCCTAGATACTGATTTCGATTGCCCTCTAGATGACCGATCAACCTTGCCTTTTTCTCACCTTCCACAAGTTGCATATCGAGCAACAAGCCGTCCAAGCTATTTTCATCCACCACCCCCGGATACAATATTGAAAGGGCCCCACGGTCTTTTACACTCGAACCGATACTGCTTTTCTCTCCATTATATACCGGCAATTGAACATGGTAATCACCCTCACGAGAAGCAGAAGCGGGATTTCATATTGACTTCTCGCAAGTAATGCGACCTGTTTCCCAAGTATGCCCCGATGAAACGATCACTTACTCTAGGAGAGCTACAAGGGAACCGAAAAAGCTCTCATTTTCCCACCAGAAGTTGTTAAAGGCTACCGGCACCGTTGGCTCCTGCAATAGAAGCGACATCAATGTTGGGTTTGCAGAACAGAAAGACTGCTTGCAGACAACCAAGGTAAACAAAATGACCTCAACAGGCTTTTTGACGTCAATGAGCTCACGAGACGACCATAGACTTTCTCAGACTCCAAGCCGCGACTCAATACCGATAAGAACATTGCAACATCCCCATCCTGCATACCCACAAAAGCCAGAGCTGTCTCCACCAACTCGTCAAGCGGTGCTCTTGTCGCGAGGACAGATACCTGTGTATACTGCGGCAGGGGCTTTCTACAAACCAGGTATCTGAAGCGCCGTACCCACATCTCACACCAAGGTGGGCTCGCCTCGCCAGGCGCGCCACCCACCCCAATAACTGAGGCTGGTTTCCAGCCCCAAGTCGGTTCAGATAGTACTCGAAATGGCAATCACAGGTTGATGATATCCAGGCGCCACCAATCTCTAGCCCGAGGATTCTACACAACAGGTCCCAGCTTACGTCGTTTGACGAGTTCATGAAGTTGTCAAAGCTTGAAGCAAGTCCAACAAGTGACCGTGTCATTGTCACACAAGTGCTCTCTCGCCTTCTGGTAAGCAACGTCACTTTCATGGGGCTCTTAAATATAATCGTGTGGGCGAATCTGAGCGACGAGGCATGCACAAGTGCTTTGAGTGCGTAGAGTCACCTGGCTCCAGTTATACTATAGGGTAAAGGTATGTTTGGCTATGACTCAATGAAATTTTATATATGCCAGCAGGAGAAGACTGAATGAATGCCCTCGTCTTCGTGTTGTACCAAGAGATTACCGAGAACCTTGCAAGAGATTTGGAAGTAATAGAGATGGGATGGATGGATCAAGAGATGCTCGCCTTATTCCTAGGGCCGAGAAAGCTTGAAACATACCATCCGAGCAAGCCGGTAGGTACGCTGTCTTCTTCATCTGCGCGTGAGCTTCATTGACACACTTAGACTTTATCTCGTATATTGCAAGCTTTGACGGTGGAATTCCAGTGAGGGATAGTGCTTTGGTCGCAGGTTATTGTCGAAACTTAGGGAAACGCTGATATGCAGACACTCGACACAGGGACTGAGGCAGAAGCCATGTGATTCCGAGACAACGGCCGTAACAATCGTCGAAAGTGCTGAATAGGAACCTGAATCCTTAGGTAGATTATGTGATAAATCAACTTGACAGTTAGTGATCTGCAAGTTATTTATATCTAGTATTGTCCAAATAGTGAAGATGAATGTATTCTGTAAATAATTTGCTCTACTGGTCGTCAGTCAACGTCAGTTGATAAAACGTGTAGAAGATTTAAATCTCGATCGAAGTAGAATAAACACATGAATTCATTGTTTTATTTTGTTTTTATGTCCATCTACTGGCTCTTCTCTATATAATGTCAAGAGGATATAGAAAAGACAAGAAACCAAAAACCACAACTTCCTGCACATGTTCTATCGTGTCCGAGTCCGAAAGGGGAAGGATAGTGGAAGAGGGTATCGGGGCAAAGGGGTCATGGTCGGAGGTGAAATGTTCGTTTCACCTGGTTGCTTTTGGGGAACACTTTCGCTATCAAACATTCAACCACAAGCGCGCAAAATTTACTTTTGCTTTTCGTCGCGCATCTTGCGGAAGAAGTCCATGACACCGGTGTAGACAACAAGCAAGATACCGCCACCGGGACCGAGACGGAGGACCTTAGGGGTGAAGCCCTTGTAAAGGGCAGCGAAGCCCTCCTCCTTCATCACGGTGCCGAGAGCAGGCCAGGCCCAGTTGTACTTGGCAACCTGACCGGGAACCTTGGAGGTGTTCTGGATGCGGGACTTGACAACATCCATGGGGGTGTTGAGGAGAGTACCGGTGATACCACCGATGGTACCGGCGATCAAGTCGTTGCGGGTCTGCTGGTTCTTGTTGCCGGGCTCGACGGCGGGCAGCTGTGCGCGGACCTGGAAGATACAGCCGAAGTAACCTGCATTCCACAGGACGTGACGCCACATGGTCGACTCAAGGCCGTTGTACATTGCCAGGGGTCCTTCGGCGGCCACGATCTTCTTCACCACGTCCAACATGCCGTTGTACTTGTGGGCCTGTGCCTTGTCTTGCAGACGGATCTTCACCAGCTCGAAAGGAACGACCACGAAGGCTTCAGTGGCTCCGGCTGTGGCTCCGGTCAAAGTGGCCAGGCCTTGGGTCTGCTTGTCGACGCCGAACAGGTTGCGGTAGAAACTACCCCAGCTGTCGTTGGCGGCGAACTTGGTCGCACGCTTAGGTGCCTCCATCAGGATGGGTGCAGAGATACCACGGTACAGACGGGAAGCGCTATAGAGGTTGCCGCTTGTTAGAGAGAGAGCCGTGGCTGCATCGCTGGGGTGATGACATACCCCTCGTTCTTGACGATCTTACGGAAGCAGTCGAACATGCCATTGTAGTGGTCAACACCGGGGACAGCGGGTCCGGTCTGAAGCTGACTGCAAAGAGGTTACTGTTAGCTCATGTCATATGAGGTTGGTGTTTGTTGCGACCGGCGGGTTGCTTACATTCGAGTCTTGAGCACATCCAGAGGATACCTGTGAGTCACACATCGTCAATTGGGTCCAATTTTTCACAACATCATAAGCATATCTCCAACAGAAGCAATTTTGCGGCCAATAAATAGTAGTGGGGAGCCGTACATGACCAGGATCTGCGTGCGGGGACAGACAGGTTAGTCAATAAAGCACCTCGTGGGGGGTTCCGACACAACGAATCAAATCGGAAACACTTTCTGAAACAGCAGCAGGAAAAACGTACCTCGGAAACACCAGCCACCGCACCGGCGGCGAACTGGTAGATGAAGGGGAGGGGTGCCTGGGGAGTTTCGGACATGATGGCGGCTTCAGCTGTAAAATGTCAGTATGGGACCGAAATTGGGCAATAGTGGGATTGCAAAAGCCATCGCAAAGTCAAAGCAAAGCGTAATGCAATTACACCACAACATAGTACTCACGCGTTAAAAGAACGAGAGTTGGGGAAAGAAGAAGTGCGAAGAGAGGAGGTTGCCGGTGTCGGCAAGATTCGGTGATCAACTCCGAGTGCAGCAGCCGGTAAGTTGTTTAGCCCCGTCAATTGCCGATTACTAAACCCCCGTGGGGAGAGCTATAAAATATACATTCCAGTCTGTTTTCGGATGTATTGTCATCAATTCATGTTTATCGTCTCTTCTATCTGCCTCATAATATTCATGATATCAAACCTACACTCATTCCCAGCATCATCCCCAATATCATTTTGCTAACCCGATGCATCACGCCATCTGCGCTGGGCGCGGTGGCTTGTTCCTTGGCGACAGTCGTCCCAACTGCGGTGTCCCTCGCAGTACAGCTAGCACCACAGGCGAAGCCCATAGGACAGCATCCTCCGCCCACGGTGTCTGCACAGTGGAACCAGCCCTGAGCGCACCGGCTCCCGCCAGAGTGTTCCGTCGTTGTCGCGACGGGCGCTACAATTGTCACGCCGTTTGATGTGATAGTTGTCGAGGGAGTGATCGGACATGAAGTTGTGTCACAGTCTCGTCCAGTACGACAGCAGCCTCCATGGTAGACAGCGGAGCAGGCATAGAAACCAGTCGGGCAGACATCGTCGCCGCTGGTAGCACTGGTTACTGTTGAGAGGTTGGTAGGCCGTGCTGGCGGTGCCAAGCTATCATTTGTTGTGGTCTGGCTGCTAAAGGAAGAGGTCGTCGAAGAAGAGCAAGGTGTGGAGGTAGAAGTGGTATCCTGTGGTTTGGTCGAGTAAGTCACAGTAGACAACATCACAGTCGAATGAACAGTCACTGTAATAACAGTGACGTATGCACCTACTCGAGCAATTAGTATAAGCGCCTTCTCAATTTCCGTGCTATGAATGAGCAAAAGAAGGAAGAAATTCCACTCACATCCCCCTGGAACACAATCGTACCCCGGAATACAACATCCACCTCCCAAAGCCGACGAACAAGCCGTATACCCACTCTTACACGATCCAATCATCCCAGAGCACATCTGCCAGCTAGGACAGCAGCCCACATCGCCGTGCCCCGTATCAGCGACGATCTCGCACGTTTCCCCGGCCCCACAGCAGCGATCGGATCGACCGATAGATGTGCACGCCGACGTCCCAGTCGGGCACTTGAAGTCCCGTGACTCCAGCAGATTATTTGCGCTAAAGCTGTTTCCTCGGGGGCGGAATTGATTGTTTCCATCTGAGCCCAATGAATAAGATGGCCCGAATGGGTATGATTGGGCGACAAAGCGCGCAGGGGAAAATCCGTCTTCGTCAGAGAGTTGTCGCTCAGATAAGTTACCTGACAAAGGGACATCCCCGAAATCCCAATAATGAAGGAAGAATTTCTCGCCTTCGTCGTCGCTCATTTTCTTCACCCCGCGGGCTGGTCCTGCTGCGAGCTGGGATGCTATTGCGACGTTGCGCTGTTGAATGAGGCTCTCAGCTTCTTTGGACGCTGGATCTGCAGAGGGGCTTGCGTTTTCTGCTAAGGCCAGTGTTGGAAAATGGGATAGTGAGCAGAAGACAGTTAGGGCGTAGAAGAGCTGCATGCTGCCGTTGAGCATCGACGATAGATCTCGAGTTCTTTTAAGCTGAGACTAGTGGGAATAGTCGGGTTGGAGGCTAGCTTGTAGTTGAACAATTGTTTCAAATTTGTGTTTCACCAAGAAGCGCTATGGATGAGTTGGTTGGAAATGAAATTTCGGGTTGGGTCGGTGGGCGCAATGGTGCATATATATATTCCTATGTCCCTTGATGAGTTTGCAAGATAGTCAAGTGTGGCAGATTTCAGGTAAGATTTCAGGTAGAATGATGCTCATCAATGTAAGAACCTATTAAGGGCGCATTGGGTTTTCTATATATCTGCACAGCTGCATGGAAAGGTGGCTGGGAGTGCACACACCGCTACACATTAGCTTGCATTAGCTTGCAGGACAAGTCACAGGTAGATAGTATATACGGAGTACTCAATACTTGATACTCCGGGGAAACGTTCTTATATTAGCTGAGTTGAGTATGGAGACTTATTTTCAACACGAATAATATCGCTATACCAGCCTACGTATTACATGTACGATATCAAGAGACTACTTCCGACTCTCACTCCAAACGTGACAAGAACTCCCCGAGACCAATTTCGAAAAGGCTCATATCATTTGTAAAATCAAAGATCACATGCTGGTAGCATTCAAAGTGCCGCAGGGTATCGTCAGTAAATGACATAAGGGGCTCTCGCACGGGAAACACGCCAAAAGGTATCAACGGACATGAAACGAACAAAACCAAGGCCCCAATGCGATGTCAAATGCAATAAATCAAACAGATAAAAGTGTGAAACCAATTTCACTTGCTCTTGGCAATAAGAGATTCGCCATGGAAACCTCGTAGGGTGGGGGAGGACCATACTGAGACAGAAAGTGAATGGACGTCCTTAAACCAATACAAGATCAAGTAGAGGGTTGTTCGGACTGGGCCTTGTCTTCGTCTTCTGGTGCTTTGGGGAGTGGATTCACCGTGTCAGAGGATGGCGACTTGGGCTCTTCTGCCTTCTCTGCCTGATCGCCACTCTCCGGGCCCGCTTCTGTCTCATCTTCTTTCTCGCTTTCTTGCTGGTCATCACCCCCACCCTCACTCTTCTGCTCCGCTGCCTGCGCAGCAGCAGCTTCCGCCTCTGCCTTCTCCATCTCGGCATTGCGGGCCTGTTGTCTTTCCCAGACTTCTTTACGAATGCGCTCGTCCTTCGCAGTGCGGAGACGCTCAGTCTCTTCGAAACCACCGCTCTTCTTCAATCTACCTTCCTCGACAAATGCACCTAGTTCCTTCTGGAAAAGACCGATTCGCCGAGTCTCGAGCTCTACCTTTCGTGCTTTCTCTGCTCGCTCAATCGCCTCGAGTCGGCTTTCGTGATTGGGTCGCAAGGCACGGACTTCGCCCAGGACACCATCCTTGGCCTTCATGGGATCAACAGTTGGGTCGATTTCAAGAGTCCTAGATGGGGCGCGAACAGCGGTGCCACTAGTTGGAGTCGTCATGACCTGCTCCTTCGTAGCTTGCTCCACCAGAGCGAAGGTCTGAGTCGCCTTCTCGAGATCGTCTTGCAAGTCGGCAGCGAGATCCTCCTGCATGGTAAGCTGGTCTCGTTCTTCGCAAACTAGCTGTAGCTCCTTCTCCCAGATCTTGGTCCATATGGGCTTCTCGCGACCTAGGAAGTCCTGCATTTTCTTGATTTCTTTCATGACCATGCTGATGTCGCGACTGACACCCTCCAATTGTCTTGGGAGGGGACGGACGCCGCGGGTCACGACATCCTTCCGGAGATCCTCAACCAAATCTTGGAGATCATCGACGCGGGCGACCAACCGCTCTGATTCATTTGCAAGTTCCTTCTTGCCAGTGTTGACGCGAGCACGGCCAGCATCACCTTCATAAGAGGGAGTGGCAACATCATCAGCGGCGGTCTTGACCTTGCTTGCCTTGGCACGGACTGCGCTCATAGAACCAGTAATGTCGGCAGTAAAGTTGGAGTAAGTCTGTCGCAGGACAGCTAAGTCACGACGCAAGGTCTGCAGCTCGGCAATCTGACTTCCGCTGCCGGCAATTGATGACTTGGAGTTCCCAGCTGGACCTGAGGTGGCTGGAGGAGCAGCAGCCAAGCGAGCAATTTCTTTGGCAGCTTCAAGCTGGCGATCCGAAACCCGCTGGATGATATTTCCTTGGCCAGAAAGGGTTTCTTTGACGCCTTCGACCAAGAGGCGCACGCTGCCGAGACTGTCATCGAAATGTTTCTTGACCTCATCAAGATTGTCGACGTTCAGCACCAACACAGATCGGTCTTTGACATCGGCAAGGTCTTCTAATTCATGTCGGATGCCTGAAATTGGGTCTTGTATATAAATTTCGGGCAAATCAACGCCGTTATCGTGGGTATTCCAGGCAAATTTCTCAATGAAAGCAAGCTGCAAGCGCCCAATAGTGAGTTCTGCAATGCCATCTGGAAGCACATACTTCTTGATCTTGCTTTTGTATTGAAGGAACAGCGTAAGTTCTTTTCCCGGTGACGGTTGCTCAGAGGCAAATTGAATAGCCGATGAAGGTGTTGCGATCTCGGCAGACGGTCCAAACGAGTCTGCCCTCGGAGTTTGGGGTGCTGGCTTTGTGGGCTCAAAAGCGCCTTCAAGGGTTGGTTTCTCTTGGGGTAAGGGAATAATCGGAGGAGGAACGATGGCGGACTCCACGGTATCGTCTTTCTTGTTGGGGGTATGCGCTTCGCCGGGGGCTTCGGATGATGAGGCGTCGATCTGTTGGGGCTCAAAAGAGGGTGCAGAGGATGAAGGGATGCGTTCTTCTTCCACAACATTCGGGATATGTGCGGGTGGGGGAGCTTGCGCACCCTTGGCGGCTTCCTGTAAGCGGTTGTTGGATCGCTGCCTGGTGTGATTAAATGAGCCTCGCAGACGAACTGCGTTCAAGGATTCGCGGACATCACGACCTCGGTTGGGGATGGGAGAGTTCTGAGTAGGCAAGACGGGAACGCCGTTGGTTGATGTACCCAAATGTTTCTGAATTTGATAAGCAGAGAATCGTCGCGAGGCGCGTCGTTCAAGCTCTCCACTTCTCTGCAAAGCCCCCAATGCATCATCCTCCTTTGGCGGAGGTGGAGGCGGAGGCGCAGCGAACCCGGTGGGTGTCATGTATGTTGGAGGCGCAGTGGGATTGGATGCGCTGGCTCGAGGGGTTGTCTCATTATCGAAGGGAGTGGGTTGAGACAGCATTTGCTGAGCCTCTCGCCGCGACATTTCTCTTTCAGCGTAATTTGTTGTGCGTGGTTCGGTTGTCGAAGGTGCCGAGGAGGTTCGAGCAATGGTCGGTTGATCCTCGAGAGACCCACCACTGCCATACCGTCGGTTCGATCTTCTGGGGGACTGGGCTGTCGCCGGCAAGGTAGATGCCGCAGCTTCATCATACAGCTGACCGATTGCCTGCCCATTAGCGATGCTTCCGGCACTGGCTTGCCGCGCTGGTGCGGGTCGGCCATCCTCGCGCTGGTGCCGGGACCTTAAACGGGCTTGCTTCTTTTTCAACCCTTTTAACAAGTTGATGATTATATCTCGAATTCGAGGGAGGTATCTATCGAGGCTCTGGGAGGATGCATCCTGGCTAAGAGTGTCTTCAAGTATGGTGCGGAGCAGATCTGGTACAGGCCCGAGGTCTGAGGTGTCGACTCCGATGGCACTGAAGGCCCGACAAGCCAAGTTAAATTCATAGCCCAGTCGAACGTATACATCCGAGACATCGTTCTCCGACGCTTGCTTCCGGGACCATTGTGTTAAAGTTTCGAGGAGTTGTTTTGTCGCAACCAAGAGATGCGTCACGCTCTTTTCGATTTGGGATATTTGCTTATCGGGCTGTTTGGAGAGGGAAGACACCCGTCCATTAGCCAGAATGTATGCAATTGCAAGGCAGTCAGTGACTTACCTGATTTTTGGACTGAGATCGAGACGAAGCGGAGGAACTGCGACCGGACTGCTGGGTAGCCATGGGTGTGTCAGTACTGCCAGACCCCGAGGGTCGCTGAGGGGAGGTTTGTTGATCCAAATGTTCAGGATATGGGAACTGAGTCCTTGAAACACCTGAGGACTGCATAAGTACGATGGGCCAAACCTGAGGGAGTGAGAACAGAAAGTGAGAAATAGGGCAGAAGCGAGGGTGCCAAGCATGTGTGAAGATGATGCCCAGCCTCCTGTCAACTTACCGCACCCGAACCGAAGATCAGCGGTTTATGCCCCAAATACCAAAAATACCATACTTTCCTGTATATCTCTGTAATGATGTACAACAACGTGTTACTCGAGTGTACATGATGTACATGATGTACATGTAGCTACATGTGCTTGACAATTTCCAACTCGATGCCATATAGTCACATGCTCATCTCTATACTTTATACTAAAATAAATCATACATTATAGCATGCAACAGAAACATGACTACAGAGCATTAGGTAGCTTTATTGTATGTACTCCGTACATGTAGGCTCACATCCACTGATAAGTACCCGATTGATAAGGTCTTATGCCTTAGTCTTTCGTTCCACTTCTCCACTCTATTTATATTTCCTAGTGTAAGGCGGATTAATTCATGTCTATTAGTATTGTATAAATTGTCCAGATCTTTTGTCTCTCATGTAGAGTTTCAGCTGGTTGTTTCCTCAAGCCATAATTGCTATCCACTGGGGTAGTACCTCGGGTTTTATATCTTTCTCTTCTCACGGCTACAAACAATCCATGATCTCTTCTTACTGATTTCTCTATGATGAATCTACCTGGGGCAGTGGAGATCGGATGAAGTCTGAAGAGGAACAGATACGAGCCATCGCCACGTCACAGGCTGCTCATTAAATAACTTTAGTGTAAATATATATATCGGTGATCCAAGGGGTCCGGTTCAATACGATTCCTACTAACTATACAGACGATCGAAGGGCACCAACGACTTCATATCAGGCACCAGCGACATTCATTATGCCTTTGCAATGCTGACAAGAAACCTCCCGGGGCTGGAAGCCTGGACGCCTGGATGCCCCAACACATTAGCCTATACTGCAAGTACCTCAACCCTATAACCCTCTAGCGCGATATTGTGTACATAAAACAAGTTCACCAGCTGGCCACTCAGCCACAAGATCATAGTATCAACTCAAAAATTCCAATTATCGATATATAGGTCGGACCCTAAGCTCTGCAATCTACATAGTGGGCCTTCTCATTGTAAGACTAAAATAGGAAAGCCCCACCCGAGGAAGTTCCTTGGAACGAGAGATGTAAAGCTGACCTATGACACCTGCAGATATGAGGTATACAGGCATGGGCCCCGATTCAAATATGTATCTCTATACACTATGCATACGGTCGTTCAAAGGTGGTAACTTGGAGCAAGATGCAAAGTAGCATAGGTAAGATCTGAACAATCACACAAGTTGGGACACCGATAATGCAGTTGATCGTACAAGATGTATACCTATGCGGCCCCCGGGGGATTGCTTATTTCTATTGGTAGTTCACGCGATTAGCTTATGCATTCGAAGTAAATATATCTCATTGGGTTCATGGAGTTCCGACCCTATATCGCACAAATGCCATCATTTTACATTCTATAGTCTCAAACTCTATGGATCCATACGTGAGAGCTACCTCAGCCTGACCCGTACTCTGTCAGTAGCATTCACAATTGGCCTATCCTAGGGTTGGAGGTCTAAGAGCACAGAATCCTTATAGATATTATTCATTTGTGAAATCAACATTCTTCCCATTGGAACATTGACAGTCACCACAAAAAAAAAACAAAAAGAAAGAAAAAAAAAAGAAAAAGGGTGTAACACACAAATACAATACCATACGCGTGACTTCTCTCTCTTCCCCCTCCCCCATCAACTTGCGACGAGCCCATCTCTCTTTCTCCTGGTTTTCTATCTCTTCTTTCCTTTTCATTCTTCTTTTATTTTCCATTGACACTCCGGTATCTCCGTAGTGTGGTGGTTGCTTATTCTTTCCCCCTCACTTTGCCCCCCTAGTCCTGTTTGTGCAGGCGGTGTGTTGTGACATCGTGCCTCATCCTCGCGGCTTTCCGCCGTGTGAAGTTCCACGACACAAGCCTGCCCTGACTGACAATAAAGTCAATGGCTTCTGCTCTCAACTCTGCGGTCAACGCGTCTGGCAATGCCAGCGCGGGCGCCCCCAACCCTGGCCGATCTACTCTGAGATCCAGTAATAGCAAGGGGTCCGACAACCGACGACAGTCGGGCAGCCCTGGAGATGGCGGACAACGGTATGTTTAGCCCTCCCTTCGATGTTGATTCAAACTTGTATTTCCATCACTTCCGGAGTTGGAATATTCTTCGTTTGTTCTGATCGTATTCTTCCCTTGTCCTCTCGGTGATTGAGCTCGTGCACGCGCATTTGAGCCGGTGAGCTCTGTTGCAAGCTTGCATCGAGTTGTGCGCCATCAATAGCCAATTGAAACTGTCAGATTCAATGACGGAAATATTTTGTTCTCTGTTCGTGACCAGTGACCACTAACGCAAGCATGTTCTACTGCATAGGCGCACAAACTCCCACAAGGCCTGGACCCAAGGGACCAACCCCATCACCCAACGATCTTCATACACTTCATCGAACGGCAACGTGACCCATCAGAAACAGTCTGGGTCTCCAAGACCCAACAAGGAGTCCAACACCCCTGATAGCCATGCTCATGATCGCCTCGTCTTCTTATTCGCCAGCTTCATTGTAAGCCCAATCGCACCACCACACTGTCGATAAATTCTAAACTGCTACCTAGGGCCTACACACCACCATTACTACCAAGACTGGAGAGAAGTTTACTGGTATCTTCTCTTCCTCAACCATGGAACCTAACGAGCTTTCTTTCCTGCTCAAGATGGTTCAGCGAACCTCGCAAGAGGGCCAGCCCCGAGCAAACGGCGTCAGTGATGTCGCAACTCCGTACATAGGCCCCGCGCCCGAGCACATCATGTCGTTCGATATTAAGGATGTCGTCGATATCTCCGTTCCAAACGTTACCACGGCCGAAGTTTCAGCCAAGGAACCAAACGGTACGGGTTGCTTTGTTTAGTCATATTCGTTTGTGTATATACTAATCTAGACCGCAGGTGCTTCTCAAGGTTTCAGAACAGATAGTGATATCTCTGGAAACCTAGCTATGCGCGAGCGCACCTTGCAGCGCTGGGAACCTGCCGAAACTGACATTGATATGTCCCTTGACACGAGTAACACTTCCGCGGGATGGGACCAGTTTGAGGCAAACGAGCGTCTCTTCGGCGCCAAGACCAACTATGATGAGAATATCTACACCACTCGGCTTGACCGGTCGGATCCCAACTATAAACAGAAGCAGGCGGAAGCAGCTCGGATCGCCCGTGAGATTGAGGGACAAGATGTGGAAAACTCCCACATGCGCGAGGAGCGTGGCCTTGCAGCGCCGGATACTGGCGACCAAGACGAAGAAGACAAGTACAGCGGTGTTCGCCGCGAAGAAAAAGCCTTCCCTCCCTTGGTTTCCGGTCAACCAAACAAGTACATGCCTCCCGGGCGCCGCCAGGCAGCTCCCCAGCCTGCCGCGACTCCCAGTGCACCCGTCAAACAACCTATTGCTTCTCCTGTCCCCACTGCTCCTATCCCGGTACCCTCTCAGACTGCGGCAAAGGAGGCTGCACCATCAGACAAGCAAGCCGAGCTGGTTGCATCGCTGCCACCCCCAGCAGATGTTGAACAAAAGAGTACCCTGAACAAGGGTATCACTCCCGCAGTACCCACTCCATCCGCTGTACCAACCGCAAAGCGAGCTGCACCTGAAAATGCGACTGCAAACGTGGAGGTAGAGGTGCTGGATCATTTCCGTCAGTTCGCAAATAGCGAGAAAATCAAGATGCAGGAGCGCCGTCGCAACCAAGCCTCGTATGACCGAACCATGAAACTCAACGAGCTGATGAAATTTTCCAAGAGCTTCAAACTCTCGACTCCCGTACCCAAAGACCTCGTTCCTATCCTCGCGAAGGACCGGCTCAAGCAGGAAGCAATTATGCAACGAGCACTACAACAGGGCGAAGACAAGGCCACGCCGAAGGTCACTACACCTCCAACAGAACAACAGCTTCCTACTCGTGGTGCCGGACCTACTGGTGCTGTGCCCCCATCTGCACCTGCTGACCGTCAAAACTACAACCGCACTCGCCAGGGCTATCCTCCCACAGGGCCCCTCGCTGGCGCTGGTGGAAGGTTCCCCCAGCAAGGCGTTCAGTCGGGACGCTCTGGCGTTGGCATGCTCAGTCATCGACTGGCAGACAACCTGCAGCAACGAAAGGGCGCGGGAATGGGTCCTGTTCCCACTCCCCTGCCCATTCAGGATGCCCGTGCACCCCCAACTGGTCCTGCCAGCGAGCAACAAAGAATTACCAGCCCCGTCAAATCGCAGGCCGGGTCTTCTGCGGCCACCAAATTCAATGTCAAAGCTATGGAGTTCAAGCCAAACCCCGCAGCGAGCACTTTCACGCCTGGTACCTCGGCGGCTACTGCAAGCCCTCGTCCTTTCTCGCGTAACCACTCTGTGTCACGCGCCACAACGCCGACTGCATTCTTTGGCCCACGGAAGCCACTGCCTATTTCTGAACGACCCTCGATTAGTGACCAATTCAACCCCATCAAGCGCATGAAGAAGGAGAACGTCGAGAGCGTTGACAGGTTGGTTCTGTTGAATGGAGGTATCCCACCGCCCTACAAGACTTCGCCAACATGGGACGTCGCCAATGGCAATGAAGATAAGACGTACGATCAGATGTTCAAACAGCCTGTCGGCGTACCGACTGTATCGCCCCAGGGCCGATCCGCCTCTAACAACACCAACATTCCCCAGCAACACCCGGTGCCCTTCCACTTCCAGCAAGGTACCCCAGCTATGCCGCCATCTTCCGGTCCTGCGAATGGACCCCATGGACTTCACTCTCAGGGTCCCCATGGCCCGTCTCATGTGGATGATCATCACCGCATGCAGCTGTCCGCGTCAAACTCCCAGGTTTTCCCGTCCCCGCGGATGCAGCATGGATACCCGTCTCCCATGGCCCCCCATGCCCAGCTTTCCTTCGCACCAGCGATGCCTCAGTTTTACGGTGGCCCTCAACCTGGCCACATGAGACCTTTCCAAGGTGGAGGCCCTCAGTTTGTGAATGGTGCTCCTATGATGGTACAGCAGGCCTCGAATGGACCCTACATGGGAGTCCCGCAAGGGATGACCCCGTATAACGCACAGATGCCCATGTACTCCCCGAACCCAGGCCATGCCTATCCCCAGCATACACCACAGCCGCATAGTGGGTACCCAAGCCCTAGCCGTGGAGCACCGATGATGATGCACCAGAACTCGCAATCTGGGCAGCCTCCTCAATCAGTAATGTTTATACCCGGTCAACCCGGATATCCCCAGCAATCGGGACACAGTGAGTGTGGCTCCAGTCCCCCATCAAGCATCTCCAGTTTTTAACCAACCCAGTGCCTCCCAACCGTGGCAACTACCCGCAGCAGCCCCACTTTTCCTCAAGCCCTCATCAACCGCATCATTTCCCACCTAACCAGCATCGGACACCCAGCAACGGCTTCAACCAAATGCCTCAAATGCCACCCCAGATGTCTGCCAATACCCCAGCACCTACCCCTGGAGCCTCTCACCCGGCCGAGGCAACGGATGAAGGAAAATGAACTACACAAATTTACGAAGCCGCGAGTGGTTCCCTCGCATGATGCTACGTCTTATCGCTTAGCTGTGATTTCTCCGCGCTCTGCATCATTGGCTACCGCCAACTCAAATACCCCGGTTACTCTTCCATGACCCCGCCTTCATCTGTTCCCCCGTCATCAACGCGGTCTGCAAAACATTTGAATTCTGCGGTGGACTTCATGTCGTCTCAAGACTTACTCGGTAAGTCATCACTTTCGTGACGTCGCACAACGTCCGCTAAAACTGTGATCAGACATGACAGTTCAATCTACCAGTTGTGTCTATCTATTTCCCGGATCTCGATCTGGAGGTGTACATGGAAACTGAATTTCTAGGCGATGAACCCATTGAAATCAAGCACTTGATATCCAACTCAGCTTATCGTCGTATGCCTGCTAGTACAACATCTTCACGTACGTCATCATCGAGTTGAAGTCTTGAGGATTCCTCTTTACCTAAGATGGTTTTTTCCTTCTGGTTTTCTCTTATCTTGTTTCTTTTCGTTTATCTCTTATCTTGCTTTCTTCTCAGTCGTTGGTCGTGAGGTCTGTGTCTCCCATTTGTGGGATCACTGGCCTTCGAACCTTCCATGGATCGAAGTGAGGTCTGCGATGGGTTGTGTCTCGGCATGGAGACGATGGTTGGATGGATGGTGATGTGAATCAAGGTGATCAGTCTCGGGAGGAAGCGGGAGGAAGCGGAGCAGTGAGGTGTGGATGAAGATGCGTGAACTTGACAGTACAAATAGCTCCAAGGATCCCCCGCCACATGGCAATGAAATGGTTATATCATAAATATTCTTTCTCTTTCTGTGGATACATATTCTGCACTGCAAGAATACTTAGCCACTTCGGCCTTGTTAAGTTGTTCTGGTAGTTTTCTTTGTAGTCGTATAGAATTCGAGGATATTTCCTTAGATGGTAGTTCTTCGCTTTATTAGCGCCTCGAGATAGCAAAATATGAAGAATCAGTCGCAGAACATAGATGATAGGCTGTCAAAACCCATGCATACAGAACAAGTCTCCCTGTAAACATCCCAAATCCACCTTTTGCACCGCCCTAACATCTAAATCTCAACATTCCAAATATCGTCAATGCTACCTAGATAATTGTGGCCGATGTCAGCAGCTGTAAATCACGCCACTTCAAAGGGATATCGAGTCAAGTGTGGGGAAGTCTCCTCAGGTATAATTTCAACAGTGTCACCATCCAAACCACAGACACCAGACACCGACCCACCGCGGTGCTTTGTCCCATTACAAAAACCTCTACCCACACTCCGGCCATGAACAAGCCCCAGAGAAAATACCCAGAACACCATCGAGCGTCACAAAAACCAGCCGCCTCCAGCCCACACCCCAACCAACACACCTCTCCGCCTCCCAACTTCCAAATCCCCACAACAACGCGCCCGCACCACTCTTTGCAGCAGATGAAAGAAGGAAAAGGGAGAAGGGAAAGAGCCCTCAGGAATGTCACCGCCAAGTAGTCAGAGAAAAGACTATAGAGAAGTCCGTATTCCGCCTAGCCGACAGAACGCCGGCAGCAAGAGTCCGTGCAACTCAAAGCCCCCCCCTAAGACCACAACGAAAATGCCATCCATGCATCCAAGCCCCTCTCTACCTAATCCCGAACCCTCGTACCCTATACGCCACAGCCATTGGTCGCTCTCCCGTCCTCATGGAAGCGAAGCGGACACGGCAACCCCAGATAGCGGCGCCACCTTCCCGTTTCCCGTACGTTCTTGCTCCATAGAGCTCAGCACCGTACGCGCTACCACCCAAACGCCCCATGATACAAGATCCCAGGGCGGACCTCAAGCGATCCAATACCGCAATATCAATGATATCACAGTAATTAGAAAGCGAGATCTCAGCGGTAGCATGCAGACACCAAGCACAGTTGCAGTAGTAGTTCAGGACGGACAAAGGTGTAAATGTACACAATGTCTCCCATGATCCAGGACCAACGCCGCTTTGTCTCAGCGTGGCCGCGAGCCATGGGGGTGTTGGCTAGGATCTGGATCTTGCTGCAGCCTGCCAGCGATCCGATGGGAGACGAATGTGTTCTGCTGGAAGAGTGGGGACAAAGTTGTCATGTGAAGCTGGTTGTGGAGAGTGTGATCGAGGAGGCGTGTGGTCGTGGTTTCGGCACAGCTGTGACGGTGTGGCACCATAATAGCTGATCCAATAGACGGGGAGTCTATTGAATAGAGACAGTTGGTTCGTGTGTGCCAGGTAGTAGCTCTTGAAGTTCCCTCCGGGCCTGGTTCATGGTGCTTTGCATGGGCTTTGGTGTTTGCGGGAGTACCATCGGTTTTGCTGGGCGAGTCTTCTTTGGTGGTGGTGTGGTCTTGGTCAGACCTTTTACCAGAGTTCGCATCATTGGAGAGCGCGACTTGCGTCGCCGGGTTGACTTGTGTACTGTGTGTACACGCGGGAAAAGAGATAGGAGACTTGGACTTACTGTTTAATCAATAGGACTGTGGACTGTCGACTGGGGTGTATATGAGGGTTGACTGGAAGAAGATAAGTTTGGTATCATAGGTATCATGAGTAAGTGCTATCTGGCGACAAGTTAGACGCATAGGACTGTGACATGGAGGTGAAGAAGAGGAAGATAAAGCTCCGCTTTATTTATAAGAGCGCGCTGTGGCCTCAGGCCGAAGTGTTTATCACGATAAGGCGGGGTGAAAGGAGTTCGGCGAATGTGTCTGGGTATTCCGACTTACAAGAACACGTATCTGGTCTCTGGTCTTTTTCACTCACTGTCTCAACCTGTTCATTTACTCCTGATAACCGATCGCTTATCCACCCGTCGGCCCCTGGCCTCCCCGACTCGCGCACCCCGGATACCCTAAACAAGACCCGACCTGCCACATCGGTCATACCGCGGCCATGGATTTCCTGAAATCAGCCATCGGATCCGCCATCGCAAAGGGTGGAGGACTTCCGTTCTCTCTCGGCGACAGAGTCGACATCGGGGACTCGGTTTGGGCGCTGCACAACGGTACGAAACGGGTACGGTGGCTTCTTGGTTCCTTCTTCTATGCAGGACGAGCTTGAATGGCTAACGATTTCGTGGCACATATAGGATGATGGCTCCGATTGCAGTGTTTTTGCATTTGACGTCAATGCGAACAAGTCGCGCCTCCCTCTTGCGAAAAATGCGGTGCGCAAGTTTAGAACGTTGCGGCATCCGGGTGTTATCAAGGTTTTGGATACGATTGAGGTATACTTGGCACCCGGACCTATGATCTGAATATGAGATTCTAGTGCAGAAGCTTACAAATTGACAGACGGAGCACAATCTCTATATTGTCACGGAACGAGTCGTGCCACTTAGCTGGCCGGTGAAGCGGAAGAGCCTGAGCGAGGAAACGACCAAGTGGGGATTGTATACTGTGGCGGTATGTTATTCTTGGGAGTCTAGTCTCATGTCATTGCTGACGGATATCATTCTGCATAGTCTACTCTCAAATTCATCAACGACGATGCTTCCTCGGTTCACGGCGCTGTGCGCGCATCCTCAGTGTTCATAAGTGAAAGCGGCGAATGGAAGCTTGGAGGATTCGACATTTTGAGCTCTATGAAGGAAGATGATGCGATTATATATGTGAGTTATCCCGGCTCGGGTTTGTCAAGAAATTATCCAACCGATGCAATATACTGACCCCAATAGACGTACGGAAGTAGCGTGCCCGACGCCGGTCGATACACGCCCCCGGAGGTTGTGAAAGGAGGCTGGGATACCATCAAGCGCAATCCTCTGGCAGCTGTTGATGCTTACGGACTTGGTATCTTGATCTTCGAGGTATTCAATGGTGGTTTCTCAGGCGGCGATCAAGCTGGAAAGACGACGAACATTCCTCCCAGCATGCAGCAAAGCTATAAACGTCTTTGCGCTGCTAACCCGAAGCTACGGCTGAGCCCGGGGCATTTTGTGGAGCAAGGGAAGAAACAAGGTGGATTCTTCCAGACACCACTCATTCGAATGACTGAAGACATCGACAGCTTGGGCCTGAAGAGTGATGACGAACGTGAAGAATTTCTCAAGTGCGTATACTTGCAACATCTTGCCTGATGACTTATCGGCTAATATATCACGACTTTCAGTGAGCTTGATAATCTTTCAGATGATTTCCCAGAGGAATTCTTCAAGATGAAGGTGCTCCCTGAGCTACTGAAGTCCGTCGAGTTTGGTGGTGGTGGGCCAAAAGTTCTTGGAGCTACCATGAAGATTGGAGCAAAGCTTTCGCCAGACGAATTTAATGCTAAGCTGACTCCTGTCATTATCCGCTTATTTGGCAACCCTGATCGAGCATTGCGGGTCTGCCTCTTGGATAACCTTCCGTTAATGATCGATAACCTTCCGCAGAGGGTTGTCAACGACAAAATCTTCCCACAAATGGTGAGCTATTCGAGTTTTGGGCAATGCACGTTGTACTAACATGTCATAGACTTCTGGTTTCACTGATGTTGCTCCGGTTGTTCGAGAACAGACAGTGAAGTCTGTTCTGACTATCATCAACAAACTTAATGATAGGGTTGTCAATGGAGAACTCCTGAAGTTCCTTGCTCGTACTGCTAACGACGAGCAACCTGGAATCCGGACAAATACCACAATTTGTCTTGGCCGGATTGCTAAAAACTTAAGTCAAAGTGTAGGTGACTTATTCCCAAGGCAGGATCATGCCGCTGACATTACGTGCAGACTCGCTCCAAGGTGCTTATTGCAGCATTCACGAGAGCTCTTAGAGACCCCTTTGTCCACGCTCGGAATGCAGGACTTTTGGCCCTGGCCGCGACTATCGATGTATTTACCGAGGAAGATTGTGCTGTTAGGATTCTACCCGCGATTTGCCCTGGACTTGTGGACAAGGAAAAGTGAGTAATGCGCCCAGACCTGAATTCTGGCTTGATGTTGACTGTTGAACAGATTGATTCGCGACCAAACAAACAAGACATTTGATGTCTATGTCAATCGGATACGGAAACATGCCAGCACAATGCCAGAAACCGTCATACCCGTCGTTGCACCCGCAGAAGCCAACAAACCCGATGCTCGTGTTGGAACCCCTAATGACAACTCCTGGGCCGGATGGGCCATCTCATCATTCACAAACAAAATCGCAACTGCCAACGGCGAAATTGAACCCACCGCCAACGCTATCAAGACTGTTGATCCCGATACTGCCCGCTCAGCATCGGTTCCTCGTCCCACCAAACCATCACCCTCAGCCACACTTGAACTACCAAGGCAGAGCCTCCGTCCCACACCCCAGCCCCCTTGAACCGGTCAATGTCAGATCGCCCAGCCCCAGTGATCCACGATGAGCCTGAAGAAGAAGGTGATGATGTCTTCGATGCTTGGGGTGCAATGGACGATGAAGAAAAAGACGAAGATCCATTCACTGCTGCAGTAACCTCTCCAAAACCCACATCTCCTGCTCCCACATCCACCAAAGCCCCAGCAGTGCCCTACGATGATGGCGGCGAACCCGACTTTGCCGGCTGGCTGGCCGCAAAGTCTCAGACCAAGGCCAAAAATCCCCTTCCAAAGGGTCTGACCAAGGCGTCTTCTACCAACACTGTTACTACACGGTCAACGCCAAGCACCGCTAAGCCTCGGACTGTGGTTGCAGCTAAGAAGATTGATACTAAACCCAAAGACGAAGAGACCGATGATTGGGGAGATGCATGGGATTAATTTGGAAACACGGCTTCGCTCTCTTTTTTTTGATTCATGTCCATATCTCGTCTAATGCAAGTCTAGCATGTCAATATCTGAATTGGCATCGAGGGGAGTTTTGGAGTCTGTACCATACTGCCCTGGTGTATTGATGATATCCCTTGTTCTCGTTCCTATAGATCTATCAATATTACCTGATCTTTTTTCCACCTATCTACCTCGAGATGAACTGCTATTGTACATGATGTTATATGTTGACGTCTGATGTTTCACCATTTGCTAGCGACTCATACCTCTTCTCTTTCTCTTCCCCTTTCCCTTTCTCTTCTTCTTTCAACTTTCTCCTATCACAGAGAGAATCTCTTTCTTCAATCTCTCCATCTGCGCTCTACTCTGATTTCCTTGAAGATCAGACCGAGTACGAACACTCGTACGCTTCCTGTTTTCCTTGCCTAGCAGCTCCAGCAACTCTGATATCACATCTTTCGGCTTGTCCTCTGCCTCCTTTGAGCTCTTTTTCTTCTCTTCTGTCATCTTCCGTAGTTCTTTCTCTTTCTGCCTCTTTTTCTCTTCGGCTCTTTTTTTCTCTTCCGCCTTTTTCTTCTTATCCCTCTCCTGCTTCTCCAGTTTCTTTCTCTCAGCATCTTCTTTCTTCTTCTTTATCTCTTCCCTGTACTGCGCCTCAACCCTCTCCTTGATAGCCACGCCTCTCTCATATTCTTTCATCCATGAGCCGCCCCAATGCGTAGGATTCTCTTTTTTATCTTTCGCAATCGCCAAATCGATCCGCTTGTTCAGTTGTCGGACCAGTCCTGTTGGTAACTCATCCCGGATGGAAGGAGGCGTGCGCGGTTCGCTCTCGGAGTCAGATGACCTCTCTTGGTTGGTTGGTCTTTCGAGCCCAGGTACTGCCGCGGGCTCTGACGATGTCACAAGATCTAGCGATGGCTCTATCTCTGACGACTGCTGGTGCTGTGGCAATTCCTCGGGCCCTGGAAATTCGTCGGGTTCTGAGAATTGCTCAGGCTCTGAAGCTTGCTCAGATCCTAGAGATTGCTCGGCGGTGGATGATCCCAGCTCCAGCGACTCCCTCAGTTCTAATGAGTCCTCTTGCTCTGACAAGATCTCAGGCAACTCCAACCTAGGGCGCTTAGTATTTGGCAGCCCACCCTCGGTATCATCGTCTGAAAGCTCAAGATCATAATCATCCTCTTCAGGCTCAAAGTCGGAATCATCAGAGTCATCTGGGAACATCCACTCGAGATTTTCGCGAGCAGCAGGCGGGAATTGGGCGAATAGGCGTGGGTGCTTATTGCCGTCTATCATGAGAGGGACTTCCGGGGGGTTGATCTCGTGATTCAAGCGGAGACGCAAGGCCCAGATTGTCTCCATCAATGACGATTCTTCGTTTGCGTTATTGAGCCTTGATAACCAGCGTTTGGGTGGAAGAGACGGAGGCAGTACTCGAGACATAACTGGCGGTGAAGCCAAAGGCAGATATGGGGATGAAGGTACTGTTGTCCCTACATTTGAATCTAATGATTCAGAATCGGATTCAAAATCAGATTCAGATCCAGCTTCCGTTGGTCGGAATGATTCATGTTCGGATCCCGCTTTTGATGGAGTCTCAAATCCAATCTCTGCATTCAACTGTGATGCAGTCAGTCGTGGTGCGAATGGCAATGGCTTGCTCACACGTGCAATGCGCAAAGGCTGCCTCCGGATCTCTCGTGCCAATTGACCTGAGTTTGCGTATTTAACGAAGACCGAGCAGAGATCCCGGAGAAGTTCCCGTGGAAACATAGATTCAGGCTCAAATTCGCGCAGACTCTCTGGTGATGAAGGGACTGGAAATTGCTTATGCCGGGAGCTCTGGTGAGTGCTTGGTCTCTTCCGTTTTAGGGCTGTTATCGGCCATGGCGAGGGCGATGACAAAGCCGGCTCCCGCCCTGAGCTTGGCTCTGCCTCAGATAAGAGCTCGGGCTCATTGTCAATATCCCATGTCGATGATTCATGGACAGGGAGAGAGGCTGGTGTGGCTCCTCTGTGGCCCGTGAATCTTTGCGACGAGACTGGAGATGCTGGCGATGGGAAGGACAATCCCTGTTCCGATCCCAAAGTCGATTCTTCATGGTCCTGCTGCTCATAGCCAAAGCAAGAATATGGTGTAGTGTCTTTGTGACCCACGACTTTTTCCGGCAATGCTGGTAGTGACATGGAGGAGTTCCTTTCCGGTTCAGATGGAGAGACTAATTGTGACTCCAACATTGAGTCCGATGTCAATGTCTCATGAGACTCGTGCCGTTGATCGTGATAAGAGACTGGTATGGCGGTTCCAAGGTCTTCGCGCATTTCCGGCGGCGAGAGTGGCTCACATCCCATCTCAAGTTCTGAATCTGCATTTGATGATGGGTCTTCGTAAATTCTTTTTGCTGATTCAAGTCCTGGAGCCAGTGTGCCCTTTTGGCGCTCTACCTTCGGTGGCGATGAAGGAGGGGATCCCAGGCTTGATTGTGGCTGCAATAGCGCCTGAACCTGGGCCTCAGCCCGGGCTGCATCTTTATACTTGAACTGAAAATCGAACCCAGGCACAGGGTGGGATTTCTCCACTTGATGTGTGCGTGTATGTTGCAATGGGGTCTCTTTGGATTTTCCCGGCCCTTGAACTTTGGCTCGGGAGCTGTTCAAGAATGGCTTGGTTGGTTTATCTTTTTTGATGAAATGATTGGATGACCCTGCCTCTGGTGATTCTGAGTTCAATCCATGTTTCTTGAACACCTTTGAAGACTCTGGGGGCCACTTCTTCTTCTTATGCTTGTTGCTGCTGCTGTTGTTAAAGGCCTGGCCTGGCTTGGTGACCCGAGATGATGGCGACGAAGAGGCTGGTGGGGACTGGGTTTGCTTGACCGGGTTTGCATTGCGGTTGCGACGTTTTGATTTAGATCTCGACATCTTTTGGCAAACTGGCTCAGGGGCAGAGATGTAAATTTGGTGGGGATTGTCGATTTTATATAGTTCTACTTATCCAGTCCAGAAACGGTTAGCGTGACACCGGGCCTGTCATATATTCTCCGGTTCACCCGGCGATCAGATGAACAATTCAGACGTCGGGTCTATTCTCTGGGTAGAAGCCAAAGCCTTTGGATGGAAATGATTTGCAACTTTCAACTTCTTCTCATTTATGTGTTATCCAGCTATCCAAACCGAGAAGGGGCAGAGAATATCGAGAAAAGACCATTTTTAAAAAGACCGAGAAGACTAGACAGATACCACAAGGCCACTCATGCGGCCCACTGTCATGAATGAGTCTAGTATGAGAAGAATAACATACTTCCAGATATGGTAATTGTATAGTTTCCCCAGTGGATCAGTGTATGCGAGTAGATCCCGAGGTTCAGACACATTTGACAGCAACGTCATGTCCAACGTATAAAACTGGATCCAACTAGAAAAAAATAGTACTGAGCTTCTTGCCCCTTTCTCCTTTAGCATCGAGCTACTGCATGACATCGATCCCTCAGGCTTAAAGAATAATCGGGTTGCTTACTGTCTCGGCAAGAAAAGTGAAAGTGGGGATGCTAAACTCTGCCTCGACGGGGCTCCAGAAATGACCCCAAAGGTAGGCCAAAAATGACCAAAAGATGAAAATTGATTTCCTAGAATGAACGGTGGAATGTAGCTAGCACTATTATATACCTCCTCGGGTCCGAAAAAAGTCATGAAAGTCCAGAAATCCCGATATAAAATCCAAATTTTCCGCCAATTTTACCAAACCTCAAGATCTCCACCAGGAAAAACCCCTTAATCAAGTTCCCCCTCGGTCACCAATTCTTCAATATCTCCCCAGCAACCCGTTCCCCCGAGCTAATAGCCCCATCCATATACCCAATCCACCTTAGCGAAGTCTCCGTCCCAGCAAAATGGATCCTCCCAACCGGAGCCCGCAAATACGACCCATACTGCGTCAAAACCCCCGGCGGCATGAAAGCACTAGGACCACCACGCGAGAACTCCTCAAGATCCCACCTCTGAATCAGAACATCTGTAGCAGTATTCACACGATCACCAAAAAGATTAGCAAAACTCTGCTTGACCTGTCTTTTCACCTCGTCTTCACTCGCAGAATCCAATTTACGCATCTCGTCCGCCTCGATGAACCCCATCATCGCCCCGAATGATCCGTCAGCCGGTGAGTTGTCGTAAGTCACCCGGATAGAGCCGGTGTCACTCACACCTGCGCCGTTGAGTCCCTCACGACGCCACCAGGCGTCTGGGAAGACTGCGATGGCTTTACCGAGTGCGCCCATAGGCATGCGCTGGTTCAATTGATCCCGGCCGGCGGGGAGAAGGGGATCAAATGTGATGCGGTTTATCAAAGGTGGAGACATGGCGAGGACGACATGTCGGGCTGAGATAGTGAGGTTGTCTGATGAGACTAGATAGTGGGATTCAGATTGGAGCTGGACTTTGCGAACGGGTGTGTTGAGGTAGATGTTTTGAGAGCCGAGTCTCCCCGCGAGTAATGTTGCGAGTAATTGTGTTCCACCACTCACCCGACTATCCTGTGCGCCTCCGTCGATTCCAATCAGCCTGTTGATTGTCCCAGGCCCTGTCTCGTTTCCGGCGGCGGCTATACACCACAATGAGTATAGCAGAGACGGTTCTTTCAACTCGGTTGATAGGATGGCTGGGATGGCAACGTCGAGGAGTGCACGAGAGTCGGACGTGAACAGTCGAGAATTGACGTATGTTTCTAGGGTCATTGAGTCTAGAGCTGTGGCATTCGGGGTATTCCACGGGGCTTCTAGATCGACTTTGCTTGCTAGAGTATTGATTTCGTTCATGAAGGATGCAAGTTCGACAAGGGAGCCTATCCCTACGGGAGGAATACCGCCCAGGCTGTCTTGGTAATGGCGTGCTGTGCCGTTTCGATAGAAGGTCGAGTTTCCCACTGTGTATGTCTTGTAGGTAGGTAGACCGAGTTCGGCTGCCAGAGCAAGGACGCGGTCTTGGGTTGGTGCGACGTATGCGGCGCCTAGTTCCTGCGCGCCCTTTCCTGTGACATTAGCATTGAGTACACGACCACCAACTCGGTCTCGTGCTTCTAGTATGACGAAAGATTTGTTGGCTGTTGCGAGCTGTTTAGCGGTGGAGAGACCGGATAGGCCACCGCCGATGATAGCGACGTCGACTTCGCGAGAAGGCTCTGCAGTTGGTGCATGGCCAAGGGTTAGTGCTAGTAGCAATAGGTGCATTGCACCGAGCGATGATGTGGAGGCAATTAGCCGCATAATTATCCTGGTATTTGATCTATAGATGGTTCGATGGATATGATGCAACTTGCAACTCCATTTTCTATCTGTAAGGGTTTCCGAGGACGGGATCTATATATAACCTCACTTTCGTGCCGAGTACTACCCAATGCCAGAGAATACAGAGTACTACAATCGATCTAATACAGTGGGCCTAGAAGCAAAGTCTTGTCAATAGAGTAGTACAGGCAAAAGAAGAGATCAGAGGAAACGTTATTGCCCTGCAGATGTAGCTAATCAAGCAAAATAAAAGCCAGCGGACCGTCAAAGTATTCCTGCATTACATTATTATTGCTGGCATGGATTATGGTGTCATTCTTGCCTCTTTAGAAATCACCCAACCTGTTAGCAATGCATAAGAGTAGTAGATGTCTCACTCTATGTCTCCATCTCCGAGTCTTTCGAGGAACCCTCATCTGATGAACTCGAGCTAGACTCATCGCTTGTTATCTCAATTGGTTCATTTGGATTTGCTTCGCGTCCCTTTTGAGACTCTACTAATGTGGTGAGTTGGTTCTTTGGAAGCTCTGGTTCGGACTTTGACTCTTCTGAAGATTCATTTTCTGACGGCGAGCTGGACGATTCACCGTCTGTTGACTGAACTAATTCTTTTGGGTAGAACTTGTTCTCCTCTGGCAATTCTTCCCTTGTCACTGGTTGTCTTTTCAGCTCCTTTCGTTCGGTCTCTGACTCATCTTCTGAAGACTCCTCTTCTGATGATGAAGAGGGGGAGTTATCTTCCGATGACGATGACGATGATTCGGAGTCATCACTCTCTTCCTCTAGTAGAGTAGGGATCGATACTTTCATCCTCTGATTGCGTCCATCTTGCCACACTGATTTCAGTGCCAGTGTATTCTTTTGTTGCGCTTGAGAGTCATCCTCTGATTCTTCCTCTGAGGGCTCGTCTTCGGAAGATGAAGAAGAGTCGCTGCTCTCGTCCTGTGCTTGAATCGCCACCTTGACCCTCACATTCTGGCTCCCTTGTGAACTTTCCTTTGTTGCTAAAATTTGCACTCCTTCTTCTTCGGAGGAGGAAGAAGAGTAACCATCGTCGTCCTCTTCTGACGATGACACCTCTGACGAGTGTCCCTGCGTCAAAGTAGAGGATCTTTCATTTTCTTCCTCTAGATGTAGCACCTCCTCGTGTGTTACTTTATGCGCAACTTGCGCCTGATCTGAATCTTTGAAAGGCGACATCTTTTGTCTCTTAACTTGCACTTGACTTTCTTTTTCTTCCTCTTCCGACGAAGACACGGACGATGATGAAGATACCACCAAGGGCGAAGTGTCTCTAGCTTCCACCGCTCCATGGTCGTCTTGTTCCTGTTGCATGATCTTTTTCAGCTGTTCGTTCCGTTCCATGATTGGTCCTTCTCGCACTTCATGTTTCCGCTGCCGTTTGGGCACAGGCTGCTGCTCGTCAATATCCCGATAGACTCGCTTTAGACTGGCCTGCTGCTGTGATACGTCTGCAATTGGGGGGAGATAGGTATTCTGACCCGCTCAAATGGCCAATACCATGAATTCAAAAAGCGCCGTCTGTCTCTTGGATCATCGTAGTCTGCAAGCCAAGCATCCGCATCTCTTTTCCGTTGTAGCATCCCCGGTAATTCGCCTTGTGGAATCTGTTCTTCCTTAGTGTCAAATAGCTTGGATGACCTGTAGTGAAACTCACCATTTCACAGGCATTCTGGCTTTGTGTACAAAATTTGCATGCCTCCTGCCCTGGGATCGATTGACAAGGCGGGTTCTGACTCTCGTCTATCCAGCGTGTAAAGCACTCGTAGCAGCATTTGACAGATCGCTGGGTTGGGGCATGTATCTCATTCAGAAGCTGCAAATTTGCTGCCTGTAGCGGTCCGATTGCTGAGTTCAAGGCTTTCAAGTTTTCGTCCTCGGAAGTTGTGGATGGCGATTGGCTATGGGAGTGAATTTTCAGTTGATCTCCTTCCTGGGAAATGGGCGTCCGTTCTCGGAGATGATCAACTTGAACACCTTGCATAGTATCGACGGGAAGTGGATTGGATGTCTCCACTGCATCCGGCTCGGCCTGCGGTCCCCATATCTGTTTGATACTCTCCGCAAAGTCGAATGTTCCAGCAGCAAATGTTTGCACAGCTTCGGCCACTGCCAGCACAGTCCTCTGAAATCTCTGATCACTGGCCATACTGGAACAGCTCGTTGGTAGAGGGATACCCTGTGCTGGTCAATGTGATGTAGGTGTCTTGAGATTGGTTCGGCTTCCGGCTGAGCTTATTCTCCGGGACCCGCTTTTGTCAACATCAGATGAACTGTCTACAACGGTAGGATGTAGGAAATTCAATTGATCGTATTGCAAGGTCATGGAGAACTGAAGGAGAAGACAAAGCGAGTTAAGAGAAAGGAAGAATGCTTACCACAAATAGCTAAGTGATATCTATCCTGAAAGGTCGGTCACACCACGTCAAATAATGTCCTCACAGCACATGTTTTTAAAATCTCAGAAATCTCATCATTTTTATCCTATACGAACCGTTCTACTGAAGTCCATTCAGATGATCCTATATATACAAGAGTAACGCCAGAGTCAGTATCCCCCCCAGGTGGCTGTGGCCTTGCGGCAACCGCCCACCGCTTTCCGCACCTGCGAGGGGAGGAAAGGCAGCAAGAAGCTGCCCCCAAGTCAGAACGTCAAAATGGTCGCCGGTCAATCCCATGCCTTACCAAAGGTTCCTTTTCCTACAGAAGTCGTCTCGAGGCCGTTCAAAGGGTCCTCTCTCTCTTCCACTCTTCATTATTTTTGATCCCAAACCACTCCTTCGATACCCTTTACAGATTCGACATCTCTCATATAGCAACGTGAAAATAGACCGCGGTGTACATTGGTTGACCAAATTGTCCATTCAATTTTGCATTTTTTTACGAATAGTTCAGACCTCGAGATATCTATCACTTTCTTCTTACTTTTTGTTATTTCACTTGCAACCCTATGTCATTAGATGAGAAGTCAGGGTTTGCATTGTCTCAAGTCTGCATTACTAGGTCGTCTTACCTTCCAAGATTGTTCATGATCTATCTCTACAACCTCTTCGACTATAGACCCAACTCGAACTTCACCTCGAGTCCCCCTTTTCACCCTTGAAAGCCCGTGGTCACATCGACGGCTTTGAAATTGAGTCTCCCAAGCTATCAGATTTAGTCTCCTGAAATATTATTACAAATACCAGGCTTTCATTTTTGTAAAAAAATATGAGGGCCGTTTAATTAAAAGTCACGTTTATTAAAATATTTGTCTTATTTAGTGCTTTATGGGCCCCATTAGCCCCTGTTCAAAGCCCAGCGGGATTTCACCCCAGGCCTTACCCCACCGGTGGGCCTAAGGACCCGGCCTAAAGCCCGGCCCATTAGTGGGTTGGCGCGGGTTGGGCTTTGGGCTTTGCAGAGGTCTAGTTGTATGTATACTGGTTTCAAAAACCGAAAACATCCGTACTGGTAGAAAAATCTGGATATAGTTAGGGGCCATTCTTCTACTAATCATCTTCAACCACTCTATCAATTTTCGATCATTCTTCTCCGAACTATATCTGTGGTGTGATATGTATGTATAGAACCAGGTCTTTTTGGTTGCACTGAAAGCATCTATGCATGGAACTGTAGATGTAACTGCCTATTTGTGAGACCTCAGAAGATGCAAGAATTGTTCTTGATGACTGGAGATAATATATAATCGACGATTATGTGCGACATTGGTAAATTGGGGAGAGATGGACTAACAGAATCACATTCCATAGCAGGCTTTATATCCAAGGCAGTAGATACTCCGAGGTAGCCAAGAAGATGCCTGAATCTATCAATACCGAAACCCCCAACTAGTAAAAACAAGTGCAAAACCATCTTCCCCCTTCTAGACCTCTTCAAGTCTCGCCCCCACGCCAAGGTACTAGCTCAAACATTGAATATGTTAATCTTTGTTATCCACGTGACTGTGGATTACTCTCCTGCATACGCCCCTCCTCACCCCCTGGTCGTGAACGCGCTGAACTAAGCCTCCTTGACGCTTGGGAACTCCCCCTAGCTGATTATTGGGCAGAATCTTAGTTTCCACAGGTCGGTTGATATGGCCGCTTCCAACTCGACAGCTCTGGTTAGCTGGCGGTTAGAGGACGGCGGCCGCTCCACATGGGCTTTGGTGTGGTCCTGTTTGGTAACAATATTTGCTTGTACTTGGACAGTCCTACACTTAAATCTTCCTCGGCGGAACTCGCCGACAGTGCGAATAGTTCTTGCGAACATCTCTTATTGGCTCCTCGCTATCTTCTTTCCAGAATATGTGTTCGTGCACGCGTCATATGGGCTTTACCGAGCAATGCTATTGAAGCAGGTGTGCAACCAAGCCCAAAAAACCCGATATCTGGATTTAGTGGATCGAGAATCTTGGCTGTCTAAACGCGCCAGTCCACTAGAGCAAAAGCAAAACCAAGAGTCTGCTGAACCCCATCTATTTCGCACTGAGTGGACACTTCGAAAATGTTTCTGCATTCTTGCTGGTGGACTTGCCTTACAAACCCAGGATGGATGGATTTACGTCCTCCGACGAAGCGATATGCAATTGTTTATTCAAGCTGGCATAATTGAAGACGTGGACTTTCACGATCGTGATGTTGAAGACCGTGCTAAATCAGATTCTTTGGGAAAAATATTCACTGTTATTCAGACCGCCTGGTTCCTAGTCAACATGATAGCAAGATGGGCGAATTCTTTACCGGTTGCACCCATTGAACTAGCGACAGTTGCTTATATTGCCTGCGGCCTACTGATGTATGCTACGTGGTGGTATAAACCGAAAGGTATGGCCGCACCTATCACGATTTATGTCAGAAGCGATCGTGAGGACATGCCAGCCCATCTTCTCAATCACATAGCGACAAATCCCCATGGTTGGGTTCACATCCGTGCACAAATAAAGAAAGCGACGGTGGTTTCTGTCTTCGCGCAGACTATTCGATTCTTTTTTGAAGCGACCAGGATCACTGAAGATGTGGTGAACGACGATGTCCCATATACTAGTCTCTATAAGCCATCTCATGGATGCATTGTGACTGCCATCAATACCTTTGTTGCGTTTCTTTACTGTGGTATTCATCTCGCAGGGTAAATATTAGTCTCTTAGTTATAGATACTGCTATTATTGATTTGCTAACAAAATACTGTGATTTATAGATGGAACTTCCCGTTCCCCACTGAAGCTGAACGGATTGCTTGGCTTGTCTCATCACTTGCTTGCATTGTGATGGTTGGCATATACAGCCTAGCAAGTACCATACCTACATACGTGGTTTGGTTTGAGTCAAGGAACTTGTTTTCTTTCTATACGAAAGCATTTAATGCCCGAAAGCTGTTGATGTATCGAATGCTAATGCTCGCTATGCTTACTTGCTTTGCCGTATACGTGGTTTTACGTCTGATTATCATGGCTCTAGCTTTTACTTCGTTAAGAGCTCTTCCGGTCGGTTGCTATACAACTGTCGAATGGGTGATGAGCATTCCACATGTTTAGACTCGGCCATCTTCTGATAATCTACAGCATCTGCGAACTCTCTGGGGATATTCTTCTGAGTGCCATCCAAAACATTCTTCTAGTAGCTCTTTCATTGACATTGTTGAGATTGCCATCCTATCAATATTGTGCCTTAGAGAAGGAGAGTCGGCTGTAAAAGCATAGAACATGGCGAGAAATGTCCATACATAACATGTGATCGTGAAAGCACCAAGAACGCAAACGAAAACAGAGACAGCCTTTGCTCCACGGTCAACGAATATCTCGGAAAGACAAAGAAACGTGTTATATCACACTATCAGACTCTCTCCTGTCGTAGGTCCGTACAATTCATTGTGAGTGTATTCTTTATGTTCCCTTTTGATTCTTCCACGCCATTTCCCTTGCAGGTGGACCAACCTTGCTACCACAGAACCTTTTCCATCAACTTCAGGTCCCTGACTTGATCACTCAGTCTCAAGCCCAGTAAACCAATTTCACGTACCAGCCAACCAGCATGGGTCGATGGGGATGGCGTGAGTATCACTGTGACAGCTCCACTTTACTCTTTTTCAGGTCTAACCAGTGTCTATCTTAGGCCTATTCGAAGGCGATCAGGACCTTGATGTCGTTCTCAGCTTGGCCGAAGACCTCGACATTGACACCGATTCCTGGGAGTACAGTCTGAGCGCGATGGTTCATCAGACTGACATGCTAGCACCCGCAGATGCTCGTGCCCTCTACAGCACCGCCGAATATGCCAACTCGCTCGCCAACGTCACCGTCCCATACATTCGCCAGAAGTTCGACACTGACAACCTCGGTGAACGGCTTTTCGCTGCCAGTCGCGCCAAGGAATCCGACACAAACGACTTCATGCAGCAATCCAAGTACCGCACTATCATCCTGGGTGCTCTCATGATGCGCGCTGGTGCTCGCATCAATGCAGCGGATCTGCAACACCTGCGTGATCTAGTGCCTCAAATCAACTGCAACTCGCGCCGACCTCTCTTCGAGGACCATGGATTCAGAACTCCGGGAAAGGCTCAATTCCTTGCTGCGCTGGATCACTACCAGCCCGGTGTAGCGCGTAGCTTCCAGGAGCCTACGTTAGTTTGACTTTTGAAGAATGCACGCACATAGCTGATGTTAATGACATTGATAGGTGCTTCAACTGTGGAAAGATCGAGGCAGAGATCGGTCACAAGCCCCTGCAATGCAAGAAGTGCAACATTGCGACGTACTGCAGCAAGGTGAATGGGAGAGAATCTGGCTTTGTGAGCTGTGTTCATGGATATTAATTCTTCATAGGACTGCCAGCGCTACCAGTGGCGCGAGCACCGAGTGAGCTGTGTTCCCCCGGACAACGCTTCTTATTGAACGTCTGAGCGCATCGTTTAAAGGACTCCAGTAACGCTATGAGGAACATTACTACTTTTATGGTTGACTTGTGTTCGGGTTTTTATCTTCATGTTCGCAATACCTGAGATATACCAGTACTTGAGAAGTTGATCGACTTTATTACTCTCGGGGGGATTGGTATCTGCGCTTCAACAAATTTACTTAATCAAGGAACTTGCAAATTCAATTGATCTCTCTCTCTCAATATATTAGAAGTTAAAAACTTACCAAATCTATGCTAATATGACCCAAATATTGTATCACTGTGCTATAGAAAGTGGACGGAACCGGTATTGGTCAAGCCTACTCCATTATCATTCTGACCATATATCTAAGGAGGTTTATATATCACATTGTTATATAGGGCTATGATTAGATGGTTCAAAGTGCTTTCACCGGAACAATACAAACCGCCGTGACTAGTCAAGCTATGATGTCACGGTTGAGGGGACGAGACATACACCCAAAATGCTATCCGATTTGGGTTTACACTCGTTATTCGACAACCAGCAGGATGAAAATAATTCTACACCAAAGTCCCATCAACAGACATCCTTAGTAGAAGCATCTACATCAACTCCATCATGTCGACAAGTGGTTACGACTCCTGGCTCCAGACAACTGAAGAGCCTGAATACCGCACTGCACGCCCTCATGCAGAGATCCTACGGCGACTAGTCTCAAACACAATTGATTCAGCCACCGCAATGAAAGTACTGAGTTTGCTCGATTTCAAAAACGATCATACGCCATGGGCTCTCTGGGAGCTAATCTATGAGGCCGCTGCCGATGTTCCTTCGAGTCAGTTCTCATTACTGGCCCTCTTAGTTGAAGCCGAAAAACTCGATTCACAGCTACCTGAGTCCAAACCTAAAGATATACCACGGAAATGGTTGGGCTGCTTTGGGAGCATATGGCGCGACAAGTGGGATATGCTCTCACCCCATGCATCATCAGGATGGACAGTGTCCGCATCCAAGTCAACTACCCGATGGATTAATATAAATACCTTCTCAGCAAGGCTGCTAGCTACATCTTCTTTTAGTCAAGGAATAAAGCTTCGTGCTTTAGGCTTGAGCTTATTGAACATGTGTTTGGAGGTGGACCCGACGAAGTATAAGGAGGAAAGACGTCAGGCACAGTCCGCGCTTCAGAGACAGTCACCATGGTATAAGATGGATGTATCAGAACTACTGGCAGCCAATGTATGCGCCGCTGCACAATGGATTATCCATGCTGGGCCGTTGATGTGGAAGGATGATCGACCCGACAGTCCTGAGTACATTCAACAAGTTCTACCTGGTAAAACAGACCTCTGGGATGGAAGCCCCGGATTCACAAAAGGGCGATGGCAGCTGTGGAGGGATCGGTTCTTGTTCATGGCAGAGTACGAGGATATCAGCCCAGATGTCCAGCAAGTTGCACGAAGGGCAGGGCGAATAATGAGCGAATTCCTTTGATGTAAATACCATGTGTTTTTGGAAAAAAAAATCAACAAGGTCTGTCTACCCTTATGAGATTAGCTGGGATCGGTCGTAGCATAGTGCTCAGTCATTACCCTAGGGAAGAAATAGGATCATCGACACGAAAGAACAGGATGCTGTATGATCCGAGTGGTTACGCTTCTGGGTGACAAGCATTGCAAGCTTGATATCGGATCAACCATCTACGGAAATAAACACTCGAGAAACACTAAATAGAAAGCTATCTAGGTAATATCACTCAAGCTTCACAAATCCTCCAGGCAACTCTTTCCGTTCAAACCACGCTTCAGCAGTCTCAGCAAAAATTTGTGGCTCCTGTCGATTCCACGGATGTCGCATACTGAGATGTGTATATGCGACAGTCTCCGCATTCAACTCTCTCCCAATTTTCATCAGCTTCACAGCATCGTGCGGGTGATCGTTGGTGGGAATGAACCCGCCTTTCCCTGCTGCAACAATGAGGGTACGTGCACGCCATGGCGACGGCCACTGCGTTGGTGTCTCTGGGGATACAATCTGTCTACACAAGTCGAGTGTGCAGACACTGGTATCAATGCGAGGAATATCGGCACCATCCATTGCCCAGCGGATCAAGGAACGAGGAAGACAATTCTCCACTCTGGGCATGGCCCATGCTGCGTATGGGATGTACGGTGTAAGTGATGTTTGGGGAAAGATTTCAAACCCCGAGACGAAGATAGAGTTGACCACGTCGGGGTTGCTGGAGGCTAGACGGATGGCGACTTGCGCACCCAGACTGTGGCCAATGATGTGAGCTGATCCGTTGATAGCGTGTGTGCGGATGATGTCGGCAATGAGGCGGGCTGAGAGATCCACCGAGAACGGCGCGTGGGATCTCCCATGGCCTGGAAGATCTGGTACCAGCAGATGGTAAGAACTGGGGAGGTTGGGAATGACAAGATCCCAGTAGAGGCCGGATACCAGGGCGCCGTGGATCAGCACGACAGTGGTTTGGCCTGTCGGGTTGAACACCGTATGGTGCAGCTCGGGAGGGTCAGAGGTAGACATGGCTGTTATTGGAGAAATGGTAAGATACTCTGTACAGATAGGAAGAGATGAGATTTGGCCCCCAATAACGCACGTATCCCGCTGTTCCAACCCCCACACGCCAATCATATGGGATGCTCAAGGTGTATCCACTTAACCACCAAGCTTGATCGTCGATAACCGGGTAGATCCCGTGTCTTAATGTCTTGGTTCCTAGGTAAGCGGAAATATGTAACAGGGCACTTGGAAGGTACTCAATACGCCTATAATGGGTGTCAACATGTATTATCATATAGAAGACTTTCCACCAAATTACTCAGCTCCTCGTGGAGAATCTTACTTTGGGTATCGCTGTGGGTAATTGAGATCCAGCCGCCTGCAATCTTCTTGGGTCTACCCAAGGCCCCATTCTCGGACGTCGGGTGCTCTTTGAAGCCCTGGTAACAAGGTGCTCTCAACTACTTTTACTTCTATGAACTAGGACCATCGAGAGTATACCGGCGAGAAGCTCCGGTAGGCTTGACGGCATAAAATCTCTTGATCCCAAGAGAATAAAATCAAAAATCTCTCGAGGAGACGACACGACAATTTATGATAATTTGGTCCTTAATGTAGTCTACTGTTAAACCTACCCCTAGTTAGAGGCCCGGGCGCGATGAGAAAAAGAATAGTTATGGATTCATAGAGCCTACAGATCTCTGCTTAATTTGTTTAGCATTTCATATCTCTTCAAGACACTTCATATCCCTCGTTTGAGACATGGAATCCTGCAAGGTCAGATGTCATTAGTGGTCTATACCAAATTGGATACGCCAACGAGAAATAGAACGACACAAATTGATATTGATTGCTTGGGCCTTCTCGGCTAGTAGTGGTGAACTTGATCCCTCTGATGTGATGCGATCTATGGACATCGGGTATATATCTGAATATTCCCAGAATCACCGTATCAAAAAATTGCAGTTTACTCGCTCTCTCTATCTCCACCTCTCCTTCAGTTTGGAGCATATCAGCAGTTTCAATCCACATATTGTAGGCTCACATATCGTAGGCAGCCCGATTAGTCTCTAGCGCATTCACTTAATCCTCACAAAGTAGACTCTGCATGTTGACTTGCTTTCTATGCTACAAATTTTTGGGTGCAACACACAGAGATTGAAGTAGAAGAGGACTAGCAATAGGGATGTAGCTTCTTGGAAGTTGCCAATTGCACTGAATGTAAATTCCTGAAGTGCGACAGGACGAATCAGTCACATAATAACCCATGGGCACCTCTGGAAGACTACACACCTAGATGTAAATCAAGAGTGATTTTCCTGTAGAGATATAAAAATTTTGGTAAATGCGGCCAGTGGAAACATCGAATGTAGATACATATCTGCATAATGATTATGCATACCCATTTATGCCGAATTATGCACAACCCGCATCTTAAATCTGCCGATCCCGTCGTTCCACAACATCAAAGTATCAGACGCAATGTCTTCTAATGAGAAAAAGCGCCTGCGAGATCGTCGCTCACAACAAACTCTGCGCGAAAAGAAGTTGCGACATACAGCCGAGCTCGAAGAACAGGTAGCGCACTGCAAACAGCACCACAGTGACGAAGGCGTTGCTCGCCTTTTGCAAGTAATCAATGGCCTCCGCAAGCAAAATGACGCTCTTCTCACGCGACAAAAATCCTTAAAATCTCTCGTCGACTCCTGGGAGACAGAACTGGATGAACCAGGCCCCACCAATGACCCCACTCATGACTTGTCATCCCTGTACGAGGAGATGAGCAAACGAGAGGCCCAATTCTCCCTCCAAACGAACTTCAACGAAACAACATCCCAGCACAATATAAGCAGTCTTCTTAACACCCCCATCTCCGCTGCATCAACACCTCCAATTATTCCATCTCCATGTCTGGAACCTCTTTCCGCCGAAACCACGCCTCTGTGGAAACAAATCCCGCCACACACTGACAACTTCAGCACACGAACTATGATCTCGTGCCCGTGGCTCATGTATCCAGAGCTGGTAATCCAATGTCCCGACACTCCTGATTCTCCTCTGGACCTTCTTTACGGCACGAAAACAAACATGCTGGCAGACATGATACATACGGCCCTGCAGCGCCGCCCAATCCGCGATCCAGAGCGACTAGGTACTGGTTGGCTGACTTATCACTTCTCGAGATGGGTTATTGCGCCTAGCCCGGAGAACTATAATCGACTTCCTATGTTCCTCCGGCCTGTGCAGGGCCAGATGACAATTCCGCATCCTCTAGTGTTGGATTTCATGCCGTGGCCAAGGATGAGACTGAATCTAATTCGGCGGTGGCACGTGTATGCCAAAGACCGGGATTATCTGTTTGGGCTCCTTGCTTGTTGTGTGAAGCTTCGGTGGCCTTGGAATGAGAAGATCCTTGAGCGGGATGAGCGGAACGAATTGTGTATCAAAAAGGCGTTTTATGAGTTATTCGCTAATGAAAGTGGGTGGGGGCTTACGCCGGAGTTTATAAGCCGGTATCCTGATCTTGTGGAGGGTATGGATATTAGCAAAGTTGTGATTGAGCTCTTGTGAGGGATGGCACATTCTTGATCGTGATCTCTTATGTTCTATTATATGAATTATGTCTATAAAACTTCTAATTGTGGGTCATTAAACATCCTCTCGATCACGGAGACAGACAAGATTGATGTGGAGCGAGTGGGACACCCCCGAAGATAGTAGCAGCTCAAGCCTTTTTACCATCAAGATCAACAGGCCACTTCTCGCGAATCACCTTGCCGTACTTGATGAAAATGATAGGAATCGGGATGAATGCCAAAGCCAAGAAGCCAAGCAATGAGTTGCCCCATCCGAGGCCCAGAGCGTCGAACATCTTTGGTCCAGCAAGTGGAAGCAGAGCTCCAACCAGGGAGCGAGTGGCGGTTAAAGTGGCATTGGCGGACGCCGCATATTTAGGATAGCAGTCGATGACATATGTCTGGATGGGCATATACACACCCATCATGCCGACTCCGAAGGGGAACATGCCAATAATGGGCACGATCCAAAACACGTGCTTGTCGGCACTCCAGCCGTACCAGAAGAAGCTGATTGGCAGGATGCAGGCGAAGATGATCATCGTCGGGAGACGCATCTCGGGTTCGAACTTGCCGCCATTTTTTTTAGTAGCTGCCATAACCATCCGGTCGTTTGTGAAGGCAATCATTGCAAGGCCGCCGATGAAACCGAAACCAATACCGAGGTATGCAAGTCCTGAGAGACCGACGGAAAAACCGTATCTCTGGGTGAAGACACCCGGGATGGTGGTGAAGAAGAGGTAGAGCAGACCGTAGATAAAAGACTAGAAATATCAGGTCAGTGGATCGAAGTTTGGAAAGGACAATTTCGCGTGTCACGATCGAAGTTAAACTCACCATATAGACACACAGAAGGAATACAATTGGCGACTTGAACAACAACAAGATTGGCCTCTTGAAACTCTGCATCAGTGTCTCTCTCAACCCAACACGCTCTTGATTGGTGTCATAAGCACTTCGCAGGTCTGTTCTGCCCGTCTCCTTTGCCAGTTTCTCAGTCTTCCAGCGAATGAGAACATCGGCATATGTTTCTTTGTTCAAAATCTCAACACCGAACGAGACGACACCACCCACAATAAGCAACAGCCAAAATACCCAGCGCCAGCCAGCTTCCTGTCCAAGGAATCCACCCGCGATAGGCCCGACCACAGGTCCAATAAGTGGTCCCATAGCCCAGACGGAGGTTGCCATGCCGCGCTGTTCACGCGGGAACAGATCTGCGATCACACCCGCGCCGAGTGTTAGACATCCCGAACCGCCAATTCCAGCGAAGAGGCGACAGATGATGAGAGTTTCAATGTTATGCGAGAGTGCGCAGCCAATTTGCCAAACGACGAAGAACCAATTCGCACCGCTAAGGACGACACGGCGGCCGTAGACTTCACTCAGAGGGGCAAGTAAAAGGGGGCCGAACTAGATCCGTCATGTCAGATGGGTTTGGCTGCATAGATTATAGGGGCTGGGTTGGGCTTACTGCATAGCCAAGGATATAGATGCTGACACTGAAAGACAGGATTGTCTGATCCATTACTTTGAACTCCCTTGCCACATATGAGATGGCCGGTGAGAACATGCTCGAGGCAAGTGGAGAGATCAGAGTCATGATACTGATCAGAGAGAGCAAGGCCCATTTTTTGTTGGCGGGGAAATTCTGGGGATTATTGGGATCATCTTGTCCGTCCCAGCCTACTATCCCGCGGCTAAGATCTGTTTCTGGGAATAGCTCTTTGGTCGGTGTTGATGTTTCGGTAGGTTGATTCGTTGCCTGTTTTTCGAGGTCTGGGGTTTGGTTTCTGACGCTGTCCCCTTCGTTGAGGGTTGCGTTGGTTGAGATGGACTCTTTCTGGAGACCATCCATGATGGGTGACAAGCTTGCAAGTGTTTGTTAATATAGATAGGAATGGGCGCTTGGCGTGTGGGAATAGTAAAAAGGGAAAGGAAATAGATGTGCGTGCCAAGAGGAGGCAAGTTTAAATAATCTTATGTTGTAAAGGAGTGGAAGAAAGGGAAGGATCGAACAGATATAAGAGTAAGATTTTCCGACAAAAGAAAATTAGAACAGGTTACGATCAGCGAAACGATATCCGTTTGTATAAATGCGAGCTGGAACGTTTGTCTCCGATCCGGATAAATCCACCGAAATTATCGTTGCTACTGTTGCTATATTGAGTCATAACTGCTATTATACTCATAAAAAGCTTTCACAAATTGGCAGGATTCGGGTAAGCCGACGAAGTACTCGATTTGGGTCCCCCTCTCCTACTTATGCGATGATTCAGTGCCCCACTTATATGTCTGTGGCAGCCAATGATATTTATCAAAGCAGGCCAATCTCCAGGCGCTGAATCATTGCTGGACAGGAGTCCCGTGGTCCCAGTGGTGGGGCCACTCCCATGTCGCGTGGAACCTTATGTTTATTCTAATGCGCATAACTCATTTCAAGGTCCTGATCAAGGGACATTTCACTGTTGTGAAGCAAACTACATGTGATAGCTTATGCCTCGATGGCGCACATTTCATTGTCCCATACCGCTCATCTGCTCGAAACAGCCACTAGAAATCAACCTTATCATGTTGCTTGTTTCCCTCTCAATGTTTCGAACACATTTCTTATCTCAGCGGTTGAGTCAGCAGCTCTCTTGTACCTAGGGCTATGGTCATCTCATGACAAAAGCTAGTCATGTTGCTCCCATGCCCGTGTCTGTTGTTTCCCTTTCAGACTTGTTCAGTCAAAGGGCCTGGCTCCTCCATCGAATCGAGACACTCCAACACATCGAAGTAAACGTTCTCAAAGTACCCTTTGCTAACGCCCTCGGCGATGTTGGTCATCCTCTCCATTTGTTCATATCTCAGATTGACAAAGGCCGCTCCCACATCGCCCTCGATTTGCGACAACAAAATCAACAGGGGGACGAATGGTGGAATTCTCAATTTCATATTCAAGGTGTGAGTGTAATACTCCATAAGACGGTGAACAAACCACCGGGCACTGGAATACTGGCTTCGCTGGCACCCAGTGAACTTGAACAGAACATCGGAGACTTCCGCGGGGTCCTGGGGAGGACTGCGGTTGAACCGCCGAAGAATCATATCCGCGCCCTTCATGAACTCGTCTGCAAGTTGAGCCCGAGGTTGTTCCTTCACGATCATGCGCACGAGGATTGGATTCATGTTCCACGCGATCCATTTGCGAACCTCTATCGACATCTGTTGCCATCTCCTAGCATTGGGTGAGTCCTTGTAGGGACGAACAATGCTATGGTCAATGAGGCGATGGAGCTTGTGCATCTTCAGCGTGTGATAGATATCACTGCGCCAGGTTTCATAGTCGGAAGGGTGTTTAAGAATACAGGGAAACCGGTACAGCGTGAAACACTCAATCTCTGGCAGCTGGAATGCCTGGTCGATTTCTCCGTTCGGTTTCTCAGCTGGCAGCAAGGTCGACCAATCGCGATTGTGCTCAACAGACATTTTGGTATGTCGTGTATAGCCTGTGTCGACTGGTTTGGCTTTTGTGATAAAGTGAGAGGGTATTCGGTCTGGAACTACACGCAAACCCACCACATTAGCTTATGCTTTCCAAAATGCCCACAGTCGAGACAGAAAGACTTACGGGATCGATGAATTGCGAAGAGTATTTGACAATGGCACGGCGGCGTATGTCGGCAATGTGGGATGCCGGTTTTTGTCTTTCACTCAACCGCCAGAAGATCAGGCGATAACAGATTTCTTACCACATTGGCGATATCGTTTTTGACTGAGGAGGACCTTTCAAACTGCTAACACCCTTATTATGATTGCAGATTGATAAAAAAGAATCAATGTGCAGGGAAGAGAGGAGAGTAGAAGAAAGATGAGAATGAAAGTCGAAGGGGTGCGAGTGGATGGATATGGCATCCAAAATATGGATAGCTTCACTTACAAATAACTCCGCCTTGGCTATAGCTTACGCGAATATATCCAAAGATGTTGTGTATACCCGATTCAGTAAGGAGTTTGCCCACATTCAAAGTGTGGACACGCACCGTGACCGAAATACAAGCACCAATCCAGGAACTGGGGATGAAACAATCTCGACCAATAAATATTCTAATGGAATTGATTGCATCTTTTCAACATTCCAACATTGAAAGACGACCTAGCCCTGGAGCTATACGTTAGCCTACTAGTGGTCTTCTCTCCAAGGCTCCTTTTTGATGACGATTTTGGTGACGACCTGACAACTCGAAGTTTGGTTTCCTAAACAAGCAGCGGTATTTGAGCCATGTTCGGTAAGCATGTCAATGTCGGCAATCAGTAATTTCAATAGACGTGTATATACTTGATTAGAAATCGATCATGGAGAGTGCGTGTGCAGAGTACTGAGTGATTGGATTGCACCGAAGGTTGCTCGCGCGAATTATATACATACCAAGTTCCCCAGCCCGGACCACGCATATAACTTCAAGGACTACCAACACTCTACACATTAGGCAGGAAATCATTCATTCAAGCCGCCAATAATCACTCAGTTGTATTTGATCCTTGTATTTGATCCTCCAAGTATGACTTCATTCAATATTAGAAACATCCCAAAAATGGTACGCGTTCAAGCACAATATCCTTGACAGCCTTATCGATAGCGTTTATCTTATCGTATCCGCCAATCTCCTGATCTCGGGATGTCACTTTCTTCACTCCACCTGCTTCGACTGTCCTCATTCATCAGGTCTCAATATACCATTTGTCATCGTGGGTACTCGCCCGATCTCCAGGTAGGACATGCGCTCTCTAAAAATGTGCCGCCAAGGCTTGTACGCTGACAGTCCACCGTTTACAGCAATCTTGCTGCCTTCAACCGCCCCTCAAGCCCTTGTTATCTTATCACAGCATGTGGATTCACGTCCACGTCTGACAGAAGATTTGTAGCCCTCCCTAGGCCTCTACATTCTTGCCGCCCTTTGATAGTTCCTAGCCGACTGTGACCGCCCTCTCAAAATGGACCAGGAAGAGGCTCCACCTCCCCCGTACTCGCCCGTCGACCCATTACTCGCACCGGCAAATAGCCGGAACAACAACAGCACCTCTCAAGCCTCAATTCCTCTGGGGGGAGCGTCCCTCCAACGCAGGATGCTAGTAGCTCTCGCGCCCCAACACAACCGACAGTCGTGCCGACGCATTTCAGATCCGCCGCTGCGTACTTTGAGGAACGGCTTCCCTCGGTGTTAGAGGAGAGTCGGGATCTTCTGCATCATCATATGACCATCTACCCTCGGAGCCAAGCCAAAGATTTCCCACGACGGCCACGGTGCTGGGCCTCACGGCTAGATGAGATAACCCAACAGGATTGGGATACCTTCTTAAAGTATCTGTTTCCGCCACAATTAGGGCTCGCTGCGTCCTCTCAACATCTGCCGCGTCAATTACGAGCGGAAATTAGACGAGACCGCAAGGACCGCCCACAAGAGACTGATGAGCAACGGAAGGCTCGAATCGCTGCCGTTGTCACCGAATGGAATGAGTGTTTTTTCGGGTACCGCGCCACTCAGATCGTCTTCATCTATGTAGGCGAACCTGATTCTGCGCCGTCGTCTGCTTTATGTCCCCGATGCTATCCAGCGGCAACGGGGTCAATAGATGGCCAGCCAATTCGAAATCCAAATACTCCGTCGCCCGTGCCTAGCCAGTATGGTCCTTCACCGACGCCTTGGCCGATGCATCCTCCTATGTTCCTCAATCCTCAAGCACATGTGCCTCCATCCCCGTATGGAGGATATGGTGTTCCTCCATACCCTCCCCCCATATCTCCAAATCAGCCACCGCAGTATTACCCCCATCCACCACAAGGCGCATGGCAATGGAATAATTGGAACCATCCACAGCAGCAACCGCAGTATCCTAATAACGGCGCTTCCAAGGGTGGGTCCCTTGGGTGGATCTCACAGATCGCATCACAAGCGCAGAAATATGGAGAAAGGTTCAGCGAACAGGCACAACAATATGGAGACCACATCACCGCACAAGCACAGCATTATGGGCGGCAGGTCGAGGAGCAGGCTCTTGCACATGGCCGCTGGATTGAAGAACAGGCAAGACTTCATAGTCGGAAAGCACCAGTGGCTGGACCTCCATACGGCGGGGGCTACTACCCCCGGCCGGCCTGGGATAACTCGCCCCGTCCCATAGCCAACATTCCCATGACACCCATCCAAACCCCCAGCCCTGTGACGAGTCCGAACCCGGCGGGCTGGCCTGAGACAACCAGTCAGATCGATAGCAACAAGCCTAAGCCCTCAACAGAACATCTTCTGATAGAGCTTCCCGCGACCGAACGCACCAGACGAGTATCAGTGAGCTCCGTCTCATCCGAGTCCTCGTTTAGCTCAATTGACTCAATCTCGACAACATCGGATCTGGGCGTTTCAGACCTTGCAACAGTGCGCGCTCAGCTGGAACTTCTAGACGATCGCCACGATCGGGTTCTTTATGACGCTGCCGTCGACCTCCGGCGGCAACTCTCAGTCCTGCAAGAGTCTCGCCGAGAAGCAAAGTTCTCCGGTAAAACCAACTGGCGACCCGGCTTCAGCCAAAGCCAACAGAACAATCAACAATCCAGCGACCCCAATCGGCGCCGCTGGGACTCACCCGAGCAGCAGCAACGTAAGTCGGCCGATAAACGCGCAATGAAAGAAGAAATGCGCGCTACCAAGAAAGCGTTCCGAGACACGCTGCGTCGAGCACGAGATGAGCAGCGTGAACGCCGGCGCACTCGACGCCGCCAGGTCCGTCAAGCTCGCGCTAATGACGGCGATAAGGCGAAAAACATGTACAACCAGCCGCTGGAACAGCAGCTTGGGACATTACGGCTGGAAGATTCTCGGCCGAACCCACCTTTGCCTGCACGTCCGGTCAACACACAAACACAGCCTAGTCCGGTCTCTACGCCAACTAGCTCGAATGTCGGCTTTGGATTTGCCTCCAATCCCCCATCCCCCGCTAGCTCACGGCCGAGTACGCTGGAATCGACATCTACTGGGGACTCTGCCGGTGGGAGGAAAGGGAAGCCGGCTGATACGCCAAGTCGGTTAAAGGATATGCTGTTGCCGCGAAAGGCGAAGAAGGATGATGGGGGAGTAAATGATCTGGAAATATCGGATTCTCTATATTTTGTCTTCTGTTCTTAGCCTGGAGTTCAACGTTTTCCTGAGACAGCAAAATTCACTTTGCTTCTCGATGTATAGTTCAAATTTTGACCACATTGAAGTCGACGAAGTTACGACTCACAATTGATACATAGTACGTCCGCATATCCACACAGATTCCAAATATACTTATATGAAACTTTTTTCGAAATAGAATCTCTATACTTACAAAGAGCATTCACTCCCATTGGCATCTATACGCACCTAAGCCTTCGCTTCATTCTTCTCGACCAAATCACCAACTCCAAGTCCCCTCCCAACCTTCACCCGAATCATCTTTTCCGCATCCTTCTTCCCAAGATCTCCAACCTCCTCTCCCTCATCCTCATGTCCCTCATCATCCCCATTCTTCTCCTTATTACTCTCCGCATCCCGCTTCTCAATCGCCTTCCAATCAAGCCACATGTTCTGCAGATTCAACCGCATAGCATACGCATCCTCCCCGTCAGCGTAGTACCCATCCTCAACCTTCTCAACCTCAAAGCCAAGCGTATCACGGTAAAGTCGCAGCGCAGCAACGTTCGACATGCGCACGTGCAGCGACACGAAATGCGCGCGGTGGGACTCGGCCATTGCGCGTTCTAGAACCATTCAATTAGAACCGACAGATACAAACTCGACCATGAACACAGTTGCAAAAGCAATAGCATCAGACGAAGATCATGGATTGGACAAGATTTTAAACTCACGACTCATCCGCATCAACTTTTCCGCAATTCCCAATCGTCTATGCGTCCGCATAACACTCAGACTGGTAATATGACCATGCTGGTTTCCATCCTTGGGCTCCTCCTCCATCTTCGCGAGAACATATCCCACGACCTTGGGGTATTCGCCTGCGATATTTCCTGCCATTCCGGCGCCCGTCGAGCTTTGTTTGTATCCTCCGCGCGGGCGCATGACCGCGACGAAGCTTAGCTGCGGCCAGGTCAGGGCATGGTAGAGGTAGTATTTTAGGAAGTAGTTCTCGGGGAGGTTTGTGATGTTGCAGGTTTGGATTGAGGGGAGGAGGTCGATGTAGGAGGGGTAGCTGCTTAGGGGGACGATGTCGACCATTTTGGCGGTTTGTGAGGGCGTAAGATGGTGAGGTGGGTTGGTTTGAGGGTGGAGTTGGCGGTGCGGTGGGGAGGTCATGTGATATGAGGATAGGATGGGATTGTTGCAGGGTTGGGTTTTATACTCGGTAGATATGTTAACTGTTTTTTACTATATGAGCTGATTTGGTATGGAAGTATTCAATTCGAATGTGTTCGAGTTGTACGTTATATGTAATCGATTTGCCCAATTGCTTTTCCCTTTTCTATCACTCCAATCATACCCTTTGTTAGAACAACATACATAAAACACCTCTTCAATGCATTTCACGGGTCCAGAAAGGGCTCGACGGCCCTAATGCTCTGCTGGAGCTACTCCAAGGATATGGGAACCTGAATAATTCCTCTGCAGTCAGTGTTGACGGTCGAATTCGTCTTATCGATTTTTCCCCTCGGTCCGTTCAAGATGAATCAGTTGCATCAGTGACTACTCTTACAGAAAAAGGACTGGTCGAACGCGGTTCTGAGCCCCCCGCTACCTTGAGTGGAAACGATATGAAACTTCTGATGGCTCGATACTGGCTCGATGGCATGAACTGTTACATCAAAGATGCCTCTATGAATGCACTTGATATCCTAGAAAATATCAAAGAAGATTACTCAACCGAGGTCTGTGATCGCCTTGACCGCTTCCAAGAATCGCTTTACGAAGAGAACGAATGTAAAGCTCTTGAAATTGCAGAGGCCCAAAGCATATATAGAAGGAAGGTAGAGAATGAGCAGGACTTAGCCAGAGTGTTTGGAAAGAGCAAGCCTTGGCTTCATTCCATGGGGTTACGCTTTTCTCGAGAGCCCAAAGTTGGTTGCTGATCCTAGATATGATGTTTGTGAGGAGAACAAAGCAAGGCAATGGAAAGATCTCTGAGTCGTATCGGGTTGAGGATTGAGATTTATCACCGTCACAAGATCGAGACGCAATCCTGGCCAGCCCAGATGAGTAGTTCATCGATTTCCCGAGGTTGTCGACGAGTTGTACCAGAAGATCAAGAACCGACGAAACGGAGGCAGTCTTTCCGATGGCCTTCTTCTGAATGTTCTTATGTACCTGGATCATGAATTTGCGAACTCACTGCTCGTTGCTCATGGGCATGGCGGTGCTATGTGGATCTGGGCAGTCGATCCGGACAAGTGTAAGAATGATCCTACAGACGATTATCAAGGATACGTGCGTGGTGGTTTCAAGCAACTCGTGGATAATTTCTACGTTGCCCGCCGATGGCAAAGGGACCTGTGTCGAAATGGTACTCATACCCAAGGATAATAACGCATGACGAATACTTGGAGAATCAATTATAGCTAACCAACAGATAGGATTGGGTTTTTTATACATAGATCGAATGACTATAACTTTGTACCTACAAATACCATATCAAAATCATATCCAGTACAATACGATATGTACGGCAAAGAAAGAAAAAAAAAACCTAGCGCCGACGACCGGATCGGTCATGCACCCAAAATACAGTCATGGGTATCGTGGAAATCAAAACGCAGACATCATAATCTGCACTCCCACTGCCACCAGAAGCACCGTCGACATACCGGCGACAGAAATCTCGCGCAGCGCGCCAGAGGTCTGGCCACAGCATTTACGGTTGTAAGTGACATTATTCATCTCGGCAGCGACCTCGAAGACCGAGCCGTTGAAATTGCCGTAGTTATAGTAATCAACCAGAAGGAAGTTGGGTGGACGGCCCCAGGTTTCTGTTCAGAGTTAGCAAAGCACACATAGAATTATATGAAATCTAAAACTTACTGTTACATTCCTTGGCCATTTCACCCAGACTACCACTGCCATTCACAGCATTGGTCTCGTTGATCTCAGCAGTATTGGGGATCAACATGCTAAGAGAGCCGAGGTTCAACTGTAAATTCAGATTGTGGTTGGCCATGTACATGCGATTCTTGGCGGCTGCCTTGGACAGGCCCGGTGGGCGTTGCTGCGTGCAGGGGAACTTGGGGTCTGTCGGTGAGAAGGGTGTCTCCCACACCTGCGAAAACTCATCCATCAGCCATGGATAGGCGGTCTGGTTAGCTTCGTAGTCCATGAAGAAGACTGCGCGCTTCTGCTTGAGGATCATTTCTGAGAGCGTGGGCCAGTCATTTAGAGCCATGGGGACCTTGGTGGGGGTGTAGATGAGGTCCTTTAGTCCAGCGTTGTAGATTGGGTCAATGAACTTGTCGGGCTTGACATAGTCGAAGTTGCCGATGATAAAGGTCACCACGTCATATGGGTTCTTCCGCATCCACTTGTTGACCTCCGTCAGGTATGCTTCGAGGGTGCCGACGCCGAGCAATTGGCAGCTAGTATGGCATAGGAACATTGTGCCATTCTCATAGTGAGTTTGGAATTGCACTGTCCATAGATTAGTCATTGCTTGTTTCTCAAAAGTTGGCGCATCGCTGCTTACGTGTGCGGATTCCGTCATTCAATTGTGTTGTTACATCCAGCACCTGATTGGCGGCGACGTTGTTCTTTCGCACGAACGGGCTGTTGTGCGCTGCGATCATGGTAATGTTGGAATATTTTCTGACACAGAACTCGGGGTAGTTGTTGCAGGGCTGTTTATTAACCACAGGCACCTTCGTCGCTGTACCAGTCGTAGTCGCCGTCGCGTTCATGCTCATGTTTCCGATCACCGTAGTGCCTCCGCCGCCCACCAGTAAAGTCAAGGAGTCGGATGTTGTGGTGATAACCGTCTGGTTGGAGGCAGTCATTGTCCCATTGTGATGGGTAGCCGATGGAACCACCGACTTATCGCCATCACTCAGAGTGATGGTTGTACTGGGGTCTAGGTAGCTACCCGATGGAAGGGCCACTGGAGTTGTGACCGACACAACTATAGGTTCATCGGTGGTGGTCTTGCCTGACTGGGTAGCGGATTCGGTAGTTTCGGTGGTCGTCTCCTTGGCCACTGCAACGGCCAGCAAGGCGAAAAGAACTGTAGGCCACCTCATCGTGCTGTGTATTGTGTGAGCCCAAGATAGGAGGGAATTCCGGGGACAGTCCTCCAGGGTCCTGGACCCGGAGGTACTGAAACTTACCTAAGCGGTGGAGTTTTCCCAAGGTGACGTTGAGAACCAATAGAGGATCGTGATGGACCAATTATATCTTTACCAACATTTTAGGGGGCGAAGTGGGAAGTGGGCTGAGATCTCCAGTCTTTTAGCTGTGCCGATTGCTGCCTGATATGTATTTTAGTTCGCGCTTATCCTCTGTGTCTCACATATAGGCAACACTTAAAAGGAGTGCGTATACTATTAATACCTTTATTATTCTACCTAAATCTTCCTACTAACCCATGATACTTCTATATCTTTGCGTTTCACTCACATCTAATGCCTTCACTCATACTATTTCCGGTAGATAAGCCTAAATGATCGTCCATGCAGGCCAGGGGCCACGCCACTAGTGTTCAGCCACTGACGATCTCACGGGAGACGCGACGATCTGATAGAAATTTCATGAAAGTCGAATCCAATAAATGCAATAAATCCAGTTCATGCAGAGTAAGACAAGTAATAGCTCGTATTCCGAAGTGCTCGGGATATTTCATTGCCCAACGTCATCTCGGCAACCCTAATTCTTCTCTCTTTTCTTCGGCACTTTGGGACTTTCTCCTTTCCCCTTGACAGACTTCTATCATGCATGGGAATGGCAAGCGGAAGCTTCCCTTTTTCAAGTCCACGACCCCAATTGACCGTCAGCGCAAATCCAATGTCCACTGGCATCGGGTGTTCCGGTCGCTGTTGTACTTGATCGCTTGGGTCTTTTTATTGTTGGTAGTCATTGGCAACATCTCCAATAAACCAGTCCTACGCAGTACCTATTTCCTTTATCTCGACCTTTCCAATATCATCCCAGTCTCTATTCCAAATGCCGTCCTTATCAACTCCATCGCCCAAACAATTGGTTTGCACGACTTCTACCAGGTCGGCTTATGGAACTTCTGCGAAGGATACAATGGCCAGGGCATCACCCACTGCTCCAAGCCGGAGACTCTGTATGCCTTCAACCCGGTTGATATCATCCTGAGCGAGCTGCTGTCGGGCGCAACAAGTACGTTATACCGATATTCCCGGACTGGAACCCCTGGAAGACTAACAACCCCACAGTCGCTCTCCCAGCCGACATCCAAAGCCCATTGAAACTAGCACGCGTCGCTTCCCACTGGATGTTCGGACTCCTCTTTTCCGCAGCCATCCTCAACTTCGTTATGATATTCGTGAGCCCTCTCGCCGTATCCTCGCGACACCCACGATATATCAAGGCCTGGGCCGCAGGATACAATGGCGCGCACCCGCCCGCGGGGAAGCCACCTCACCGCCGACGGACCTTCTTCTGGCTCCGCGCTCTGCCGATGATGATTTTGACATTTTTCACCGCACTGATCACAATCGTCGGGTCAGCCGTCGCGACGGTCATGTTCGTGATCTTCGCCAATGTCTTCTCAAACGCAGACCCGAGCATCAACATCCAGGCGCATGTTGGCACCCAGATGCTTGTGTTTATGTGGATTGGTTCGGCGTTCAGTCTGCTCGCATTCATTATTCAGATTGGCTCTTGCTGCGCGGCCTGCTGTCGTGGCCGTAAGGCTCGCAAGCAGCTCAAGTCGCAGGGTATCAAGTGGCACGAGAAGAGGGCGATTAGCCCGGATGCGACCGAGCAGCGCGGTGTCTCGTCCTGCAGAGATTCTACTGTCCCTGCCGAGGAACGTCGTCTCACTTCCAATGGTCAGGCGTTCTCGAATGAGCATGAGCAGAAGTTGGGCAATGGGTATCCTTCCAACCACCAATACTCTGACTCTTCGACCGAACCTCATGCACTCTCGAAGTAAATATCGTGAGCTTCCTTCATTTTTGGTCATTTCCTCTACAGATTCATTTTCCTTTCTACCATTCTCATATTCTCATCTTTGTGGGGCTCAATATCCAACCCTGTGCTATAGTGTTTCCATTTCTGGACATTTACCCATATTTTATCTACCATCTACTTCGCACTTAGCTATGATTTCACGATTTGAACTAGAAATAGAGCGGCATTTACTCCGTACATATCTCAAACTTGTTTTTTTTTTTTTCCGTGAATTTTGAATATATGGCCTCTCCACAGTGGATACGTCACTGCAGTCGTAAGCTCAAAATCTTTGCCACAATTGCTCTGTTCCTTCGACTTCTCATTTGTTAATTCTGATCGCCTAAAAAGAGCCGAGTGCCCAGCCCCCGTAAAGAGGGTCATAGCTCCACTTCAGGTACCTTGTTCCTCTCCATCACATCCTATCACACAGATCAGCCGCAAGGCGAAACGAACACCCACTCTGTACTCCGTACTTCGTATTCGGGTCGTGTCCACTACGGCTTGGCAAGGATCCCCGAAATCCTGAAAGGTTCAGGTGCCAGATCGAGTAATAGCTCGATTGGAGAGCAACCACCAAAAGGCTGGAAATTCTCCGTACCGGCCTGAAGAATTAATGACAAAAGTACAAAGACCGTCAGCCTGGTTCTTGATCTATCAGGCCGAATCTCAATAATTTGTGCAATATATACAGAGTCTCCCGGACAGGCTTACTCTGCCCTTATGCAACGTTTACAACTATGAACCTCTGCCTCAGTACTCTGTACCTCCATACTCATAACCCCAAATCAAAATGCCAAAATTCACCCAAAAACACACACTCTTGTGTAATTCACCTCTAATTTCTACAACTCACGCCACCTAATAGTGAGAACCATCATGAATCCATGCCAAATTACAAAAAGGATCCCTACCTACCGGTTCCATGATCGAGGTCCATGGGACAAAACTACGTTCTGATATCATACACTTCTACATAAATCCCTTATTGCCCCATTTCCATCTGTCAAAATCATCTCATTATCAATATCAAATGTCAACCGACCCCGAAATCCATACCTCCCCACCTCCCCAACCCTCTCCCGGGAACCAAAACACCCTCCCATCCGACTTCAGCCTAACTGACAAGGTAGCCCTAGTCTCAGGCGCCGGTCGCGGCCTAGGCCTGACCATAGCAGAAGCTCTATTACAAGCGGGGGCCAGAGTGTACGCTCTAGACCGCATAAAGGCCCCGGTATGTGTGTCACATCTGTGCTATAATCTTAACCTCCTAGAAAAGAATAACCTCCGAATAACTCATCACAAAGACACCGGAGCTCATACACGTCCAGCAGCGTGCCAAGGACTTGGGTACCGAGCTGCAGTATCGCTGTGTCGACGTGCGTGACACAGACTTGCTCAATACCACCATCGAGGATATCGCCAATCATGAGTGTCGTATAGATGGCCTAGTTGCTGCTGCTGCTATTCAGCAGGAGACGTCCGCCCTTGATTACCCTGCTGAGGATAGTGATGCGTTGCTCGAGGTTAATGTGACGGGTGTGTTTATGACGGCTCAGGCGGTGGCGAGGCAGATGATTCGGTTCGGGACTAAGAGTAGTATTGTGTTAGTTGCTAGCATGAGCGGGACTATCGCGAATAGGGTATGTTCTCTTTTTTATAGCTTTGTCTGGTTGTCTACCACATGCCCCTGAACTCGGTCTCGTTCTGTGTCAACTCAAAGATATATCTGTGGATTCATCAATACTAATCAACACACAAATAGGGATTGATCTGTCCAGTCTACAACGCAAGCAAAGCAGCCGTCATCCAGCTCGCCCGCAACCTCGCCGCTGAATGGGGCCAATATAATATTCGCGTTAACACCCTCTCGCCCGGCTACGCTCTTACTTCTATGTTGGAGTTGCTGTTCATCGAGTACCCAGAGCGCCGCGAGCAGTTTGCTAAGGAGAATATGCTGGGCCGTCTATCTCATCCCAGGGAATATCGCGGTGCTGCTGTCTTCTTGCTTTCTAATGCTAGCAGTTTTATGACTGGCAGTGATCTCCGCATAGATGGTGGCCATGCTGCGTGGTGAATGACTTCAGTTGCGGCAAGGCGCGGGCTGTCTGAGTGTTCTGTTACATTAATAGTGACCTCTTCATGAGATGGAGGGGCTTGATTCGGTCACTCGGTGTCTCTCTTTCGCCTTTTGCGGTTTGCATGAAGCTATGTATGCAACTATACGGGAATTTCCCTGGTCGCCGGGTATTCTTGTCCACGAGGTTGGTGAAAGCGTAGCTGAGAACTTCCATTCATGTGCATTGACTTGGAACTTACTTTCAATTCATTAGGTCACTTTTTGACAGGGCATACATTTCTTTCCTATTCTTTCAACGTGTCTAAGCCAAGAAACGTCTATCTCCCCAATCCCTTCAAGTATCGATATAACTCCACAAAAGACTCAAGCCATTCTTTCTCTGTCTCACTATGCGAGTCCAAGTAAAAGTACGGTGGTCGTCTGAACTGGTAGGCACTGCCAGTTTTGAATGGGGTGAAAAAGGACCCATCAATGGAAACCGGAGTCTTTGGTTGCTCAGACCACAGTGTATTTCCTGTTCGGAGGACCTCCCCTTTCTCGTTTGTGATTGGGCTCGGTTTCATTTGGGACAGGTGCTCGATCTCATCAGACGACATATAAAACCGAGGCATCCCGCGGATGACGATGTGGACCAACTTCGCAACAGAAGGTGGAAGGCTATCTGTGACGACTTGATTGTTCGTAACTATACCCTGGCTTTGCATCGAGCATAGCATCTCGTTCAATGTAGAGTCAAAGGGAATGACTGGCATGAATACAAGCGAAAAGTGCTCATTAAAAACGAACTTTTCCCTCGGAGACCGCACGATCTTCGCCGCGTCCTGTCTCATCCGCGACACGATGTGTGCCGTGTTAGGTCGTCGTTCTTGCGCTGGATCCAGAGTGCGTTTGAGTATATCCGGATTTGCCTCTAAGATGTCTGCTGCCCAACGCAGCTCCGAGGCCATCTGTCCGAAAAGAGTAGCTTTGGCAGCTTGGATATCGTCCCATTCTTTTTTCATAACCTCAAGAGTGTATTTGGTTTGCGGAAGGCGCCAATCCCCGACGAAACTGCTGACGGATGCGCCGAAACGGGTCGAATCAATTATTCTCACATGGTCCTTCATCTCACCGAGAATGCTTCCATACATGACGTTCAAGATTTGATCTGATTTCCATTCCTTTGGGTAGTGTATGTTTAGACCCAAGATGGAGTCATCTGGCACAAGCCTTTTTCCCAATTTTGCAAAGAAGTCTCTGTAGAATGTAGCGGCGAACCTGATCGTCGAAATGCTCTGGTCGTCGGACCCGATCATGATGCGGCAGATAGGATGCGAGATGATGCATTCGTCCACCCGGTCATTTTGATAGCAGAGTAGTTTGAGAACGTCCCATACTCGTAGATCATCGATTATCTGATGAGCGAGCTCGGTGGGGATTGTCTGCAAACTGAGGATGATCGAACCCAAGGGAGTTGATTTGCTCATTTTGAGATTTGAAGATAAAAAGAGAGAAAGGAAGAGAAAAGAAGCGAAAATGGACTAAGTCGTTAGCGACACTTTAGTGACTCATTGGCCCCCTGTGCCTCACAGCCCCAAATCCGCTCGTTCAAAAGCCAGAGACGATCATAATTCTATGAAATACACGCCGAAGATGAAAGGGAACCTAGAGCATTTGCAAGCGGAACTGGTCGCGATTCAACTGCGAAAGGATCAGCAATTATGCAGAGAGAAGAAAGTACCTACTACTCTGGCTTTGCAGTTATCATCTGCTTCCAGTTCTCTGCTTGATGAAATAGCCTGGCATCTCACCCCCAACCACGACGTATCAAAAGCCTTGCGATCCACAAGATGCAACAGCATCATCAAGGGCATCCAGACATATTTGAGCAATCTCGATAGGATGGCAGGCGATGAACAGACCAAAGATAACATCCACGTCCCCACAAATAGTGAACTGGAAACGACCTTGAAAGTGTTGGATTATCTTCGGAAACACAATTTGGTGTCGCAGACCACATCGACAGATCCTCTCTCTGATATAATACGGACTGTCCAAGCAGAACTCTCAGTGGACAGCACCCTTCGCTCTGCGCAAAACAAAATGTTTCAAAAAGACCAGAGCCCCAAAAACACCCAGACCAAGAAAAGATGCTACATCTGTCGCTATCTTTTCCATCGCGCTGATGCTCATGAACTTTACCCTTCATTGTGTCGCCAATGCGGCATGTTCAACACAGGCTGCTCGCAGCGATCGCTACCCGAACAGCTGAACCTGACTGGTAAAATCGCTCTGGTTACCGGAGGCAGAATCAATCTTGGCCACTCAACCGCCTTGAGACTTCTACGCTGTGGAGCCAACGTCATCGTTTCATCTCGGTATCCAGCCGACGCAGCCGCACGGTACGCAGCCCAGGAGGATTTTCCGCAATGGAGTGGAAGATTAAAAGTCATCGGTGCGGACTTCAGAACTGCAAACGATGCTTTCCGTCTTGTGCATATTGTCAGGACATTGCTATCCAGTTGGAATGGCGAGACAGTATCTGAAGCCCGGCAATATCTCGATATTCTGATCAACAACGCCGCACAAACCTTGACAGACCCTATCAAAGCAGAAGTCAAAGCCATTTCCAGAGAGGAATATCTGAAAGAAAAGCCTGAGACGAAGCTTCTGGTTGCCGGTCTCGACAGTCAATACCAACCAAGGGTCCGCGGTGGACTGCAAGCATCATGGATACCCAGTATCGAGGGACAAAACCAGCTCCAGATTGAAAACGGCAGTCCGGAGAATGCTCTATCCAAAGATCAAGTACCCCAAAAGGGGCTTCGAACTACCGAACAAGAGCCCTCCGGTTCCTCATGGGTTCAAACTCTGCACGAGATACCCTACGAGGACCTGATCAGCGCGCATTCAGTCAACGCCTTTGTCCCACTGATTCTGTGTCGTGAACTCCTGCCTTACATGGGCACCGAGGACCCGAGCTCAGTTTCCAAGCCGCAGGGTTATATCGTGAATGTTTCATCGCGAGAAGGAATTCTTGAAGACATGCCTGGTTCACAGAGTAAGGCTGGTCATCATGTTCACACTAATATGTCCAAGGCTGCTATCAATATGATTACGGAGACGGAGGCACAGTCTGCGTGGAAGAAGCGACGGGTTGCTATGAATTCTGTGGATCCTGGGTATATGAGTGCTGCGCCAGAGTGCCAGCGTGAGGAGGGGTGTCCTATTGGGTTTGAGGATGGTGCTGCGAGGGTACTTTGGCCCATTGCTATTGGGGAGATTGAGGGGAGGGTTATAAGCGGCAGGTTTATGAAACACTTTCAGGAAGGTGTTGCACTTACACATCGGGGATAAGTAGGGGGTTAGACATGAGATATATCAAGACTGTTCACTATATACCTATTGCATCTGTAGCGCTTGTTTCGTTGCTTTTACTTGTAGATAGTCCCTATGGGGATGATATTCTAAAACTTGGGCTCAGAGAGTACAGGGAGGCCTGTTTCCTTTAGCTTTATCCATACATGTACTACTAGCATGTGTGGCTCTATATGTATGCAGTGGAATATAGAGACCATAGATTGATTGATGGAGGCTCAGCTCCAGAAGCAAAAGGGGCATTAAGGAACATGCAATCACGTCCATTGTGCACGAAATGCCAGAGCACACACAATGACAGAATAGAGTGAAATAATGAAATGATGGATTGAAGGGAGAAAAAGTCAAATTTCATAGCTCAAGTGTGGGTTCCGAAGTAAATAAACAAGACATGCACAAACCTGGTCAAGACAATGCCGACTATCCAAAGATGCGATAGTTGGTATAGCTCAAGACTGAAAGAAAAACCAAGAATATCAAGGAAAGAAACAGGGTATCGATATGGAATAAGAATGAAGCAATGTAAACCGAAATAAGCACACAAGCTCCGGAAAAAATCAAAGCAAGGTGAGAAAAGAAGATAACTAATCGTACCGACATGAATGCATGCACTAATGAAAACGCAAGAGAAACCAAAAAGAAATCAAAGAACAAAAAATCATAAGCCCGTTGTCTTTCACTCCTGGTACGCCGACTAGTCGGTCCCCGTATTAAGACGCCGTGTATGCAAAGGTCAACTCGAATGACCATATATGAAAGACAGAAACGAGCCACCTAGCTCATCTCCATGCCATATTCATCCTCCTCCTTGAAGCTCATAGCAGCATGGCCAGCACTGTTCCAGTACTGCGGTTGGCCCGCACCGTTGGCGCTGCTGGTGCCACTGTGGAATGAAGGACTCAAGCTGGGAGGGGTCAGGCCGGACATGTCACCGCCCTGCACGGCATCGCCGGCGATATTGGTGTGCTTTGGGACGCATAAGCCGCTACCCGGTCCGCGGGTGTAGCTGAAGGAAGTTGGGTCATTCTTCTCTAGTGCATCGAGGATCTCGCTGCGCATGCGCTTCTCTTCTTCGGTTTGCTCAAAGGGCCAGGTTCCACCCAGGCTACCAATCAGCTCGGCAAGTTCCGCTTCTTGCTGATATTTGACGTGCAGGGCCCACATCAGATCGCGGGTCCAGCTGACAGCGCCGTTGAGGATGTCGCCCTTGTTAGGACCCTTCTCCTTTTCTTCGATCGGGAGACCCATTGTGATGTTACCTGGTGTCGCGCGACGGCCGTTGCCTCCAGCGAGAAGAGACGTGGCGGCGCTTCCGCCTGCGCCGGCCATGGAAAGAGCGCTGCTGTTCACAAGTTGCTTCCGGACCTTGTCGTCCTCCAGACGGTGCTGAGGAACCAGATGGGAGAGATCCTGGATACGTTCATTTATGTTATCGCGTCGGCGACGCTCAACCAGGTTGTGCGAGGCACGGCGACGTCGGCGCTTGGCTTCCTGGGATTCGAGGTCTCCGCCACTGCCAGGAAGGTGTGTATCAACCTTAGCGGGTAGTGAGGCGTGCTTCCCAGACTTGATGATCTCGGAGATGCCGGCGTGGTGTGATTGGTGAGGAGGAGATGAGATGGGAGAGGACTCGACGTACGACTGTGCACTGCCGGGGGTTCCATCCCACTGGTTGGATAGTGTCTTCTGGTGACGAGCCTGTAGTCCGGTCCGGATCGGCTGAGACGGGAAGCTTCCTGACTCCGGGGTACCTAATGTCAAGGAACCGAGTGCCGGTGTCTTCGGAGTCATGGGGCTGCGACCGTCAGATGAAGTACGATCCATGCCTTGCAAGCTCTGGCGCTTGGTGCCGAGATAGTTTTGGTCGAAAGAGCTGGCATTGTGCATGTGGGGATTTTGCTGATTCATGCGGTATTGCTCATAGTTGAAGCTGTTCTGGACGAACGGACTGGCCATAGGAGCATTTTCCGGGGTATTGGAGTACATATGCGACATCTGACTTTGGTGACTCATCGCGATACCACCGGCAGACTGGTCCTGGAGATAGTTCACATTGTCGCGCTGATGACCATTCTGACCGCTGATCTCAAGATCCAGCAACTCGTCTGTGTCGATGCCGGAATTTCCGAAGTTGAAGCTGGATGACATGTTCTGTTGCGACCCATAGGAGTAAGGCATGAAGCCATTATGTTGCTGCATGGTCAAGTCGGATGGGTCGATGCCGTCGGTGGGGAATTGGTTACCCATCGAGTAACCGGAGTGTGACATGATGAAAGGGGTGTAGTCGTCGGATTCGTGTTTGATGAAAAGACTCGCTTCAGCCATAGGTAGAACTATATTTGGAATTTGGTGATGGGGCGCAGATCGGCGAGGGGCTAAGGGAGGAGTCGTAGTGCCGATCCTACTGACTCTCCGTGACAGTTGCCAAGACCGAAATCGATGAAGAGTAGGGAAGAGGTATAGGATGTGAGAATGTCACGATCTGTGGGAAAAGATGTTAGTCAAGACTCGACCCCGCCCGGCGATTTGAAGATGTCGTGGCCTCCGTGCGCAAGGCAAAAAACCAGGCAACCCAATCAAATGGCATAATAGACGAAAGGGAGAAAAGGAATGCAAATAATTTACCCTTGAAACTCTGAGGAGTGGAGGAATGAAGTCCGGGGAGATTGTGAGACGTGCCAATAAAGCCGGGGAAATTTCCTCGGTCTTTAACCCGGAATAAGTCGACAATCGGGGTGACAATTATGCAGATCGCAACCACAGCCGTGTGAGCCAATCGCAAGAGAACACAAAGTGACCGAAAAAGCTCTAGAGAACTGTGTAAGCGATGAAAGGCCGATAGAGGGAAAAAAAAAAAGTGGCCGAGGCACAAGTGCGAGAAATGAAAGAAGGATCAGAATAAATCAGTTTAAAGACCAGAGACGAGCAGGAAGGAAAACCAAGCCCGAATCAGGCACTCAATCCCAGTTGATCCCAGTTGATCCCAGTTGGTCTCAAGTTCCAGTTGATGTGCCAGTGCAAATGCGAAACACAAAAGTCCGGAGAAGAGCAAGTGGGGGAACAAGCGGTGGGAGGGCGGTGAGCAGTGGCGATCTGATCTCTTTGTATAGTGTGTTCCCCTTCTTTATCCCTTGTGTATGTCACATTTGGATATGATCCCGTCTCCTGCGCCTTGACCTCTGTTTGCCTGGAATTTGCCCGGGATTTGATGCCGCTCGGATTGCAATTGGAATACGAGTTGACGCAAGCGCTTACCAACAAAAGTAAAAGAACATGGGCTTGGGCTTGGGTTTCAAGATGAAATGTGGGAACCTACCAGGTGAAGAAGTGTATAAGCCGATGTAAGAAGTTGGTGCACGTATATCTTATATGAAGCATAAGTATAAATCTCTCGGAAGTACACTTATAGACCTGTGTTGACGTTAACAAAAGCCCACGATACAATAAGCATGCAGGTCAAGACATATACATGTCATCAGCAGAGCCCCATTCGCACGTGGGGATCTTGCAACAGCCATAGATCACAGACGCAGGAACAGAGGGAACCTGCCCATATATGAACGCTGAAGACTTGGACACGTACCTTGATATACGGGGACCCAGAAGGTTTGATATGGAAAGTCTTTACAGATCCAGCGGTTGAGAGCAGAAGTATGCAATGGGAAGAAAAAGCACTTGCAGGTCTCGCAGACACCGAGGGGATGGAGACTTTATGAACTCAAGCGGCGCTCTCCTGCATCTCTCATTTGATATATTACAACACCGGTCATGCAGCCCGTCGATCGGTGGAAATCGATGAGATTGACCTACGCCATCGGGCAGATTTATTTTATTTTTGAATTTTCTCTGACTACTACCATCTGGATCAGAAGGGAAAATGGGGTTAAATCGGTGTGAGTGGATTATGGGTGGGTGGCAACGGTAAACCCCCGAGCCTCTATTACAATACATAGATAATATACGTTATAAATAAAACCAAAATACGCAAATACTACTAAGGAAAAAATGTATTTCAAGATAATCATATAGATTCACCTAAAAAAAAAAAAAACACAAAACTTGGACAAAGGGGGGAAGGGTGATACAGCCGGATCGAGTAAAACGGCCATCCCATGATACCCGTTGGGAGATTTGTCACCTGTGACTATCATGACTCACGGGTGTCTTGAAAAGATCAAGAATGTATCAGATGAGGCCTTGAGGTTACAAACATGCCAAAACATAACCTCTGGAAACCATAATCTATTGTTCAGAGTGGAAGTCTGCAGGACAGATACATACTGTATACAAGATCCTCGAATGAGACCATGTGGACATCCAAGGATGGTTGATCTCCATCAACTATGCATAGTACTAGTACTAAGGATACCGGAGATGGTAGAGATCGACTAGCAAGTGAAAATGACCGTGGAGTCGCAAATATCATCCGGAGCAGATAACATGCATAACCCCATTACCTTGGCAATACCAGCGATAAGACCAGATTGCATAAGATCCCTGGGGTATATGTGATGGAAGAAGAACAATCAAATAGAGATCGAAAACAAAAAGCAAAACAAGAAGAATAAAAAAGGAAAGAAAGTAGCCCACGGACCACATCCATAAGCACTATCGACTCTGCAAGAGGATCAATGCGTTCTCTTCTTCATGTGGGATGTCGTGCAGAGGAGACTAGAGGGACGATCATATCTGTGATCAACGGAGCTTGGACCTTCATCTTGCTCGGCTCCAAGAGCCCTCGAGTCTGGTTGGTCTTTTGCGTACGTAGGGGGCGGAGTTGGGGGGTTATTAATCTGGGTTACAGCGGCAGAGGGAATATTGGAGTTGACTATTTGGAATACTCTAGAATGCTGAGGGTAGTGATTTTTGGATGACTAGACCTTCCAAATCCAAAGTCGAATGGTAGAATGTGGCGGAGAGAGAAACAATTGGAGGGGGTTGGAATGTGTCTTAATACCCACCAATAGTGAATGACGGCCATACACCTCAACTTTGGTATGACTTTACTAAGCCACATCGCCAAAGTTTCCTCTCCGAAGAAGGGGCTGTTTAGCGGATCATAGTATTTCTAAGATCGACGGATGAGGACTGATCTCCGAGGGAAAAATATGGATCTGACGTCCCGTCCCGTCAAGGTTTGGCCAGATACGTCCGATGCAAGAAGTGCTTGAGATTCATGGAGGTCTATATCTTGAACTGTGCACAGGACCCTGCTATGACGACATCAGATGTGGTGAAGGTCGCACTCCATTCCGGGGGGGTCACGGATAGACTGTACATTCTATAGACAATACAAAAGCAGCCAAACAAACAGGGAAGCAGAAAAAGCAAAAGCAGATAAGTTTGGAGAAACTAGGAAGCTGCCGATGTTACCCACCAGAGTCCGGAGTACATACGAGCGCCCTTATGGTTCTCGGATAATTCCCCCCAGGTGGTACACGGGTAGCTACATACAGTCAACAGGGCAAAAAAAAAGGTTATATGGGTATGCAACATCATCTGGAGTTCTTCCGATACGACTGCCGGCATATATACCCGTTATAATCTGCAGGATACAATACAAGTGATCCTTCTACTGTTACGGTAACGGCCGATCGCTACAGGGTGCGCCTCAGCCAGGATCGACAGTGGGCGATTCAAAGTTATAGAAAGGGAAGGGGCCCATCCATAATGGTCATGAGTCCAGACGAGGCTAGTCAAGAATAGATAAATAGGCTACATTGGAAATGAATATTCTTGTAAATACATAAGTCATACGGCAACCGAAAGCAGGATTTGATTCAATCATAGAATGATCACCAGTTCCCAAACCTATAAGAGAGTATAGTTCTGCATGTCTTTCGTACAAATCTCAGCGGGTATAGCGCAAAAGAAATAAATATGAGCGTACATTATGTATTGTCAAATATGATAAATTCACAGAATAAGAACTAAGAATAGATCAAAATACAAAAAGAAGGGAAATAAAGGAAATCCGTAAAATAATATATGAAGTTGGTTATATACTTGCTACTGGCGCTATACCCCATTAGGCACTAGCCCCCTTTCCCCAACTTCATTGCCAGAACTGCCATCGTATACCTCTCTCCACACCATCTAGGCAACATTTTATCCCGGTAAGTAACATGTATTTTCTCCATTCCTCAACCCGTCCTCTCATGGGAGGATCATCCTGGTCAATAACCCCACAGGGCTCGGTCCGAGAGCTTTGTACCCCAACACTGGGAAACCCATCATCTGACAGCTTCAGCACTTAACGCCATCGGGTTGGTCGCATCGGTAGCTCCACGCCATCTCGTCATTTTCCTTGCTTTCCCTCATCTCTGTACCCTCCTTCATCGATAGCGCAGCGCTTCCTTGTCCAATCAACAACTCCTCGACTCCCCGCGCCGTGTTCGCTTCCCATCCCCTTCTCGGATCGTCCAAAGTTCAACGCTTCCTACCTATCTTCCGCTTGGCTGGCCTATCTCGTCGCATCATTGCAAGACGTGCCCCCGATTACGTCCATCTGCGCCACACCAGAGGAATTCTAAGCCACCCCCGGTAGTCATCGCCGACTCCGCAGAGCTGCAGATCCCGTTGCGTCCCGCCTTATCAAAGTGCAATAGGCAGCCCTTTTTTTCTACGGAGGTTGCCCAGAAACTTCTGTACTAGCCTAAAATACTCAAAACTTTCGATATCTTAATCTTCGTCACATATTTTCGAGTCGGAGAACTTTCTTGAAAAGTGGTCCCTCATTCCAAACGAGTCACGGCGTGTTCCAGCTCATCGGAAGCCGAATCTGCGTCTAACACAGTCGTCATCTGCTTCTTTGTTGGCTTGACTAAGTCCTCGCCCCCAGCCAATCCCCGAGAATTATTCACCACCCGGCGCAGATCATCTGCATCCCATCTCGCATAGTCCCTGCAGTGTTCTCTTTGTCTTGACTTCCTAGACCACGGACCTTCTCTGCAGAGACAGCAGCGCACGTCCCTCTATTCGTTTCACTTGACATCTAAAAATTGACCAAAACTAGTCTCGGGGATGGCGAATAACTCGTTCCGAGATTCTGTCAACTCACTAGGGTGGTCGCGTAGAGATCCGGATCTCCCCGTGCGCACTGGCTCGTCATCAAACACTCCATTCTTATCTCGTCTACAGTCTTATAATCCGTTCGGCGAAGGCGGCTATGTTCAACTGCCCACTCATAATGACGGTCCTGGGGCCCCATTACCGGCAGCCAGTCGTCGGGAAGAAGAAGAGGGCTTCTTCGCATGTAAGTTTTTTTTTTTAACAGTCGTGTGACCCTCCGATCCCCCAGATCCTCCCGTGCACCGTTGCGAAAAATCCAGGTGATGAGACTGAGTTCCTGCGCCGGGAGGAATCACCGTCACCATGCTTGTTTTATGTGGTTGCGAGCCGATAGAAGAATAGAAAAACACACTAACATGGACTTCGTATAGTGAGTCGGTGGGACCGCATGCTCATCTTTGGTGCATGTAACTTGGGCGCCGCCGTCTGTTTCATGCTCTGCTTCTTCTTGTTCCCTGTATTGACCCTCAAGCCCCGCAAATTCGCGGTCTTGTAAGTTGCCTCCGCGATGGTCCGCATAAATGTGGCTGTTGTCTCCGGCTTTCTATGGCCTTCCCAGCCTCTTTCTTGTCTTTTTTTCCCTTCCAGCTATCTCATGCACCTGGAGGGCCGAGCAAATCCCGGGCTGGGATAGACCAGGTCATCGGTCATTTTTGGTTAGGGCCATGTGCGCCTTCGTACTTTACACTGCAACCTGATTCGTCCTGACTTCAACCTATATCTGCGCCTCATGCCAAAAACCATCCTCTGGGAGTTGTATATCTCTTGCTAACCGGTTTTTTTCAATAGATGGTCCGTCGGCTCAATGCTATTTTTGATCTCATGGGCGGTTCTCATGGGACCATGGACTTACGCTAAGCATTTGATCTCGGGATCACGGTTGCCATTCACAGCGGCCTATTTCGGATCGATCGCCTTGACGCTCTACTTCGCCATCGGGGTACGTAAAATTGATTTCTTTATCTTTTTCGTTTTCGTTCTCGGGTTTGGATCTTATCTTTGGATTTGCGCTTTACCTCGTTGCACATCGATGATCCCTCTACTTCTCATGATACTCCCCTCTGCATTTCCTTGTTTGTTGCACGCTCGGTTTCCCTCCCTCTACCCGACTCCGTATAGTCACACTGCACAACCGGGAAAAGGGGAATCTTGCAGCCTTCACATCCATCGCGCAGTACAACCTGAAAGCACGGCTTGTCATATCTGCTGTTTGCCGCAGCCATTTTACCTCCTTCCATCCATCCCACCCTGTACTCGGCCGGCCTCTCTGCTCTCCAGCTTGCCTCTGTACGACATCCCACCACGGCGCGGGACTTGGATGTCCCCTTCTATACTTCAGCTTGTCCGACACGTCCCGGTGTCACAGAGCGCGGAGTCCAGAGCCATCGAGATCAATCTATGTCTCACCGTCCCTGACTACTCGGTCATCTTGTTCTACCTGCATATCACAACTACACACCATCCGCTTGCCACATCCGGTAGCACTCTTCTACAAACTCTTGCTGACTTCTCTTTTTCGGTGCGCTCTAGCGTCAAAACCTCCTCCTCACTCTCATCTCCTCAATCTTCCAACTCGCCGCCCTCGTCTGGTACCTCGTCAGTTATTTCCCCATGGGCAGTACTGGCCTGCAATATGTGGGTCGTTTCGGAGCATCGCGTGTTACCTCTTGGATTAGTGGTTAATTCGTTCGCTTGCTCGTGCTTGATTCCCTGGTATGTATCCATTCTCGCGTATACAGCGCACTGGGCTTGTGGTTACTTGAATATCGGGCGTGTGTCGATTTCTTCGCTGTGTATATCTAGCCAGAACTACAGTGTCTGGTATTCTGAACGCTCTTATCTTCCTTCAAATACTTACATTTCCATGTGGACTGGGTGTCTTGGTAGTACAATACTGCATATCGATATTGAACAAAAAAGGAACTTGTAGATTACCACATGCGGATGTAGCTATGTTCCTGACGGGATACAGTGATCTCTACACCACTGGCACAAAGTGCACGAACATTACATGACAGGTAAGAATAGTATGAATTCATACCCTCCATATCAAACCTAGCGAAAGAATGACATGAGCACAGTCAGACCTAAGGTCTACTACAATGTAATGCATAGAGTACCATACAATGCGATCTAGCAAAGTAATACCCATAGCTCATATCGGAACGACTTTAATAATCTCTCCATTCCATCTCCTCAATCATTCATCATGACAACGCCCCCTAATACTTCCCCCGACTCATAACCAACCCAACAACACCGTCAACAACCTTAACGCCCTCAACCTCCGCTTCGAAAATCCCCGTATTCCCACCAGACCCTACCTCAACCCACCGCTGCAGCAAATCATTACTCTCCTTCGGCTTGACATCTGGCGACGCCGTGCCGACCGTAATATGGGCAATAGGATTCGCACACGGCCACTCGGCCGCACCGGATGCTTGAGCGCCCTCCGCCTCCGCGCCCTCGGCGGGCAAGATGCGCGCGACAAAGGCCATGATGCGGTTATCCCAGACGAGACGCTCGATGCGCACGCGCGCAGAGCCCAGGGTCGGCGGGTGCTGGATTGGGTTTGAGACTGGAGTCTTGGTCTGGGTGTCGATGTAGCGGGTTGTCAGGTAGTTCCAGGTTTCTGGGTTGTCTTTCTTCGAGGCGCGGTGGATGAGGGTTACGTGGAAGGAGGGTTGGAGACGGCGGGAGTGAATGAGTTGGTTGTAGAGACGGGCTGTTTCGGGGTTTGATTTTGGTGGGAAGAGGGATTGGAGGATTGAGGTTATTTCCTTTGCTGGGAGGGAAATGTTGAAGTATTCGATCTTTTTGGAGAGGGCTTCTGGGGAGAAGGGGGAGTCTGTTGGCTCGGGGAGGAGACGACCTGTTTCTTGGGTCTTATTTTTGTTCTTTTGCTTCGGTGTAGAACTGTAGCTGTAGCTGAGGTCTGTTGTCACGGTGTAGTCGTCTAGGGAGGCGGCGATGGCTTCGTCAAGTTCTGCTGCCGTTGGCATGGTTGGTACCAGGCGTGGGTAGGCGGCGTGGAGGGCTTTGACGACTGTTTCGAGGTTCTCGCGAGACGAGGCGCACACGTCGAGGTCGATGACGTGGTCTAGGTTCATGTCTGGCACGCGAGTGCTATCAACGCCTTCGAAACGGCCGAGGAATCCCTCCATGATTCCGACGATCTCTTCCTGGGCGTTGCTGCCAGCCCGGATGGTTTGGTGATTGTCGCCACGCTCCAACACACGCTTTCGAGTTACTTCGCGAATGGCAGGGAGCAAGTCTCTCTTGGGCTCGTGGACGTAGTGCAGAGCGACGAACTGCGCATCCGGGATCACAGGGTAGATATCGTCCATGAGTTGAGTGCGTTCGCGCCGTTGATGGTTGTTACGATCGGCGATGACAACGCTGTGTTCGGATAGGGCATGGCTGACTTCGAAAGCGAACTTTTTCGGTTTGTTCTTCTGTTTGGGGATGTTGTCGTTCTGAACATGTCCCCATCCGAAGAGCTTAACTAGAGCCAAGGCTAGTGTCGTCTTTCCACATCCCAGCGAGGCAATTGGTTCGAGAATGACATTTTTGTTGACCTCGTGCGGTTCGGTCTGCTTCTTCGCCTCTAGAGCGATAAGCTCGGATCCATTCAATCCTCGTTCCTTGAGGAATGCCTCACGCAATGCGATGATACCGTGATTATTCATATAGTCAGTTGCCATCTTAGAGTTCTTCATCAGAGTCCGTCGAGCAAATTGCAAGTATTCTTCGGTGACCTGCTCGTGCTTTCTGATCTTAGGGTGTTTCCCTGCGATGACGGCTTTGGTACATTCACGCCACTGACGGTACATCAAGTACGGCTCTTCGAATTTGTACTTGAAGAACCAATGACGATAAGGCTCAGTTCCCTTGTCGCTCAGCTGGCATCGAATGACGAAACCCTCGGTTTCACGTCCATCCCAAGTTCCTGTCTCCGCGCATCCTTCTAGGAAGCTCTGCACCCTGAAGATATCATCAAAGACCTCGAACTTTGCCTTCTTGAAGCCCCAGTCGTCCGCAAACTTGTGCACCTCATCAGAAGACATGGTCTGAAAATCGGGCTGGTTATAATTGAGACCGTGGATGTAAATGCCGGAAGAGGCCTCGTCGTAGGCCAGCACATGCTCCTCAAAGCTATCATCACAGAGCTCTCCAACAGCTGTTACATTCATCCTGCGCAGAGTCCGGGCCAGGTCCTTGACAGATCGATTCACGGATGAGACATGTCGTTCTGTCCAGCGTTCTCCTGCCTGTGCGTGGCTCAATTTTGTATCATCGCGGGCTCCAGTCGAGTGTTTGCTGCAGACTAGCAATGTGTCGTCCTCTAACGCAGAAATGAAAATAATGCATCCATTCTCTTTCACACTCAGCTCGTAAGGACCCCTTGTGTTTTTCTCGATGTTGCGCCATTCCGTGGTCTTTGTCTCGCCTACATTGAAGAACTTGTCATATCCACGCGTCGCAATTTCGGGAGTGCCATCTCTCCGTTTGGTGGTAAAAAGACCTCGGGCGTATGTCGGCAGACCGGCGTGTTTGTAGTCCCAGTCCATGAACTTCCATGAGTCCACGGTCACATTATTGGTACCGGCTACCACGAAGGTGCTTTTTTTGCAGGTGAACTTTGTCTCGCCTTTTTTCGCCTTGCGAGCAGTTTCCAGCTCTTTCACCAACTGCGAGATAACGTGTGGATCTTGAGTCGCCATGTCTTTATCTCAGAGCTTTGCGGGATAGGGACGGAGAGGAGGGGCAGGTGGGGGTGGATGCGAGATTTGTCCCTGAGGGATTTTAGAGGTATACGTAGAAAATTGGAGCGAAAGAAATAGAAAGGACAAAAGCATCAAAGCACCAAAGTGCAAAAGCAGACAAAAAGACCAAGACCTGAAGGAGTCAGAGATCGAATGTGTCACAGTGCGGGGAGCCGAAAGGGAAAGGCGGATATTTTTTTTTTCTGCTTAACTTGACCTTCAACACTTTTGGACTCTCATCACTTTTGACTCACCTGGTTTTACGAGTTTTACTCTCAGTTTCACCCTCAGTTCCAATACCTCTGACTCATAATGGCTCAAAACCCTTACCTCTTGGCTTGCGATAACCCAACAGCCCTTCTAGAGCTGCTGCGGTCCAACCCCTCGATCGCATCGAGCCAAGATGAGTCGGGCTACTCATTGCTGCACGCCGCAGCTTCCTACGGCCATATCGACCTCCTGCGCGCTCTAGTGAAAGAATTCAAGGTTGATGTCAACCTGTTGGACGAAGATGGCGAGACCTGTCTATTTGTTGTCGAGGATAGCGATATCGCCCGCTGTTTAATCGAAGAACTGGGTGTGGACGCCAATAAGAAGAATGCCGAAGAGTTTACAGCTGTGGAAAAGTTCGAGACCGAGAATGAATTCCCCCAGGTTGCTGCCTACCTCCGCGAAGTCGCCGGCGGTGCTCCCGCTCCAACACACGCTCAAGCCGCTGAAGTTTTGAACTCCCCCGGACCCATCCCTGGTAGCGATATGAGGATCAACGTTGGTACAATGACGGAGGAGGAGGCCACTGCTGGTGGTGAACCTGATCCAGAATTCAAGAGGCGCATCGAGGAGCTTGCGACCCGTGAAGATTATTACAGCGAGGAGGTGCAGAATGAGGTGCGCGAGTTGGTCAAAGATGCCATGGCTGGCTCAAATATTGAAGCCATGGAGCGGGAGATTCGGAGGAGAACTGAGTAAGCAGGTGTATTGCGACTGTTAAACTCGTTCCACTGTCATACCAGCCTCTTGTCTGTACAAGAGATCACCTTGCGTTCCAGGATGCGAACCGCTGGAAGAATCCAAGCTGTTCCAGTCCGAGCCCCAAAGTCGCTGCTGATCTTATCGAGCGCGGCTGGGTATTCCACCGTTCTCTCAGGAATCTGCTGTCTCTCACTTGAAATTTTAAGTCTCGCTGTGACGGCTGTTATAGTCCCCGTTGGGGGTTATCCGAGTTGCTCGAAGAAAGAGGAACTTCTATATGATCTTGTAATTAGGACTAAATCACGAAATATCACGATACATCCAATTTCTTTATCTACTAGTAACGCAAGCTTATCCACTACGTAGATATGTCGAGTTCATACTATGTTGCTGCCATAGCGTGGATCGCCAGTCTAGTCCCCGCCAAGCTCGAGCCCATCTCCGACGTAACAACACAGCTTCCACCTACAACCTCCCGCCCCCGATATCATGTCTCAACCACCGTCCCCATACCCTCCACAGTCGCCTTTCTACTCTCAAGCTATGAATCCCATTCACGCAGATACCCCCCCTCCACCACCCCCAAAACCCAACAGCCACGAAGCCAGTCGACGGGGCACCCCGCAAAACACCTCTACACACTGGCAGCCAGACAACCAGACCGGCACACAGCAAAGCGCATACCCCAACAATGCTCAACCATATATGCCCGAACCCCCAACTATCGAGGAGGGTTGGCTCCCAGACCTAGTATCCGACAAATCGTGTGTTCCCCCAATCTCCAAATCCAAAGAGCACTGCTAACACGCACAATATCAGAACAACCGACCTTCAAACAATTCTCAAGGACCCAGCCCTGATCTCCGCCCTTTCAAGCCAACATCCATCCTATACAGCGCGGCAACAATACCTCGAGACCCTCATCCAATCGAACAAAGACCTCGCAAACCGCGTCATAGAGATGCAGAACCACCTCACCGAGGTCCGCGCCTCCACTGAAACAATGCTGATAACACACCAGTCGCTGGAGGTATCCTGGCGCAAAAAGCAAGCTGAGATGGACGCCGCCCTAGCGCCGTGGTCGCCGAAAGCGCTCTACCAGCGCTTCAGTGCGGCCATCACGGAGCAAGAAGCTGTCTGCCGTGCCGTTGAAGAGAGTTTCCTCGATGAAGACCACCACGGCCGAGTGACGGAGAAGGAAATTGCAGATTGGGTGCGGCGCGTACGGGCCGAGGCATCTAAATTAGCAGCCCGGAAGGAGGCTAAGGCACGGTGGGACGAGGGACGTGTTGGTGGTTGGCGATGAGGTGTAAAAACCGCAAAATACAACTACTCCCTGTCTGACTGCATATTCACGATACCATGCTGCCTCCGATTAATGATCTGCTATGCACTATACAATACAATCTACACAGGACTTTCAATGTCGTGCTTCATCCGAATCGCTCGAACAAACCCCAAACCCATCACTCACCCCTCAAGCCTGACGGCCATACTCTCACTACTCTCCGGCTTAACATGTCGCTGCGCATGTCCCTGACCATGCTCCCTGAACGCCATGTCCCTTACCGCAGCCGCGTCCTCAACATCATCACCCAACCCAATTTCCCCAGCCCACCCATCAGTCCCGAGCGAACTAGGAACTCCAACCCCACGCACAAAAGCGCGTCCTCGACTGCGCGCACCCCAAGCCCATCCCGCGCCGCGCCGAATCGGGAGATGGTACATCTTAAAGCCGATATAAGCGAAGAAAATGCCAACAGCCGCGCCAAATAGAATATCAAAAGCGTGGTGTCTGTAATTGAACCAGCGCGACGCAGCAATAAAGCACGCTGTGGCAGTCGGCAGGAACGCAATGAGCATCAGATACACAGGCGGGGCGGCGCCGCGTTTCCGCACAGATGTACTGTCATCGCGGTGGCTCTGGTCTTCGATCGGGTACCGCGGGAGATATGGGAATGCGATAGAGAATTTCGAGCAGAGCCAGAGGGTTAGATAGATCAGGCCGGCGAAAGCAACTGTGGTATCAATATTAGCCATTTAAATTCCTGTGTCTGTAAACAATAACTGTCTGCATCCATCCAAAGATAAGACATCCACAGATCAGACGGATACATAGACATGGCCGTGTATATACGAAATAAGAACTCACAAGAAGAATGCCCACTGGGAAAACTAACAAACCCATCAATCCGCAACGAATCACTCTTATCCCGACAAATCTCCCACGAAACGAGCGTCGCAGCACCACGCACCGACTCCCCAAGCCCACTGACCGTGAACTCCGCAACGCGCTCTACATCTGGATCGCAGCGCGCCAGCAGGTCAGGTCTCGGTCTCCCGACAAGAGTCTTCAACCCCTGTGTTGCTGTCCAGGCGCTTGCGAGTGCCAGCGCGAGGCCCATCCAGCCGACGTTCCATTCCCAGAATTTGCGGCGGATGTATTGCGCTGCGGGGGGTTTGGGGGCGGGGGTGGAGCCGGAGGTGGCTTTGGGTGGGACGATCAGCCATGAGATGAGAAAGATTAGAAGTGCTGGTGCGAAGAGGCAGACGAGATATAGGGTTGTTGTTGTGACTGTTTCTTTGACGTGTGGGTAGCTGATTGCCTGGTCGGTTAGGCTGAAGGGGTGGTGGTTTGGGGGTTGTTTGTAGAATCCGTAGCCGATTAGGGCGATGCCGCTGGTTTGGAATGTTAGTTGGGAGTTGAATGGATTTTGAATTGGTTTTGGATAAGTGTTGGATGGGTCTTGGATGGGGTGGTTGTACGTACATGATGAATATCCAGTCAATTATGTAGGATAGTACGAGCAGCTTGGAGATGGCGGCCAGACGCGTTACCGTCTCCTTGATGGGGATTGGCATGGTGCACTATCCAAAGGAATGATGCGATTGAAAACAACGATAAGGAGGATGATGATGATGTGCAAGAAGTTCAAGGAACGAAGGTCGGTGACGAATCAGTGTGGCTGAGCGCCTAGGTGAGCTTGATATCAAGGCAACCTCGAATCACTTCATGCAATCCCAGGGCAAGCTTCTTTCGAATTGATGTTTACCTTGTCATAAACCAATCGGGCCCACTTTTTGATATTGTTCAGGCACTGAAATTGGCCTACTTGGCGTGAGAGTGCAATTAAATCGCCCATGCTGTGTATCATCGGCTTCACCTCTTGAACCACCTGGGCACATGGGGCTGGTTAGACATTTTGCTAGATGCAAGATAGCTCCCTCGAAGCTGATCTAGACCTATCCGAATTTTTAATAATATGCCTTTGTCGCTGACATCTAGGACGCGCAATCCCTTGGGCAGAATAACTGACTCGATGCTACGGGTAATCGATATATAGAATTGTAGTTGATTCTCCTTCCAAAGCCACCGAATAAGCTGGTTTCAACCCAGCGGGTGTCACTCTCATGCATACTATATACGCACAAAGTTGACGGACTTGCCCACGTCACCGTCAATAGACGTTACATTTGAATCCAGGCTACATTAGAGCAAAAGAGGAATTCTATCACAAACAAAAGTGAGCCAACAGTATTATATACTTGCAAGGAGAATTTGTCTGCTAGCTCCAGTTCCTAGGAGACAAGCTCATACTTATGATACTCTGTTTTTACCACTGTCAATGACCATGATTCTCTAAACCCATTCAATTCGTAGTGGAGGCGTATTCTCGACGGGATCAAGACTGAGGGTAAGCTAGATTGAAATGTCACCCGCGATAAGAGATATGGTCTGCAGTTAGCAATATATATCAAAGAACCTTCGCCCAGCTAGGATATCGGGGATAGCCTCGATCAGTACCAAAGGGCATTTTATGATCTCAGAGTATAGTGTAATCACAAATGTAAAATTGGGGGTATTCATTTGATCTTCATAGAGATAGAAAGTAAAGTTGTGTCAAATCAGTAAAACCAAATGTCTGCCGATAAGTAGAGCCCTCCATGCTGATCGATAAATTCAATAAGTCCCTTGAACGGTGAGCGATAGTCAAAAAAAGCGAAAGAAAGACCTAGAATCCAGTAATCATCCGACGGCCCATGATAGCATCGTTCAGTCGCTTGTGAACCTGCTGAACCCCGTCGAACCGAACGAATCCACAAGATTCACTCTCCAGGTGGTTAAATAGACTAGCCAGGGAGTGGAACTCCTTTCGACAGCCACGATTGAGACAGTGATAGACCTTCTCCTTGTGCACGGGCGAGTTGACATGAGACCCCAGCGCTTGTCTCGAGTTGAATCCCCGCTTGCAAATGTAACACACCCAGAAGCTGCCATTCCACGCATTGTCGGTGACGGAGTAGGTCACATTCTCTTCATCGTGCCATGCGATCTGCTTCTTACAGACGACCCCATTTGGATCAAGCTGCTGGATAATACGGTGAATCTTATCGCGGTTCAAGCCTTGAGCTTGAGGGCAGGATCCACTCTCGAGATGATGGGAGACACCGCTAGCTGTGACATAGCCAGTGCGACAGAACGGACAGGGAATGTTGGTACCACGATGGGTCTTGGAATTCAGGTGCTAGAAAACACGGAGGTGAGTGGAACGGGCTCAGATTTTCTCTCAGATCATGTTAGCTCTCCTACCTGGCGCAAACAGTTCTCATCCCTAAAGTGACGGTCGCATTCGTGGCAGTAGGTCTTGTAATGTCCCTTGGCTCGCATGTGGTTCTCAGCAGCCCCCTCTGTGTGGAACTTCATCGGGCACTTCTGGCACGGAACGGTCGGGAGCCAGTGGCGCTTCGCGTTCATGTGGCTGTTGGCAGCATTCTGAGTACGGAAGGTGCTGGTGCATGTTTCACATTCAAAGGTTGGCGCCCAGTGGTCTAGAGCGTCCATATGCTGGTGGCAGGCGAACTGGGAGCGGAACAATCGATTGCATGTATCACACTCAATCCAATGACCATAGTCATGCATGTGCTCATCGCAGTCCGACTGATACCAGAATTCATCGTTACAAGTGGCGCATTCGAACATGTTGGAGTGTAAGGTACTTAGGTACCTGGTCTGAGAGTGGGAATGATGAGGGGGTTGGAAGAGGAGAGGAGAGGAAGGAAAGAAAGAAAGAAGGATGAACGAAGAGGGGAATGTAAATCGAGCGAGCAAGATTGGGACAGCATCGATCACTTCCCCGGACCATGAATGGATAAGGGCATGGGTATTGTCTCTTATCGGAGCAAACAAGGATTCACTCGTGACTTGTGCCCTAGTCCCGGTAGTCCAGGTACACGGGTATGAAGCTGATATGATGCACGCACTGCTGTCTGAAGAGGAAGCGATATAATAATACTCGCATGATACTTTCGAATAGCTTCATAGAACCCAAGGTCTGAAGAGCGTAAACAGAGCAGTGATCAACTGTATGTAAGCAAGCACTACCCCTCACGAAGAGTCTGATCCATCAATATATTTGGGCGCAGATATGACTAGTCAACTAATCAGCACACTCATCGTTATGTGGCTCACCGACATTCCTCACTAAAGAACCTATTGCTAGCCGTTCCTTTTTTAAGAAGACTGGACGGCAGAAGACCAACAAAATGATTATATCGACAAAATGAACTGGACTTCGAGACGTTTCAATGGCCGGGTCATGTCCGGTAAGCAGATGGCCTCTCTCGAAAGTATCCCAGATTGATGAGTGTTAAAATCTCTTGTATGAGTCTAAGTGACCTCGCAGTCTTCTTACTATGCATCCCACATGCCATAATAGTGAGTGGCAACATAGTCTGGGACTGTCACCCCTTCAATTTGCTGGCGCTCGAGTATCCAAAGTCAAGGTTGGAGATGTTAACGGGCTTCCATTATCATTCTAGTCGGTAAAACCCGCTGCAGTGACGAGAAGGTGTGACCTTGTGAGCGACGATCTCGTGCAGGATTCTGGAAGTGGAGGAGATGGCACGATCACAATGAGATGTGTATGATGAATATACAGTTGCGAGGGAATTGGCGGTACAGGTGCGGCTGAGCAAGATCCCTGCAATATTGACACCCGAGCCACGCCGCTATTACGATCTGGTTTCTATCAGAGGCCCCATAGCTCATAGTATATGATGATCCCTTAGTAACCACTGGATTGCATATAGCATTGCTACATGTTATAAACAGCTGTTTTCTATCTGAAGGCATCGTCTTACTGATAATCGAAATGATTGCTACTGAGACATCATCCACTAGCAAATTATCCCTTAAGCAATCCACAGGCTGGATGCGCATTGAGGTTCCCGAGAGTTGAGACAATATGCAACACAAACCCAAAGCTCAAGCCCCAAACACAACGATAAAGTGCATAGGCGCTTGTTTGACTGACCACCCAAATCACACAGAATCAATCCTTCCAGCAATAGCATCAATATGCTCATCATCCGTGCCACAGCAACCCCCTACCACTTTGAGTCCCGGCAATATCTTCAAAATCTCATTAAACTCTTCAGTCCACACCGGAATATCGCCCCGATCGAGCGTCGGAGAGTTATCAAGTTCTTCATGACTTTTCAGACTTGAATTTGCTCTAATCGACCCAATCCTCGACATCACGTCCTGCGACATACCCTGGAGTGCTATCAAGATATAACGTGGGTGTGCGCAGTTCACCCCAAAATATGTTACATAACCCTCCGTTAGATGGTCAACTTCTCGAATCGCATCCTCGAGGGTTTTGCCCCCTCGTAACCGCCCGTCTGTCTCGAGACTAAACGAGACATGAATTGGGAGATTATGCTCACGGGCTAGACTAACGGCTGCAATGGCCTCATCCAGATTTGTTACTGTCATGATACATATCATATCGACGTCTTCTTCGGCAAAAGCGCGAATCTGAGGGCCGTACCACTCCCGTGCCTCAGAGACTGAAATCATGGAATCCTTGTTGGCATCTTGAAGAGGTCCAAGGGACCCACTGATAACGAAGGGGATGGATGGGGTCTTATGCCGGAGTTCATGGAGAATCTTGACTGCTGTATGATTCAGATCAATGATCTGTTCGATGGAGAGGCCAATCTCGGAAGACCACCGAGGAGAACCGCGCCATGTTCGTGTTTCGAGGATGAGACCCGTTGAATAGGTGTGGGCAATGTTGATATACTGTTCATAGATGGAACAGATGACTTTCCTGCCTTCTTCCGTATCAAGAACTGGGAGAGAAGAGAAGCTAGGGAGATTGAGGTTCTTTTTGAATAGCAGAGTCGTTTCAATTCCGCCTTCGGTGACGAAGAGCTTGGAGGAAGTCAACTGCGGGAGGTTCGATTGCCGGGCCATTTTCTCGGGTTCAAATGTTGTTGATTGCTAATTTGCGCAATCGATGGCGACATTTATATAGCCATATATACGTGCTCGATCAAGGCTTTCGGTTTCCTTACTAGGTAGACATGACTGCTGCCCCGGGGGTGGATGGCCTAGGGGCCCCGGGTGTGGTGCTCCTCGTCTAATTAGGGACTCAAAGACTAGCTCTTTGTGTTATGAACGACGACTTAAAGAGCCATGCATGAACTTTGGCCTGATTGGTTATTGATTTCGGGAAATCATTGCCAAGATACTGTTTCCCTCCAATTTTATAACTACCTAGGGCATGGAGGTGCCAAGGCTTTAGAGCCCCGGGTGTGGAGACTAGCTAGGCACCTATAAAAATTCATACGTAATATATTCATGGGTGTGTAGTTACAGAAACTGATATCATTTACTCCAATTATTCCCTAAGAGAATAGATATCAGCAGAATATAAGTGGTATGTCATATATCTACATCTTACCCAGATATAATCGACATAAAAATGTGGCTCGACAAAGTTCAGAATAAAGCATGAGGGTTGACCTCCGCCGTTTATATACAGACAAGAGTGACTTTATTGATAGCCCGTTAGGGATCAAGTGACCTCGCTGATAATGGAAATAATCCACCTGCTAGATGCAACAAGATGCAGAAACACGACCGGTCTTTTATGCGAATCATTCTCATTCGTCGACAAGAACACTGTCATAAGGCTTATTATTGGCATAGCACTGTATTTCCTGTTCGTTAGGAAGAGTGCCATGTAAGATGTAAGCTTTGGCAACTCGATCAGTACAGTCCGACCTGTCACGTCTAGAGCTATGCCCATAAGCATGATGAACAATCAACCGGGCATTTTCTCCCATCTCCGCTAGGAGCCTTCTTCCATTGCGCAACGGGGTTGCAGGGTCATACGGAGAAGCGATGAGTAGGGTAGGAGTCTTGAGAGTGTTGTTGAGATCTCCACGATACACCTCTGAAGGCGGGGCCCAATAGGTATTGTAATGTCGACAGGGCAGGACCCCAAAAAAGCGGGAATTGCCAGCTACCCAGCTCTTGTTGGACATGGTCTCCCACAACCGATCCCACCAGTCAAGTCCGTCTGGAATAGGCGCATCGTACGAATCAGAGCAGATCACGAGAAGTTCGAGCTCACTAGAAGCTGGCACGGGGGGAGGTGATGGCTTATCGGAATGGTCGCTCCACGAGAGATCTATGGAGTCGGCTGCTAGAGTTGCATTCCCTGCTTCGAGCTCATAGAGCATCTGTGCCGTACCCGGCCATTCCATCGGCCTGTACATAGCCCGGTAGAGAACCCTATCCACCAGCGCAGAGTACGTGACCAGAGATGGACCAGCTGATTCCGTGTATGCAGATCGTGGGCGAGCTTTGAGGGACTCAAGTAGCTGCGTCATACGAGCTTCCAGCTGTGGAAGTGTGACGGGCCCGTCCTGGTTGGAAACAGGATTGGCCAATGCACACCCCTTTGGACCGGCAGTGATACACTCTCCTAAGAAGCCGTCACGCCATGCATCTGTTGCGTTGTCGAGAGCAGTCCAGCCAAACCCACCCAAGAGACGATGATCTCTGACATATTCTGTCCCATCGAGGATTACACGACCTGCTCGACTAGGGAACATGTTGACATATGTCTGACCAATACCCGTACCATAGCTAACCAAGTACCCCGTGACTTCTTCTTCATCGAGTGCTTTTCGGATCTCGTCGAGATCGCGTGCCACTGACGCCGTGCTGACGAAGCGACCGAGATCGCCCAGCCGTTGCTGGCAGGCAAAGAAAGTGGCGTTGTTCATGGCATCTGAAGCCTCCAGTTGGGCCTTTGGAGCCTCCTCGCGATATTGCTGCGATAGAAGAGACCATCGATCCCGGAAACCGTTCTGAGAGAAACATGCCGCGGCGGGGAGGGAGAAATTCACACCGCGTGGATCCCATCCTAGCACATCGAGTTTTCCGTCGCTGAAACGGTTGGTCATCTCTTCTGCAGTCTCCCAGAGGAAAGATGTTCCGCTTCCTCCCGGGCCTCCCGGATTAATGATAATAGTGCGCTCACTTTTGTAGCTCTTGGATGAGATATTGGGATCATTTCTATGAGCTAGACCGGCGACTTGGAACTTGGTGACTGCAATGCGGACGATACGAGTGTCTGAAGAGTTGTGATAATCGAGTGGGAGATCCAAGTATCCACACAGGTAGATGCCCTGACCTGTGCTCCCCCAGCTCCAATGGTCGGGATTGGGGTCGAAGAGGGCTGCCCATGATTTTTGCGGAGTCGGGTCATCCAGCGGTGGCGGACGACTGGCGTTGGTGCAGGGAAGAAACTGGAATGGGTCGCTTTGAGGGAATGTCCCATATGGCGAGCCTTGGGTCTGAGCCGGGAAGACCCAGCACGGCAGCGGGAGACGGGATTTACCGAACCCCACCAGACTCATCGTCCCCGCGAACGCTGCCATCCACATCACACTTCGCCAGGACCATGTTCGCTGCGTAGAATTGACTCTTCCTTTCTCCATCATAAAGTTTTTGAGGAAGACTAATCTTCCTGTCTGAGCTTTGAGGTCTTGGGGTTTAAAGCCCTGGATGCAAAGTCATCTGATATCGCAGTCAGGACGCAAGGAGAGGACGTCACCTCATGCGACTGTATAATGGCCGAAGATGAAGGAAGAAACCTTGGAACTTTGGAGCCTTCCAAAGATTTGGGTAAACTCTAGATCCCGGGTAGTAAGCATTGCCAAGCGCTTGCTACGAAGAAAAGCTCTCAGGGTTTAAACCCAGTTGGGAGAATTCCATGCCGGAATGACCTAGCACCGTATCCACCGTCCGATACAAGGTATTGTAAATGATCAATACCTCAACCTTGCCTGTTTGGAGTTTTTGGCATCAGACGAGTCGAAGTATTCCCGTATGGCTGCATCTCCCAAAGTCAAGGCCTAATACGAATGGCGAGATGTTCATATGGGTGGTTGCAGATGTCGAAATTGAACGCCAGCCGAATCAGAATATACCTTGATTGCTCAAACATACGTAATTGTAATTCAGGTATTGAAACTTTTCCGCCGTTCTGAGATAAGGCATTCAGGCATCACTCCCCCGTTTGAACCCTCTGAATTCTTATCTGTGGGGGCTGGCGGGCTCAACAGATTGCAGAACCAGTGTAGTTGTGTTCAACTTATTACCACTCCTCTCAACTCTACAAGCGTGTGAGATATAATAGGACAAATTGTAGCAATGGTGAACTATGACTCGGCATGAGTCACTATTACCATCTAGTGATGGCCGCCTATGATTGGCCAAATAAGTATAGTAAGAGAACGAAGCAATGCTTTATATTATCCACCCCCAGGTTGAGGTTTTCTGGAGCACCATTGTTTGAACGACAATCCCGTGCTGCCGGGGGCCATACCATCAAAATGCCAGACCGATCCGCAGGAGCTCTTTCCCCTGTGGCGTCCAGTCTGCAGTTGACGGAGCACCAGAGAGAGATTCTCAAGCGCCAAATTCACACCCCGGAGGATCCACAGATGAGTCGCTTAGAGCTTTTATACAGCTGTGCAACAACCTATGAGTTACTGGTACTGGTAATCAGTTCAATTGCAGCAATAATTGGAGGGGCACTCCAGCCTATCTCTTTTGTGAGCTCTCCACAGACATTTGATCTCCCAAGCTAATTTCCGTACAGCTTCTTCTAGGAGGGTTGGCCCAAGCATTCAAGGAATTCTTTCTCGGAACGTCTTCAGGCTCTCACCTCTCATCTCTGGTCGCAAAATTTGCCCTCTACTATTTATATATTGCCATTGGGCAGTTTGTCGCGGTATACATCTCCACAGCCGGCTTCATGATAGGAGGAGAGAATATAACCCAAAGACTCCGAGAGAGATATCTCGCCGCTATTCTTCGCCAAAACATAGCATTTTTCGATGTCCTGGGAGCTGGAGAGATAACAACCAGAATCACTGCCGATATGAATCTGATCCAGGATTCCCTGACGGGCAAACTTTCTCTGACCTTATACTCCTGTGCCAATTTTGGGGCTGCTTTCATCATCAGCTTTGTCAAAAGCTGGCGCATGGCTCTTATTCTGATATCTGCAATCATAGCAGAAGCCGGATCTATGAGTATATGCTCTTCGTTCATGGTCAAGTATACCCACATGTCTTTATCGGCATATGCAGATGGTTCGACGGCTGCCGAGGAGGCCATCAGTTCAATTAGACACGTCACTGCATTTGGAATCCAAGACAAGCTGGCCGATCGGTATCAGAAATTTCTCACCAAAGCAGAGGCCTACGGGCTTAGAAGTCGCATTGCTCTTGCGGCTATGATGGCTATTATGAATGGTGTCATATTCTGGACTTACGGACTGACATTTTGGCAAGGATCCCGATATCTTGTTGTTGATGATATCGAATTGGGAGCTCTTATAACCATTTTGCTTGCTGTGCTGACTGGCGCGTTCACTTTTGGTAACATAGCACCAAATTTCCAAGCATTTGCAACCGGTCTTGCAGCAACAGGAAAGATTCTTGCAACCGTGTCCAGGAAGTCACCACTAGATCATTCGTCCTCCATCGGGAGAAAGCTACAAGATGTGTCTGGGACAATAGAACTCAAGGACATTCTTCATGTTTACCCTTCTAGACCAGACGTGCTGACCTTAGATGGAATAAGTCTTGTATTTCCAGCTGGAAAGACAACCGCCATTGTTGGTGCTTCTGGCTGTGGGAAGAGTACACTGGCAGGTCTGATTGAACGTTTTTATGAACCAATAAGTGGAGAAATATGTGAGTTTTTCTTTCTTCTAGAAGACCTACCGGTGCTGATAATTGCCTGATACCTGATAAAGTACTCGATGGCCATGATATCACGTCTCTTAATTTGCAATGGCTACGACAGCAGATTGCAACTGTCTCACAACAGCCCACACTCTTCGCCACAACTGTATTCGAAAACATCAGATTCGGTCTGATCGGGACTGAACATGAAGATTCTCCCGACAGCGTGATAGAAAATCTTGTGTTTGACGCCGCAAAGAAAGCAAACTGCTTTGGGTTCATTTCTGCCTTGCCGGACGGTTTCCACACCAGCGTTGGTGAAAGGGGCTCGTTACTCTCTGGTGGACAGAAACAGCGGATTGCAATTGCACGGGCTATTATTAGCAACCCGAGGGTATTACTGCTCGACGAGGCCACTTCGGCTCTAGATGCCCAGGCCGAGCGGCTGGTTCAGGCGGCGCTTGATGTTGCTGCTAAAGGTCGAACAACGATTATCATCAGTCACCGGTATGTGTTTCCATGAATCTCAGATGCAAGAACTCACTGTGGGTTAGATTATCCACTATCACGACGGCGGAAAATATTGTTGTCATGTCTCACGGACGTGTTGTTGAGCAAGGAACCCACAACGATCTACTGCGGAAAAGATCGATGTATTACGACTTAGTAGAGAAACAGCGCATGTCAACCAAACGTGATATCGTTATTGGTAAGGCAATGTCTGCTCTTGACCCAGACAGTCTTCCTGACCTGAAGGATGAGGGCGATAATCCCAAGTACACGTACGAGATAGGACAGCGCGAGGGATCTGAAGACCACGGGAGAGATTTTAAACAAGAGCTCGGCCGTAAATACTCGTTATGGGTGTTGATCAAGTTTATCGCCAACTTCAACAAGGAAGAAACGCTTACTATGATTTGGGGCCTCTTTTTTCAATCATCACAGGCGCTGGAAATCCCACGTGAGTATTCCTTAGCACGGTGCAGAGTGTTGATACTGACCAGCACCCTAGCCAGGCCGTTTTGTATGGCAAGACAATTGCGGCAATGTCATTGCCCCCGGACATGTATGGAAAGTTGCGTCATGATGTCAATTTCTGGAGTCTGATGTATCTGATGTTGGGAGGTACTGCATTCCTGGGCTGGGGAGCATCTGGTCTTTGTTTCGCTTACTGCTCCGAGCGCCTGATTCACCGTGCTAGGGATCGCTCTTTCCGCGCAATTCTCCATCAGGATATTTTCATGTTCGACAAAGTTGGATTTTCAGCGGGCTCGCTTACATCCTCGTTGTCCACAGATGCCACCAACCTTGCCGGAATGAGTGGTGTGACACTAGGCTCCATCTTCATTGTCTCAACAACTTTGATTGCTGGCGTGGCTGTATCGATTGCCATCGGTTGGAAACTGGGGCTCGTTTGTACCGCAACCATTCCTATTGTTCTTACTTGTGGACTTGTCCGACTCAAGATCCTCGGGGAGATGGCCCGACAATCGAAAGAAGCGTACACAGCTTCAGCAACTTTTGCTTGCGAGGCAAGCTCTGCTATCAAGACCGTTGCATCGCTAAATCTCGAACGCCATGTACAGGAACAGTATCACAATATATTGGAAACCCAGCGACGAAAGTCGCTCGTTTCAACGCTCAAGTCATCGGTGTTTTATGCAGGCTCACAGTCGGCCAACTTTCTCTGCATTGCCTTGGCTTTCTGGTATGGAGGACATCTAATCATTCACGAAGGCTATTCTATGGTACAGTTCTTCATTGCTTATGCAGCTGTTATCGTGGGCTCATTCAGTGCTGGAGCTATATTCTCCTTCGCGCCAGATATGAGCAAATCCCGTCAGGCAGCCCAGGATATCAAAACGTTATTAGACCGTCCGGTTAACATTGACGCCCGTGAAAGAACTGGCGAGATGTTAACAAAAATCGATGGCGGCTTGGAGATGCGAAATATATACTTCCGCTACCCCAATAGACCGGAAAGGCTGGTTGTCAAAAACTTGAGCTTGAGTGTTCAACCAGGACAATACATCGGTCTTGTTGGAGCAAGCGGATGCGGTAAAAGCACAATTATAGCTTTACTGGAGAGGTTCTTTGATCCTGAAGCAGGACAGATATTTGTTGATGGGAAGAATATCTCCAAGTTGAATGTGAAAAGCTACAGGAGTCACCTTGCTCTGGTTAGTCAAGAGCCAACACTATATCAAGGAACGATCAAAGAGAATATCACTTTGGGCACCAACGACGAGAATGTTTCCGAAGAAAAAATCACTAAAGTATGCAAGGATGCCAATATTTACGACTTCATCCAATCTCTACCGTGAGCCACCCTTCCTCTTGCACCCTTCTCCGACGTATTTTTTATTTCCACCGACACAAATTTCCACTAATGCCTGGCTCAGTGACGGAATCTCAACGGTGATAGGAGCTAGGGGCGGTATGCTCTCGGGCGGTCAGCAACAACGAATAGCCATTGCGCGAGCGCTTCTTCGTGATCCACGTATCCTCCTCCTCGATGAAGCCACATCTGCGCTGGATTCGGACTCGGAAAAGGTTGTCCAGGATACTCTGAATGCGGCGGCTCGAGGCCGGACGACGGTCGCCGTTGCACATCGGATAAGCACGGTACAGAAGGCCGATTGTATTTATGGTAAGAAGCAAATTCCAAGTAATGAGCCGTAAGACTGACCTATAAACTTATCTAGTGCTGCATGAAGGGGCTGTTGTAGAACAGGGGACACACCAAGAGTTGATGGCGCTTGCAGGGAGGTATTTTGAATTGGTGAAGTTGCAGAGCTTGGAGAGATCGGACTGAAAACTGTGATATAACAGTAGAGCATTCTGATCTAGTGAGAAGAACGGAAGCAATCAATCCATATCAATCATTCAAACCTGTAGTATAATCAGATTACAGTGAGCCAGTTAATGTAGGTTATCTCGGTGGTTTTCTTGTCTTGAGCCAGTAGTTCGACTGGATCGGGATTCCAGGGGGCAGATTTGTGCAGTAGCACCATATTCCAGTACTTGCGTGTTTATCACGTAAATGTACTCCGTATTTTGTAGTATCTCAATGATTGCACATCTCAATATAGAATACAAGATTTCAAACTGATCAATCTACTCCCATAATGTTCATGGATGTTCGAAACCACCCATTCATTATTCATAATCCCCGAATAGCACCAGCCAAATCATCCATATTCTCCAAAAACACATCAACTTCACTTTTGACCACCTCCATATCTTCATCAACATCATCAGTCCACCGATGAACATAAATAGTCCTCAATCCACACTTCTGCGCCCCCCGCAGATCATATGCATGCGCCGCAACCAAAACAACCTCCTCCGGCCGAAGTTTCACAAGCTCCAATCCCTTCTGATAAGCCTCCGGACGAGGTTTGTAAGCACCCAATAGCTGACTGGAAAAAAGCATGTTGAAATCCAACCCCGAAGACCGAGTCAAGTCCAACTGGAGCCGTGTCGTGCCATTTGCATGAACAAAGACTTCCAGACCGAGGTCTTGTCGAAGACTCTTGATTGCATCGGAGACTTCAGGCCATGCTTTCTGCGAATGCCAAGCTTGGATTATTTTCTCATTCGTCTCGGTGTCGAAGTGCGCTTTGTGGTCGGGTGATTTGTCGAGGAGTGCTTCCAGGGTGCGGGCAAGGGTGATATCAATGTCTTCTGGGTGGAGGTTTTCGCTAACTCGTTTGCTGTTCTCTAAGAAATATTGCCTACGCCATTCCAGGGCGAACTTTGAGGCTTCATCTTTGGGGATGGCGCTGGGTAGTGCTTGCACTACGCTGCTGTGCCAGTCAAGGCATGTCCCCATAAAGTCGAAGAAGACTGCTTTGATTTTTGGCTGAGACATTGGTCTGTGGGGTGCTTGGTATGCGGATAGAATCAATTCTATGTAGAAAATTGAGCATTGAAGTAAGCTGAGGATCTGGTCCTCTTGTAGGTGGCGGGAACGGCTCGGATTAGAAATCAAAAGGCTTCACCTGATCTCCTAGCTCGGCCATACTATCTTCTTCTTTTCTTCTTCCCTTCTTGTTCTTCTGGTTCTTCTTGTTCTCTTATGTTCAATGCCAACAATACACAAGCTAATATATTAGTAAAACAAAATATGCAGCAGTTTCTGAGAACTTGGCCGAAACATCAGCCACCTAATATGTCAAAATTCGTCAAAGACCAGCAAATATTCTAGTCAATATGTTGAAGGCCCGAGACTGACCAGGTCCCGCGATCTTCTACGAAGAATATAATTCCGATTAATGACAAATTCTCCAGATTTAACCTTCCCATAGAAGTAATCACATCTCGCTTCAGCTTCTTGATAAATTGCATCCTCATCGGGAAGTTTCCCAGCAACCCGGATCGATAAACAATGGGACCACCTGTGGTGCATTGGCGAGCTGTTGACTGTAACCTGTCGGTTCATGACACGGTATATCATAATGCGGACTAATTCTAGATTGTTAAGCTTGGCCTCGTCGGGGTCAAAGTACACTGTGACCCACACAACGTTGTCGCCCGATGGACCGTCGGCAACGGGTAAGTCTAGGATGCGAGTATTAAACGCGGCTCGTGTAGGCATGGTAGATTTTTGTTGATCCTAGGAATGGACTCAAGCTTGGCTGTGATACAAGTTCGTTTATTTTTAGTGGGACAGGAAATGGGACAGGAGAATGCGTGTCTTCCTGTTCTCTCTTACGTGGGTGGAGATGATGGCTAAATACTTCCCACTGAGACAGTACAACTTGTCTTGTTATGAGCACGCTGCTTAAACTATTGTAGAAACAAAGAATCTTCTGATACCCGCTTTGTCGAGAATTTTCATTCTGTACCAATTATAGCTATAAGATCAAAGTATATGTGGCTTTCCTGAACCTCGACGTCAACGTATGAAGCTCATAAAATGATTAAATTGTCCTAAGTTCAGAGAGCCCTTTGTTTTTAAGCAAAGGAACGTACCTGAACAATGAACAAAGATTTTCAATCTTTCTATACTCAGACCAAAATATCATCTTCGTCAGTTCCATTCTTTGTCTACACCCTACGCTGCCATATGCATGAAAGAACCCAATCGATGTCAATAAACCCCTCTAGAAAGCATCCGTTCTCAAATGAAAAAGCCGAAACAATCTATCCCGGTCAATCTTAATATTACCCGCCGCACATTCGGCTTGATAAAATAGTGCCAACTCCAACGCATCCTTAAGAAAAGCATCAAAATACAAGTCCCGAAACCGGGCAAATGCCCAATAATCTCCACGAGCTGGCAACGACAAACACCCCATGACTCTGTGGTGCATGGGCTCGGGGGTAACCGAGACACTGACATTGGGTGTTTTCATCGCAATTCTCGCATGGATGGCCTCAGCCACTAGATCCATAAACTCTGCATCTGTTTTGTTGCGGTTCTCAGGTGTTGCGATGAACACATTTACCCATACTATCGGTCCACGGATGTGACATCTCTCGTCTGTATAGATGTCGTTACAGATGAACATACCTTCTTGTGCCATATTTGATGGGTTTTTAGCTTGCTGCTGCATGGGATGGAAGGGTTACTTTGCTAGAAGGGAAACCTTCAGCTCTTACTTTTGGGTGTTAGGGCAGACAAAGCCACCCTGGTAGTTGAGATTAGGATATCCCAGATAGGCTCTCATACTTATATCAGTGTAACGTCGTCACCTCTTTGTTTGGGTGAAAGGTCTATATTTGATTGCTACAATGCTTTTCTTGGGTCAATCCTAGATGAACTAGAAATGTTCTGAGTCATGGCTATTGAGACAAAGAGTTTGAGAGGACTTGATTTGAGTTCTAGCCGATTGAACAAGGGGGCCAGGTTGATATAGTATTGTACCGTGTACAAAGTACACTTCAATCGTAATGGTGACTTATGCGCCGCTACCGCAAAAGAGATGGAAAGTGATGTCTTTCCACGAGATAAAAAGTCTCCACCGGGGATCTATTTGGTTGGGGACATTGTAGGCTACTTTGGGGGCCGTTTTAGGCTCAAATAGCTCGTGATAGATATGATGAGCATGTGATGGTTTACAGCCACATATGCAGCCCCGTGAAATTGCGGCTGTAGGGTTCTAGGGCAAGGAAGATAGATACGTCCAAATATAACCCATTCTGAATTCATTTCATGGCGGGGTCCATGCATCTACATCTGGCCATGCATGAAGACTACGGAGTATAAGGGACTGAGCTGAACTTATACATAGCACGCTAGCCCAGATTGGCAGCGATATTCGATTTTGGAATATTTTCCTCATTTTGATTGGCTGGGAAAAGATGTCTGTCCGTCTCACCCGTGGTCGAGAACGCCATGGGTCGCTCTTTTAACGCCAGCCCCGTTGTGGCTTTTATGAACTGCAGAGTGTCAGCAATTTTACCTCCCGAGGTCATCCTTTAGGACCCCTTTAATGATTGCCCGAAGCGCTAGAGCTGGGAATGCGACATCCGTACAGCCACCGGCTTTCTAGAATAACCCTGAACCTCCGCTCAACTTTTACACAGTAGTGTAATGTAACACTAGAATATGCATTTTTCTTGGTAGAATACTTGTCACAACCAATCTTACTCGTGCAGTAGTCCGACCAACTAGCGTCGTTGAAAGCTGAAATCTACTTGGGGTGATCAATGCCAGATGCCATTCGTAGGAGACGGCTAACCAACCTTGGAAGTTAGTCTACTGTCATCTCGTGAAAGTGGAGCGGAGATAAAAGCGCTAATGTACATTCAGCCCCAACCATCGCTAATAGGCTAGTCTGGAGTTTCAAATACGGGCAAGCCCAAGTATCAGAAGAGCAATAAGACGCTATTTCCCAGCTTTCTCTTCCTCGTCGAGTTTGAGAAGAACTAGCGAAATTTCCCAGCCGGAACCCTTTTACCCCGGTTGATACTCTGTCGACATGTTCCGGTTAAACCGTAATGAGGCTGAAAACGAGCCTGCCCTTGTTCAACCCCCGGACCATGATACCCCCAGCCAGAAAACACCCGGTACAACAGCATACGCCTCTCCTTCCAGAGATGAGATTACTCCGGCGGCGTGGGGGATTGGATGGCGGGCCCCAACCATGATGATTGGATTCCTCATTGCCGGTGCGATGTTTTCGATGGGCCATCACTTATACTACCAGAGCCTTGACAGCACCCGCGTCACCTCAGTTAATCAGCAAACGTGGGCGATTCGAATCGGAACTGGCTTCGCCTTCCTGATCAAGTCTTTCCTTGTGTCGGCTGTTGGCATCGCAGCGGTGCAAGTGATGTGGGCCACTCTGCGGCGGAAGTTTGTGAAGCTTCGCGGGATCGATGGCATGTTTTCCATCCTTAGCAGCCCACTTGCTTTGCTCACTCCAAATCTCTGGGTGTGCGCAAAAACCCTCATTATCCTTGCGATCATGTCATGGTGCGTATGAGGCCCGTTTCTTTAAAAGGGCGACTATTCACTCTGCGGCCAGGCTTATCCCACTGACGTCGGTTATCACACCTGCTACCTTGTCCATCAATCTCTTGACAACCACCAATGTTACCCAGATGCGTGTTCCGACTGTGAATTTTGTGGATTCCTTTTGGCTGCCCTGGGCAACATTCGAAGGGGCGGGATTTATTGCGGCGCCTGCGCCCGGCATCAACCGTCTATTTACGGCTACTTACTCCTCTTCTGAGGTGGTCCCATTCTCTGCACCTTCCCCTAACTCATCCTACACACTTGATTTCTGGGGCCCATCATACAAGTGCCAGAGATTGAGTGAAGCGATCGTGGAGATGAAGGGCATGACTTTTACCGATTCCTCACTGAACAACTACAGTTCCTTGCAGAAAGTGTGGGATCATGAAACTAGTAAACTCAACTTTACCACCTTGTACTCGGGGGCTGCTAGTACCGTCCTGAACAACACCTTATTCATATACGCCACAGGAGCAAACCCCCTTTGGAACGACAACGCCACGCAACCAACCGAGCTTGTATGTCAGCTTTGGAATACCTCCTACGTGGTGAACTTGAATTTTACCAACGGTGTTCGGAGCCTGACACCTGTATCAACGAAGCAGGTGGCGCCCGCTAACTGGGATAGCAGGGCTGGCTCCTACACTTCACTAGAACCTCAGGGGCCAGGAGTCAACGGTGGTTTCTACTTGACACACTTGCTATTCTCTCGCATCATGCAAAGTACCCTATATATCAGCTCTGTTGGAACACTCGAATCAGTTTTGACCTCCTCGATTCCTGACGACACGCTCACATTCACACAACTGTCAATCATGCAAAGCGGCCTTTTCGCATGTCCGGAGCTCTGGAATAGTTCCGAGTACAAAAGTATGCTTATGGGATTTGATGACTCTACCACGCTTTGCCGGAATAAAACATTAGCTCGAGCCATAGAGGATCTGTCGCATAACTTCACCTACAGCCTCCTCAGTCTCAACGCGGCCAATACCAGTGTACCTGTTACAGTCTCGTCACCTCAGAATTTCTACGCTTACGACAGTAAGAATCTGTTGGCAGCTTATATGACTGCACTGGGTGTTACTATTGTATGCGTCATTGTCGGATTCCTTGCCTTGCGCGAAAATGGGGCTGCCCACAACACGTCCTTCTCCAGCATGTTGATGACGACACGAAATCCTGAGTTGGATGAATTGGCCAAGGGACACTGTCTGGGAGCTGGCGAGTTGCCAGATGAAATCGGGGATGTCCAGTTACGATTTGGGGAGGTCGAGGGTTCTGAGCAGTACAAGCGTGCAGCATTTGGGACGAAAGAGTCGGTGAGCCCTCTCTCTAAAGGGGAAGATTATTACTAGATAGGAGACAGCTCTTTATCATTAATGACTACATCATTATTCTTTTCTCGGGTGAGATAAACAAATACGTCCCTGTTGACAAGTGTAGAAGAGCGACCCACGACCAAATAACTAGGTTGAGCATCAAATGGCGCCCCGCTGGGTAAGTCTCTCTTGTCCACTAGCTCGACTGTGAGGGAGTGAAAGCATGGTCTTCTTGTATTATATTTATCTGATTGAATTGGTTACTTCACGGGTCTTCGCTTAGTATGTTGAGATGAAACTCCCAAAAGAGCGCGATCAATGATATATGCCGATCGGTCAAAGTCACTTCGTCCCATCAGCATCTCTCGGGCATTCCCAACGTCCGCGACCAGCACCACCGGCTTCGATAGGGGACCCACCAGCGCTTGACAGATTGGCGAGCCGTGATTCTCGAGTTGCTTGCTGCACCATTCTGCCAACCCTGAAGGATCGTCTCGGGGTTCCAAGAAACTCCCTAAATGGACTGGGCGGGCTTCTGGTTGAAGGGAATAAATACCCGGAAGCGGCTTGGGGAGGAGCCTTCGATAGAGTGCATAAAGAGATGTGAGAAGTACAGTTCCGAGCAAGAGGTGTTTGAGAAGATGTTTAGGTGTGGAAGAAAGAGCTATCTCAAGCCTCGACATTCTCAAGTGCGGTTTAATTTTCTGTTTTTGATTCGTCCTAAAGGTTGAGATTGGTGTATGATAACGAGCGAATTCAAGAAGTTTATGGAAATCTAGTCTAAAATTTATACCCTATTACCTAGTAGTCAAATCATGATTCCTAGTGTGATATTAATGCAACTCGTCGGACTGGCTCATAACTGGGACACGCTGAAGATGGGGGCCAGAGAGAGATCTTCCGAGGGGTCGACGCTGTGGTTGATCCATGATTATGTGACTGGATCGCATCCGTGGTCTTTCATCCGATATATTGCGGCCGACGAAATGTGGGATAGTGCGTGACGGCCTTGTATCTTAATGTCAGCACCAGCGGAGACACCATGGCGCTTTTCCTGTAATTCTCGTGTGTGTATCATCAGCAAATGTGAGAGACTGGTTGGTAGGTGGTTTCTATTTGGCCATTTTTTTGGGGTTGCCGTAGCCGTATATACCATGCTTGAATATTCAGACAGTTGGCATTTGCATAGATGTTGGCTAATCATTCCCACGCGGTGTATAACGACACCTTGATGTCAAGGCAATGGAAATAATACACATCGTGTTTACTGTCGTCGAGTGGGGCTTTTCTCTTTCATGTTTATGAGTGCTATTTATTTATCAAAAGTGAAGCTATCGAACGTCAAAAGTTTATAACCTTCAGCAAATCCTCATGGCTTGTTGAAGACAACGCTAGAAGAATGCTTCCCCCAGACCACGGGGAATCTTAAGGAGGAAAGCTGGGGGCTTGGAAAAGAGTCTTGCGCCATTGGGGGAAAATCATCGGGCATTGAATAAGGATCCCCTGCTTCCAAAGATGGCCAGTTTTCTTGTTCTCCATACCTTTCTATCGGGGTTAGGAACTGGGATGACCCTAAAGAGCCAGAAACAGACAATGTGTCAGCGGGTAGACTAGACGACTGTTTGGGCTGCGCACTTCTGGCAAAAAGCAGAGTAGCCACGCGGGCTCCAGATGCAGCCATGTCACTTAGGTCGGCTAACATTTGAAGACGATGAATGGCCTGCTCCACCGCCTGCATTGCTATTCGGTATGTTATTCTAACCTTGGTTCCCACAAGGTTTGTGCTATTATCGTCTTGATCAAATGGGAAATCTGCATGGGAACAAAGATTAAGCAGAAGAATTGCAGGCTCAAAAGAGTTAAAGATAATCGCAGAAAAGCGCGTATAGGAGCCCCCAAACATTGTATGAAGGGCTGCCACAGCTTCGAGCACTTTCAGTGCAGCCATACTAAGCCTCCGTTTCTGCGACCGGAGAAGAACTTTCTTGTAGGGAGCTAAGCTTGCGACTTGGTCTGGTTTAAGCAGTAGGAGAGGTCGGAAGTTCCAACAAATTGAGTCGAAGATCGCGATATATAGAAGTTGTCTTTGCATAGGTAGCTTTGGAAGAGCCTTGTCTAAAGTCGTATCTGGGTGCGCTATAGCGAAGGCCGGATGTAAGTTATTGAGATACTCGGAGTTAAACTTCTCATATCTCCGCTCACTCTCGGTCGGGTCAAACTCGCAGGTACGCTGTAACCCAAGGCCTCGCCAAAATAGGCCAAGTTGAACTTGCATAAGACGTTCGGTGAAGATATCGGGCGCCATGATAGTAGTTTCTATCGGTATATTGCCAATATCTGGGATCAAGCGCAGCCGGGGTAGTGTTTCCTCAATTGAGTGATTGGATAAGAAGGGGATCCGATCTAGTTGTCTGGACAAATGACTACCATCCACATTCGTCAGTGAGGGTTTTGCATCAGAATGATACCAAGCGTACCTGTCCAAAACATAAAGGCTGCAAAACGTCCTTCGCTGAACATCTCGTTCTAACTCCTGGGCACTATCTTTGGCAAGCTGAGATTCCATCAAGCCAGTAGTATCAGTGTGGATGCCGGCCTTTTGAGCAGCTCGACATGCAGAACCTATGCCCTCCCAAAATTGGCTAGTCCTCCCTTCACAGGAGACTTTTAATGCAGCAAAAATGATGTGTTGAACACGGACCAAGGTGCCTTTCCAGTCAAGAGTCTCACACGCTGTTGCAAGCTTGTTTCCAATATTACTGCAGGTGTCACGAATGTCGGCCAGTGACCGACCCCGAATTTGATCAACAGTATGAGACGGTGAAGGCAGAAATTGTGTCGCATAAGAACAAATGCGAGCAATTAGAGCTGCAAACTCGACGTCGGCAATCTCCACTATCTTATCCTTTGCCCACCACAGCTGGTAATTTACCAAGAAGCTGGGGACGTGAATGACTTGCTTCATCCTGAGCTGACGATAGAGGTTAGAACAAGAGAGCCAAGCAATCTTGCCAAGCAAAAATAATAGATATGCTTACCAATTCAATTCATAGACGAAATATTGCACAAGAAAGTCGATGATTTGGCGCTCAGGCATGAGATCGAGCTCATGGTGAATGGTTTCCCAAGTAGAGGGCCAGTCATTCTTCAGCTCTGTATCAGATTGATCAGGCAATTCCAGCTGTGAGGCTGAGTAAGTCTAAATAATACCATAAAGGGAGCAATATTAAAAGACTCACCCGTCGGAGCAAAGCCATTGTATTGGAGTTGCTATCCTCAAAATAACCAAATGATCGAGCGAGGGCAGAATGCTCTCTGGACCAGTGAGCCTCGGAGTCATCCACGGGTCTTTCTCGCGTGGGCCGTGCACTCTCTACCGGTCGAGGTTGGGTCTCCGACTGATCTGCAGGGACTGGCGGACAGGAGGGCACTTTCACCGGCGGAGGACCGTAGACACACTCCTCGGGTCGGCGACGACGGGTACAGTGGTTGCATGGATATTGGCGATCGCACTACAGACAATCCAAAATTAGCATTGCATCACAATCGAGTCTGATCGCACTCGCTTTCTGTTTACGCGTATAGCAGGAATGACACGTTCTGACACGACGTTTTCGGCCTTGCATGGTGAGATTGCGTAGGGAAGAGTGGGAATCGGCCGACGCAGGAGCAGTTCAGCCCCTGGAGGTACTGGAGATTATTTATAGACGTCCACGTGTGCTCCGCCCCCAAAACGGCATAACGTGGCCCCCTCATTGACCGCAGATCTCCCGTTCATGACAGAAATTTGGCGGTACAATGCATTGACTCAATTATGCATAACTCCAAACTAAAGATGGTAACGCGATTTCAATCTGTGCGGGCATCAACGTATCACATATATATATGCACTTTTGTATGGTCTATGCATCCAGATGCTTCGTACACAAGGGTCACATGACCTTCCGGTGTTATGCCGCGTGTAAATCCCCGTATTCAACCTCGAGGACAGCTTACTCCAATTCGTCGTAGTTGCCTTCAATGCAAGGTGTCAATGGGGTACATCTATGGTTAGAAGATAAGCCATGCAGGTATTATGTCAAAGCAGTTTACACTTTACAAGTACGGACCAATCCAGAGCAGGGTCATACATTCCCGCCATTGATCCCCAGCGAGCTGGCCAACAGATATATGAACGACATGGATTGTAGCCGGAAACACCCTAATTTCTGTGTGGGGCTTGAGAGAATGGACCTTTGTACACTGAGCAAGACCCGGGGCTCTGCTGATCAAATCCTACGGGCTGACAACCTTGCTGATGATGGTGAGCATAATTCAAAGAGCACAACCGACATAGATCTTTTGTCTTCCTTCGGCCGGAGAGCCACATTTCTAAAAGCCGGGCTGTCTTTCTTCGGCCGGGGAGTCAGCTTTTCAAAAGCTGGGCAAGACGACAACTTTCAGATGCAATGATCCACTATCATTGTTAGTTTGATCTTCCCGTCATTACTATCTACCTCCATACCACCAGTTTCAAGCATTGAAGCCCCTTCGACAGATTGACAGCGTAACTGCATCATGGCCCGTCGAACACGACCTTATTGCCCTTGTTGGCATCGGTGAGTTTCTATAGCGAGCGATAGACATAGGTCCCCGATTAACGCGACTAGGTTGCCATATGCCTAGTGGTGCTCGAGACATTCCCACGCTATGGGAGCTACTCAGGAAGTAGAAGGATATACACAGGGAGTTCGATGAGCCACGGTTCTCAGCTAAAGGATTCTCTCGTTCCAACCTAGATCGTCCTGGTACTGTGGTGGCCAGAAGTGGGTTCCTCCTAGACGAAGATCCACGACTCTTTGACGTAGCCTTCTTCGGTATCACGGACGTGTATTCCCTAATATACTGGCTAACCGTATTTACTACGTTTGCAACATTAAAGGGCCTAGCTTATTAGTCAATAGCGCGTGCACTTCTACGATGTACGCCCTTTATTTAGCCATAAACTCAATCCGCAATGGAGATTGTGAATCCGCCATTGTGGTGGGGTCTAACTGGATCATTGACCCTAATTGCCACATAGTAATGGGGAAACTCGGTGCTCTTTCCGCCTTCTCGAAGTCATACTTTCGATGTATTAGCTGATGGCTATGCACGTGGTGAGGGATTCGCTGCTTTTTACCTGAAAAAGGCTTCTCTGGCCATTCAAGGCGGATCCCCTATTTGCGCCCTGATTATAGGCCCTACGATTAACGTAAACGGCTGTACTAACTGAATCACCACCCCTGGTAGTCTGCTCAAGAGATCGTCATTCGAGAAGCGTAAGTAATGTATATTGTGTTCCCTTCGATAAATAGTCACTAACAAAGCAACTTTCCAGCTATAAGAATGTAGGTAATCTTGATCCTTCGTAAACTACGTTTCTCGAGTGCCACGGAACTGGCACCCGGGTTGGTGACCCAACCGAGATCAAAGCGGCTAGATAGGTTTTTGGTCCTTCGCGGTCCTTTGAGCAAAATGATCAGTTGGTGGTGGGTTCTGTGAAGACAAATCTCGGTCATTTAGAGGGAGCTTACGCCCTTCCAGGAATATTGAAAGTGGTCGCAGCCCTTGAACAGGGAGAAATCCCGCCCACTCGGATTTCAGACTCCAAACCTGCGCATTGATTCTAAGCAGGCAAAAACCCGGGTCTCAGCCCAGGTTGAGCCATGGCCCAAAGATAAACTCAAGCGAGCAAGTGTCACTTCTGCTGATTTTGGTGGCATCAACGGACACTGCATCATTGACCATGTCCACAACCTCCTTCCATCCTATGTCAAGCCCGGTATTGTTGGTCAGCGTGTCGAGCAACCGAATGGACAAAACGGCGTCAACGGCACAAACGGCGTCAACGGCACGAACGGCGTCAACGGCACGAACGGCGTCAACGGCACGAACGGCGTCAACGGCACGAACGGCGTCAACGGCACGAACGGCGTCAACGGCACGAACGGCGTCAACGGCACGAACGGCATCAACGGACATGTGAATGCAGGTGTCCTCTCAAATGGCGCTAGGGGCCCACTGGATCAAAGAAAGCATCATAAGCCAAAGAATGAGGCACCAAAATTTGTCCGAAAGGCCGACGCAGGCACTTGGAATCTGGTGGCTTTTCCCTTCTGGGCACATAACCAAACCTCACTTGTAGCGAACGTCGACTCATTGAATGAAGTCATCCACCAGCACTCACTGGCCGATGTTGCCTATACTCTCAGTGCTACATCTACTAGTTTTCGGCTGGCTCCCTTGAATGTACAGTGAAGGACTCCAAATTTCCATAGCTTTAATTACAAGGTATTATTGTGCTCATCAAGGCGCAAATAATTCTCTCTGGCGACAAACCCCTCGGGGATACCCAATATGCTATAATCGAGTACAATCCCAGCTAAGACCGACTATATCCGCTAATCCCTGGAACTACATATGCGGCATGATCAAAACTAACCCTGAATTTAAATTGATCGACAACCAGGGTGTATAGGGTGTACCAATCGAATTGAAGCCTTTCGGGTTGCGAGAGGGTCCCAGTAACTTCGGCCGACAATCATCGGCTTTGTTTATATTAACATATAACCAACACCCCAAATTCATCGGCGTTAATATCATGCAGTTCCTTAACTCCTATGCCCGTGAAATCTCCTTTCTTTTATCTTCTTCCTTTCTTCTGCTATTAATGCTGCCACATTCTTCATTATGTGTACTCAGATATACCTACAAGGCCACTCAACCTAGCGTCTAATAGCTCGGCACACTATCAGCTTTATACCATGACCGCAATATCCTCTACTCCTGCCTCAGACTCCGAGAACCAAAATGTGAGCCAAGCAAGCGAAGACTACCTCCATCAACCTAACGAAAAGGATCACTCGAGTGATTCGGGTGCGAGCGACGATGTACGCAAAATCACGGGCTATCGATGGTTCCTAATTTGCGCTGCTCTTTACCTCTCAGCATTGATATACGGACTAGATACAACGATTGCTGCGGACGTTCAAGGAGCGGTAATTCAGAGGTTTGGCCAAGTCGACCAACTCGCCTGGATTGGGGCCGGGTTCCCTCTTGGATCGGTCGCTGTTATTCTGCCCTACGGATTTCTTTTCACTACCTTCAATATGAAATGGCTCTACATTGCCGGGATTGTGTTATTTCAGGGCGGATCTGCTCTCTGTGGTGGAGCTCCGAACATGGGTGCCCTGATTGTCGGACGTGTGATTGCTGGTGCCGGAGGAACTGGCATCTATCTAGGAGGACTGAACCACTTATCCGCCATGACGACTCGAAATGAGCGTGGGGCGTATCTCGCTGGCACCGGGTTTGTCTGGGGCTTGGGAGCGATCCTGGGCCCTGTGGTTGGTGGTGGGTTTTCGGATTCATCTGCCACTTGGCGATGGGGATTCTACATTAATCTTATCATCGGTGCTATCACAGCCCCTGTCTATCTGTTCTACCTTCCAGCCATTCATCCAGCTCCTGGAAGACCACTTAAAGATCGCCTGCTTAGTCTGGACTATGTTGGGTTCGTGCTCAGCGCAGCGATGTGGGCGACCTTTGCGATGGGCTTCATCTTTGCCGGTGGTATCTGGCAGTGGAATAACGGTCGTACTATTGCAATGATTGTGGTATGGGGGGTTATGCTTGCCCTTTACGCATTACAGCAGACCTTCTGTATCTTTACCACCCCCGAACATAGGTCATTCCCCGGACATCTGCTCAGATCTCGAACCCAAATCTTGTTCTATGTCACCACCACCTGCGCCAACACCTGCATGTTCTTCACCACATTCTACATACCGATCTACTTCCAGTTCACTCGGAACGACTCATCCCTCATGGCCGCAGTGCGACTTCTTCCTTACCTCCTGTTCACCATCGCGTTCAACCTTGCTTCCGGCGCGGCCCTTCCCAAGATAAAGTACTACATGCCTATGTGTCTCGTGTCCGGTGTCCTCATGACTATAGCTGGTGCGTTGTTCGTGGGATATCTTTCCCCTTCGACGCCAACGGGCCAGATCTACGGTTTCAGTATCTTGATGGGAGTTGGGACCGGAATCACCATGCAGCTGGGCTACTCCGTGGGCAGCTTAAAAGTCAAACCAACCGACGCCCTCAGCGCTATCAACCTACAGAATGTTGCACAGATTGGAGCCACAGTCATCTGTCTTGTCATTGCCAGCCAAGCGTTCCAATCAAACGCCATTAGAAACTTGGATCATGTTTTGGCAGGCCAGGGATTCAGTCAATCGGAAATTCAAAGTGCTGTTGCTGGATCACAGAGCACGCTGTTTGAGCAGCTCAGTGGTGACTTACGGAATGCCGCTATTGAAGCAATCACATCAGCGATGGCAAGGGCCTTTGTCATTCCACTTGTAGCTGGCGCATTAGGGCTTGTTTGCTCTCTGTTGATGAGTCGGGAGAGACTGTTTGGATAAATGGTGGCCCAAAGTTCAGACTGAACAAGATTTTCCCGCGGTGTTGAAGAATGATGGTTGTCTAGTGATATAGTGTTGGGATCAAGTAACTTACTTGCTTCGAGGGGAGGTGACAATCCCTTCATAGACGGGTTCACCCCACTCTCTTTCTATCACTCTACATCGCCCTTTTTATCGGTAAAAGCTTTAATTTCATCTATTTCATTCTGATTTTAGCCGTGAGAGATAGGTACGACCCGTATATAGATCGCTAGGAACTTATGGATCCTATTGGATGTCTGAGGCCACAACTGTGACAAATAGCTAATCTCTCTCTCTTTTCCTTTCTCTCTTCCCTCTCTCCATGGGGATCTCGCTTGGAATGCATCATTGTCTTTCTCCACTTCCTTATATAGGCTTTCCATCACACCCTCGTGTCCCTGATCGCCGTCTCGTGTCCTATTTCGTGACAGCGGGAATGGGGAGCCCTACTAGCTTGAGGCTGTGTGCAGCCAAGGTCGCTAAGTGGCAGTTCCCCACGGGCCAAAGTGCAAGGCAGGTCCCTGGGCCCCGGAGGCGCACGAGGCTGAAATAAGAGGACGTCACCTATGGACTCTGTTAAAACCTCAAATGCGCATCTTTCGGTGTGTTGTACCAACTTTGCGGATACCCTCGTATCATTAATCATGTCTCCCAAAGCTACTCGCCCTCGTATCCCAAATTGGGATCGTGGAAGTTCGAGTTGCGGGCGCTTGTCGGCTCCGTGCTTTTCCCTCGCGATCATGGTCAGATCATGGTCACGGAGACGCGACAGGAACTCGAGGACCCGAGACATTACGAAGATCATCCGAGGACATTATGAGAACATGAGGAGATTTTTTTGTCAACAAATATGATCCATAGATTTCGTCAATAAAAATATGTACAGTGAATTCAGTCCTGATGCTTATATACTCTCTAAGGCAGCCAGCTGCACAAGATATCCAAGTCCCTCGCCAACCCCCTTCACCACTCCAACCGATCATCACAAACAAGACTAACATCAAACCTCTCCAGCCCTTTCCAAACCTTCCCACCAGAGTTACAAGAAGCAACAATATCTCGAAGGTCACTAATCATCCCACCAGGCCCACTGGCAAAGACAGTTGTCGGTCCACACACGGTCTCAGCCAAGAAGTCATTGACCAACCGCGGTAGATCAGGATGTCTATTGACATCATCCGCACCACCCCCAAGCCTCTGAACAGCAGCAGGCTTCTCACACCCACAGCACGCAGAAACAGACTTGGAAGGCGAGACCTGTAGGACCTTCTCCTCACTCTTCGGAACCTCCAGATTACAATTTTCGTCATCTGAGTTCTCAATCGAGGGTGTTTTGCTCCCCGTATCACGGGTGGCGAAAATGCGAATTTCGAGGTTCAATGTATTCCGCGCTTTCTGTAAGAGATCCAGCTCCGCTGCGATCCAATCTGTGTTCGCTGTGTGGCGGACTGCCCAGATGAGTTCGACTTTCCGGTCTGGTGAGGGTTGGTTTCGGGCGAGCTCAAGGAGGACGGGGAGGACGTAGGTGATGCCGGTCCCGCCGGCGACGCAGATTATGTTGGTGTTTGGTGTTAGATTTTTGGTGATGGATTCGCCGTATGCGCCTGTCAGGATGACGGGGGTGGTGGGTGTGCCTGTGGCAGCGAGGTCTGCAACCTTTTTCGTTTCGCCACTTTTCGCGCGGAGGATGTAGGAGTGTTGGACTGTCCCCTTTGATACTGTGGGAAAGTTGAGTGGTGTGAAGGGGTGAGATTGCCATATACTGCATTTTGTGAAGGATAGGTAGTAGTGTTGACCGATGGACCAGGGGTCTTGGTTGTTGTGTAGGTCGAGGCGGATGACGTCTCCGTGTTCTGTGTCCGGGAAGCGGGTGATTGTCGCGTCGGCGGGCTTGAAGCCGAGACTGAGAGTACTGGAGTGGTCGGGGTGGTAGTGTAGAAGGGCTGTGCGGACGAGACGAGCTCCGCGATCGAGGAACCAGAAGATCAGTGAGGGCCACATGAAGCACTTAAGTTGTTTCCAATGGGCCCAGCAGGCGCCGATGTAGACCATCGCGAGGATGTAGTGAAGTTTGCGGAAGGTTTCGTAGCCGGTGAGTCTGATTCCCCACGGTGTGCTCAGTACGACGAGGAGGAGTAGAAGAATCATGGCGACGATGCCCCAGACGATGTATGTCTGGGTGACCCACTCGATTCCGACGGTGGGTTGCGGCTGGTACATTCGCAACTCAACGACGCACCAGCTGATCGTATGCAGCGAGCTTTGCACGAAGATGATATAGCCCAGCCAGCGATGGAGGAAGTTGAAGCTCTGGTACGGTAGGCCGGTGATGAGGGAGAGGAAGGATTCTCGGCTGCTCAGCAGCACGGAAAGTGGAGTGAGGGCGTAGGCCAGGGTCCCGATGCGGTCTGCCCACGGGCCGATGCTATTTCTGGTATTGTATACGCCAGGCATTTTTGAGACAGGCGTGACCCATGTGTTGTAGACGATACCGACGAAGCTGAAGATGAGAAGGTAGCCAGCCAACAGAGTGAGAGTGAGCACTTGAAGGCGTGTTGTGCGGCCGAAAATCAACCGTGCCGCATCGGGCAGGAGATATTTCCGGGCTAATGAGACAAGGGAGCGGCGAACCTTGTGTAGCCCAGCTAGTTTTGGTGTTGCTATCGTTGGTGATATCGTTGGCGCATTGAACTGGTTCAGGATGACCCAGAGGAGCAGAATCGCGCCAATGACGCACCACATAATGCCAGAATATAGCATTCCCAAGTCATGGGATTCATATACAACGTCGAGATACTCGCACGAGCCAGGATCGCTGGTACAAGGAAGACCGCGATCGTAGTATCCCCAATGAGGCTCTAATGTTGTCGCCTTGCTCATATCTTGGATGTGGCGAACATCCAATCTCGGGGACGACATTTTGTCTCGACCTGCCCTATGCAGTGGTTTGAGGTTGAAGATCGAGTATGAGCCTCAGCTCTCCGATGAATGCGACGATTCAGCTCGAGTATGCGAAATTCTGCGTTCGGTCGGATTATCGAGTCATGGCGAAGTGCGAAAAAGGTGAAGTCCCAGAGAAATCCACCAGCTTTTTAATGTAACAGCCATCATACGAGACCCAATTTGCTCAAATGTGGCCATTTCGCATTTGAGTCGATTTGAGCACATTTCTCCCACGCCATCGCTGGGTTTCTCCACTTCGCCTTAGCGCAGGTGGAGAGAGGCCATCAGGTTATAAGACCATCGGTCTCGAGCACGACCATCGGACGTGCCATTTCTTCGAATCTTCCTTTTGATACCCAGACTATCAGTCAAGATGGAGGGCATGAATCACAGTAGCAGCGAGACCAGCTGCAAGATCTCGGTGGGTGCCAAGACATTTGAAGCTCCAAGTGGATTCGCTAACCAAAAGGCCAGATGCTGTTCAATTTTCACACCATCGATGCCTGCTTCCTCTCCACTGGATGGCAGATCAAGAACAATGGCATGTTTGCTGCAACCTGTATTGGCACAATTTTGCTGGTTGTGTTGGTCGAGTTCTTTCGGCGCATTGGTCGGGAATATGACAATTTTCTGACCCGCCAATTTGAGCGCCAAGCCGTGCGCGGCACGTTTGCCAAGAAAGGTGAATCTGCCCGAACGGCCGTGACATTTCGGGCGACGCCGTTACAACAATTGACGAGGTCTGTGATTCATGCAGTGACCTTTGCAGGGGCATATATCACCATGTTATTGGCAATGTATTTCAACGTCTATGTGATTATTTGCATCTTTATCGGGGCGGGGCTGGGCAAGTTCCTATGTGATTGGATGGTGGTCACGGTGGGAATAGATGACGTACAGGATGAGACGAGGAAATTGGAGGAGACAACGATATGTTGTGATTAATGGACTTGTGTGTAATTTGTCGGCTTTTCAGCGTTTATATCCTTTGATTTGATTATAATCTACTACTTACATATCTTGAAGAGTCGTTTCCATCTCTCCCAATGCTGTTGTCTGATATGTAACACGACCCTCCTTTGTTGCTAAACATACAGCACAATGGATTTATTTCTATACAAATTGGATAAGCTCACTTAAGATTACCAAAATTGAGATGTAACAATGAGAATTCTGACTTGTGTTGATTTCCTTGTCTTCAACTGCCTTTTCCATGTCTCAGAGCTGGCTAGAAGGGTTTAAATAGCCTCAATTCCACCCAGCTTGGGAGCTGCTCTTGTTGGGTCAGGTCACGACTGATACTGATCCACCGTGCTCGACATTATTGATTTGTCGCTACGACACCACCATACCTATCAAGGCCTTTTGGAGCAACATCTCTGCCTAGATGAATTCATCCGAAGGTGCCGAGGATCTCGAACAGCGCTTCAACAAGGCACACAAAGAGTTCAGAATCACTTTGAAGAGCATCATCCACACTCTACAACAGGATGGCTTCAGCATGGAGAATTGTTGGGAAATCTGTGACCAACTCGATCTTCTCGATTCCTTCCTAGGTGACATGGAAGAATTGGGTCCGGAGATGGCACTAGTGAAACCATATCGGGCCATCTTCCATGACTTGCCTCGATGCTACTTCCTGGACTACCAATTCCAGTTTGATTGTCTCAGTATTCAGACTGGCTTGGACGATGTTCGGGGTCTTTTGGCTGATTGCTTCCACGATGACTGTGCTCAGGTTGCCTGTCTTGGGTTAGAAGGTCTCCTAGCTAGACTTCCGTTCTAGTTTTGGAATTCCCATTGCCATTTTGATAAGGAGAGTAGATTGTTTGCCAAGTTAAAGATGTGTAGCACGTGATGTCCACGGTTCCTTCCGGCCTTTCCCCCGCAGTGGCTGGGTCTTTCGCCTATCAAAGTCGTTCGCATGTGCATTCCTAAAATGTTCAAGTCCTGGCTCCGCACATTAGTACACTTCTTAGAGAATCACTGTTATCTCTCCTGGGGGATTTGATCTCAACATATGTAACAAACCACCCGGATACGGGTCAATTGGACGGAAACATATCGAAATTATGTTATGACAACACGTAGTCTCACTTGAGACTAGCCCGGCCCCTTTCCGATTACTTCCAATGTAGAGGCATTGAAGGACATTTTCGAGAGTAAACATCTCGAGACAATCCATAGTAAAGAGCGATGATACCACAGAATAGCCAATCCAAGAGTTTTAGTTACAGTCTAAGCATAGGACGGAGTGTCTATCTTGGTCTTCCTAAAGACAATCACAGGGCGTGCCAAGACTCTTTAGTTTGCCGAATTCCGACCTCCCATCATTACCAATCCAGATAACAACTTCGAAAAACAACAAGATTGTCGATCTGAATTAAACTGGCACAAGTAATCTCCTTCCCCGCGATTAATATGAACTGCGCCCCCGGGGACTAGCCTGAACATCCCGGTCTAAGATAACATATAGCGTCGGAATGAACCGCTTTGATAAGAGAAACTGACAACTAACCGTTATATTCGACTAATCCAGAGCTTCTAGTTGGTTGAACATAAACTACTCATTGAATGCTGAGATTCTATGTTTTTACGTAACAGCCGCGCGAGGTATGGACGTTATAGTACCCAAGATGTAGGGCTATACCACCCGTCTAAGATATCACGGATACAAGATACTATCTTCTCCGGCCTCACACTGACCGCTAGATAAGGAAGTGATGATGGATCAATACCTCGGAGATAGTCATGACTCAAGATACCAAGTAGTATCCCAAAGATAATGGATACAAGCAAAAGAAAGACATATAAAACATGTCTGGCAAGAGGAAAAATGAACCATCACCAAGCACTGATATCTTATTTCCACAGTCCTGTCCGAATCAAGGATGAAGGTTTTACTACAACATACCCTCTTGGGGTTGGGTCTATCAGGCTTAAGCTTAGCCGGGGTCGCGGGGAGAAACATTGAAGTGATACGGTTCCACAGCCCCGGGGGTGTAACCGCCGACTCATTGCACAACATTCACGTCGAGTTTCTGGACGATCAGTTCGAAGGTCAACTGCAGCTTGTGTACGGGGAATGCGGGATCCAAGATCCGACGCAGAGTCACCATTCGATCGGGAGCACGTTCGTGAAACGTGAAGCACAACCGGAGCGATTCGTCTGGACCACACCATCTGACGCACCCCATTCAAACTGTCTACATGCTTTCTCCGGGTCAACACTTGTGGGCCGCTCTGCTCCCATCACGGTCTCGTCACCTGTCGAGAAGCGTGAGAGTATCGCCGATGTGGCAGATGCCATGGGACCATGGTTTGACGGAGTGGCTTACATGAAGTCAAAGAAGCACAGCAACGCATTTGTATCCAAAGCAAAGAAATCCTCCGTTGCTATTCTCGGTGGTGGAATGTCCGGTTTGATGACGAGTTTGCTGCTCGAATCTGTTGGTATCCATGATTGGCACATCTACGAATCATCTGGACGTGTTGGTGGTCGTATTCGTACCAAATACCTCAACAACACCACTCCCGATCAATACCAATACCAGGAGATGGGACCAATGCGATTCCCTGTCAGTATCACCTATGCCGACACGAACGAGACACTCGAAATTCAAGATCATCGCATGGTCTTCCAACTCGCCAAGGTCCTCAACAAGATGAACAACGACAAGCCAGATCTCCAGGTCAACTTCATCCCCTTCGTGCAGAACAGCCCCAATGTACCTACAGCTTCTGGCGGCAACCGTCTCCCCAACGGCAGAATCCCCAGCGTTTCCCAAGTCGCCGCCAACTCATCACTAGTCTACCATGCTCCCTCATCCAACGAGACAGCTGCCGAAGAGGCAGAGTCGGCATACGAGAACTACACCAAGCTCAACGACCGTGAAACAATCCGCAAAATCGCAACAAACATGTACCAAGCCCACAAGCAAGCCGTCGAAGACGGCATGTTCCACTGGTCCGAAGCCGGGTACCTGAAATACGCAATGGGCTATGACGCCAACATAACCAACTACGTTGCCGGCGCAGACAACTCCCCAATCTGGGGCGAACTCTACGACGACGTCTACTTCGCTGCCACAAAATGGCGCACCATCGACAAGGGTCTGGAGTCCCTCCCTCGCGCATTCTACCCCCACGTCGCAAAGAAGACAACACTCAACCGCACAATCGACGGGCTCATCTACAACGAGAAATCCGGTAAGATTGCCGTCGCATGGCGCGACGATCTGTTCCAGATGGTACCTGAGACAAAGGAATACGATTACGCCGTCGTCGCTACACCATTCAGCAAAGTCAGACTGTGGGATCTACCGCGGTACTCGTCTCTCCTGAGCCGGGCAATCTCAACCATGAACTACAGCCCCTCGTGCAAGATCTCGTTGCTCTACAAGACACGGTTCTGGGAACACATGGAAGAGCCCATCTTCGGTGGATGTGGGTCAGTTGATGTCCCCGGTGTCGGAAATGTCTGCTACCCCTCCTACCAAATGAACTCCACTGGACCCGGTGTGATCTTGGCGTCTTATATCTCCGGCACACCAGCTCGGTCCACCGCTGCGTTGAGCGAGGAGGAACATGTTGCGCTGGTCCAGCGCGCGATGGTCGAGGCGCATGGTGAGATTGCTTCTGAGCAGTACACCGGTGTTTATGAGCGTCAGTGCTGGGAGGTTGATCATCATCAGGCCGGTGCTTGGGCCACTCCGCTTGTTGGACAGCAGGAGCTGTTTTTGCCTGCATACTACCAGACGGAGTTTAAGACTATCTTTATTGGAGAGCATACTAGTTATACTCATGCTTGGATCTTTTCAGCTTTGGATTCGGCTGTGCGTGGAACGACGCAGTTGTTGCTTGACCTTGGGCTGGTTGATGAAGCTAAAGAGATTGTTGAGACGTGGATGGGGAGATGGATTAAGCTGTGAGATGATGGGATTTGTATAGAGAGTATCTTACCCAGACAGGCATTAGAAATTTGCTGTATATAGCATTAGATCAGCAGTGAATATATGAATTTGCATATACAGACACATCGAATATCTCTATAGATGAGCTTGATCCTAGTGATGGAGGTATTGGATGAGTTTTGTTAAGTGCATATAATCATAGAGTACCATTTGATACCAAGGCAGAATGTAATGTGAGAAGACGAGGACTTTTTGTGAGAAAAAAAAAAGTTGTGATATCTCCCATGCCAGTACCCTATGCCTAGGCCACGGCCCAACCCCGAAGAGTTAGGAATGCATTTAGTGGAATCATTTATGAGCGAGGACTGAGCGGGTTGAACCCCGGTAGCTGGGGCTGCCAGCGTGTTCAAACCGTGTAAACCCACTACTCAGCCACTGGGTGGGAGAGTCGAAGAAGTTGTCTTTGTCTTCAATTTATAGGAACATATACTTCCGAAAAGGGAAGGTGGGTCCATATGACTTAGCATTTCAATACCTGAATATCGATTTCTGCCTGCAGATTCTAACCAACACCCAAAATAAAAGAGAAACATATCTACTTTGCCTGTCCGTTTGAATTGGCATCCATTCCAAGCGCACCACTCGGCAAAATCATCCCAGTCCGGTCAATGAACGACCGCGCCCGAATATAAGGGTCCAACTTCCAATAGTTCACATGGAACTCCTCAATCACAGCATTTCGTCGTGACTTGATATCCTCCAGTTTTGACACCTCTTCCTTCCCATCAGAATGTGAGCTGGCAGAGATCCACGCAGCTGTGGCAGTGATTATCCGGATACCGATCATCATACGGTCGTACATGAGCGAGTCACGCGTCGCTGTGTCTTTCATGGCCGCATTTTCATCTTTGACGGGCTCGTCGTAGTTATAGCTCCAGTTTCCGTTGCCGGAGAACTCTTTGGGGATCTTATCGCGCGGGATGAACTTGTCCAGGTCCGCGATTGACTTCGTGAAATGAACTTTTGATGCGACGACGGGGTCCATCCAGCCGTGGATGAGTCTCCAGATTCCTGATTGGCGAAAGGTGATAATGTGAGTATGCTCCCCAGCGAAAGGAAAAGACTTCCTAGTGGAAGGACTTACCGGAGAAAACCCATGGTGCGTTATGAATGAGCAGTTGCCCCAGAGACTCGGGGTAATTTGCCTCGAAGCATTTGAGGATGAACTTGACTGGAGGGTAGTCCTGTCGCAGATATCAGTACACGCTCGACTACCTCATCTAGCCACACTATGGCGTCCTACCATGTTGGAGAGTCCGAACCCAGTCATATCGAAGACAATGGTCTATGAAAATGTCAGCGTGTCTCAATACCTCAAAATCCACGTCCAACATACGCCTGTTTCAACCGGAGGAACCACGATGAGTCGTGCTGACTCTATCATATGGACAATATACCGCTCGAGGGTTTCTTCACTCTGAGCACTTGGCTTGTGAATCTTCACTCTAATATAGATAACAGGCCGGCCCTCTCTGTCAAAACCATGAAGGAAGCTTTTCCCTGTCTTGAGTTGATTCATGAATTCGGCACCTTCCTTCTTCTCCTTCGGGGTAGCGCTGGCGCTGCGGGATTGCTCCAGAGCATATTCCTCTCCCCGGGGCAGAATCTCGTCGTCAACCTTCGCTTCTTTTCTCCACAGGAAATTCGACGCCATCATCGAGAAAGCTTTTCCGACATCCCATTTCCTAGCGCGCAGAAATCGAAGCAATAGACTATCCGGGTGTTCCTGCTTGATCATCTTCAAGACCGCAAAGCACATCTCCTGAGGTGTCATCCTGGAGAGAATGTGCTCCATGGACTTGATTTCTTCCTCGTGCACGCCTAATTTTCGAAGCCGAGAGAAAAGGGAAGTAAAGTGCGCCGGGGTGACCTTGCGGTTGGCCATTTCCGAAATGATAGTATCTTTGGCATGTTCATTCATGAGCGAGTCCACCTTGTCGAGTGATTTCTGCTCTTTATTGTCGAGATTGTTTTCTGCGGTGGTTTTCCCATTGGTCTCGCCATTTGATTCCGCCGGTGCAGTCCCATTTGAGGTCTCTCCATTGATGTTTTCGCCCTTCAATGCGCTAATAATAGCCTCCACAGTCGGCTCTTTGACCTTGTCCAGGGCAGCAAATAGGTTGCTAGAGGGCCCCTCTGGAATTGAAACATCATATACAGCCGACAATACAGTCGCAACAGAGGTCAAAATAATGATCCAAAATTCGATTACCTTTCCTTCCTGGTCAGGAGTGAGGTTGCCGAGGTGCCCGGGCGCTGGTTTAACAGTAGGAGACATGGTGTGAATCGTGGGTACAATGCAAAATCAATTTGAGGAAACCAACTCACATTTTAGTCTTGAAGCTGCTGGTGATGTCGTTTTGTTCGATCCATTCAATGCTTACGGGAACACATGAACATAATTCCAGCCTCGGTCAGCCCCCCGGATTCACGGGCGAATCATATCGATACCTCGGTGCTCAAGATCGGTCGATCGTTTCATTGACGTATGAGCGCTGAGACCTCTCCTTACTCGTGGGGTCTTGAAACAGCCTGAACAATCGTGAACGGACTTTGGGGAGGGGGAGACGATCCCCCGCATTGCGGAGAAGATCGTCGCTCTGGCTCATTTGAGACTTCAATTTTGAGATTCAAAGCCGGAGAAACTTGAGATCTTAGCGCATGGTGACTATATCCCTTTACCCCATTGGTATATGACGCTATCCGAACTAGGTATGCAAGTTGTTGAAGGGGTGGACACTGCTTATTCCTACAACCACCCATTCAACAACTACCCTCGGTTATTCCTTGTAAACGTTCTTATCGGGAATATTCATATGCATTCAAACATTGGAAATTCAATCATTTCCTTGGAAAATGACGCATAATGTTACCGAAAGACTGGATGTCATTGGCGCTATTGCTGCGGGATAGGGGTGTTTCCCCTGATCTCTATTCATGATACCAACCCCACCCCCTTCAACCGAGAATGGTAGTTGATGTAAATCTATCGACATAATCTCCTGCTCAAGGCGTGCTTCGTGTGGCCTAGATCGTGACTATTTGACGTCAAGGTACGGAGTACAGTATTCCAGCTTTTGCCAAGAGAGGTCCAGCCTAACGTGACTTGTCTCGTCTCGTGACCTCTTTGTTTGCTCCTAAGAGTATATTATGTTCTCATTTCTACAAATCTACAGTGGTTCTCTCAAGTTTCTTTTCATTTAGTGTATCTAAGAGTTTTGAAACTCCTTGAACTCTTAGGCCAGTTCTGTTCGGGAATACATTGATTTCTTTGTCTGCGTCTCCGCCCTGAGGCATATTATATACAATCTAAAACCAAATGGACAACTTCTAAAATATCAAGACACCCACAAGCGCCCCCCAAAGAGCGATTGGCACCATGAAGGAGCAACATAGGCCGAGGAAAGACTTCTCAGACTTGAGTTCCCCTTCGACCTCGGCTCGTGGGTATGATATTCCCTCTGTTGTAAGCAACCTAGACTCTCGGGAGTGATAGGTCGGAGGGTTGAAAAGATGAGCAATGGGTACCCAATTATTGACAAGCGCCAATAGGAACAAGTGTAACAGTGGCGGCCAGACAATTGTGGTGAGTAGTCTGAGAATTGTCGATACATTCCCCATGATAGCCATCCAGACTGCATAGAGCATTGCTCCAAGAGTCGCAACAAAGAGACAAGCGCTAAGCCAAGCACCGCTTCCAACAGTATCTCTGTATGCCTTTCGGAAGGACGACAAGGACGTAGCGTTCTCGCTCGAGTTTGCGGTGCTTCCGGTAACGAATGATCCCTTGGGCTTGCTTCCGAATAGATGAAATTGAACAACGGCGTATAAATGGGCTAGAAGTACAAATTGTTAGCATCAAGCTTCAGGTTCATCGAAAGAGTGCAACATCCCAAATAAAACTTACCAGCAGCAAGCCAACTGTTCTCTGCGTGTGCAAAAGGCTCAAATGGAACACCCGCGTGTGCACTTCGAGCCCAGTCATATGCCCATGAAGATCCAACCTGCGCTATAGCCAGCACAAGTTGGATCTTGGTCCCCAGCGCCGATCCATCAGGAATGAGCCCACCATTGGAGGCAAGGACAAATGGCAAAGCAGCAAATCCAATCGAGTAACTGACAAGGCCTACCATTATAGACAGTCCTCCAAGAGCAATCTCCCAGCGCAAATGCCGCGGAATTGCCTTCCTGACAGAAGGGAATAGCACAGAAATCTGCTGAGAGTGTCCAATGTGCCACCGATTCCGCTGTTTGAGATGTCCAGCGAGAGAAGTAGGAACGAGACCGAATTGCAAAACCTCTTGTACCTGCATCGTGCGCTTCCCCAGCCCTCGTAAAATCAACGACAGCTGCCAATCCTCCGAGAAGGAATAAGTCGGATATCCGCCCGCGTCGAGGATCGCATCACGACGGAAGACTGCACCTGACCCGGCGTCAAGTGCATGACCCAGAAGATCGAGTTCCGTATTCTCACACGTGTAGAAGTAAGCGCGCGACTGAGAGAGAGGATCACCGCGGGGTAGGTTGTAGAAATACTGTCTTGTGGTCAGCAATGCGGCTTCCGGGTCTGCAAGTAGGTGAGGCAGTGTTGCGCGTAGGAACTCTGGCATAAGAATGGAGTCTGCATCGACGACGGTGCAAAACTCTGGCGGGTCATCGGTTTGCAGGGAGAATAGGGCGTAGTTGAGATTGCCTGCTTTGGCAAAAGACTTCCCGGACTGCTTGCCGCGGGTGTGGTAGGAGAGGTGAGTCCATTTTGTGGTGAGTTTTGCAATTTCGTCACGTAGGTCACTGGACGCTCCGTCATCCAGAAGTCGCACTCGGAATCGGGAAGCTGGAAAGTCCATCGCACATGCTGCTCGGACTGTGTCTAGGATGATTTCGACCGGCTCTCCGCAGCATGTCACTAATACGTCGACTCTAGGCAGGTTCTCGGTGCTGCGAAGTCTCTTGCGGAGTGTCTGGCGTGGTGGATTTGTTGTTGCGGCTACCGACAAGCGTTGGTGGTTCAAGGATATGTCTAGCGGAATCAGGAGTTGCTCAACGTTCTTTCTCTGAGAACAACTCACGAGCAAATAGACCCTCGATACCGAGCATCGTCCATATTTTCCATGTTCGCTCCGAGGCCGTCAATATGAAAAACAGCCGTACTGTAAAATAGATGTAGGTGATCCAGATTGCTGTTTGAGCTATATGATGGAGATATTTTCGGTACCTCTGCGCAAGCAGGGTGCGATCATCAGGAGAAAGTTCCTCAATGTCATGGACACGATCAGGAAACATTGAAGCGAACTTGATGCTGTTGAGTTGTGTGGTTGTGATTATGTTGCATATTATATAGACAATTTCTTTTTGCACGCTTCGACTGAGACTATCAAGAGCACCACGAAACGAGTCTCTCTCGATTCTACATGTATTTTCTTTAGGCTTTTAAGAAAAAATTTGTCTCTCAAAATTAAGGGGCGTGAATGCATTCAGAGCTATCTACAGGCCCCATTTGCTTCTAGAACTTACTGTGTCTATTTATACCCCTGAGCTATCCGCGCCAGGAATATTGCTGCCGAGGACCAATTAGTGTGCGCCATAGTGTGGACTTTTGATACGCTAACCCGAATTGGTCCTGAAGTATAGGTGGAGTCTTTTCCTCGGCATCCGATTGGATCCCTACATTCTTAAATCCAAGATCCATGGATGGCATCGGGAACTTTGTCAGCGGCATTGGTGACGGAAGTGAACAAGCGCCGCGCTTGGTTAAGCTTTGGATCTCATGCGATCGAGGATGCTCGGAAAGGTACCATCTCAAGATAACGATTCCATAAGAGCAAAAGTGCTCACAATGAGCATTACAGGACAGACACTGTGAACACTCCATGTCGTGAAATTAGAGCTTCGTCATTTCGATATAACGATTTCATCTAACTCGGGTGTTGGGGGCATTGCTTAAAGGAATATATCTTCGGATACGAAACTTATCTCCTTTGGGAAAGTAAAGGTCTAATTTGCACGAGGATTTGCGAGTCGATCGACAATTTTCTCTTGATCTTTGACAAATCTAACATCATCGTCGTGGATGATAATCGCTATCTGAAACGCCGAATATTGTGGATGGTGAGAACTCTGGAGTGAACAGCACTTCAAAATGGGTCGATAAGAATCTGGTAAAACCCATTTTCTCTTGTTAATTGCATGCTCACAATACACCCAAGACCTAATTTCAACCTAAGGTATGTTTATTTTAGCAAGACTTGGCATATCTTCCAACAACTTAGTCCCCGTGAAACAGGAAGAGCACGTTGAGTCTGGGAGTCGAATGTTTACAAAAAGGTTCATGGGCAAAGATCGTGGGAAATGTGCCCAGTGTTGTCTTTAAGCACATTTTTTCATCATATAAAATAAGCTCATCGGGGGCTTGGGAAATTTGCATCGTAACTATATCCATCCGACTATAGAGATTCACATATATTCAGGCATCAACATATGTATGTATGTCCTGTGGACCCACCTTCCCTTTTCGGAAGCATATGTTCCTATAGATTTAAGACAAAGACAACTTCTTCGACTCTCCCACCCGGTGGCTGAGGGGTTCCTCCTCCGCAATTGTTGTACTGCGATGGTCGCTGGCTTGGAGCTCAAGTCCCCAGCCCACGATTCTTAAAAAAAAATTCCACTCATGCATTCCCGATCTTTCGGGCATGGCCTAGGCATAGGTACTGGCATGGGAGTCATCACCCCCCTTTCTTTTTTTTTTCGATCCTAAAACAAAAGTTCCTTATTCATTACAATGGGTTAGGCATTAGCTGAGCACTGTGTCTGGGGTGCTTATATTTTTGGAGAGTCTTCCCCCTTGCTTTATGTCTGTTTCTTGCTCTCTCGGTCTAGTTTCTTCCACACTCTTAATGCTGAGAGAAAAAATAAGCTTCTGCAAATATACATCCAAAGGACTGGAAAAAACGGCTCCACGCAACCCACAATGATAGTACATTTAGTGATAGTAAACCTAGAAGCTATCAGCACATACGATGATCCAAAATGACCTACCAATACAAACCTCCTTCTTAGGTGAGACTCAATCTCGAAAGCACAATGCCTGTTGAGAATTACGGGAAAATCCTCTAATACTGTTATTCTAGGCCCTTTGGTCGAATGGGATAATTCAACGACACTCCGCATGTATATAGACATCCAGTTCGATAATTCATCTTTATGGTCGGCCAACTTTTAATACTCAATGCAAGTTACTCACCCCTATTCAATATAAAACGCGAACCTTGACTTTTTACTCCAAAAGCCTGGAGAAGAACGGGTGTGAAAACGGAAAAAAATCTCCTAGAGAGGCAAATATGCTTCCGAAGTCTACGTGGGTATATCTTTATAAGATCAAGATCACAATAAAACGCGAAAGGAAGGTGAAAACAAGGTGAAAACAAGGTGAAAACAAGGCGAAAGCAAGGTAAGTGCAAGGTAGAAGTGAATCAAACATGAATTCTATCTAGTCAGGTAAAACTTAGGGAGGAGGCTCCCGAAGTTAGTCATACATCATTATCAGAGCTTCTCATCTACGATCTATCGATCGCCTATGCCGGGTCCGCAAAGTCGGACGGGGACAGCAGGACACCATTCAAAATTTGCCCAATGTGGGACTTATCGATGTCCTGCCCGTCTTTGCGGACCTGCGACATAAGAACCCGGAGAAATTTCACCGGGCTCTGCCGGAAAGGCGACGATGACGCCGGACCTCCGCTTCTGATGAAGCCATCGACATCAACATGCAGGCCCTCATGCGCTGCAACCGAAGCCAAACCAAGAAAAGCGCAGAGTCGTTGGTACTCCGAATACGACTCGAGATAGAGCTGCCCTGAAAAAGGTTCAGCTCCATCCGAAGCGCATCGGGGACCTCGATGGCAACTGCTCTCTCTGGAATGCTGTGCAGGCAGAGCTTGTCGAGCGAATCGAAGGTACAGCTCTGCCGGGGCGCATATTGGTGGAGGGTCACTGCTGTTGAGTGCCGAATGGCTGGAAGAAGGCAGCGAGCCTCGTACGGACTGATTATTATCATATCCGTCACAATCCTTACGCTGCCAAGAGACGAAAGGGTGGAACTGGTCAAAATCCAGCGGACTGGCCGCTGGAACGCATCAAGGGCAATCACTCCCTTTTCCTCCTTCCCCATTGTTGCCAATACTGTCTTGGCAAAGTCGGTGGTTACAAGAAGCCTGGTTGGCAAGTCTTCCTAGTCTATGGTCGAGGCAATGGACGTTTCTAATAGCGAGTGAAACGCCGACTTAAAAGTAGTGGAGGATCTTTTGACCACTCCGGTGCGGACGAAAGATTGCGGACAAAAGATGATAGATCGTTATAGAGTTTATATTCATTTAGTCTTATTGGCGGAGGTCTTTGTACCTCCCGCTCGAACTTAATTTCTGGAGTAAGTTCACGTTCTTACTCCTCCTAAAAAGCCAAATAATTAAATTTAAGACTATTAAACTCTGTACACTATATAGTAATCAATCCTAAGTTTAGGCTTTCGTTATCTAAGAAATCTAATACTAACTTTACTATAAAACTAGGTTAGTACTAGTATTAGAGACTTTAGTATTCTACTTCTAGAAAGCTTTTAGCTTAACTTTAGGATAGCTTAAAGGAATAGCTTATAGAGATACTATCCTATATAGATTTTTGCCGCTTAAACTATTAGCCTTAAACCGCCTAGGTAGGTATACTATAGTAGAGCTCTACCTAGGTTTCTAAAATAGCCTAGTAAAGAATATCTAAAACTATAATCTTAGAGTTATAACTTTTCCTACTAAGTACTAATATTCTAAAGTAGATATCTATAGGGATATAGAAAACTATAGACTAGCTTTTATCTAGCTTTCTTATTCTTATATAGGCTATCTATATATTAGTGCTTAGATTATAAAATATAGATTTTAAAAAGCCTACCTTAGACTAACTTATCCTTTATAATCCTAGGACCTAATATAACTACTATATAGTAGTCTAATAGGAGCTTAAGGTTAATACCCTCTATATATATCTTATCTAGGGAGATATAATATATCTCTATCTATTATATATAAGGTAAATTAGTAAGCTACTTAACTTCTCTCTAATTAAGAGTATAAACCTTATTATTATTATCTATAAATATAATAGCTTTAATTAGACTATCTCTAAATAATAATAGAGAAGCTAATAATAATATTCTCTATTTAGAAGTAAGACTAAGAGAGAGAGAAAAAGAGAAAGTAAGTATAAATAGGATACTAAGATCCTATTTATACTACTAAATATAATAGTATATTAAATATATTTAATCTATATACCTAGATATCTATAGTATCTAATATAGGTCTTATAGATCTAGATCTAGTAAGTAGTATTATAGGTAAATAGGTCTATAATTAACTCTATTATAAGAGCCTAGTCTAGAAATATAGATAATAAGAGTAAAGCTATAAAAGCGCTAAGAAGAGGGAAAGTAAATAAATATAGCTTAAGGGTAGAAGAGATAGAAAAGGAAATTAAGGAGGTTGTAAGCATAATAGTAATTGTAAGATATATACTATGGTGTGAGAGTATAAGATATATATTTTACCGGTAGTATCTAAGAGAACCTTAGATATATTATCTACGGTAAACTATATTATGACTCACAATATATCGCCATAAATCTAGGATATCATAATGAAGTCATTATATTATTAATGACCTTCTATGATATTCTATACTGCTAGAGCTTGCCTATATAAGGAATAAAGGATTCCTAGCTAGAAAATAATTATTCAATACAACTTTTCTTACCTCTCACCTATTATTATCTACTTAAGCTAAGTATAAACCTTTCTATATCTTATATAATACAATATTATATAAGATAAAGCTTACCTAATACACCTTCCCCTACAAAATATTATAACCTACTATTAGGCTATAATATTATTTCTGCTAAAGTGCTCACAGAGGTAAAGTAGATTATAAGGGTACTCTAATTATTATTATCCTTTATAATAGGTAGGTATCTTTAATTAATAGATCTAAAATAGTAAAATACCTCTAAAATAAGGGCTAGATATATAACGCGATATATAATAATATAACTATATAATACTAATTAAAGTCTATATCGATAATAATAGCTATAAGATAATACTTTAGGTTAGGATTTAGAACTATATCTTAGATAAGTTTAGAAATTCTAACTAATAATTAGGCTTAACTCTTAAGTTAAATATACTAGAGTAGTGTCTTTATTAGATATTAGGATATATATCTATATACCTACTAGGTAGGGCCGCTAGTAATAATTACCCTATAAATCTAATTAATATTACTATTAGATAATAGTTACTTATCGAATAGGGATAGAGGAAGGTATCTTTTACTCTTATCTATAACTCTTCTTTATAGCTTTATTAGCCTCTCCTCTATAAGACTAGAGGGAAGAAGAAAGAAATATATTAGAAATATTTATTACTATAATTAGTTAGTCCCTATATAGGTATATATATAGGGCGCTAGGAGTATATATAGTGGACTAATAATAGGTATAGAGAATAGGATAGACCCCTATTCTAGTAGCTACTAGGGTATAGAGTATAAACGTACTCCCTAAAGAAAGTTAGTGTTATTCTATATTCTATAGCTATCTATATATTAAGGTAGTAGATCTCCTAGCTAAGGAGACTAAATTCCTTTCTAAGCTATTTTTAGTCTCTATTCCCTATCTACTAAACTAAACCCTTAATATTTTAGTTATAATTAAGCTTAGGATATTAATATAGATATAAAAAAGGGGGATATTAATATATTAATTTAGATTTTTTAGATAGATATAAACTAATTTAGGTAGTACTAATAACCTAATAAATAAGTGTAGGGTTATCTACCTTAACTCTATTATCACTAAGGGTTTATAGATATTCTAAGATTTTAAGGCTTAGTTACTATTTAGAAATCACTTTCCTAGATAATTAATATTAATCTAATTAGATATATCTTTAGTTCTATATATAGCGCTATTACTACTACCTTTTCCTATATACTATCTAAGATTATTAGCTTAAAATATCTTAACTAAATAATCTACCCCTAAAGACTAAAACTATTAAGTTAAATAACCTTTCCTATATTATATTTACTTTATTTATATTAGTAAGATATCTTTACTAGTTCTTATAAAGATAATAGGCTTACTAATTAATTCTACCGATCTTATAAGAGTTACTATTATAATCCTTTTTATTATTAGAATAAAGGTAATCTATATCTTATAGAAGTTAAATATATACTATAGAATTTCTATCTATAGGGATATTTCTATTAAGTAGCCACTTAGTTATTTTTAGTAGATATAGCTAGACTTAGGGTAGTACTAGCGGTTAAAATAGTAAATAATAGGGTCGAAAGATATATAATAAACTTTTAAGTTAAGTATTTAGATAAAAATTTAATAGTTAAACTCTTAGTTAATAAAGGTCTTATATAGATTCGATAGTCTAGTAAGTTAGGGCGAATATTTTATAGCTTTAGTTCCGCAGATAGGCTAGATCTTAGCTCTTTCTAAAATAAGAAAATAAACTTCTATTTCTACTAATCCTACTTAGCTATAGACCCTTACTCTCTAGAAGCCTATTCTCTTAATATATAACTTAAGTAATATAAAATATAAAGTAGTATATAATTTAATTAGTGTAATACTTTCACGTAGAATTATACACTAGGGTAGCCCCCTTATCTCTTTCTATTAGTTAGATAGCTACTAAGCCATAATAGAGTCGATTAGTATTATTCTAGATAACTTTCTCTCTAGCGGAATATATACCTATTAATATCTAGGGAGACTTATAGTGAGGTACTTACAATTTAATATTACGGAAATAGGTTATTTTATAGGTCTCTAGAAACTGATATTTCACTTCGCGGGCTGAAAATCTAATTAACAGTGGAAATGTTTGTGCTGTGTTTAGGCGACTTACTATATATGTGGTAGTCCAGTTCTCGGCTACGTCAACAAATAGCGCCGCCCGGGCGAGCTCCGGGGGATCGACGACTTTGCCTATTGGAGCGAAAGTCATGCGGGGATGTATTAAACAGCACCCAGGTGCCTTAACACTGCCGTAGAGCGCCCCATTCCTTCATAAGAAGGGATATCCATCTAGGATTAATTTGAGCCAGATAAGAAACCAAAATTGGTTCAGCAGTCGCCTCGATGTAGCAATATTGCTAGACTTGATTCCACCGTTTGCAGATGTTCAAAGCGGGGTTTACAAGGACAGACTTGGCCCCCGCAGCTACATGCAGGGCGGAGAAGTACGGAGAACTTGAAAATCAAACATGAATACAACGCAAATTGAGGCTCTGCGATGATATCACATTTTGCCCAGGTAAAATGAAATGCTTGGCCCGATCCATTGTCTCCATTAGGGTCTATGAAGGGAGGTGAGCCGAAAATGCCCTTTTTTTTTTGGAAATTTAAAACAAAAGAAGAAGACCATCAACATCAATTGCTATTCCCTCTGACTCCTATATTCTGAACTAAGATTTACCGACCAGGCAAAGATTTTCGAGATGAACGAGTAGTTTTATTGATCAGCTATGACCGGTAGCAAACACGGAGAGTAGTAGTCCGTGAGTACTCCGTACATGGGGTTACATTGGTTGACCCTACAAACCCTATCACTATCCCCAAGATTATCAATACCACCAGCATACCCATAATATACCTCTATATTACCCATCTTAGCGACATTTGCAGCTCCTAGTCTGCTTTTCCCCCTTCAACTCGTCAGTGTAGACCCTCTCGAGACAAATCAACATGCGGAGTACTCCATACGAAGCACGGAGACAGCTCTGATCTGGTTCAATCGCAAATCCCGTCCTCGCACCCATTACTATACAGAGGATAGCCTAGACTAGTTTGCTTCTAGGTGAACCCTGATTCGCGGAGGCGTATGTAGTGGCCCATTCAGGACGAGTGGGTTCCGGCAAGGGTCTGAGTCCACTGCAACCGGGCGAAATGTTAGACGATCACTTCCACTTTCGTGTCCGATCACACATGGGGGGAGATTCGGGCTGATCTGCCTACATTATCCGTTCCAGTTCCACTCTAACCGTGACTAAGCACTCACCGACAATCGGTCCCCTCCTGTCAGTGAGCCAAAGCCAATTCGCAAACCAAAGCAATTTCACAAAAAATTCATTGTTTCAATTTCAACCCTATTTTTCAGCCATCATACCATCTCTATCTATTGTAGTAGTGTTGTAGTTCAGAGGTATGAATTGAGTTGTTATTTCAGAGGGATACATGAGCCTATATATACAACAAGTAGCCAAGTTGATTGGAAATCAACTTGGTCGTCTGTATAGACGCTTCGGAGCTAATTCCGACAGTGCGGCTTGGTTCCTGATCTGCAGCAGCCTCAAATAACAACAAGTAGGAAAACCACACTTCTTGTATGACACCTCAAGTGCTAACACCAGATCAGATGAGTATTCCAACCCTCAGGCTGTATTAAGGGAAATCAAGCATTCTACACATTCCTTGAGATCCAGCATCTGTTTCCTGTTATAGATTGCTAGAACACCATTCATGCCCAATGCTGCTCTAATCCCGTCGCAGTCCTCTCATTGACCTGTCTGCGACGTCAGACCGCAATCGCGCTCTTCCCATTTCAATATATAACTAAGCATTGAAGAGGGATAATGCTCAGTGGCAGTCGGACCTAGCACACAGATAGGTAGAAAGAGGCCCAAACAACGTCGCGGGGGGAGCTAGTGCTTGAGAGCCTATCTGGCAGGAGAAAATGTCTGGCCAACAACTCGGCGAAGACTGGCCTACATTGCCCTGAGCATTGAAGGGGTCTCTCGCACAGGAGCTACGAGGCTATACACAATAATGGCGCGAAATCGAGACGTTATTCTTCGGAACCATCGATTGCAGGAAATCATTTTCCACCACCTCCCGAGGTACTTGAGTAAAAATAAGCTTAAACTTCAGAGTTTGAGCCGGGACCTCGGGAGTTCCCCTGGACCCTGTCGGAGACATTATGTCATCGTGTTTTTGTCCGGGCGAAGCCGAATCGGGAGATCGGGACCGAATTCAACCGGGTGGAGTTCACTCGGCGACTTTTGATTTTTTTTGTTCTTGCAGCCCGTTTCGCTCCATTGCCCTGACAAATGGACCCATCTGCCAAAAATGGGGTTGTTTTGGAGTAAACTGTTAGCTCCCGTGAATATTTCGTGATTGATTCGCCTCCCGGATCATATGGTAATGAATGCCAAAAATCTCCGATGATAAATCAATCTTCAACTTCCCCACAGTATATCAGCACTTAAATTAAGCCACTATCCCCCTGTAAAGTGGAATTATTCACACATATACTAGTATACATACTTGAATACCATCAAAATGACCTGGCCTGACGTCTCCACCAAGCCCGCCGAGGGCATCTCATACTTCACCCCTGCCCAGACCCCCCCGGCAGGCACAGCTCGCAATCCCCAAACGAGCGGAAAGCCCATTCCCAAGCTTTTCAAGCCTCTCACCATCAGAGGAGTGACTTTCCAAAACCGTCTGGGTGTATGTACAATCCTGCGCCGGTCTCTTGCATAATCACAATTCTAACAATGGCTCTCCAGCTTGCACCCATGTGCCAATACAGTGCCGAAGATGGCCACATGACCCCCTGGCACATGGCGCACTACGGCAGCATTGCCCAGCGCGGACCCGGAAACATGATCATCGAAGCCACGGGCGTTGTCCCCGAAGGCCGTATCACGCCCGGCTGTGTCGGTCTCTGGAAGGACTCGCAAATTGCGCCGCTCAAGCAAGTCGTCGAGTTTGCGCACAGCCAAGGCCAGAAGATCGGTATCCAGCTCGCACACGCCGGCCGCAAGGCATCGACCGTGGCACCTTGGCTTGGCGGCGTTGTCGCCAACAACTCCGTCGGCGGATGGACTGATAACATCAAGGCCCCCAGTGCTATTCCCTTCGCTGAGGGCGATCCTATCCCCATTGCCATGACCCAGGATGATATTGCCGAGGTTAAGACCGCTTGGGTCGCTGCTGTCAAGCGTGCCATTGCTGCCGGATGTGATTTCATCGAGATCCACAACGCTCACGGATACCTTCTTTCGTCTTTCCTGAGCCCAGCTGCCAACCAGCGTACCGATAACTACGGTGGCAGCTTCGAGAACCGTATTCGTTTGTCCTTGGAGATCGCTCAGTTGACCCGTGACACCGTCGGTGATAAAGTTCCCGTCTTCTTGCGTGTCTCTGCTAGCGATTGGCTCCAGGATAACGTGCCCGCTGAGATGCACTGGACCCTTGACGATACGGTTGAGTTTGCTCGTGCGCTTGCTGCGCAGGGTTGTGTCGATCTGATCGATATCAGTACTGGCGGTATCCACTCTGCCCAGAAGATTACCTCTGGTCCTGCCTTCCAGGTTCCTCACGCTGCAGCTGTCAAGAAGGCTGTTGGGGATAAGATGCTTGTTGCTGCTGTTGGCATGATCAACAACGGAAACTTGGGAGAGAAGATCTTGAACGAGGATAATATTGATGTCATTCTTGTTGGTCGTGCGTTCCAACGTGATACCGGTCTCGCTTGGAAGTTTGCACAGGACTTGGATGTTGAGATTGCCATGGCTGGACAGATTCGTTGGGGTTTCACCAGCTTCCGCAATGCGTCGGAGTATATTCAGCCTAACTCTATGAAGGCTTGCATTTTTGATTAAATTTAGATACACCAGCTGTTGGCTCACGTTGCATTATATAGACCATCCTTTTCATGAAAATAGACATGCCGTTTCTACTTAAGATTTGTCATTAATTACGTTGTAACAAACATGAGAATGAGTAGGTAGTGACCTTGAACTGACAAACGCGATTGCGATGTCGAATAGCGGCCTCGGGATGCCTCGTTTCTGATCGCCTTTCACAGAATTTGACATTGTGATCAATCTCAGCTAGAAGGTGTTCCTTCAGCCATATTCTTCGGGTCTTCATGCGTAGCGTCCAAAATCCGATCTTTATCGGCCTCAGTACGCTTTTTGGGCCTCCCAGATCGCGGCTTCGACACCCCTTCTCGTCGCTCGCTCTCCTTTTTCACCGTATATCGAATTGTAGAAAGGGAAATGTTGGGATAGCGCTTGTGAATACGCTTATACCCCCATCCAATAGCATGGAGTTCGCATATACGCTCACGTATAGCAGGCGTAAGCTCTGCTGAGCGTGCCATAATATAGAAGGGTGTTCTATAGAGAGAGTTGTAATAGCAATGGGTGCTATCGGGGGAGAAATGTAGGCAAACACAACTTGTATTGCTTGGCGTCCAAATATAGCGTGTTTTCGGCAGGCGGTATAAGCCAACAATGGCGGTGAGTGGGGTCGGTCCACAGGGGGTGCAAAAACTTACGTCCGTTGACTGTACGGAGTACAATTGAAGCTATTCTTGCTGTACAAATCGTCAAATTTATCAAACTTCTGGCGTTGCGAAGCCCTTCCGACCGTTGAATCCTCCCGATTCCTAGTTTCGAAGATTCTAGACTGTTATACGGTCGCAACACCTTCGATTTTGCTTATTGAGGTCTCTGTCAAAAAGGTCAGGTATTTTGATTTCTAACTACTTGCCAGTTCAAAATAAGGCATAAGCAGGCATAGGCAGGCAGGCAGGCAGCAACCTCCAGGAATCAAGCATTCGGCCAGAAGCCACCGTACACCATCGCACGCGATCCATGTCTCATATCCCTCAAGATTCTCCATGTCGTCTTTTTGTGGTTGCCGCCTGTTCGTCTCATCGTATCCATACCATCCTCAGCTACAAGATATGTAATCCAACAGATCGTGGATAGGAAACGCGGGTTTCCAAGTCCAGAGGCTCTTTTGGGTGGCCAGGACATCTAATAAATGCCGGTGCAAGCGGTCGCTTGTTCTTCAAGAATGATAATCAAAAGAGCACTATGGAATCTATGGGAGATTTGCCCAAGGTGAAGTAGAATATTTAGATTATTCGATCAAGTCGAATTTCTACATAGGATAAAGTCAATGAAACGGAGATTTTGATTGAATTGTAACTACATAGTATAACGCACGCTATGGTTTGTTTTTCAAATTGGAGTCATGGTAAAGAGTGTTCTGTCTAGATGAGGCCTGATGATATTCGGAGCCACAGCTCTATGACCCCTTCAGCGTACATCGAAAACCAGTTATATGGTTCTCAACGGACGCTGAAGAGGCCATAGACTGCAGATCCGAACAATCACCAGGTCGTCACCGAGGTGAGGTGAAGATGATTCACCATCCAGAGAACAGCCATGGCCTCAACAAAAAAAATACCCCTGGAATGACAAAGGATATAAAAAAAAAAGACGAGACATCTCTACATTACCGAACACCCCCTAGGGTTGCGATCCCTCAAAAAGAGATGTCCAGTTCAGTAGATCCGCCACGTACCCGCCAGGCGTTCAGCAAACGGTTGCGACCCGTGATGCATCGGCCTCGTGCGAAGGATTTTCTCACTTTTTTCCCGGAGTGCTGGACTCGGATCCAAGTCCAGGCAGTTTCCAGGTTTCCACTTGGTGTTACCCGCAGGTGTAAACCTTGACTCTCTCCGTGCTCGCCGGGCATCGGGACCATCTGATGATGTTTCGCAGCGGTTCCATGAGGGGCCGTTGCGGCTGGTCCCCTGGTATCTCGACATTGCTACTCCAACAAAGCGAAAGACTGTTGATCATTGCTTCAACTTGGGATCGGATTGTTTGGCACAAAGAATAGACCGCAGGTTCGAACCAGTATGGAAACTGGCTCTCCCCGTGTCTTCCTTCATACAGTTCTCCTGGATTCCGCTGTCCTCCCGAGGGATCCTGCAGATTTTGCCAGTCTGACTACAGAAGTCGTAGCGATGGCCTCGCAAATCGTAAATCCTTTCGCATCAGCTCCGATCAACAATGCTGAGGGGTTGAAACACGGGTTTTGGCTGTGTCGGCCCCGTCATCTCTAAACGATGCTCAGATCGTTGAGTTGCCGGCCTCATGTACTAGACGAATCTAGCCATGAAAGCCCCATGACTGTCTTGAGAAAAAAGACCTGAATTTCCTCCTGATCTCGCCACATCTGAAAAGAGCGTCCACAATAGCTTCCCGAAGGCGTGCCGCGGGGACGTCGCGAGAAGTGCCAATCAAGGAGTACTTCTCGAGGCAATGTAACCCAAGACGAGAAACTCTTGTGGGCACCAAACCCACAAGAGGCGTCTAGGATCCCATCATCGATGCAACGCCGCGGGGGTCTCAAGCCAAGGCGAGGGTTGCTCAGCGTGCATCTCTGATGAGACCTCTTGACAATTGTCAATATCAATCGTTTCCAGCGGAGGCACGGACAGGATAAACCCGTCGTACTTTGCTAGCCATTCATGGTGGTGACAATTATAACTCTCATCTCACAAAGATAGGGCTTTACAGCCCCCATCGGTGAAGTACATCTTTGTCGCTGATAAACCAGCGACTTCACAACACGACGTTCACTATCAGGTATTTCAAAGACCTTTGGTTGAGGGACCAGGACAACCGAGGGATGAAGAAAGTACCGTTGTGAACGTCTCCGTCCCAGTGAACAGCATGGCTATTCAGCGGGATGGTAGGGGTGAGAGAACTCCTTCCTGTGTAGGTCCAAAGAGCCAATGGATAAGCTCAAGGACCTGCTGCCTGATGGAGCAGCCCAAGCAGGCATAGTTGGGAGAACTCTGGAGGACAGCAAGAGGGAAGGGACAGGGCGGCTATTTATATTCGCTGGTGGACACGTTCCACGTTTCACGCGCTTGTGGATTATTTAATCACCACCCCACTCCCAGCCCCTAAACAACTCCAACTCGACTTTAGGGCTTGATTCGCTTATGATCCGTCATATTCAACACCACATTGATCCCTCTTCTATGCTGATTCTTTAAATCATACTTCGTTGAGAACTTAATAGCCGTGGACTTCCAACAAGCTCCACAAAGATATCGAATCAGTCCAGAACGAGTCTTGGATCCTTGACTGCATGTTACAATTCATATCTGATATCAAGTAATCTACAGCGGATATTGTAGGTCATATAGCTTATATCCTTGGACTTTTGTTTTGTTGTGGCCGCATCCGATCGACTTCAGCTTTACAATTTATGGCTTCTTCGGTGTCTGATCAGAATGTTTCATTTTTATGGTCTTGGATGTACCCGGAAAGGATTATATCACTGCAGCTCCAGGAGTCTCACAGGGAAAACAGGGATCACGGTATTTAGCGGGGATTTGCAACTGCTCTGCATTTGGCGAAACGTCCGGTGTTAGGAGGTAGAGGTCAATTCAGAACTATATTAGCATTACTCCGTACTCAATCCCCAAAAAGCAGAGAACATCTTGTCCAACAAGAAAACATCTTGCTCACAAAACTCACTCCCTATAGATTTGAACACCTCAGGGCAAAATCTCTTTCCCTTTCCAATCCCAGCACCTCCCTCTCCCTCCTTCGGCGTCCGATGGCAACCCCACAAGAACGTCCAACAGCTTTTCGGCCGCCTCAGCTGGCTCCAGCATTTCCCTACTTCCCCAATAATCCTTGGTAAAATCCGTATGCACAGTCCCAGGGTGCAACGCCACTGAAATTGCCCTCTGCGCACTCTTCGCGCGCAAATGCAAATCAAAAGTCTTGGCCAATTGGAAGACGGCTGCCTTACTTGCACGATAGGAATACCATCCACCCGAGGCATTGTCGGATATTGAGCCGACTCGAGCAGCCATCATTGCATAGATGGCATGCGAAGGCAAAAACAGCGGTCCAGGAGAGTCGATTGCAGAGCTGGCTTCTATTGGCGGGAATTCTGGTGACATTTTCAATGGGACGAATGGCGATAGGTGCTTCATGAGTAGCAAGGGGCCGATAGAGTTGACTTTGAAGCTGTCGAGCGCATTGGCAGCGTCGATTTTACTTGGTGATTTTTCCGCATGCAAAACGCCAGGGATTGTTAATCCTAGCCTGAGTGGTGTGTTCGGATATTCTTGGCGGATTGTGTCTGCCATTGCTGATATCGTAGACTCTTCTGAAGAGTTGGTTAGCCTTGTGGTTCCGATAAGAATATATTTCTGGGAATGGAGCTGCTTTATCTACCTGTTACGTCGACTTGTAGAATACGGAGTCTCTGCTTTGCGTCTTTGGGCATGCCCTTGGTTGACAGCAACCTTTCTTGGAGTTCATCGCAGTTCTTGCGTGCAGTTGCGATCACAGGGAGCTCAGTCCGGCTCAGGAGCTGCTGTGCGAAGGCAAACCCCAATCCTCGTGAGGCAGGGGTCACTAAGGCAAATCCATGAGCTGCTGGTAGCATGATGCACCTGGTGAGCCAATGTATATTTTTCTTTCTTCGAGTGATGTGGAATGGTGGAAGCAATTACAACATGGACGTTCTACCGACATATGACGTCATGGCGCATCGATTTAAGGTTTGATGTGATCTCCCAAGCTTGTCCAGAGCTACTCCGTAGGTACATCGTACCTAGATATGTTGTAGGCTTACTTCAGTGCAGTCTAGGACAACAGCCTGCATACATTCAAGAATTATAATTTAAATCTCTTGACTTGACTCCATGACGACCAGTATACCTCAAGTCTTTCCCTCCAGATCATTGAAAAAGACTCTACCAAACTCGTCACTGCTATCATTGAAACGAAGCTTCTTGTTGAGCTTTTCAATCTTCTTCATGTCCTCTGGGCTCAACTTGAAATCGCCTTGCAGGTTGGCTCTAATCCTCATAGGTGTTTTGGACTTCGGCAGCACCGAGTGGCCTTGCGAGACTCCCCAAGCTGTCAAGACATACTGCAATCAGTATAATGTAAACTAAATTCAGGCAAACCAGTCAGACTTACCAAGAGCAACCTGAGCACCGGTTTTGTCATACTGTTTTCCTATCTCAACCAGCACAGGCTCATCGATCAGCTTCGCGGGCCCGCCCTTCTCACTATAGAGACTGTTCTGGTTCCCAAACGGCGAGTAGTGCGTGATGTGTATACCATTCTCTCGATGCCATGCTGTGAAGTCATGCTGCTGCAGCCAGGGGTGACATTCAATCTGGTGCACAGCGGGTACGACAGAGCTGTTCTCGATCAGGCGCTCCATCTCGGATTTGTCGCAGTTTGAGACACCGATCGCCCTCGCCTTGCCGGTTTTCAGAAGCTTTTCCATTGCTTTGTAAGTCTGCCTTGGTGTCAATACGCTTGGTCTGACGGATCAACATATGAGTTTGCAACATACGTCAAGAATATCGATATTCTCCATGATTGGCTTCCCATCTTTTTTCGGAAAGAGATCCTCACCTCTCTTCCAGGCCACGGGCCAGTGCATCAGATACAGATCAACATAGTCCATTCCCAAATCATCAAGGGATTGCTGCAAAGCCGGTGCCACGTCGTCCGGATGGTGCTTGTTGTTCCATAGCTTGGTTGTGATGAAGATGTCTTCGCGCGGAACGCCGCTTTTCTTGACGCCTTTTCCGACAGCCTTCTCGGTTCCGTAACTAATACAGAGTTAGTATTTTATATTGAACTTGTCGGTCGTCTCAGCCTTGAAACAAAGCTACTTACACGCGCGCGGTGTCGATGTGACGGTATCCTGCCTTGAGTGCCTCCACTACGGCATCTTCCTGCGCACCTTCATCCTGCCAGGTGCCAAATCCAATGGCTGGGATCTCTGCTCCGGTGTTCAACTTCCATTTTGTAGGCATCTTGGGTTGATTGATATCGACAAGGATTCAACTGTTCATGCGTTGCTATCGTATCAGTTCGAATCCAGAGATCTACAGCGCTCATCGAAGGATTATTCAAGTATTATCCAACTGTGAAGTCACGTCAATGTGACGAATTAGATTGGCAGTTTGAGTTAATGACATGAAAATGACGTCTTCCAAATCTCATAGCATCACTTGAAGAGTGCAGAATGTGAAGCCCGGTAGAAATGTGAAACTCATTCAGTCAGCAAGTTTGAGAATTTCACCACAGCTAGCGGTTCTTTATCTGAGTACCGATGAGCCGCTTGGGACTTGGATGTGCTAGCATTTTGCCAGCGACAGGCTCTGGGTTTTCAAATGATGTCTTGCCTTCCACTAGCTCCGATGACAGATACACCGCATTAAACATTAAGGGCCTTCACTTTTCTATATTACAGATCACATGCTGGGAGTTATCTCGTGTGCGTGACGACGCTGCTGGCTCTTGCTATCAAAGTGCTCTTGCGATCGAACTTGCTTTTGATACATTTTCACCAGGGATTCCATGATATCTCCTCAGGCAAATTAGGATACTATATGCCAAGAACTATTTTTCGAACGCATAGCATTCGCATGCTGCGGATTTTCACATCCTGCCATCGGCCACCCTAGGTTGCTTATGGGTAAGGTGTCGAGGTGCGATTCACCCGACAACCTTTGATGATTGCTCAACACTAGAGGCTCAAGGTCTCTGGCATGCTGCGAGCAGCCATGATACCACTCTAACGATGTGCAGGGCCACACAATCCACTGTACTTACATCATCGAGCGTGGAAGGTGCATGGGAACATTTCCAAGCAAGTCAGGTCATCTCCTCCATCGCAGTATGTATTGCTACCTCGGTCTCGAACCATCCCTTCTTTGACTAGCCATTTAGCATGCAAATCCAAGTTCCCTTCACAATACCCACTGACATCCACCCCAACCCTCGGCCCAGCTATTTCGCCGATGTTTGATGCCAAGACAAACAACGCCTGAGGTCGTACGCGTCTACCGTAGCTTACCGCTTTAGTTTATATAGCGAGCTCCACTCGCAGATTTTTTTCTTCCTTCAGCATCGCTGGGAATTCTCCAGCTTTTACTTTTTTACTTTTGTTTTCTTTTTCCCAGCTTGGACTGTGTCTAATGATGGCATACAATCCAGCTGTGCTCAAAGCCTGAGGTTAATCTCAGCGCTGCGAATGCTCGGTTTCATTTTTCTCAAAAGGTAAGGAAAATCTTTTTTTTTTTTTCAATCCCACCCCGGGGATGATTATATTATAGACATGCAAAGGCATTCCTCAATCAGAAGATCCATGTTGAATCTGTCATACTTTTAAGTTTCAGCCTTGTCTGACCCATCACAACAACACCATTACTTTATAAGCCATTTATTGAGTGATCCTTGACTAACAATCTCTCGCTCAGGTACATCACACTTGAATTTAATCCCATCCCTCCATTGCGGCTGTTGCCTTGCATGAAGAAATTTGAACGAACGGGCGGACATAACGTACCCATCTCCTGCATCCAACAAAACCAGAGCGTACAAACTCTGTGGGTGCATGGGGGTGGATTACTTGTTGAGAATTCGTCACCTGACCCAATGCCCTTGTCGCAATTATTTCATGTCGCATCGACAAGTTGAGACCAGTATTTCTAACGGAAATTCTAGGTAATTCATCACTATCTCTCCACCCTTCCTCGACATGGTCATACTTTGCATGATGAATGTGTTATTCACACTGTTGGACTTGGACTTCGGTCCGGGAATGAACATTTATACAAAAATCTGATTTAATGAGGTATGTCGCTCCTATGGATCGGAAAAATCGTATTTCTTGCTGACTGACCTGAAGCCTGACTTAGATGCCATGTCTTCATTTCGCTTTTGACTCTTGCTTCTTGCTTGAATGCCGTTGCTGACTGGACATAAGTGAACAAATAGGAATATCCCAGGTAGACCATTTGGCTTGTTGACCGTGAGTTTACCCTGCTTCCAAATCCTACCTTGTTGCATGATGAACACCACTATGCTGTTCTTATCTGAACTATCATGTCGATAAACCATTTTCACCTTGGAGAACTGATCTTTTCCTTGACTACTATCATTTCACTCATTTCGTGATACGATCAATTGCTAACATGCATCACAGGAGCCTCTGGTCATTTATAATAGCTTAATACCAAGTAATATTTTTTGGAACACTCACATCCGTATTTTCGGGCTTGTCCTGAGCTCTCCTATCCATTTCGTAACTTTTTTTTTTAGACTACCTTGCTCCCATGGATGCTTGCGTGGTATTTCCTTGCTCGATAAACAAACCATGCTTCTTGTGCCATCCCTCGAGACTGTCTACACCATACACTTCGTGCACACTCTTCTTTCCCTCCGGCCACCGCGCCCATGCCGGCTTCGATCCACTCATGATGCACACCATCTCGTCAGGCACCGGCAACTCCGTATCGATTGCAGAGGCAAACGGATGAATCAATTCAGGCCAATGGTGGTCCCAAAGCCACAACATAGTACTGCAGTTCGAGCAGAAGTTGCGCTCGGAGGAGCAAAGCTGTTCATCCGGTGTGCCGCGGTCTTTGATAGCAGTGTATTTCCTGGTCATAACGTTAGCGTATGTCGATGTTGATATGATTTGTATATTCTATCGTAGGGAATGGCAGTTTCGCCGTGGATCTTAGGCTCGAAAGTGCCAGTGAGTGGATATGGATGGGCCATACTTGATCAGATCTTTGCCTTTGATGATGTTCAGGCTATCGGCGATACCGCCCAGGTTCACAGCACCGACATATCCGCCTACTTTGCGGCAGATGCTGCAGGCGCATAGCTGGTAGGGAACTGGTGTGTGAGACTGGAGAGTAAATTCGACGCCACCGCATTGGCAGCTTCCTTCGAGGTTCCTATGAACCCGGTTAGTATGTCTGTTGCGGGGATGCACGGCGGTACTGATAAGGCTCCACGTACATGGGCATGATTTGGCGTGTTTGGTTGTTAAGCCGGCTGGCAGTGGGGGTATGAATACGATCAAAGTGATGTGGGTTGGCTCCTTGGAAGCAGGGTTGGGTTGGGTTAATCCAGAGTTGAGCGGTGGTACTCGATATATATACTTCTACCATTGAGGGGGAAATTCGACAACAAAACTAACAAAACAAGCAAACCGCACAGGCCTCGTATGATCAAATCAAGTATCAAACCTATATCCGAGCTCCCGAGTCCTATTCCCCAGACGCCGGAGTGATTTCATGCATCATCGACCGCACCCGGCAGCTGTGATTGGCGGAGTGATGTTTGTTCTGTTTGTCCTGTTTGTTTCTCAGACGGTTGGATTCGCTTTCGCCGACTGATGCTCACATTGATGGGCTAGTTTCTTGTCTGTACCAATCCAGAATTCCATCTTGTCGATATCAATAGCGGATACACGCTATAATTTTGCTGGAAATGAGTTTTGGAGCCCCCGGCGGTGGATCGGTGAACTACAAGCCATCACCGTAAGTTGCATGATTCCAACCGTGCATATGTGCGCCAGCGACGTGTTCTCTGGTGGATGAATGGGATTGGATCTCTTGCTTCTTATGATTACTGACCAAAAAAACCCGTCTACAGACCCGAGCGCGGTAGCTTTCCTCTTGACCACGAAGGTACGCCAATCACGCCCCATACCCAGAAGGAACTCGCAAGACCAGCAATACAATGGAGCTAATCACTATTCCGGATACAATAGGAGAATGCAAGCACATTATCTCGGGATATTTGAAGTGTATCAAGATGAACAAAGGCACCAACGATGAGGCATGTCGCAAATTGGCCAAGGAATACCTCGCCTGCCGAATGGACAAGTAGGTCAGCCCACTACACGGACACACTATATACCACAATTTGAGGAGGAATTGTGTCTGTGACGAATTTCAGAGCAAAATACTGATCAAGAAAACGTGTGTGATCAGGAACCTCATGGCGCCGGATAACTTCGAGAACCTTGGGTTGATCTTTAAAGATGACAAACAACAGACACCAGCCACACCAGCTGCAGGCGCAACAAATCCAGAACAGAAGAGTTGATATGGGCTTGAGAGATGTTGCATGATATTGTATGATATGAGAGAGTGGTGCTATTCCGTGTTATTCGGGTAGTGCGGGCATTATTCAAGGCGTTGCACATGAGAAAATGTATTTGGTACCTATTGGACTCAAGAAATAAGCAAATATGACCTGTGTATTCAGTACTCCGTATATGGGTTAGCATCGAAGTTCGCCAAATTTAACCAATCTGAATCGTAGCAACATGTTGAACCTCGCCCAATGCGGTTCCCCGCATGGGAAACCGTTCCCGCCCAGCCACTCTCTTGCAATCTCCAACTCCACGGAGCCTCAAGCTACCAAATGTCATCGATTGCGCGGCCACCAGACCCGTGCCTCGTGGCTATCATCCTCATTGTGCGCTCTCGCACCGGCCCCCGTCTCGTCTTCCACTACCCCCGAACCCCCTCAGCGAGAATCGCATTAAAACCACCAACAGGGGCGGCCGACGCGTCTCGCGCACTCGCACGCGATCCAAGAATACTGATTCAAGCTCGAGCTCAGATAGCGGCTTGAGTTCTGACGAAGACGAAGATGATCGGGAAACTCAGAGCCATGCTGGGGGAGTTCCGTGCTAGCGGGTCGCCGCGCTAGCAATTTCGGCCTTGATGACCATCTCCCCGCTACGGCATCGCCTGTTGCCGGTGAATCACAGCGTCCTGGGTCACTAGGCTCTGGACGCGGCTCGTCGGTTCGAAAACGGGCTGCGGTCTCCGATCCGGATCCTGACGACGATGCGGGGACGGCATCTGATCGGCCTGATGATGGTCCTGGGAGCTCTAGACCGCCTTGGGAGTCGCTTTTGGGTGTGCCTGGGAGTGTATGGGAGAAATTGCTTAGCCCATCTCGGTCATGGCACAAGCGGCGTTTCGAGGTTGGGATCAATGATTTGGCGCTTATTGGTTGGCCGGTCTTTGTGCGTGAGGATGGCTCGTGGCGCAAGCAACGACGCAAGAAGCAGAAGAAGCCTTGTCCTGAATGGGACGGTGGGGAGTTGGGTCACAATGAGAGCTCTGAGGAAGGCAAGAAGGACGAGCAATTTGTTACTTCGCCTGATCTGGGTGCTAGTGTCGCTTCGATTTCGGAGTCTTTGACATCGCCGACAGACAGCAAGCGTGGGTCGACTAGCGGACGGCCTGGGAAACCAGATGAGTCGCTTGATCCGGAGGACAAAGACCATATGACAATGTTCAATGTGGTGTTTGTTGTGGATCCTCCTTTGCTGGAGTACTCCATGCGCGTGAAGGAAATCTACGAGAATATCATCAAGAAATTCGCGAAGGCCCTTAAATGGGAACAGGCTCGCACTGACTATGTGTGGAAGGAGTCTCAACATATTCTCCAAGTGAGGAGAAGAGCACGAGAGACAAGTATGTTTCCTACTAATAGGTATCCTGCTGGAGCTAACAGTGATACTGGACAGAAACATCGACACATAATCTTTACTCGGAATTGATATCTCAGTCTTCTCTAGCTCGAGCTATTTACACTGTTTACAGCAGTATATCGGCATCCAAAATCGCATCCGTATCGCTCAGCCCGGATGTTTCCATCTCGCTCCAGATTCCACCTTTGACCTCTACACCATACCTTACTGGTCCTATGGATAAAGCATACCCAGGTTTATGGCTCACGACAGCAGACAGTGCAAGCACTGTCGACGATCCAAGTGCAGATGAAATCAATACGCCACATCAGGTCCTGGCAAAGCACTTTGCTCTACTTCTGTTAGACAGCGAAGCCGCCATTGTCAAGGACGTCGAGGCGTCTGGGGGTGCACTTGCCCCTGCACTTGCGCATTATATCCGATGCTCCAAGCCAACCAAGTCATTTGCACAGATATCAGTATCATCGGGAATCCCACTATCCCATATTCAGATGCTGTCAAGTCATCTAGTGTACTGGCGTCGTGCTCGCGCCATCCCCCCCCATCAACCAGCGAGATACATACATCGTCTCTCCCAACTGTGACTTGAGCAAGCTTGAAATAGCTACGATCGCTTATCAGACAGCATTCCCAACATACCCTAGTTTGCCGAAAATGCTTTCCACTCTCAGTGGTACCCCTCGCCCTTATAGCAACTTCATCCCTAGTAAAGACCACAAGGAGATATACTTTACTATTCTGGCGTGGTTGCTGCGCGGCGGATGGGTCACGCAGCTTCGCACTTTCGCGCGTATCAAAGTTTCGCCCGATATCAAAATGGCCGTGGAGATGGCGATGCGCAAGGAGGAAGTCGAGCGATATCTGGCCAAGGGCAACTCAAACTCGATCTCAGTCGATGAGGACAGCGACTCCGATGATGAAAACGACGATGCGAATTCTTCATCGTCCTCTTCCCTCGACAGCAACGGCAGCGGAGATGAAACACCCACGCCTACTCGGCTCGACCCACACGCGCAACTGCGCTCTTCTCACAAACTCCTCGATCAATCCACAGCTCTCCGGCTTTCTTCCTTCATACTTTCCCCACACCGCGCATCCCCACTCGAGTCTCGCTGGCTTGACGAAATCTTCTCTCGATTCTCTGACAACCCAATTGTCCAGGGAGACGAAAACGCCAGTCCGTACATCACGCCCAACGATAACCAAGCCTTACATAAGAAGTACTGGCCTATCTTTATCAAGTACTTCAATGGCCACGATGCCCTCGAGAAGATCTGCGTGCGCGAGAATCTCAAGCGCAAGCTCGTCTGGCAGGTCCTTATGCGCCTGGGCCTGGGCACCGGTCCGCTGGGCGCTATGGATCTCGATCCGCGTGAACAGGTGTTGGTCAGTTTTCGACATTGGTAGGTATTCTTTTTGGTGTTGGTATAGAATATGGAACATGGAGTTTTAGAACAATGATATCCCTCTTTTACTTGTCGGTTTCCATATTCGGTAAATCCCATAGATCACGGACACCTGAGGCAGGGTTCAGGGATAATTACAGCCCGCCCGACCCCGGCGTATTCAAATTACATACCCACCCTCTCATTCCGATGGTTTCCGCTTGCCCTCAGCCCTAATCACTGCCGAAAGCACAACGTTTGATGAGGTAAAAGAGAATTGGGATGGATTGATTTGGGGGTCTTTTAGATGAATTGGGTTGATTGGTATCATTTTTTTATCATTTAAGAACAAATCAAGTGACGGAATGTATACAACGTTAGGAGTTGGGTAGGGGTATTTCACGTGTTGAAAGTATACACATTCTTTTCGCACAATGGCAGGTAATTTATTTTTACTCTTCTTCAGGACTGAAGATTCAAATGTATCAGTTTGTAATCCACTTACCCCGAGAATTTCATCGGCCCGTATATCCGAACAATCAAACGGTCTCCAACGGGGGAAGATTACCAGATGGAATTGGGTCTTTGGGCGTGTGTATATGGAGGTGTAAGGTTAACCATCACACTCGACTGTATGAGATTGAAGTAATGATATCTCATGGGAGAAGTTACCCAAAGAAACCGTCGACTCCCACGTCAGATATTTCTATTGTGCGCCAATGGCCGGAGGGGCTCCGGTGGACCCCGCGATGTTCAGATGCAGTTGTGTATTTTTGCTTCACGTTGATGAGCTGAGAATCAGTATTACAGGTATTCCATTGTATTCTTGGTGATATCTCTTGTGAGTACTTGAATATAAGCTCCATCAATACAAGAGAAGGTCTTGAATAGAAGGTTTAGAGCAAGAACGCCATAGTGTCATCCAATTGGCTGGACATTGGTTGCTTGAGACCTCATCCTGAATATCGCCACTTGGACAGCTATTCTAATCATGGGTCGCCTGAGCTGGGATCGCTATTGGGCCAACACTCTTGAAAGAAGCATGCGGCTCAATTAGATTTGGCTTTGATATTGATCTTGGTTGGGTTCATTGACCCTGTGCGTAGAAGAAGAGTCCCAAGAAGTACCTTCAGTACCAAGGTTGATGACCTCGGCAATGCAAATACACAGGTGAACATACATGTAATGTGTATAGAAGGTGTATATAAGGGATTCAGGTGTTTCTTCGAGAATGGATATCAGTATATATTACTTCATCTTTACCATGAGAAATGTGCCTCAATCCGCTACCTCCGAGATCTCTATGGGGGTAACCAAGGGAGCCTAGACAGGCAATTCTAGAGTCGAAGTAAGGTATATACACATATAATATATATACCTTGGAATAATGAAGAGAGCACAAGGGTGATATAAAGATCCTGGGAAATTCCACAATAAAAAAATAGTCGTACAAAAAAACAAAATGTACCTCTCAATTAATTACGCGTAAAGAAAAAACCCCGCTACCAGTTCTGCCCTGAACCAAATAATTTTGTGTCTTCTCTCTTCTCTCTCTCCTACATTTCTCCGGGCTGTTTTTCTCCCTTCCGCTTCCCTGATTTCTCCTCGGTACCTCTCCGTCTCAGAGAGAACCGACACTTACCCTCACGTGCAAATCGCGGTTTTTCAAGGTCTTGTTCGCCTTGTCAAATTCCACTTCCAGTGCATCCGACTCGCAAACCCTTTCGTGAACCTGACGACGTCGAGGCAGTGCCTTCGTAGCGTCTTCGGTGGGATTTTTATTTTCCCTCCCTTCTACATCTTACTCTTTGTTCTTTGACCTGTGTGCTCACAAGCAACGGCTGTTGAGATCACTTCATCCCGAGAAATCGACGGCCCATTTAATCAATGCGATTTGTGGTCTAGACGATCCTCTCAGCAGATAAAACCCCTTTCGACTGCCCTTTGCGACCCGATACCCCCGCGGTCCTTCGTCTCGCTACGCACACGAAATCGTCCTTTCGACAACACAATTGAGAGCCTCTCTGAAAAGACAGGAAGCTACAGATTAGTGGGGTCACAAAAGCTGGAATTTTTCCCTTTTCTTGATCTCCACTTGCGCAGGTGCCATCTCGCCCTAGGCGTAGACTGAGATCTAGAGTCCCCACAAGGTCGTCCGGGTAAAATATCCCGCACCTCAATTTTTTTTTCACACTCGATCAGAGCTACAGTAAGCTCTCAATCCGACATGTCTACGTTTTCGTACGCACAAGCCGCCAAGGGCGTCTCCGGGACACCGACCCCGTCCAAGACACCCTCAGAACCCGAGAAGACCGACTCCAAACCGGAGGAGAAGACCGCCGTTGAGACCACAACGGATGACGCACCGGCCCCCATTGAGTCTGAACCCGTCCAAAAATCCGAGGTAGCAGCAGAGGAGAGCAAGGATGATGACGATTTCACCACTGTCACCAACAAGCATGCCGCCAAGACAAAGGCCCTTCACTCTCGAACATCAAGCCCAAGTGTTCGCACAGGCTCAAAGTCACGCAAGTCGAAGGATGAGGACTCAAATACCTCCAACGGTAACGCAGATGCTAGCGCTGAGAAGCAGGCTCCTAGTGAGGGACAGACCGAGAAGGCCGAAGGTGCCGCAGAGAAGTCTACTGAGAAGCCCGAGGATTCTGAGAAAGTCGCATCACCACCCAAGGAGCTGAAGGCTGCTCCTCTCCCCTCAGTCAACATTTGGCAACAGAGACGAGAGGCCCAGGACGCCAAGGTCAAGGCTGTTCCCAAGTCCGCTTCCACCAGCAAGGCCCCCTCCAAGGCTGCCTCGACTGTCGATGAGACCCAGCAAGACTCCAAGGCTGGCTCTAAGAAGAAGGGTGCCGATGGCGCACAGGAAGGCTCCAAGGACCGCAAGAAGACTGATGGCGGAAAGGGACGCGATGCCGGATCAGTTCCCCCAGTCGAAGACGCTACTGCTTGGCCTACTCCCCAAGTTGCGATTGGCGAAGAGAAGAAGAAGGTTCAGGAAAAGACTGATAAGAGCCCCGTCATCAGACCCCATGGAAAAGAAAAGTGGACACCAGTTCCTTACGTCCCCACTGCTGTTTTCAACACCCCACTCCCATCCGCCGGTGGCCGTGGAGGCAGACGCGCCACTCGTGGTGGCCGGGAAAGTGGCCGTGGAGCTCACGGCAATGGTGCTTCTAACACAGACAAGGCTGCTTCTGGACAGGCCGCCCAAGGCGCAAAGCCTGCCTCTGGAGATCGCGGACGCCACGAGTCTGGCACTGGACGTGCCGCTTCTCTTCCCGCACAGTCGAGACGATCCCCCAGCGCCGACGCCAGTGCTGCAGCTGATGCACGCAAGGCTTCCCAGGCAGCCGAGCGCGGCCGTGGAGCCCGCAACGGAGATGAGAGCAACAAGCAGATGAATGGTGGAGAGAATGTCTCCCGCTCTCAGCGTGAGGGCAAGGCCTTTGGAAGAAACCAGGATGCCCGTGCAGGTGACCGCAACCAGAAGGGTGGAAACTTGGCTGTTGACTCGCAGGCTGCTGCCCGCAGCAACGACCGTCGCTTCGAGGCCGGATCGAAGTCCGCCGACCCCGCCGGCTTGAACGAGTTCAACCGCGAACGTGGAGAGTTCCGCTCCGAGCGTGGAGGTCGTGGATCCAACCGCGGCCGTGGTGGCGCTTACTCCAACTTCGGCGGCCAGAACGCCCAGTTCAACGCGTCTATGTCCAACAACTCATTTGGTGCGCCCAAATTCGGCTTCAATGACCGTCAGCGCTCCCAGCATGGCCTCCCCACTGGATCTCAACAAGGAAACCGTATGCCTCTCCGATCGCCCTCTTTGCCCACTCCCGCAAACATGTACGGTGTTGTTTATCCTTTCCCAGGTGATATCAACGCGATGTATGGCTACCCAGCTGTCAACTCGGCCCCGATGAGCGCCATTCCCTACCAACAACAATACGTTGAGCCTTTCTCACTCATGAACATGCTCTCCATGCAATTGGAGTACTACTTTTCTGTCGACAACATGTGCAAGGACATGTTCCTTCGTAAGCAGATGGATTCTCAAGGTTTTGTGCCTCTGAACGTTCTTGCCAGCTTCAAGCGTGTCAAGTCTCTCACTGAAGACTTCGAGCTCCTCCGTCACGTGTCCCGTCAGCTCCGCAACGTTGAGTGTCAAACTGGTGAGGATGGCGTTGACCGCCTGCGCCCCAGAGACAAGTGGCAGCAATGGGTCCTCCCTGTGGACCAGCGCGAACCTGCCGCCCAGCATGACGGTGCCGCCCCTGCTAGCAAGACTGACGAGAACACCCCGGTTCACAGCCACTCCGAGAACGTCATCAATGGATCCGCTCCTCAGTTCGTGCCCAACGGTGTGGCTCATGATGTCAAGACCTCACTTTCTTCTACCGCCCCGGAATTCATGCCCTCATTGCTACCCACTGCAGTGAACGAGATTGCCAATGTAGGAAACCCCTGGACCTCCCCCGTCTCCCCTGACACTTCGACAACGTCGTTTTATTCGTCGTCTTCGTCTTTTCCCGTGGACCAGCCATTTGTTGACACTTCTTCCTCAGCGCGCGGATTAGATTCCCAGTCCGAACCTCCTTTCTCCTCTGATTTGGAACCGAAGTTTGACTCAGCAAGGTATGCTGAACTCTTTACTTGAGATTTATCATATGTAAGGCACTGACTGACTTTTACGAACAGCTTCGACACAGATCACTTTCAACACCAAAATGTCAGTGCTGATTGGTTGATCAACAAGTCTCTTGCCGAAGCGCATCAACCGACGCCCAAGTCAAATGGGAAAGGCCGTCTGCCCACAGAAACGTCCAATTATGTCCCCCAAAATTTCAATATGTCTCACCAAGAAACTTTCGATGGCCGAGACCGACCGGTGGCAAGAAGGTATAGCTTGGGAATGGCCCAGCCTTATCAATACTGGTCGTCCAGCTTGACAAAAAATTTCGATTCGCATCTGTACAATGAATTTAGGCGTTCTGCCCTCGATGATCTTTTAAGTCGACACATTGACAACGGTTTCATCGCGCTCATGGAGTTTTATCGGAAATGCCTGCTTCACCGTCGCCCCATCCCTGACCTCGTGATGTACGACTTGGTTCATCTCTCACACGATCAAATGCACCATCACACCCTTGTCTCCAATATGATCCAGGAAACTATTGCCAGTGGAAAGATGAAATTACACAACCGGGGGAAGATCAGCAAATATTTCAATACCCAGCACGGCAAGAAGGCCAGAGAAAAGTTATCATGAGCCCTTTTTTGCATTTTTTCCCCCGAATTTTGCTTCTTTGCGACACGTCCACTTCCTACTGCTTGTTCATCTTTCATGGCCAACATTATTTTGCTTTTTTTGTTCAAAATGCTCTTTTTTTTTGCATGCATATGCGCCAAATTTTCTTCTAGAGTTCCAAGTGACCCCTTCATTTCAATAACGCGGTCTGGCTTCTCGGTCAACTCGAAGCTTCGGAGTTCTGTCTTCCCTTTTTTTTTTTTAATTTTCTATTGCTTTTCAGTCATGGGAGGTACTCAAAACGTTCTGGCGTCCGGACATGATTTTACTGGCAGTCTTCTTTCTTTGCCTGCCACTACGGTGTGCCGGCCCCCAAAATTCGTTTTTTTCTACCCTTGACATAGATATTTCCACTCCATTATTTTTCTTGTTTCCTTCCTGAGGTTGTGATTTTCCTTTATCGATCCAGTCAATTTCAGATCCAAGCCTTCCATCGGGTTTGGATCTTAACAAGTATCAGCATGGCAATGACCCAGAAAAAGCACATGTCTTAAGAGTCTTGTCTGAGGTTATCTGTGTGTTTCAAATTTCGTTCCTGGTGCCAATCGGAGAAAATAAGTCCAGCATATCTACATTGCTGATCTCTTCCTGGGTGACCGTCCATTCGGTCTGCCTAGTTCTTCTTTGGACAACTTCTCCGAAGTGAGTTGATCCATTTCAGTGCTTTGTTCTTCTTGCTGGGGCTCCTGGAAAGAATGCTTTGTTTTCTGTTTTGCATAAACCGGGCTATCCAGGTCCTCTGTGGAGTAATATGATTGATATGATTGATATGCATACTATGTACTCCATGATATTAAACTTGTTATGTAAGATATTTGAAGAGTGTCAACTGTAAGACGTATCAAAATGCATAATGAGAACCAACTGCATGAAACCGTCTTGGAAGTCATAGTAAGTCGCATCTGATAGAATGAGGTCGATCGTTCCTGCCTCAGGCAGAAAGATCTTGCAATCCAAACGGAGATAATTCAATCCCGATCCGGCTGTAACAGCTCCCTTTCCCCTCTCTAGCTCTGTTCTACACGTCCAATCCATTGTTCTCCTTTTCATTTGAACATCTTTGCATCTGAACTCACCTCTTTCTAAACATGGAGGGCGCATCCCGGCAAACGTCACGTCTACTCCGGCCTCGTGGCCAGAAACTCCTTCAGCAACGTTTCACACGAACCTCCACAGTCAGCGCCACACCCTTCACTCAGATCCAACGACGGACACTATCAAATTCTTCCCAGTCTCTTGCTCCAGAGTCTCTTTTCAACAGCTTCAAAAATGGCGGTTCATACAACGAGGGACCCACTAGCTATTTCTCCAACCGACAGACCCTCCCCGCGAACACCGTTGTGCGGTTCGTCCCACAACAGACAGCATGGATCGTCGAGCGCATGGGAAAGTTTGACCGTATCCTAGAACCCGGTCTTGCAATTCTTGTGCCTTTCTTGGACCGAATTGCCTACGTGAAGAGCTTGAAGGAGGCGGCTATTGAGATCCCCAGCCAGAATGCCATTACAGCGGATAATGTCACCCTGGAGCTGGATGGTGTGCTATATACGCGTGTTTTTGATGCATACAAGGCAAGGTAAGTGATTCCACGGCGTGTTCCTGGTTGTTGTGTGGAATTGGACCAGTCGAAACAAAGCAATCACTAATACGTCAATCGTCATTTGTAGCTACGGAGTCGAGGATGCAGAATACGCTATTTCGCAACTTGCGCAGACGACTATGCGTTCCGAGATCGGTCAGTTGACCCTCGACCACGTTCTTAAGGAACGCGCCAATCTCAATACAAACATCACCAAGGCTATCAACGAGGCCGCCCAGGAATGGGGTGTCGTCTGTCTCCGATATGAGATTAGGGATATCCATGCACCCGAGGCCGTTGTCGCTGCTATGCACCGCCAGGTCACTGCTGAGCGTTCCAAGCGAGCTGAGATCCTCGAGTCTGAAGGTCAACGTCAGAGTGCGATCAACATTGCCGAGGGCCGCAAGCAGTCTGTGATTTTGGCTTCTGAGGCTCTGCGCGCTGAGAAGGTCAACCATGCTTCCGGTGAAGCTGAGGCTATCAAACTTAAGGCCGAGGCTACCGCGCTCGGCATTGACGCTGTTGCTCGGGCCATTGAGGAGGGTGGCGATAATGCCCACAACGCTATGAGTCTCAGTGTCGCTGAGAAGTACGTTTCGGCTTGGTCGAACTTGGCACGTGAGGGCACAGCTGTTGTCGTCCCTGGAAATGTCGGAGATATGGGTGGTATGATCGCCAACGCCATGGCTGTTTATGGCAAAGTCAGCGAGACACAGGCTCGGGGTTTGGCGAAGAAATCTCTTGGGATCGAGGAAAGCTCTCGGTCATCGGAGACACCGCAAAACAGCCAGGCACCGAGATTTTTTGAGGAGCAGCTTGAGCAGAACACCGCCTCGAAGACTGCAGAGGAGGGATTTGAGGTTGCCGCCAATGAACACAAGAATTAGGCGTCTGTACTTCACCTTGCCGACACGCGAACGACGACTCCTCTCCTGATGTGACTTTAATTCCCTTCACCTTTTTTTCCTCTGTTCCGACACCACTCTGCTCTTCCACATACTCTTGAACGGGCTCCTCACATGTATCCACCACATCTCGTTTCCGCTTACTTTTCCCGCTCTCACTGCCTGTTATCCTCCCATTGTTTTCCGGCATCTGTTTAGGAGTCCTCTAAAACGCACGAGCTTTGCTTTGCATATGGCATGGAATTCGCCATATTGGTTCCTGTATGTGTACATAAAGGAATTGTTGTTGATCAGATAGGCTAAGAGGAAGGAGAATATCTCAATGTACAAGTATCAGTATCTTATATTGCTTTTCAGGAATTGTACGTCTGTTGAGACATCCGATGTTACTTACGTTAGCTCAGCTTTTTGCCGGTGGTCTCATCACTGGTATTATTCTTGCAGATCTACCCAGGCTTCAACATAGAAATATACTATCTCCACCCTGCCTCTTCTTCGAGGGGCCATCTGTTTTATTTACCATCAAACTACAATTGAAATAGAGGCCGCCAAGAATAAGTGTATTACTACCAGCTATTAGGATCAAGCAACACAAAGCGATGCAGGAATAGGTTCAATATCAAACCGGATCTCAAGCGAACAACTCTCATCCCACGTCACAATTCTAGAAATATAATACGTACCTCTAGGATATATTTCCAGCACCAGATAAACCGCACACTTCCCAATCCGCGTACCCAGTAGGCCCTGGTACTCAGGCGTGTTATACTCCCAGACCCGCGGAGCTCGACAGACCGGAGGCCATGTGAGACCGTTGCGCGGGGAATATAGAATATTCTGCACGAACTTCCTCGTATGGATATTGGCGATATCACAAACATAGAAGTGTCGTAGACTCTGGGGCTCACCAGTCTCCTGCATATGAGCTCGTGCAATCTGGGAAAACTGTGGTCCGTCGATTCTGAACATTCCCTCGGCGATCATCAGTCCCTTTCCCACTAGGATGTCATATATGTTTTCACAGCCAGCTGCTCCCAGAGCGCCCTTGGCATACTTTTGCGTCAAGGTCTGGTTGTAGATCGCTTCGTTGGAATATCCTAGCTTGAAGGCGCTGTGGGATACTTGGAATGGGATGCTGCCCTTGGTAGTACTGACGTACCAGTCTGCTGTTATGAGGTCGTCGACGCTCAGTGTGCTGGGCTGCATTTTGCAGGTTTTGCCTGTGGGGTCTTCAAGCCATCGTTGTCGGATGGCTCCTGAGTCTTGGATTCTACCGTATCGTCGTTCTGGGGTGGATGTTGCTGGAGGTGTGTCTGGTATGGTGACTGAATTCCCTTGGGAAGGAATGGGGAGCATAGAGGACTGCTTTGATGATGCCATGCTGGTCAGTAGTTTGCCTGTCAATTGCTCAAATTAGAATGAGGATATTTATAGTACACGTCGGTTTAAAAGAGATTTGCTTGAGTCGGGTTGTAGATAGTCCATACAAAAAAAAAGAATAAGAGTATCGAAACAAAGACAATAATGCCTGGAAGAAATCAAGTACAAAGGCAATGTAGATTACTGAATTACAGAGACCGTTTGTTTGAAAGGCTTGACAAAGCGTGAAAAGTGCCGTTTCAGGAGCTTTGTTCTTCTTTGCGCACATCAGTGTTTGTCTGAACAAGACAATCTCAACTCAGATAACAATAAAAGCCTGGGATTTTCCCCCTGATCGAGTCTTTCTTCCCATCTCTCATCCACTGCCTACAAATCCTGTATCGGAGTTTTGACATCTACAGACCATCCAGACCCCTGTCTTATATCACCCACAACCATGTCTTTTGCTAAACCTAGCCACCTGAGCTATGAACAGCATTTCGAGCGTGAATGCGAGCTCTTCCTGGAGGCCCTGATAAGGGAGGCCGACTCCCTCCACCATTTGGAGGATCGTCGCGCAGGTACCATTCAGGTCATTTGTGATCTGATTGTTCAGCTGGAGATTCTCGGATGGGTCGCTGAGACTATGGCAAGAAAGTCCCCGATGTGTCCCACAGTCCTGATTAGCCCGCCTGGCTATTTCAGTGGTGAATTCCAGGGTTATTGTCGTGCACAGATTCTGCCTGCTTTGGTTAGGTCCCTGATTTGCCTGAGAGAGTCGACTACTATCCATCGTGATATCAACTACACGGTTGCTGGTCAGTTGGAGGCAATCCACGACGATTTGACGTTTATCCTGGATTGTCGTGAGTAGTTGTATTGTGTTATTTGCTGTTTTCTTTGGTCAAGTTGTCGAACTGTGTTTGAGTAAGTTGAATATGAGGTCAGGTATACAGATTTCGCTCAACAGGATGATATCAGTAAACATGGCCTCTGTTTTAGATAGTCAAGAATAGTACATTATATTGGCTAGAAAAATGGAACAGTTTACCATAGATCACATTTGAAGTAATACATGTAGCTTAAGAAGATGTCTAATACAAGGCATGTCATCTTCAAAACATTGTGAACAAGCTGGCATTTGACATGTAGCGTATACGGCGTGTTAGCTTGGTCTGCTTGCATACCTTTCGTACTCTCAATTAGTCAGTATGTTGTATATAGTCAATCTCTCATTTTACCGCTTCTAAATACCTCGTTTTCTAGAAATGGAGTGGCGGTTGATACATCAGATACTTATTTTCGGGAGTTATATCTGCACTCTCTATCACACTGCAATGCACCGGCAGTTAGTCATCATACTTCATTTGTAACCGTCATAATACTGAAATGGCGGCATCCGAAGATGGCTTCACTGCCGATCTATTTGTGCCGCTTGCCTCCACCCTCACCAATTACTGCTATATTAACCCTCCTCGCCCTCTTTTTCTCTTGATATTCTTGTATTCTCTACACTTCATCTCCAAAGCAATACAACAGCCTACAAAACATCATGTCTAGCTCCGGGCAGGGATACACTATTAAGAGCTCCGGCACCAACAGCCAGGTATGCTTCGTCCCAATCTCTTTTATGTCACCAGGAACACAGTACATGCGTCTGTTCTTGATGAATGCCAGACCTTCATCAATATGATACTTACAAGGGTTAAAATAGGGCAACCACTACTGCTCTCGTGACTACGGCTCCAGCGCGTCCAACTCGAACAGCTACCACTACTCCAACACGTAAGTGACTGATTTAAGCGATACTGTTATGCGTGTGCATTGAATTCAGACGGTAAATTCTGACTGTCTGCTCTAGCAATGGCTCTTACTACTACTCCAACCCCAATGGAAGCACCTACTACAACAACGGGTCGGGAAGCTCGATCTACACTCCCCCTCTGGAGGATCCGGTGGATCCGGCAAGAAATGAATTTCCATGTCACGATCTCGGCAAGTGACTGATGGGTCATGAAGGGTTGAGTTATACGAACAACCAATGAATCTTTCTACTTGATTTCTATATGTGTATTGATGTAGTTGGGGTAAGCATAGTATCTAGTAGAGAATGTTCGATCACTCAATACTCGCATAGATTATAGGAGTTCTCCAAAAGAAAATCAGTGATTGCTTAGAAGTCTAGAAGTTTTTCCCCCAGAAGTCTTAGTCTGTATTGTTTGGCTCTGTCAGCATAGATATATCTATGTCTCTTGGCTCTTCTTCGCCAAGGGACGAAGCTCAATGACCCCGAGACCCTGGTATGCAACTTGTAATTGTATGAGAACAGTGAAGTCAAATGATGCTCAAGGAAAGATTGACCTTAGTGTCTTATGACCATTCATTAAACATGTGCATGTATACTTTAACCATACATTCTGGTATAAAATCACGTTTGCTCTGTAATACTGCGTTTGAAATAAGCAGAAAAGATGTCACAGAGTAAAACCTACAAAATGACAGTGACCCCCTCCAAAAGAAAGCAACAAGTACCAACTTGCTGGCTGCTAGTTTTTAGCCCTTGCAGTGTAGTTCAAAATTGACTATCAACGCGGGAGCTCGGACCAGGCAAATCTGGAGATCGCGACTTTTGGATTCGCGCCCTTTTAATCTCCGGTCTCATCTCTCGACTGTGCCTAAGCTTTATATTTTTCCTTTCTTGCCTTTGACCGAGGACCCGGTTTGTTTTGGCTGCTGGTGCCATGTTCCACATTCAACTCATATAATTACAAAAACCAGCCGCCGACACGCCGCGCTCCCCTCCTTACCCACGCTCCGCGCACATTCATGCTGATACGTGTCGCACGATCTTACCTCGAGATACGACCACTCAAACCATTGAGATATAACTGAATAGCTGGGACTTTGCTCCGGCACTAGCGCGATGCATATCATAAAGCCGGTTTGGCTCACCCATGGAGGTACGGAGCTTGATTGTCCTGTTTTTCTTTGCTCGACGCCGTTGGGACGGAAACGCAATGCTCCATAGAGCGGAATCAAATCATCCCATGGAAGGCTCAAAGGTGCTAATATGATTGTTGTGATACAGGCGAACGCAAGGATTTTGAGGTTTATAGCTGCGATGTCTCGCCGGATGGGAAGCGACTAGTCACAGCTGCTGGAGGTGAGCTCGACCCAATTTTTTTTTGCTTTAAGGTGGAGGTCACAAAAATCATGCGCCGCTGAGAGAATTCCCGCTAAACTCCTGGCTGTTCATTTGCTATAGATGGATACGTGCGAATCTGGTCAACAGATGCTATTTACGGCACCGGAACCCCCGAACTTGAGGGCAAGCCAAAACAACTGGCATCTATGAGTAACCACTCAGGCACAATTCACACTGTCCGCTTTTCGCCCAACGGAAAATACCTTGCCTCAGGCGCAGATGATAAGATTGTCTGCGTATATACCCTAGACGCTAACCCTCCTGCACACTCGTCAACATTCGGTACGCCTTGGACACACTGGATACGGAGAAGTTGAGGCAGACGCTGACAGCTATGGGAATATTCTTAGGAACTGATGAAGCACCCCCCGTTGAGAACTGGCGCACAATTCGACGATTGATCGGTCACGATAATGATGTCCAAGATCTCGGATGGTCTTTCGACTCATCTATACTGGTCTCTGTTGGGCTGGACTCAAAGGTCGTGGTGTGGTCTGGTCACTCTTTTGAAAAGCTGAAGACGATAGCAATCCACCAGAGTCATGTTAAAGGCATCACTTTCGATCCGGCAAACAAATACTTCGCAACTGCTAGTGATGACCGCACCGTCCGCATCTTCCGATTCACATCTCCTGCTCCCAATTCTTCAGCTCATGACCATATGAACAACTTTGTTCTTGAGCAAACAATCACAGCCCCATTCGCCAATTCTCCTTTGACAGCCTATTTCCGTCGTTGCTCTTGGTCACCTGATGGGATGCACATTGCAGCCGCAAATGCTGTGAACGGTCCTGTGAGCTCTGTGGCCATCATCAACCGTGGCTCGTGGGATGGTGATATCAATCTGATAGGACATGAGGCACCTGTTGAGGTTTGCGCATTCTCTCCACGACTTTATGCGACAGAGCCGCCTAATAAGAAGCAAGCCGATGGACAGCCTGTACCCCAACACCACATTACCGTCATTGCTTGTGCCGGTGGAGACAAATCTCTTAGTATCTGGATTACAAGCAATGCACGACCAATTGTGGTTGCACAGGAAATGGCCGCCAAAGCTATTTCAGACCTAGCCTGGACTCCCGATGGAAAGTGTCTCTTTGCTACTGCACTAGATGGCACAATTGTGGCAGTGAGATTTGAAGATGGCGAGCTGGGTTGGGCCACGGAAATGGAAGAGAACGAGAAATCACTAACCAAATTCGGAACTAATCGAAAGGGTGCTGGTATCACAGAAACCACAGACAGCTTGTTGCTGGAGGAAAAGAGCAAGGCTGGTGAGATTAAGCACGTCGAAGGGAGAATGGGTGCACTGATGGGCGATGGTGCTGAACCTACCGCCAAGCCTACTGCAAATGGAGACAAAGCCGCACAGCCATCCACTGGAACCACACCTGCTAGGGCCCCTTCGCCAGCTCCAGAGGCGACGAAGACCCAGACGAATGGAACTCCCTTAACACCTGCAACCGCGGAAGCAGAGAAGCCCGACCCTTACAAAGCCAAGCTGGAAAGGCTTAAGCAGCGTCCAACATACACCAAAGAGGGCAAAAAGCGTATCGCTCCATTACTAGTCTCTGGAGCTGGGGCTGGCGAGTCATCTCTCCCGCAAGCCCGTTTGATGGCATCTGTCAGCAATCAGGTCAAGGCTGATGCCCCGACTACTATTGTTGACCTGTCAAAACCTTTTGACGGTCTACCTAAGGGTGGCCTGACTGCTCTTCTCTTTGGAAACAAGCGCAAGCTGGCCCAAATAGAAGGCGATGAGGATGCCAGCGTAGAAAAGCGTGTGGCACTTGCCAGTCAAAACGGTGCAACTCCTATCATGGCCAACACACCCGACGGCCTTCTACCAGCTGTAGTTCAATCTGCAGCGACCGGTCAACAGCCGACTCCTGAATTCATTCGCCCCGCAGTTACAAATCCTTGCATGTCGGTCAGCCAACTTCGGCTAGCAGTCCCCAAAATTCGCAGCCAGATTCTCCGCGCGCTAGATTCAAGCGGAAAACCGACGGAGCCACCTGGCCCTAGTACAGACTCGAGCACTACCAAGGGTCGGGTAGATGTGGTTTTCGAAGCTCGGAACCCATCACCAGCAAGCCTGACCGGTCGTGCTGTGGACCGCGAGCCAGTACGGTTGACATTGTTCCGTGGGGATCAGCCTTTGTGGCAAGACTTCTTACCACGGACTGTTCTTCTTGTGACTGGTAACCAGAGCATGTGGGCAGCTGGCTGTGAGGATGGATCAATCTATCTTTGGACACCGGCTGGTCGTCGTCTGGTAAGTGCGCTTGTTCTCGAGGCACAGCCTGTCATCTTAGAGTGCAATGGACCCTGGATTCTGTGCATATCCTCTGTAGGCATGTGCTATGTCTGGAATGTGAAGCACATGTCTTCTCCTCACCCACCAGTTTCCCTGCAGCCAGTTCTGGATGCGGCACTTCATACTATGGGCGCGAACCCTACCGCCGCTCCCGCAGTAACAGATGCACGCATCAACTCGGAGGGCCGAGTCGTTGTTTCTTTGTCTAACGGTGAAGGGTACTCCTATTCCCCATCCATGTTCACATGGCAGCGCCTCTCGGAAACCTGGTGGGCCGTTGGCAGTCAGTACTGGAACACCACAGACGCGCCAGTGAGCAACCTGCAGGCCAAGGACGCACAGCAGGATACCAAGGATGCCAAGGCAGCTGTCGCAGCCGGCATCATTCCTTGGTTGGAGCGAAACACCACAAATGAGACCCTCCTTCGCGGAAGAGCATACTTCCTTCAGCGTCTCATTAAGGTTTTATTATCACGTGAAGGATATGAGACTTTCGAGTCTAGCGTATCAATTGCTCACCTCGAGAATCGTCTCGCTGCTGCCCTGTCGCTGGGTGCCAAGGAAGAGTTCCGGTTGTACCTGTCCATGTACGCTAAGCGCATTGGTGCCGAGGGTTTGAAACTGAAGGTTGAGGAGCTCCTCAAGGGTCTCATTGGTGGTCTTTTCGAGGATGAAGACGATGCCAGCGAGGGAGTCTTGAAACTGCAGGCCAATGAGCGCGAGGGTCGTAACTGGCGCGAAGGATCTGATGATCTTTGTGGCTGGCCACGGGAAACATTGCTGAAGGAAGTGATTCTAGCACTTGGTATGTTTTTGTTCTCTGTGGTGTTTCTTTTCTCTTAATGCTTCAATCACTAACTAACATTGATGTAGGTAAACACCGAGACCTTCAACGTGTGACAGTGCCTTATGCCAAGCTACTGGACATGGTCGACACTACGTCAGAGCACGGCGATGCAATGGACCTTTAATGATCTATTCTTGCTATCTATACCTTTTCTTCCTATTGCTGGCGTTCAATAAGTTCGGGCTGGGTCACCCAAAAGGGTTTGCATTATTTATCTCTGCTGAGGCGGGATTGGAGATCTATATCTCATTTGGTGTATTTGTATCATAGGTTCTCTTTGAGTTGCTTTTATTTAAGTCAACCTATTCCCATGCTATGACGTGTTCTTGTAGGGTCAAGTCCAACGAAGATAGACCACACCTAAGTAACCCTACAGCGTATTACGTGACAGCCCACATCTTCAGGGCTCCAGGGGCAGTGACGTCGTCAGGGCTTGACCTTCACGTGGGCGGTGTATAGCTCTGCAGGCAGAAAATTCAATATCTGGCGCGAACAACATCAACTTCGCTTTTTTGATAGCAAAGAACACGCATTCATATACTCTCTTTTTGTTCCGTGACCTTGTCCGCAATCAGTGTGGGCAACCGCCATCACGTCGTCCACATCCTCTATCTTCTTCCTTCGTATCGTCGATCGATCCGCAGCTGGTCCTGCATTTGGCGCGCTCCATCCTTGTTCCCGCTTCCGCCTTTCAACTTCCCCCCACCTCCCACCTCTCTTCTGTCGCTTCTACTCAAGCAAGAAGAAAAAATCCAATAAAATGCCTCCCAAGAAGCAGCAAGTTCAGGAAAAGGTCCTCTTGGGCCGTCCAGGAAACAACTTGAAGAGCGGTATCGTATGTGAGCTAGGCCCCCACCCTTTCTTTTTTCTTCCCTTTTTTTCCACACAGCACAGTCCACTTTTTAATTCCGAAAAACTATTTAAACCCCCTTGCCCCCTTTCCTTTCATTTTTTTTTTCTTCTTCTTTTCTCAACCATGATTGACTAACACAATGGCTTCAGGTTGGTCTTGCCAATGTCGGCAAGTCGACACTCTTCCAGTCCATCACTAAGTCCTCCCTCGGTAACCCGGCCAATTTCCCCTATGCTACCATTGACCCCGAGGAGGCCCGCGTTATCGTCCCCGATGAGCGGTTCGACTGGCTCTGCGAGCACTACAAGCCCAAGTCGCGGGTTCCCGCCAACTTGACCGTGTACGATATTGCCGGTCTCACCCGCGGTGCCTCGACCGGAGCCGGTCTGGGTAACTCTTTCCTGTCTCACATCCGCGCTGTCGATGCCATCTTCCAGGTGGTTCGCTGCTTCGATGATGCCGAGATCATCCACGTTGAGGGTGACGTCGATCCTTGCCGTGATCTGACCATCATCAACGAGGAGCTCCGCATCAAGGATATTGAGTTTGTTGAGAAGGCTCTTGACCTTCTCAGCAAGCAGACTCGCCGTGGAGGCCAGTCTCTGGAAATGAAGAAGCTCAAGGAAGAAGAGGCTACTACTGCCAAGATCCTTGAGTACCTTAAGGATGGAAATGACATCCGCAAGGGTGACTGGAGCCCCAAGGAGGTATGTGAAGACTTCCCCCCTTTCGCAACCCTACCTGCCCTTCCATCCAAACCAACTCCTTACCTGATGAATAAGAGCACTGCTCGAAATTTAACCCAGCTCGTTGAGTGCCCTCATTAAAAGGATACTCACAATCCGAGGGCATTTTGAGAATAAAAGTTATTAGCTGAAATTTTGGAGTCCACTTCTGCATGATTGCATCACTCAAACTCTTGAGAATCTCATGCTAACCTAATCGGTTATAGGTCGAAGTTATCAACCCCCTGTTCCTGCTCACTGCCAAGCCCGTTGTGTACCTTGTCAACCTGAGCGAGAGAGATTACATCCGCCAGAAGAACAAGTACCTCCCCAAGGTCTTCGAGTGGATCAAGACCAACTCTCCCGGCGACCCAATTCTTCCCGTCTCTGCTCAGTTCGAGGAACGTCTGACTTTGATGCACGATGATGCGGCCGCCGAGGCTGAGTGCAAGACCCTGGGCACCAAGTCCGGTCTGCCTAAGATCATTACCACCATGCGTCAGTCCATGAACTTGGGCAGCTTCTTCACCACTGGTGAGGATGAGGTCCGTCAATGGACTATCCGTAAGGGCATCAAGGCCCCCGCTGCGGCTGGTGTCATTCACACCGATTTCGAGAAGACCTTCATTCAGGCTATCGTGTACAATTACGCTGCTCTCCGTGAGTACGGTGATGAGAATGCCATCAAGGCTGCTGGTAAAGTCATGACCAAGGGCAAGGATTACGTCGTCGAGGATGGCGATATCATGCTCATCAAGGCCGGTGCTGCCAAGCACTAAATGCACATAGACAATAGTTTTAAATGATACACTAGTGTGGATGAGTCTTGTGAATATTTTTTGCCAACTGTAAATTCTTTGATCTGTACTCCACATGTCCATTGGACTTGCCTGATGCAAATCAACCTTGTTGTATTCGCCAGGGTAAATATGTTTCGTTGCAGGATATTTCCCCGGTCCCCTTCTGTAGATGGGCCAGTAGCCTTGATATCTAAAAACCAGATTCTACAACATTTCGTAATCATAATGCAAGATCATCCATCTCATTCTATCCTGAGCTGTTCAGCATCAAATCGAAAAAAAAATCCAAAGCACTTTATCAATCACGTGACCACGTCCCCCGCGCATCCCACTTGCGTATCAACAGCTTGATTCTCGTATCATCATACCCTCAACCAGCAACATGTTTAAGAAAGAGTAAGCCAATCCATTCAATCAATCTACAGCAATCCAGCGGCTGGCTCAGTGGCCTGATTGGTCTCTTCTGTGTGCCGAATTGAGCCACACATCTCCCTCCGTTTTGAGGCACCGCGAAGATCGCAGGAGCTGTCCAGCACCAAACCAAGACATACACAGCTGCCATGGGATATCTCTTGATACAAAATCTTATCAATGACACCAGCTAACATCTCTACTCCATCTAGTATCCCCCCAAGCAACCGGTCCAAGGTTAAGTCCTCAGTACAGCGCGGTCTGCGTCAGAAGCTGCTGGAGACATACCCAGGCTTGGAGCCTTTCATTGAAGATGTCATGCCCAAGAAGGCCTCATTGGAAGCCGTGAAACTGTACAGTTCCCGTTCCCCTATCTCTCACCTTCCGATTTCACCAACGTCATCTCCGACTTTCGACATGAATCTGCTACGCATGTCATTCCTCCGACCCGAAAGCTAACCGAAGCCGTCCCAGACCCGACCGCGTGACTCTTTACACAATAGACTCAACTCCCCTCTTCTTCCAACCTATCGACGGTCCCCCAGTCCCCCATCTCCGCCTCATCCACGCCTACCCCTCCGCCATCCCGACAATCCAGATCGACCGCGGCGCCATCCGCTTCGTGCTCTCTGGCGCAACGCTCATGGCTCCCGGTCTCACTTCCCCCGGAGGCCGTCTACCCGATGCCGAGCATGCGCTTGAGGCTGGGCAGATCGTTGGTGTTAAGGCCGAGGGCAAGGAGGAGATTTGCATGGTTGGTATGTTGAAGGTTGGCACTGAGGAGATTAAGAGTAAAGGAAAGGGAGTTGTCATTGACGAAGGCCATTATCTTGGTGATGGGCTTTGGAGAATGCATTTGGATTAAGATGGGTTTGAGAAAGAAACAAGGGATTCATTGGGCTGGGGTTGCGGGTCTTTTGTGATGTTTTGGCTTGGAACTATACCTCTCTGCACGTATGGTGATGATTACATGTATGTGTTGGATGATTTGAAATGAAAAATATCCCTCTGGACGAGGATCCAGATTGGTTCAACAGGTATTGATTTTATGTAGACGGCTTCAATTCATTCTCCGATTATGGCTGTAAGAGTGGGTTTCAATGCATTTTTATATGTCCAAAAGCGGAAGTACATGACGCCATGTGATGAATATCGGATTGTTCGGAGGTTTTCGACTTCAAATACCTATTCTGCCTTTAATTCAGTCAATATATATAAAATGACTTCCAACGATAGAACATATCGATTGTCGTATGAGCCAGTGAGTCAATGCCAGTGAAATTCAATGCACAGAATAATAATCGTATTCAGCTCAACCGGCGTATGGTGCAGGAGTGGCAGCTGTCCGGGTGTTTTGATAAGTCTTTTGGCAGATATCACATCGTGCAATCCAAATATAATGGCCAGGTGAGGGCCAGTGGACAATAGCCTTTGATAGACCACCAGTTGACCTTGTTCTAGGAGGAACGGTACTGCAAGCATGGGTATCACTGTTATCCAAGTGCTGAATCGCACCATTATGTCAATTTGTGAGTCTTTACCTTGGTTCCTATGGAAATTTCTTGACTACGCTGTAGACCGTTTCTAATATTTGATCAGGACTGGCTGGTACTACTCACTGAACCCAGATAGCAGTGAAGAGAAGCTTCATCTGAAACAGAAGAAAGCTGAGTACCGCCTACCCAACGGCTTCTTTTGGGAGGATTGGTCAGATAAGGTACCTTGGGACAAATTGCCGGCGATACCTGATCGTTGCATCGAGAATATCAGCCGTCCCCCTGCCTGGTTTTGGACAGAACTTGAACGACGGGAGCGGGAGCGACGTATGGCTTTGTCTCTTTTAGCGTGTGACATTGCTGACTTCACAAAGCCTCAGCTGAGAGAACTGAACGACAATACAAAGGTGAGATCGAATCATGGACAACATGACCCATGGCTAATGTTGAGCAGAATGGTGTGGAAACGACGTCCTTTCCCAAGCATACAATAATTCAGACTGGGACCAACATAGCGAATGGAATATGCCGATTGTCGACGAGAATGTGACGTTCAGATCTGCGAGCGAGACCTCGGTGGAATCAGAGAGCGACACATCCGGAATTGGTTCCTCCACTGGCCAAACTTCCCGGGAAGGGCTACCTGAGAATAAAACGCCCCAAAAGAAGAGAATATGGACTTCAGAAAAGTGCACCGGCGTCAAATCCAAGCCCCATCAGTGGAAGACCGCAAGGCCAGAGAAAGAGCCTGAAGAGCGCAACGAGCAGAAGAGACGGAAGAAAGCCGAAAGCACCCAAACCGAGAAGCAGAAGAACTCTCCAGACAGAATGCAAGCCCAAAAACGAAAGTTGGAGGAGCAGGAGTCTCAGGACAACGCCGAAGGAACGAAGCCTAGAAACAAGAAGCACAAGACGCAGATAATACTCGAGGTGAAACATAAGAAAGCAGGCTGGGGAAATCCCTCGGACGTACCAAATCGAAAGCGGAAGGCCAACAATGAAGACAAGGTGGCGATGACTCCGATTGCTGTCAAAAAGAAGAGACGCCACATGATTCAGGAGAGTAGTGCGGCCACCGGGGCCGGAATTTGCTAGAACAAAGAATATAATCTATTTAGAGAGTCTACCCAGGGGAACCGCTCTCCCATGGAGGACCATGTGCGTTTTATGCTCGTTTTGTTTAAAAGAATAGTGCATTGTGTCCTTCAAAGATTGCTTGAAGCCGCAGACCACTCGGGAATGTACTTTCGAAGCAAATCCAGCGCCGGCATCCACGCAAGCAGGTCCGGGCTATCATGAAGAGCCCGGAGAGTGTTATCAATCTCAAAACGAGGCGCATTCTCCTGGACCCCCCAACGGGTGTGGGTTCCCCATATCTCCTCCTGGAATAGCGGAAGGAAGGGATGCAGCGGGTTCGTCGCGTCGTCAGCAAACATTTCCAGCCAGCGGGAAAATGAGACGCCTTGCAGTGGGCGAGAGCATTGCCCGCTTATTAGGTCAAAAGCTTTCTGAAGATCTATGGGTTCCGGTTGGATCAAATTATAAGCTTGTCCTACGTTCTCTTCGAAGGCAGCGATTCGCAGCATCGCATCCACCACGCGATTCACCGACGCAAAGGCTTTGCGTTGCCCCGATACAATTGGGTAATGGCCCAGCTGAATACAGGACGACATGAGACAGCCGACGAAGTCACTTGGGTTTCCTCTTCCCGTCTGACTGTGGCCCAGAACATATCCGAGACGGATGATAATCACTGGCGAACCATTACGAATGGCATTCCAGACTACGTTTTCCGCCACGAATTGGCTTTGAGAATATCCCGTGTCATACTGTAAGGCCTTGATGTGGCCTAGTGGCTTCTCATTCTCTGGGACAGTCTTGGTTCCTTGGACAAATCCCGTTGGGCCATACGCGGCGATGCTTGAGGAGTAAATCAGTCGTTTTGGCCGGGAGTGATTGGCAAATCTTAGTAGCTCTAGGGTCCCCAAGACATTGGCTGCTCGATGACGGGAGTACGGCTGCACGTAACTGACTAGTGCCCCCAAATGGAAGACCACATTCGCCCAGGTTGCATAGTGATCGTACTGTTCTTGCAGAAGGCCGAGGTGCGGGAGTGACAGATCGCCGGTGATCGCAATGATCTTGCCTTCCTGGGAACCACGCAGTTTGTATTTCTCTAATGTTTTCTTGATGCGTAGATCAGCTGCGGATGTGTCCCGGGCGCGAACAAGACATGCAACTTTGGCGACTTGTGGCATAGAGAGCAGTGCTGCGAGAAGAAAGGCGCCAACAAATCCAGTGGCTCCGGTGAGGAATACTCGGCCTTCTGAAGCATCGAGCCAGTCGATGGCTGGATCGGGACTGACCTGAAGATCTTGACCCAGCAACGAATCCTGAGTTAGGACACTTTGATCCTCCACTGCATTCGGCAAAGCTGCTCCATTCTTCAGCTTTTGCACCAGCTGCGCGAGCTGGCCTAGCGTAGAATTGTCATATAAAGCTGCGGACCGCAGCTCAATTCCTAGCAATGATCGAATTCGGCCGATCAGATATGCGACTTGCAGTGAGGTCCCGCCCAGATAGAAGAAATCATCGGAAGAACTCAGACGGTTTAACGGATACCCCAGTATCTCGAGCCAGAGCTGCTCCAAACACGTTTCCACGGAGTCAGCGTTTCCATTCAAGTGCAGTTGACTCTCACGCGCGACCCTCATCTTCTCCATATACAGCTGCTCAAGCTTCTTTCGATCGCACTTCCCTGTCGTTCCTAAAGGAAACTTTGCGATGAACTCAATGCGAGGCACGAGAAGATGGGGAGCGTGGTTGATGAATGCCCGTGATACGGCCTCCCGGTCGACGTGAATGCACTCCGGTACAACATAGGCAACCAGTATCGGCTCTGTGTTGGTATCCTTTGGCTCAATCTTGACAACCGCTGCTGCGGACGCGAGATTGGTTCTTAAGATGATATTCTCGAGACCCTCTAGCTCAATGCGGTGGCCCCGTATCTTGACTTGTCTATCCCGGCGGCCGACAAAATAGCATAAACCAGACTCGTCCATGCGCACGATATCACCTGTCCTGTAAGCATGACGCGGGAATCCCATCGCGAGCCCTTTCAGTGGAAGATGTGGAGGATTTATAAACGAATTGGCGTTGGCTAGGGGATTCCTACAATACCCTGCGCTCACTGCTGCACCGGCTACTACCAGCTCACCCTCGCTGCCCATTGGAACTGGACTGAGATTTTCGTCGACAATGAAAACCTGGCAATTGTCAACTGGCCTTCCGAGGGGAATTTGACCACTGTGAATATCGGCTACAGTGATGTCGTGCGAGATGAGAAACACAGTGCATTCTGTCGGCCCATATATGTGGACTACTCTCTTCGGGGGCCCGTTGTCAAATATCTTTCGGATCACCGGGACGTTGATCGGTTCGCCTCCTGTCGCCAGGGTGTGGATAGTAGAAAATGATCCCGGACAGGTGCTGACAATCGTGTTTAGTAACGCGGTTGTGACAAAAACGGCCTCAATTCGGTCCATCTGGAGACACCGTGAGAATAGAACGGGGTCTATGACTGTCTCATGTGGATAGACCACCAAGGTCCCACCTCTCAACAAGCACACCCAGATTTCGAACAGGGTGACGTCGAAAACAGTATTGCCAATGTGAGCAAGGCGCTGGCCGTCTTGGAACGGTGCTGTTGAGCTGAATGCCAAGTTGATGATTCCACCGGCTAGAATCTGGGCAGCTTTGGGGTCTCCTGTCGTACCTGACGTGTGGAGGATATGCGAGCAGCTCGATGGCCCATTGGAGGACACCTCAAAATCTTCATCGGATATCTGAGGCTTTAGCGTATGGTCTATAAGCATATTGTCGGTCTCAAGGGCTCGACTCCAGTTTTTGCCGTCCACCAGAGCCAGCTTTACATCCAGATTCTTGATCAGTTTCCGGAGAAAGGCGTCCGGTTGCTTTATGTCTAAGGGGACACACGTTCCCCCGGCATAAGAGATGGCAATTTGCGCTAAAATATGGTTGACTCCCCGGGGGATGGCAATCGCAATTGGAGTTCCTGGCTCCGGCGCTCGCAGTCGAATCAGTTGCGCGAGCTGAAGGGCTTCGAGGTGCAATTCCTCATATGAAATAGCGTATTCTCCATATTCAATGGCTGTCACTGGGCCATGAAGCCGGGCCTGCGCCTTGAAAAGCGGAGCAAGCCCAACGTGCCTCACCAGGCTTGCGTCAAGTTTCCTCGCACAGAGAAGAGAGGATGGCATGGTGAAATCCGGACAGCAAATCTGGAACACAGGCCAAGGGAAGCAGTCTCTAAGTCTATATAGTGAAGAAATGTGTCGTCATCCAATAACATAGAGACTTGTTTTCTATCTACTTCACCCTTGTTTGCAATGAGAGTTGCTTTGATAGCTCTCCTGGGGCTGCATCAACCTAACGGTGCATTGTAATACGTTCCACGCTGACGTTCATGAAATACACTGTCATCTACCTCCATAAAAACATTGGGCATCTCCTCTTGTTGCCTGAATGACGACGCTGCACAATCGCCACTAGCATGTGCACGTCAACGTGCTTGATTTTCTCATATATTCATTTTTAGCCTCTATTTATTTAGTATGTACTTGATACCCATTTTTCAAGCACATGATCAGTAGACAAATTATCGAAGCTGAAGCTTCGAAGGCTTTCCAACTTGTGGCTAATGTAGCACACACTATACCCGGTTAAAGTAACCGGAGGTTGAGCTTGCAAATGGACATTGATATTGCATTTATACATTGATGCTACTCAGACTCACTGGTGATAGACGACAGAACTGAGGCAGGGAGATTAGTATAGCAAACCGAATTGTTCAATTGTAAACTCAGGCAAATCCGGGGGATTCTGAATCATGGTGGGTAGTTGAGATTGCCTCTCTGGTCTGAATATGGTTAGGTGATTGGCTTTTGACACTGTCTCTCTCGGTTTCACCTGAGATCCGAGGTCATACAGTAGTACTCCGCTCTCGGCCTCTTAAGATATGACCTTATTGAGTACGAGATCGAGTAACAGAGCAAGTATGATAAAGTTTATATAGATGTTGGCTTCATGCAAAAGCTAGGCATGGCGGTATCTCCAATACTTTGGCGGGCCCCTGTAATAATCAAATAACACAGTAACTATGTTGCCTAAAAGTACGCCATCGAAGTATAGTCCTGAATAAGGAGTATTTGTAGTAGCTGCGAGAGCATATGTTACCCTGCATGACCTTGAGTTACCCATAGCCCAACACTCCAAGTAGCCCCACGCTTGAAGACTATAAAAGAGATCTGCCTTACAAGGGAATCAACAAATTATGAACCTTCAAAGGTCTACTAGCTATTTTTGAACTGTTGAGATATACCATATTTACCTAAGAACCTTGTCAAGCTCGAAAATGCACGAATGCCAGATCAACCTGCTTCAGTACCTGCGCTCAAAGAGTCAGATAGATGTCGATACCTTTGACGTTGATAGTATGGAAATATGCTCGATTTTATCCTACCTTTTAGTTTCGGTGCCATACGCTAATATCTCAAATTCCATCAGCGTCGGCGGAAATTCCAGGATGTGTCGATGCAACATCAAATCAAGTACGTGCATTGCGTCTCGAAAATGACAACAGAGAATTTGACTAATTGGGTCATTCTTTCAACAGGCCGAGATATACTCAGAGATGATAAAACCGCGCCACGATGACCTGGTGAAAGAAGTCCTTGTTTTCAGCGCAAAATTCAAGTCTGAATTTCCGGCTCTGAGGCTGGAGGAGCTGGCATTTGAAGTCATGTTAAGCACGAGAACAGTATACTGCCACTTCAATGACTTGAACTTCAATTCGTAAGGCAATTCGGCTGGCTTTCCTTGTTATTCCCAATATCACTGGCGCCGTGCATGTGATGGCAAATCCGTGCTATTCGTACCACAAGGAGAAGGTTGTGGAGACTGGAAAGCGTACGTTGCCTATCAACAACACAAGAAAGGTCCGCTGACAAGAATCCGGGGTTAGGATTACACAGAATCTGTGATATGCTAGATCCGGCCTTCGACACTGATCGGTTGGTAGTGAAGGTGGCCGCCACATGGGAAGGTCTCCAGGCATGTCGAGAATTGAAACGTTGCGGGATAAAGACTCTAGCAACCACGGTGTTTACAATGGAACAAGCCGTCTTGGCCGGCGAGGCCGGTTGTGTTTCTATTTCACCTTTCGTACATGAAGTCAAAGTGTTTTTCGATGAGAAGTAAGTCGGGTCTCTTTAATATCTAGTCCCAGTCTCCTTTATCTCACCAGTTATAGATACTCGGACACAAATCCTCTTCTTAGTATGTGCGTTCAGGCACAGCAGTTTTACAAGAAACGGTCAATGAGCACAAAAGTCAAAGCATGTGCTATGATCTCGCTTGACGAGATCCTACAGTTGGCTGGTGTGGATGCGTTGACTATCACGACTGGTGACCTAAAAAATCTTCAAAAGGGCACTGGTTGTAAGTGCTTGAATGAGAGTCAATCTTTGTTTCATGATAACTATATTACTGATAGTAGCGACTATCCCTCGTATGTGGACGACGAGAGCACCTATCGTCTGGAATACTCTCGAAGTGGCCAAGGTGCGGGCCAGTACAAATTGACGCAGGTTCGTTTCTCTGTTCAGGCTAGAAGCTCCCCGTTCTAACGAATTGAATTCTAGGCCTTGGCGATTTTTTCAGATTTTCAGTTTAAGGGAGAGGAATTTTTGAAAGTCCACCAGCAACATTTGATTTAGCTCACGAGGCTTTGCCACAGTCGATAGTAACATATGACAGACCTCAGACAGGGGGATTGTATGTAGCGACCAGAAAGGGCGAGGTGGAGGATCTCTGGTATTGGATCTATGGAATCCGAGGGGATTTTGTAGGACAAAATGACGAGAAACGATTCTGGATATGACGGTTAGCGGAAAGCACCAATGTTTTATAATGGCCTGCATAGTGCTGTTTGATTGAGCTGGCTGCACTGTTGCTTTCAGTTCCACCTAAAACCCGAAGTTATACTGCAGCATTCGTCTCTGTTTCTCAACATTAGAATCTAAATACTCCCGAGGTGATGTTGTACCGACTTGAATCTAGATCCAGGACACCGAAGCAGATCAGATGTAGAAAGAGAGATAACTACTCATCTTCCACCGAAAAAGGAATCCACACGGGAAATTACTTCAGGTAACCCTAGATACACTCACATATTCCTTGCTCATTACCGTCTAGATCCCTGCAACGGTCCTCTCCGCCCCTGTACTTGCATCAAGCATCTGCTTGTATCCTTTGCAGATTAACTACTTGAGTAACTCGATTAAACCTCACATCTTTGCTTTACTTTCAGCACTTGGAGCTTGTCAGTGCTCTTTTTGCTTTCGATCAACCATATCAAGGCTCAGGAGGGTATTTGAAATATTGCCTGAGGTCTATATATTCGCTCTATATATCCTCTCAAAATCCAGACTTGAGGCTTCACAGAGACATTTCTCCTTGCGCTTCGAACCGCGTTTCTACTTCGGTAGGTTTAATGCCAAGAAGAACAAGTACCTTCTGTATCGCTGACCAGGTACGAAAGACACACAAAATGACGTTCAAGTCGTTGCCAATGAAAATCAGAGGCCGCAAGCAAATTGAGGTTCCCTCGCCTGCATTTGGCACATTTACCTTAGATGCTTGGGAATCGAATGGTATGACATTGAGTGCCGATTGAGATTTGCTCGGAGTTCAGCTACTTACTGTATTCCCAAGGTGATCCGCAGCAAGCAATCCAGATCATTCGCACAGCTATTCAAGCGGGATGTCGTCATCTTGACTGTGCTTGGGAATACAATGTATGTCGACCACTCGAGTCTCTGGTATTCCCATTCTTATGAGTGTTACAATCCCAGGCAGATGTCGAAATTGGCGAGGCGATTCGCCAGTCCGGCATCCCACGCGAAGAGATATTCGTCACTCAAAAGCTGTGGGTCAACTTTTGCGCTCCCCAAAATGTGGAGGTTGCGTTGGACCTGGCGCTCCAGCGGATGAAGATCGATTATGTTGATTTATTCCTCATCCACCATCCTGTCGCAGTCAAGCCGACCGGCGATCTCCGTAAGGCGTGGATAAACGAAGGGACGACCATGAGGGACCAAGGCTGTGCAGCTGATGATCAGGGTAATTTCATTCCAGATCTGGAACATTGTCCAGCAGCTGTCGCTGCACTGAATGGGGGTAAAGGTAGTATCATTCCGACATGGAATGCGATGAAGGCCTTAGTCCGATGTGGGAAATCCCGATCGGTTGGAGTTTTGAACTTCGACGTTGAACATATGCAAGAGATCCTCAGTGTTCAGAGTGATGATGACGATGAAGTCCCACTTTCATGCAACCAGATTGAATGCCACCCCTGGTTTCCCAATCAGCGACTGGTTGACTTCTCACTGGAGCACAACATCCTGGTCATGGCGTACAGTCCATTTGCTTCTATCAAATACGAGTATGGAGTCTTCCCGCCTGAGCCGTTCAAGCCTTATGGAACGACTCTGTTAAGAGACGAAACAGTCCAACAAATCGCAACCAAGAACGGCATGACTGCCACTCAAGTCTTGCTCAGCTGGGCAGCTCAACGATCTACACTGCCGATATTTAGAAGCTGCTCCCCACAGCATCAACAGGAGAATCTTGTATTCAAGGAATTACCCCAACAGGATATGCAAGCCCTGGCAACTTTGGAATTGGACGGTCGAACTGGAAAGTCTACAGCGATGATGTACTTCCCTGAAATCAAGGTATATGATTGGTAGCTGTCGGTTCTGCTTGGTAACGATTGGATGAATGTAATGTCATCCTAATTGGGCATGTAATGGCGAGCTTCATTCCGAGATCGGGTCAATGAATTGATCGTCACAACGTCATCCTAGCACAATTACCCCATCAGCCTATATCTCCGGCCTATACCTGCATGTGATTGACGCTATACTGCAAGCCCTACCGAATTTCTGCATATCATTTCTCCTCTTTCCGAAGTGACGAATTATAGCCATGTCTACATCAAATACATTCTCCTAGCCGCAGATTCAGCTGTGCGATGAGACCATATTTGTAAAGTTATCAATGACGTAGCATTGCTGCACAACATATGTAGCTGCCTTCATGACGAGGGAGCACAACAAGTCGATATTCGCCAAAGTAAGACACCTCTCGTAGATATCCAATTCTAGATGCAGGAAGGGCACGGCCACATAGAGTAAAGTTCAATGACTTGCATGATTGTACACATTGGGGTGGTACAATTGCCTCTTTTGTGCGATTCAATGATAATGGCTTGACACTGCCAATTCCTTGCTGCAAGGCTAACACTAATGGGATAAAGGCTGTGTAAATCGGCTAGCAATCTGGTGACTGTATTTAAACCATTGGCTGGTGGTTGATTATCTACTGGCCTAGGTCTACTATTCAACACTTATACAGGAGACTAACCCGAGAACTATGGAAACTCCATGCAGCCCGATTGCCTGGCTGGGTTTACTTCAGTATATAGATAGAGCAAATCCTCCCAGTTTCCATAGAAATTGTAATCATTTTCTTCGATATCTATATTCTTATCACCAATTTACCTCAAGCTGCGTTTAATCAGCATTAAACTCGAAGATGACTGCCCCTGTGACCGAAGTGACCATCGTTCCCCTAGTGAAGGGTGCCGATCCACGAGTTGAGAATAGCGACGCAGCCAAAATACTCAACAGGGCGAACGAGACTGTAATGCAACAGCCTGGATTCCAACGCATGATATGGGGTTTGGATAAAAAGGACCCTAGTATGATGGTAGGCATTGTTGGTGAGTGGCTCGATGAAAAATTACATGAAATCACAAATAACAGTCCAAGATTGGGATGATCTTCAATCTCATCTCAATTTCATAGCCGCTCCGTATTATCAAGCTTTCATAGATGATTTTAATCAGATTATTGCTGGACCGATCGTTTTGTTTCATACAACCTATGAAGAAGGAGTTGGCATTGCGCCTCTGATTGAGCTCAAGGATCAAATAACCGATGTCTCTCTTGCTTTCTTCCCTGCAGGATCATTGACCCAAGGGTTCCAAGACGATCTTTCCTGGGTTTCTCAGACTGTGAAAACGGATCTCCTCAAGCCTAAAGATGCACCCTCCAGTATTGTCAGTGGCTGGTGCACCGATGATGCGTTGGACGAAGAGCGCCATGGAAAAGGACCAGAGAGGCCGTGGATGTCGATGGTAACATGGAAGAACACAAAAGCTCGACAAAGAGCATGGAATCGCCAAGCTGTTCTTGGTGATATTCCAAAACTTGTTGAAGGGAAGGGAGAGCTGGAAATCTACGAGGTCGAGTTCCAGCCTGTGATTTCCAGGCCGTAAACAGATTTTGATAAATTATGCTGGATAAATTATTCAAGCACTTGGATTCCAAAGTCTTCGTTAATGGCTTCTAATTATCTGAAGGTGTAGTTCACCAAATCGAGGGCTTGATGTATATATATCTTTCAATCTATACAGGCAGACCCACCAGTACTAGTCCTAAAAGAACAAAAGTCGGAAGAATCTTCCGAATCTTCCGTTTTTGAGCAATCTCCCCTGAATAGCTTCATAATTACTATGCCATAAATTAGTCTTATCCAGAATAACTATGGGAGTTTCCAGTTCTACTCTGTCAGGAAGACCAATCCGGATGCGGGCTCAACATGGTGATCCAGTTGACACCCCAGTAAATGCCCAAATCGCTGTCCCAATCAGAAACAACTACTGATTATGGAAAAACCATCAGACGGCCGAGGGACACCTGAAGGATGACTTTGGCGAGTACACTATTAGAACTGAAAAGTTTAATGACTCGGTGAGAGATGATTATACTTGATCCGGTGCTCAAGTCTGACTCTGCGTACTAGAATGATTGGTATTGCAGACACCATTATATCCGCAATGGCGGGGTTTATGGTTACCATTATGCCCATTTGTGAGTCTGACCCTGTATGCTTCTAATACCTGATACCTAAATATCTAGGAATGGTCGGTACTACTCCAAGAACCCAGATGGAAGTTCGGAGAGCGTAAACCCGACATTGAAGGAAGCTTCCTACACTTTACCGGGAAGCAAAATTCCGATAGATTACTCAGATGAAGTGGATTGGGAGATATTGAATGAGATACCTGACCCTTGTGTCGTAAGAGCCTCTATGACCCACGAGCACCTGAGAGAATTCTTGGAGAAATTGAAGAATCGAGAAGGTAGGGATTGGTGATGCATGATGAGCCTCGTAGCTAAAATAGCGCAGAGAAAATTGTTGCCAGTGATCAGGCCAAAAAAAGAGCCACCTGGAAAAGAATGCTGAAAGGGAAGGAAAGTCCAGACATGGTCACCGAAGACGAGGCCGAAGAGACCGATTATGAGACCGAGAAAGCCTCAGACGAAGACGAAGAGGAAGCAAGCCAGCAGAGGTTATCGGAACAGCGAACGGGAGAGAACGAGAGCGAAACGGGGGGAGATGATCACAGACGTGCCAGTCACCAACACAAAAACGTTGAGTCAATGGACGAGCCCGTGGATGCAGTAGAGACCGAGGGCACATCTTCTGAAAAGCGTAAGGCCATTGAACTGAACGATAGCGAGGAAGAGATGACTAGGACCTCAACCGCGAAGAGGGTGAACATGAATGAAAGACAACGATCCACGTTTACTGAGCGGGAGAAGAGAAATGCCGCCAACAGGAGGAAGCGAGAGCGCCGCAGAAAGGCGAGAGAAGCGAAACTGGAGATGGACAAGAGGACTTCGGAGTCCTAGCTTTGCCGGACGTGTGCACCGCCATCATATTCACTCCAAGTTTGAGATACTGGCATCGCATTGTGTGCAGAGTAGATCGACAATAAAGCGCCATCCACCAGCCAAGCTGTCGAGTGCTCATTGTGCTCAGGGTCTCATGGTCATTGCAGCACCCAGTCTCGATGTTATGCCCACATGGGTATCGAATCCGACATCATGTGCCGGAGCTAACCCGTGCTAGGGTTGAACATCGGGATTTCTTCGTTAAGATATCACGGGTCTGGGGATTCCACATTATCACAATGTAATCGTGCGCAAGAGGCGTTTCAAGATGCTGTTATACCACATGTCTGCGTGTGGAGTGTCAGTGAAAACAAGTTCGTTCAAGAAGAATGTAAGAATGTAATATGTAATTGAATCTCAACCCAAACCCATGTGATAGGTATGGGAGAGCGAAAGAAATGTAAAACAAGAGCGTGAAGAAGTAAAAACAGTTGACTCCAACAAATTTTGAAGACAACACCTCCAGAACTGGGATATCAAATAAACAAAACAAGTAGAGACCTAGGATGGATCTATGGAACAAAGCAAAAAAAAAAAAAAAAAGCAAGCTCATATGCATCATCCGATTACATCCCTAGTCTACATCCATAGATGAAACCCCGAAAGGCCGACCAACCACCTGCAAAAAAAAAAAAAAAAAAAAAAAAAGCAAAGCAAAGAAATCCATCCATTCATTACCCTTCCTCCATAAATGACATAGTTCCCAGAACTTGGTTCTCAACTCTCCACAACTTGAAGCTGAAGTCGTACCGGACCTCGGCAAATACCAAAGTGCAGCACGTCAGCTAATCTTCAAGTTGCAACTTACAGGAGAGCGAGGATACCAGCCAGAAGGCCGGCAGCGGCACCGGGGGCAACCAGAGCCATAGCAGCACCCTCGGAGGCACTAGGGGAGGCAGAAGCAGAGCCGGTAGCGGTGCCAGTGGCGGAGGTGGTCAGACCAGTCTTGGTGCTGGTGCCAGTGGAAGTTCCGGTAGAGGTAGACTGGGTGGCTGTGAGGAGAGAGATATCAGTGCTGCTTTTTCCATGGAGAAGACTAGTAGTAAGGGAGCCAGAGGTCAAGGTTCCGGGGAAGGGTTTTAGAAAAGACACGGCTGGGGTGAAAGTACCAGAAGTGGAAGCATCGGTCTCAGTGGTGTGGGTACCAGTAGAGGTAGAAGCAGAGGAAGTGGTACCAGAGGTAGAGGCAGAAGAAGAAGAGTCAGAAGAAACAGTGGAAGATGTACCGGTGGTGGTGCTGGAAGAGCTATCCTCGGGCTTGGTCACATCGAACTTGTGGGACTGGGCGAGGATGCCGGTGTTCTGCTCCTCGGTGGAGACCAGGTTGATCTGATAACCGGTGCTATAGTGTACATTGCGTTAGTGGATGGCATAAAGATATAACCGCAAAGGTGATCTTACCCATCGGTGACATCCTTCAGACCCTTGGCCTTGTAGGAGCCCTCAGAGGTCTTGACATCGGAGGCGACAGTCTCCTTGACGTTGGGGTAGATGTTGTTGTTGATAAGGACAATGTCAACGGTGGAGGCGTCAGTGCTGCAATGGGTTAGCTTTGGCTTGTTTAGACCAGGGTAAGGTGGAATCATCATAGTCAACATACTTAACGGAAGTCCACTTCACGGAGAAAGACTTGGAGACATCGACCTTGTCACCCTCGGCAGGCTCGGTGACGTTAATGGCTAGATGTATTGTTAGACAAATTCACGTGTCGTGGGGGTGATTTACATACCTCCAACGGAGATAGCCAAAGGCAGGAGAGAGAGAAGAATAGAGAAACGCATGTTGACTGATTTAGCGAATGTGGTTGATTAAAAAAAACGAATGGACGTTGGAGTGTGAAAGAGTGATGAAAGAAGTTGAAGATGGGAGAAACCGAAAAATCTTCAGATTTAAGAGAAGCTTGTGATTAAGTACATGGTGACCAAACAGCTCTGATATTGCACAACCTTGGATGCGCAGAACCGTCAATGTCTCTCCCAATACGGGAAATATACCTGAAAATAGAACTGACATAGTGAGCCACCCGGTTTTAACGCATTCTAATAATATTTTAATGGTTTTATAATACAAAAACGTGGGAAATCAGGGTCTGAGTGAGGTTCCATGTTGGAGCAGAGAAGATCTTCATGGTTCGCAGACGAGCTAGTTTCAGGCACAAATTCCACTTGCATTGTATATTACAATCGTTTTCCCAGAGGGATCCTTTATGTACTCAACATACAATCGGAGGATTGCCGTTCTACAGATATGTACACCTACCATGGTTGGTGTGCGCCGATAGGGCCGATAAAGAAGACGCTAAATGGTCTTGGCACGGAGCTAGTGAACTTTCGTTCTCATACGGGAGTAAAATACGAAACAATGGATTGATTTTTCATTTCCCATTTTCCAGGTTTTTTTTAAAAAAATACCGCTTAAGATGGTGTATTTTTGAAATTGCAAAATCTGCGGTAATCTATCTCGTTTAATCACTTGGCCTGGACCCTGATTTCGGGAATTCCCGTATATTTTTAATCGGTTGCCAATTTGAGCAAAGACCACCCTAATCATTTCACCAAAGAGAAAACGGACACGCCCACGTAAAAATCCCTGCCCAATATAGAATTCCCGTGTCTCGAAAAGAAAATTCACCTTCAAGATCGTTTCTGTGTCTCAGTAAAGACCCACTGCGCCACAGTCAATTTCAGGCATGAGACACCTCTCAATAATAGGGCACTCGGACCGCCCGCTAGATGAACCATAGGTGGGAGCACTGAACTTAGCACGGAGAGGAAATGAGTGTCTCACCGAGAATCTGCCGGCGAAATATTATCGCACCGCAGACAGAGTGGTGCCATTTCCACAGTCCACTCCAAGGCCGAATCAATATATTAGTCAGATTCAAAACAGGCTATTCTTTTTACTTGTACTAAGGCGTTATGGCTTATTTACATCGAATACGAGAACGAGATTGGGACAACGCAAAAGGATTATCAAAAATATTTGTACAAAGATTTGTATCGAACACGCAGAACCCGTATCCCCAGATTGCGCCCGAATTCAATTAGTTATCGTAAATGTTCACATTACTGTAGCACAAGAAAGTCAGTCAAGCCACAGCCTATACGCCTGGAGGAATGGGGGTATACATACAAGTCCCTTTTGAGACCATCCCGGTCCACTGTAGCCGAGTCAACCCATACACTAGCACTCATCCCCTGAACACCGAATTTGCCATATCCATTTTTGTCAATAATAACAGGTTTCATGCTGGAATGCAAGAGATCGGTCCATTGTTCGCATGCATGCTGTTGACCGACAAACATGCGCTGCACACCCGGACCAGCATTGCTGATAACACACGCAAGGCCGGAGTGACGGGCATTTCCGTAGCGAACAAATCCTGTATCGCGGTTAGATCTGTTCAGGCAGAGTGTGACCCCCCTAATGGGGCTCAGCATGCGATGGGAAAGGGGTAAGCACACCTATGCAATTTGGTTGGTTGAAATAGTCTTGTTGTTCGCCGTAGGCGTACAGTTTCCGGGCTTGTATTAGAACGGGCAAAAGCCCGTTGCAACTTGGTACCATTGGGTTCTCCACATTCAGCCGTATTCCATACAGGTCACCGTAAAATACGCATGGGTGACCGCCTTTGCGGAGGAGGACCAGGGCGTATGCTAGTAATTTGAAGGATGGTGATACTGGGGTCTAGGTGAGATTAGCCACGTTTCATTCCTTCTGAATAGAGAATAGTCGACTCACTTCGAGCATTTGTCCTGGTGCCTGTGAATGGTTAGCTCAAGAAAATATATGTGTGCCAAGACCTAGGTACGAGTTGTTACTTACCGTATCGTGGTTCGCAACAAGGGTCTGGAGAAGGCAGTTAGTATCACTAATCGGGCATCAGACATTGAGCAACTTACCACAGCATGGTCCGGCCGACACTGTACCAGTGTATCTTTGAAGATACCGCGAAGGTCTGGTGCTTGTGCATGGGACAATTTGGAGAACCGCTCTAGGAGGGGCACATCATATGCAGTAAGATTGTACTTCACCTTCTCGAGGTAACCCAGAAGCGACGGTAAATGTCCAGTCCAGTATTCTCCTATCGCAAAGAAGTCAGGGTTGGCAGTTTTTCGAACATGTTGCACAAAGGTGCGTTGGAACTCTGTTGAGAAATGCTTGGCGGCATCAAGTCGCATCCCGTTAAGGTTCAGTGTGTTGGTGATCCACGTTCCCCAGTGCAGAAGATCTGCGCGGACTTCTGGGTGGGTAAGGTCCAGGTCGGCGAACATCAGATAATCGTAGTTCCCGAACTCCGTGGACACATCTTGCGCCCAGTCCTTGTCGGATTCGACAATCTTGTAGATTGCGCTCTGCTTACTCTTATCGTCCCAATCGACGCCGCTGAAGTGTTGCCAGTTGTACTTCATTGAACTGTACATGTCACCACGACCGGCGAACTCAAAGCCTGTCCAGCCATTGACTTCTACCGGGTTCGATATGTTCAGGTCTCTTCCTGTTCTCTCGGTCAGTAACTGGGCGAAGATTCAATGAATCGAATGTCAAGGATAAGATGTCTTACGCTTAGGATCTACCTTGACGGCCTGAAAGGGCTCTGGATAATCCGCGCCAGCCTTATGATTAAGCACAGCATCCCAGATGATACCAACGCCGACGCTTTGCGCTTTGCGCATCAGGTCTTCAAGTTCTCGCTTGGTGCCCCATTTCGTAGGAACTGTACCCTTCTGATCGAATTCCCCTAGATCGTACAAGTCGTAGATGTCATAGCCATTACCATTCGCATCCATGCCCTTGCATCCAGGAGGGATCCAGATCTGATCAATGCCAATCGCCTTGTATTCGGGTAAGGCATTTTGCAGACGGCGCCAGTGCTGCCGGTCGGCAGGAACATGCCATTCAAAGGTTTGCAATATCAGCGAGTTATCTGGAGCAGTCCATGATGGCAGCTGTTCTAGATTCGCAGCTGCTTCTGTACCATGTATGCTAGTTAGACAATGGGGGTTATGTTTGATATGTTTTGGTGGGGAGCCTGACCTTCAATCTGTTTCCATTTCTGGCCTTTCTGTCGAGATCCACAGCACAAAAACGGCATTGTTGGATTGTTGTACAAATGACAACTCAATGAGATACAAGAGCAGAATATGGATATCCCCTTTCGGGGTTAGGGCTCGGATGTAGGAACTATTTTTACTCGGCGAACCTTGGAACGTTGTAAAGTACAGGTTAGGTGGGTCTCGGGTGAAATGATAAAGTGGATCTTTACCAATGTCTTATGATGATTAGACGAAAATTTCATTCCAACCGTGGAACTCTCGAACTTTTCTAGAAAGAATTTCCCGAGCTCCACATGGATAAATCTCATTGGCTTTCCGTAATGCATGATATGTAACAAAATTAGGAGAAGAAATGAAGCTCAAAATGATACAAAGGCCAAAACACCGTATCAATAAGAGGGAAAAGGTCAATATCGCCAAACAAAATGATAGAAAATATTGCACATAGAAAGGATATCTCCGCGAACCAAGTCGAGCTGTCAATACAGCTCACCACAATGGGAAAAAAAGGTCAAAAGAAAAGGAGCCGAAACGAAGGAAGTAAGCAACGAGCGAAGGAAAAGAGCTTTCGGGAACTTTCACTAAAGAAGGGCAATGAAGCTTGTCGCGACTGCTAGCAAGAAGGTGGCTAGACCGGTGCTACTTATTAATTGGACGCCAGCCGACGTGAAGCCACTGTGAGTTTTCAACTGAGCAAGCGAAATGTTCCCAGATGAGTGACCACAAAGACCACTACCGTCCAAAAAGTTCGTAGGGAAGAAGACTCGGGGCTCTCCTTGGGCCATAGGAACGCGCAGCGTGCCTAAGTTGTCGACAGTATAATTCTTACAGGCCAAAACATCTGTCACCCTTGTGCCAGCGTTATAGCTGACTGCCAAGTCGATGCTGTAGGCTGGACTGGTCGAGGATTGACTGGACAAGACCATGACCACTTGTCGACCCTGGACACCTTTCGTGAAAGCAAGCTCACTGCCTCCCTGGAAGATCGTGTGGGTCGAGTCTTCAAAGTAATCTTCTCCTAACAAGGCTGCGTGGCTCCGGATGCGATTCAGTTTTGCGATCAGCTTGTAGAGCTCTGCATCTGTGTCGTATTTGGTGAGCCAGATGGCTTCTCGGTTTTTGGGCACCGAGTTTCCGGCCAGATGTTGTTCTTGGCCTTGATATATCATTGGGATTCCATCAAACAACATGGTAAACACCAGTACGTTTTTGCTCGCCTGGAAAGTATCATGATCAACAAAAGCGATCAATTAGATCGACGAGGATATACATACCGCCATGTCCTTGGTATAGCTAGCAATTCGAGCCTTGTCATGATTTTCAGAGAAGGAGGCCATGGCATTGACATCTGGGAGCTGCATCCTCATTTCCTCCACTGTCTTCGCCAAGACGGACGTAGTGCCATTTGTGAAAGCCTGCAGGATTTGGAAATAGATCGGATAGTTGGGTAAACTCGCAATGTAATTGCTCTGGTAGTCGGACATGATGCTGACTGCCCCCTCAAGGACTTCACCTGTCATGAAAATGTTGTCGAGACCCTCAGCAAACGTTTTTAGAAAGCCCGGGTTGACGTGCTTGGCGGCATCAATCCGGAGCCCGTCAATAGAATATGTTTTGATGGCGTTTTTCGCCCATTTGATCAAGAGTTGCTGGACATCTTCGTGCTCGGTGAAAAGATCAGGTAGTGGCACTGTATCATCTCCCGTCTGGCACTCTTGCGCATCTTTCATGTCATTCCAGTCTGTAATGTTGCAGTATGGATGGAAATAGTCAGCATTATTGAAGGGTGTCAAGGTTGAGTAGTCGATATGTGTGGCGGGATCGCTGCCATTCGTGATGTAGGCCATGTTATTGATCACTGTATCCATCATCAAGTACATGCCCCTGGAGTGGACAGCGGCACTGAGGTCAAGCAAATCTTGATGCGTGCCAAAATGAGAGTTGAGATTGTTGAGGTTTAACGGCCAGTACCCGTGGTAGGCTTCGCCATACTCGACTCGGCCATGGATATTCTCGATGATTGGAGAGATCATCACAGCATCGAATCCCATTCCTTGAATGTAGTCGAGTTTGTCAATAGTTCCTCGCCATGTCCCCCCACAGTAAAGGCCTGCTGTGGTGTTGCAGGGTGCTGTTGTCGATCCGTCTGTGCGAGCGAAACGATCTGTCATGGTCTGGTATATTGATCTAGGTTTCCAGTCGGCTGTGCTTGCGGCTGATGCCGAGGCGATGAGCCCCGTAATCATCAGACCTGCCAACGAGTGAATGGTGCACCGTGACATCATGGCAGCTCGTATTTGTGCGGGTCGATTGGAAGAGGAAAGACAGAGAGTACGAGGTTTCAGATAAAGAGCGACTTGAAAAACTCACAAGAAGCGCAAAGATGGCCAGAAAGAGAAATAAATGAATGACATTTGGACATCAGCCAAGAACGGAAAAAGAGGAGAAGAGAGCAGGTTTAGGAGACAAGAAAAGGATCGAAAAACGGGGAAATTTTGCCTTCCAGGCAAGGAAGGGCCAATAAGTCAGGTGGCTTCCAAGGTTCTGTCGGAGATCCAAACATACAGTAGTTGGAATTATCACCCCACAATTTCACTTCTATTACTATCCTAGCCGGCGAAATATGGGATTTATGTACAGAATATGTTATACTTGGTGGACTGAGCACCTATGGGCTTGTGAAAATGATTTGCCTCGGAATGGCTGCATTAGACCTGATTTGCCATGGGATTTGCCCGGCTCAATCGCATATTTTCTTTTCTGATATTCCCCAGACTTTAGAAAGTAAGATATCATTGTGGCTTCTCAGCTTGAAGAACTACACTGGTGGCTTCATAGACTATCTCGACATCAAGCGGGGGCCTGCAGAAACCGAGATTAGTTTTGTGTTCATATGGTGGATGAGGGGAAAAAGAGAGAGACCGGACGCACTAGGTACAATATCGTTAGAACGCTCCGTGCCTGGAGGAGTCATTATTTGGTCTGTCAGGTACCAGGCACAGGTGTCCACACTGCTTCCTGGGCACGGCGATTTGGTCCGATGTTCGTGCAGGTCACGTGGAGACACTACCCTAATTTCAGTCCTGCAACACAAAAGTGACAAAGTTTGCATGGTCCAATCATCTGAGACAGGGTGGTATCAATCCAAGAAACTAGCGATGTTGCCCTGAATCTCCATAAAATGGAAAAAAGCTATAGATAGGACGGAGTACTCCGTACTCCGTATTACATCGATACCGTATAAATCACCCTTACTACGCCGCTTTGGCCTTGCGGCTGTTGAATACGAGAGATAGTGAGACAAAGGTCGAATATTTCAATCAATTTCGTGACACTGTTCTGTATTAGACTACCAATCTCAACGATTTTATTTCGTTATTCTACTCTGTATGGACATATGCATTTCCCATAATGACTCCTATATTTCACGCCCAACGCAAAAAGAAAAAAAAAAGAAGGCATAAGGAGGGAAATAAACACAGAGGTAGGTACTCCGTACATAATTCCGGTTATGTTCTGGTGTGATAAGTGATTCTGGCCTGTACGAACCTTACTGCGCCATGCTCGCTTGTTGAAGGCTTCCCGGACTTCCGTATCAGGTGGCGTTGATAACAGGATCACATCACGCTAACTACTGCAGGGATGTCTGACCATGTGGAGATTAGGGTAGAGATTTCTTTTCGCTCGTACGAAGTATAATCCCAAGGTTGAACTTAAGAATATAGAGTATGAAAAATCGGGTTTAGAATGCTATGGGGGACATGCCAAATGTTAGTATCCATTTACTGATTTATAGATGTTGTTCACCACGGCAGTTCAAGGCTGTTCGCCACCAGCTACTATTGGCTGCTTGGAAACCTTCCATGGTGGGAAGAAAATTTAGACTTGCACGATTTTCGAGGGAACCTTTCGTATCAAGAAAAGAAAAAGAACGAAAAAAAAAAAGAATACGAAGCCAAAAACCGCATTAAAACCCCTTTCAATACAGGTTTCTCGTATTTGAAGACCCTCGCTGTAAGATACGAAGTGCAAAATACCGAGTGGGCGGGTCTCAGATCGCCAGCCAATCGGGCAGATCGGGCTACCAGTAACTCGGCCCCAAATCCACTCGGGCCATGACCGAGTGGCATATCGGCATTGTTATAGGCTGATATTTACGGGTCTCGGTGTATGAAAGAATATTCACCTACCTATAAGAGTCGGCCAAAGGGAAAGTCTTTTTTATTTTTGGTTTCCAAAGAATCAACTTGTATAATAGCCAGGCAATGACTATAAAGCGAACGCCTGCCCTTGCTACCAAAACAAATTCTTGGTGCTAGTACAGATAACTCTACGGTGTAGCAAGTGTGGGTCAAATCCAATAGTTTACACATACAGAACGTGCGAATCGGGTAGCCCCGTTGTCAGGCTCCATTTATTCTTTTAAAAGAACGGTCACAGAGGGGTTTCCTATTCGGACAAGAATGCCGTGCATTTTTTTTTATGTATGCTGGTATTGGTCGACCCAGTGGCACCAGTCGCATTTGATGATAAATTTGTATATCCAAAGGAGAAAATTATTTTCTATTACATTAATTTTTTCAAAAAGTGAAAATTACCGAGGCCGAGGCGTTGGAATCTAAGATACTCCAATACTGGGGCTCTTAGAATTTGATATGGGGTTTGTCTCATCTGCTTATTTTTATCATGAGCTTCAAGACTAGCCTCTTAGCACTTAGCACTTGACACTTAGCACAGTTGTTATGTGATCATTTCTTTCTCCCTTCCACATTCGATTTCTCCTTTCCATCTCTCAATCCTCAGTCCTTCGTTTGCTAGCTCAGCCAGTCTCTCGTTATCTTTTTTTTCCTCTCGCACCCTGCCACCCTCCGACGACTTTGGGAATTTACGGCGTGACTCCCCCAAGATACCCACACTCCACTACTCCATGGCAATTGAGAGCTGCACATCTCCATATCTTTCATAGGGTGTCTCAGCCTCTCATCCCAGCGGGGATCTCCTCCGCATTGCCTGAGGCGAGCGACTATCACCCAACAGCTCCGCGCAGTCACCAGCCATGAAGTGGTTACTCGCCAGCGGACTGATCTCGCTTTTTGCGACGACAGTCACAGCTTGGCCCTACGACGAGGCTTATCTGGATTATAACCTCAACACAAATAAGACGGCTACCAACCCTGCAGATTACTGGGGAACATGGCCTGGCCATGAGGGGAAATATAACCCTTCTCCGGAGAACTGGCGCTTCCCGTTCTACTCTCTCTTCCTAGATCGCTTCGTGAACGGCGATCCTTCCAATGACAACATCAACGGAACTACCTTCGAGCATGATGTCGATCATCGCATACGCCACGGTGGTGATGTTGCTGGTCTTGTTGATACACTGGATTACCTCCAAGGAATGGGAATCAAGGTTTGTTTAATCTGTGATCATCTCGTGGGGAGAAAATATATACTCACAATGCCTAGGGTATCTATATTGCAGGTACCTCCTTGCTGAACCAGCCGTGGACGTCAGATGGATACGGAGTTTTGGATACAACAATTCTCGATGCACATTATGGTACCATCCAGACATGGAGGGATGCCATCACCGAAATCCACAAACGCGACATGTATGTCTTGTTTGACAATACTATTGCGACGTAAGTTATCCCCGTGTGCGCAGATAAGACAGCATACCTAACCAAATACATACAGAATGGGTGATTTGATTGGATTTGAAGGTCATCTCAACACGTCAACTCCATTCTCCGAGAAAGAATATCGTACAGTATGGAAAAGTGAACGCCGTTACAGAGATTTTGACATTGGAATTGGCAAATACAACCAGAGCTGTGATTATCCTCGGTTCTGGTTCGAAAATGGGTTCCCAGTGAATGAAACCGAGCTCTCTGGCTTGGTCGGATGTTTTGACAGTGACTTCGACCAATACGGTGACATTGAAGCTTTCGGTGTGTGGCCTGATTGGAAACGACAACTGGCCAAGTTCGCCTCCGTCCAGGATCGTCTTCGCGAATGGAACCCGACCGTGCGCGAAAGATTGATCCGCCATTCCTGCATGGTCATCCAATCTTTGGATATCGATGGCTTCCGTTATGATAAAGGCACCCAAGCTACCGTGGATGCCCTTGGAGATATGTCCGCTGCTTATCGAGAATGTGCGCGCGCCGTTGGGAAGGACAACTTCTTCATCACCGGCGAAATCACGGGTGGAAATGATTTTGGTGCAATCTACCTCGGAAGAGGCAGACAGCGTAACCAGTATCCTAAAACCGCAGACGCCACAATAAAGTTGACCAATGAGTCTTCTGCTCAGTGGTTCTTGCGCGAAGCGGGACATGAAGCCATCGATAGTGCGGCCTTCCACTACACGACATATCGTGCATTGACCCGATTCCTCGGCATGGACGGGCAACTTTCTGCCGGTTTCGATGCGCCTGATGACTGGGTTGAAGGCTGGAATTATATGTTACAAACTAACGATTTAATCAATGCGAACACCGGCAAGTTCGACCCTCGTCATATGTTTGGTGCGACGAATCAAGACGTGTTCCGTTGGCCAGCAATTGCCAACGGTACTCATCGACAGTTACTCGGGTCTTTCGTGACTACATTGCTGCTCCCCGGAATCCCACTTCTTCTGTGGGGAGAAGAGCAGAACTTCTATATTTTGGATGCCACTGCCGAGAACTACATTTATGGGCGACAGTCAATGTCGCCTGCAACCGCGTGGATGACCCATGGCTGCTTCCACTTGAAGTCATCTCAGTATTACAAGTGGCCTGTTCAGTCCGCTCAACACGGCTGCAAGGACGTGACAGTTTCTTATGACCATCGGGACCCTTCTCACCCGGTGCGAAATATCCTGAAGCAGATGTACCACCTGCGCGAACAGTACCCCGTTCTCAACGATGGCTATTCGCTTGGTAGTTTGTCAAAGAGAACCGATTGGATTCTCTACCCTGGTTCTAATGAAACGGCAACGGAAACCGGAATGTGGTCTGTTTACAGGGATGTCAACACCGAGGTGCAAGATTTGGGCTCTAATGCCAACAACCAACCGGTCTGGCTTGTTTATCAAAACCTCAATGATACAAAGACATACCACTTCGACTGCAAATCCATAAATCCGAACAAGACAATCACCGCTCCATTTGCGTCCGGTATCACAGTCAAAAACCTTTTCTACCCGTATGACGAGATCAAACTCGTCGAAGGAGCGCGCAAGCTCGGCTTCAACGGGTCCAAGGCGCTCAATGGCTGCGTGGAAAGCATGAAATTGAAG